CAAAGAGAGTAATGATAATGCTAATTCTAATGGAAGTGAAGAATTTACTGATGCAGAACTAAATGAGGAATCCGAGAGAGAAATAGATGAATTATATGATACTAACAAAAACAATGCAAAACGAGATGAGGAATCCGAGAAAGAAATATATGAATTATATGATATTTACAAAAACGAAATAAAAAAATTACCGAAAGCAGCAATATTTGACATTTTATGTTATTTTATGTAAAGTTGTTATGTTTCTATAAAAACTGTATGTCCAATAACTACACTCACAGGCAAAATAATCGATCCACACAAATTTTCGATGAATTTCAATCGCAAATAACTTTTTATTTGATTTCGGATTTAAACAAATATTAAAGAATATTGTAGATGAATTAATGGACAATCGCTCACATTTAAAAAAAAACCTAAAAAATAGACGTACGTTTATAATATACAAGTTTAAACAAAAAGATGTTTTTTACCATTAGTTTAAGACACTCTGTAGAGTGACAAAACCGTATATTGTTCTAAATTAAGTTTTATTTATCAAGTCACATCTATTCTTAACAGTTTTGTTTTTGGTTCACCGCGATATATTTATTTTTGTGGAAAATATGGATTTTTTAAAAAAACATTGCAATTTCCAATATTTTTCTGTATGAAGAACTAAGGTTGCTATGGTCCATCCATATGCTATGGAGAATGACAGTGACAGTTTTGTTGAATTATCCCATACTTGGGCATGTCATACACGGCCTTCAAAAGCTATCAAATTGTTTTTTGCAAATAAATGTTTAAATTTTGAGGTGTCTTCTCACTTTAAAAAATGGATATGTCCCCGACTGATGTTGCCAGAGCCATTAATTTAATCCAGGATGGACGGTCACAGTATTACGTGGCAAGTGTTTTAAACGTCACAAGAAGTAAAGTACAAAGGGCAACATCAGTCGGAGACATTTTTAAAAGTAAGATGACACCTCAAAACAACACATTAATTTGCAAAAAACAATTTGATAGCTTTTGAAAGCTGTATATGACATGTCCAAGTATGGGATGATTCAACAAAACTGTCACTGTCATCCTCCGTAGGCTATGGATGGACCATAGCAACCTTAGTTCTTCATACAGGAAAAATATTGGAAATTGCAGTTTTTAAAAAAAATCCATATTTTCCACAAAAATAAATATATCAAGGTGAACCAAAAACAAAACTGTTAAAAATTTATGTGACTTGATAATTAAAACTTAATTTAGAACAATATACGGTTTTGCCACTATACAGAGTGTCTTAAACTTATGGTAAAAAACATATTTTTGTTTAAACCTGTATATTATAAACGTACGTGTATTTTTAGTATTTTTTTTAAAATATGAGCGATTCTCCATTAATGTATCTATAATATTCTTTAATATTCGTTTAAATCCGAAATCAAATAAAAAAGTTATTTGCGATTGAAATTCATCGAAAATTTGTGTGGATCGATTATTTTGCCTGTGAGTGTATGTTCCATGTGTCCAATTATTATATAAAATGTCCAATTACCATACTGTTTTGCATGTTTTGCATGAGTATTATTATTAAAATAATTCAAATTGCCGAGCACTATGCGAGGTTATGGCAAAATAATTCAAGAACGTCGACAGGACAAAACGGGATATGAGTGGATATGAAATGTAGGAGCAATTTGGAGATTGTAGCAGGTGGCACAAACATCCTGTGTCCCCAGCGTATCCTCCCTCGACTGAATACATCCTCGAAGCTGCAGCTGTGCTATAAATTATAGAATTTAATATAATAATATATTTTTTTTATGATTGACGCCATGTATTTTTATTGCTTAGGTGCTTTGTTGACCAAATGTGTTTATCTACACTGTTTAAAATATCTGTGGTGTAAAGAGTAATCTTAAAATGGTGTCAAAATCCAACACCAAGTGGTGTTAATATAAACACCATGAATTATGGTTAAAAATGTTATATACAGCAAACACCAAAACGGTGTTTATCTAAAAATATTTGAGAAGTGCACCTACACAGAAAAAAAGGAATAGTTCATTTAACTATATTAATTTAGTTGACCCATAAGTATTTATTTAAATCAACTGTGGGAAGGTTAATATAAACAAAGATTAGTTTGACGGTACTAAACCAGATAGTTATTTTATTTTTTTTTTGAATTGTTTAAATTAACCCAGAAAACTTTAGTGAAACCAACCCGCTGTATGGTTCAGTTTACTAAATATGTTGTTTGTAAAATAAGAGTTACTTTAACCTAAAGCACTCTGTTAAAACGATTAAAACAATTTGCAGTGCATTCCTGGTTGCATAGTGTGTACCGATCGCGGCAAAGGCGGTGTGTATCACGTGATGTTCTTAAATCTCGCCTCTGTCGACTTACATGAAAAGCTCAGGTAGTACTTTGCTTTGGTGTGACACTACAAGTTGTTCGATACTTAAGAGACCTTAAATAGGTGGAAACAGCTGTCAATATTTGAAGTATTTTAACGCACTAAAAACATTATCTCTAGCGAGTTGAAAGTTAAATTTTCTGGATTAATACCACTGGTAATATACTTGTAATGCGTCAAGAAACTTCCTGTTTCCATTTTTTCCTTTTTTTCTGTGTAGTATGATTTAATTTGACCAAAAACACATAATATTTAACACTGAAAAGGAGTTCAATTTACACCAGGTAAAATTTATTTTAATACTGTGTGCAAGTTAAATTTACACCATTTTAGTATTTGAATTTACACTGGACCAACGAACCATATTTAACACCATTTTGGTTTGTATCGATATAGACCATGTATGGTGTTAATTTGGTGTTAAAATGGTCTTGACATTTTGAACAGTGTAATGGATTTTGTCTAAAACATTTTTTTAAATTTGTAATAGATGGCGCTGTAATGAAAAAAGATCAATTTTGTTCGATTCTTCTTCTGTATACCATTCTGCAATAATTTTTCTATAAAAATATCACTTTTTTGGTAATACTAATCTTATTAAATTAAATCTGATTTTTTAAGTACCCACGATTTTTTAAGTTTTATACATTGTTTTATTCGGTGATAATTATCAATTGCGCACCATGGTCACTTTTTACCTGCCAGCATTAAATTAATTAATTTAATCCTAATTGAGGTATAGTTTAGCATTATTTAATCAATTTAGTTCGAAGATTAGTTTGCAAACAAAAAGACCTCCTTTCGTTAAGCAGTTATTCATAATGGATTTTTTAACAGTGGAAGAAAAAATTTTGATTTATGGAAAAGCAGGCAGGAATCTTGATGATGCTGTTAATATCTGCGCTCAGCGTTTTCCGGATAAAATTCGATCACGTACTTCATTTCACCGTACAGTCAAGCAGTTTACTACAAACGGGAGTGTTCAACCGAAAAAAAGAGTTCGTCGAGCAACAGTCACAGGTGGAAATAATGAAATTAATGTACCCTTTATATTCATTAAACTATACTTTATAAATATTAAAACCTAAAAGTTATGTGTTTAATTCTAAAGACACAAGTAGATAGCAATATCACGAAATGGCCTCGGGTCTTTTGTATAACCTTACATACATTTATTACATTTTTATCTTGTACGTAGATATATTGTTTGGTATTTAAATATAATACGCGTAGATTTTTGGTGGAATCTCTCTTTTCTTTTTATTAAGAAAAAAGTCAGTTCTTTTGTACACATATATAGCGTTTTAACTGAGTATTAAAAGGAAAAATTAGACCTATAAGATTGCGAAAAAATTCAAATCCCTTGCACGAAAATAACAAAAAATGTATTCATTATCTTCCGTTGCCTTTTTCAAACATCTAATTTTATCTAATATGGGTATTTCCTCGAAACCTTGACAAAAAATCAGATGTGTTATTTAACAAAATAACAACATACAGGGTCTATATCGATACAAACCAAAATGGTGTTAAATATAGTTCGTTGGTCCGGTGTAAATACAAATACTAAAATAGTGTAAATTTAACTTTCACACAGTATTAAAATAAATTTTACCTGGTGTAAATTGAACTCTTTTTCAGTGTTAAATATTATGTGTTTTTCGTCAAATTAAATCATACTACACAGAAAAGAAGGAAAAAAAGTTCCTTGACGCATTACTAGTATACATATTACCAGAGGTATTATTCCAGAAAATTAAACCTTCAACTCGCTAGAGATAATGTTCCACCAACTTAAAATACTTCAAGTATTGACAGCTGTTTCCACCTATTTAAGGTCTCTTTAGTATCGAACAACTTGTAGTGTCACACCAAAGCAAAGGACTACCTGAGCTTATATACTCTTCATGTAAGTCAACAGAGGCGAGATTTAAGAACATCACGTGATCCACACCGCCTTTGCCGCGATCGGTACACACTATGCAACCGGGAATGCACGGCAAATTGTTTTAATCGTTTTAACAGAGTGCTTTAGGTTGAAGTAACTCTTATTTTACAAACAACATATTTAGTAAACTGAACCATACAGCGGGTTGGTTTCACTGAAGTTTTCTGGGTTAATTTAACCAATTTAAAAAAAATAAAATAACTATCTGGTTTAGTACCGTCAAACTAATCTTTGTTTATATTAACCTTTCCACAGTTGATTTAAATAAATACTTGTGGGTCAACTAAATTAATATAGTTAAATGAAGTTTTCCTTTTTTTCTGTGTAGGTGCACTTCTCAAATATTTTTAGATTAACACCGTTTTGGTGTTTGCTTTATATAACATTTTCAAACATAATTCATGGTGTTTATATTAACAGTACTTGGTGGTGGATTTTGACACCATCTTAGGATTACTCTTTACACCACAGATATTTTAAACAGTGTATTTGTGCATTTAAAATACGTATATATGAACAAACACTTTATTATCATGAAAAACGCAGTTTTAGTGTCGCACCCGTTACAATGGCACATATTGGTGGTTTTATCACATGAGTGAAGATGTGGTGGATGGCAGTTTAAAGTTTAAACACGATTTTCTTTGTTTCAGAGCTGGAGAAGAGGTTTTCCCTCGAATCGGCGAAGATCAGACACTGCACAGACCTGGAGGAATTGCAAGAATTGCTTCATTTCCCTGAAGAGGTCGCGTTGCGGCTGGCCGACTTTGAGTACCAGCTATTTTATCAGGCAAGTATTATTGGAAGTGATATTTATGAGTCCAAAGTCCAAAAAAATTGCTGGTACCTTGAGTCAAGTTCGGTTGTCAAAATTCGTAGTTAAAAATGCAATTAATTTGGCTTTGGTGGTGCGTAGATGAGTAAAAAATCATATAAAAAGTAGTTAAATATAGGTGACCACGGCCCAGAAGTCACTTTTTCAAACAGTTTCTGAAATATCTGTTTTCTAAATTTGAATGCAAAGGAAGTGACGAGTATATCAGGGTACTAATTAAATACATAATTTATTGCAACTTTGAGCATATTATACATTAAATATCTTAAAATCAAATAATACCACACATCAGTGGCGGCTGGTGGATTTTGGGTATACCGATATCTCAATTATTAGATATGGGACCCACACCAAATTTATATGAGTTTATAATGACATTAAATAAACAAGTTCTGCGCAAGCAGAATTTAAATTGAAGTTTTCCAAAAAAAGAAACATCGAACATGGAACTGACGACACGGTACTGATGAATGGGATACAAATTTGAGATTATAATTCGGAATTAAGTATTTTCTGAAATTTTTTATTAGTGGATGCTGCTTATCAATAAATCACATATAGCCTTATATAAATTACAATGAAATATATATACGTACTGAAATTTTGACTGGAACTATACGTGCATTCACCACAACTTCGCCGCTTGCATTGTTTTCAAAATGACTGTCGTGCAAAGGGCGGGCTCTGTAGGTAATTTTTTACCAACACTTGAGTTAAAACGAGGACTTGACGTTTAAACTTCAATATTTCGCAGGAATTTTGAATTTTAACATTGGACACAGAACTGACGTGTAAAAGTGAGTACAAAGATTATCAATTTTTTAAAAATTGCTATTATTAGAATCTATGATAAAATATAAAAAATACATTATTTAATGTTTTATAGTTTGTAGTGAAATTGAAAAATTTAAGATAAATGAATATATTTTAAAATAAAATCACTCAAATATTTGATTCAGGAGTTGTGACACGCCAAGGTTCTGATGTTTTAAATATTTATTATGTTTTTCTACAAACGTGTTTTTGAAAAAATACATTAAAATTGGGTGGACAAGTTTAAAAAACCTGGATCTTTTGTAATACACTAGCATATTTACAAAAAATATTAAAATACCTACTTTATTGACTGATGACATCAAGTTTACCAACTTTTGTAGAATCACCCCTGTATATCGTATTAAAATGTATCCATTACTCACAATTCAATAAAAATGTATCTACTGAATAAAGATTGTGTTAACTATTTTTTATTAAAGCCTTATTTTCACGCGATATAAAGATAAAAAACGCTAAATTCGATTACAGCTTTACAAAGTTAATTTTATAAGTTATAGCGCTAAACCGGATACTCAAATTAAAATAAAATTGTAGTTCAAAGAAAAATCCTTATTGGCAGCGAGTGAAAAATTAATGAGCGCATCAGTTTCAATTTTGAAAATTGCTAGGGTTTTAATTTTATCGGCTAAATGCCGAAGCTACGGCTATATGTAATCCAATATTGGAAAATTTAAGATTCCATTATCAGTCAATAATTGCAAGAAATAGCTTCGTTATACAGCACACGTATACGTATTTTCCTCATTTTTTATTAGAGCTACAGTTTTTTAATAAAAAAAATATGTAGTAGTTTGTCTTAATAAAGTAAAGATCCCTATTCGTCCAACAATTGCTTTTGTTACGGCAAAAAGATCATTTTTATAAAAATTATATATCTACAAACGCTGCTTTCAGTAATAGTATGTATTTGCACTCTTCCAGATGCAGAAACGCAATAATAAATATAGTTAAATATATATTATTTGTCCAAAAAAACAGTTCTATACCGTTTACAAAAACGTTTTGTAGTATTAATGAAACCCTAATGGTATTATTCATAGAAATTTTGTAAATTAAAAATAAAACTTTTTTTATAATATTATTAAAATGTATGTAAATTTAACAACAAATTAATTGTTAATTCAATAAACTATTTTAATTGTAACAATGGTCACATTTTCAACCTACTGTTGGGTGTTGGGTAGTTTTTTTTTAATATTTGCAAGGCATTAAAACAAATTATTTATTATAACAAAAAATTAACTCATATTATATGATGTACAAAATTAAAAAATATGAACTCACTTTGTAAACAACAAGTCTGCTTCGTTTATAGATTAGACCTTAAATATTTCTTTTAGAAATCATCGAAATTTTAATTTTCTTAGTGATCTTTTTGATATTTTATCATGCTAGATTTTACCAAACTTCACTCGCACAAGTAAAATCATTAAGATTATAACACAGACTGTGGATTATAAAGTTATGTTCACCAAGGAGAGCGCTGGCCCTTTCCCCCTCTTTTTAAGGGAAATAACAAAAATTTTGTTACCATTGCAAAATAATAGTAACTATTAAAAAAGTCTTTTTATAGCAACAAAATATTTTGTTATTGTTCTTAACGTTAGCTATTAACAAAGATTTTCCAACTAAAATAAAATTAATTTGAATTACAACGATAGTAATTTAAAAAAGACAAATATGCCATAGTAAAATGAACAAATTTTACTATAACAACTGCGCATTACTTTATGTAAGCGCAATTCACACACAACTATAGATCTAACAAAAACATTTTAAGTTCGACAAAGATTTAATATAAACATAAAGTATTTCTTATTGCCATGACAATATGATAACAACTATTACTTTGTTGGATGAACATTTTTTTTATAAAAGCTCAACATTGCTGCTTCATTATAGTAAATGAGAATTTTATTAGCAGTAAAAAAAGCCTTAGGTGGTACATTTTTTTATAGCCATTACGATTTCAAATTTAAGTCAAATAATATTATTTTATTAATCACTTACAAAATTAGTTTCATTTTCAGTGCATGTACATTTTTCTGAGTGTATGCAAAACAAAAAAGAATTATGAACAAAGTACCAAGCATATTTGCGTAAAAATTTACTAAATAACAGCAAAATAAATTAAATTCTTGAAAATGCATTTAGAATTTTCTTTCGCTTGGAAAGAGATGTAAACGACATTTTTTCAGAAGACATTCTTTCTCAATAGATACTTTGGAAACTCCTGGCAAAGTAAAGTAAAGAAATTTGTCGTTTTATTTAGTTTTTTAGTTTAATAAACTTGGCGTTCATTCGCAGTAAACTCATTGGTGGCTTTCAGATAAGAAGGTTAAAATTTGATGAATGTATTTCTTTCAAACAAAATGTTCTTAGTGGTTACTAAAAGTATTTTTATTGATTTAAACAGTCATTAATTTAATCCAGGATGGACGGTCACAGTATTACGTGGCAAGTGTTTTAAACGTCACAAGAAGTAAAGTGCAAAGGGCAACATCAGTCGGAGACATTTTTAAAAGTAAGAAAACACCTCAAAATTAACACATTAATTTACAAAAAACAATTTGATACCTTTTGAAAGCTGTATTTGACATGTCCAAGTATGGGATGATTCAACAAAACTGTCACTGTCATTCTCCATAGGCTATGGATGGACCATAGCAACCTTAGTTCTTCATACAGGAAAAATATTGGAAATTGCAATGTTTTTTTAAAAAATCCATATTTTCCACAAAAACAAATATATCGAGGTGAACCAAAAACAAAACTGTTAAGAATAGATGTGACTTGATAAATAAAACTTAATTTAGAACAATATACGGTTTAGCCACTCTACAGAGTGTCTTAAACTTATGGTAAAAAACATCTTTTTGTTTAAACCTGTATATTATAAACGTACGTGTATTTTTTAGTAATTTTTAAAATGTGAGCGATTCTCCATTAATGTATCTACAATATTCTTTAATATTTGTTTAAATCCGAAATCAAATAAAAAAGTTATCTGCGATTGAAATTCATCGTAAATTTGTGTGGATCGATTATTTTGCCTGTGAGTGTATATACTCAGGTAAAAAAACTAACTTTGAAAATAACCGACCCTACTATATACCAGTGTGGATTAACTTTGAGATAGGTGTAGTATACCAAAAAACACAATAAAATCTGGCATCAGGCCAACTCATGAAACGGTTTTGTTGACCATCTCATTAAATAACAATTAGAGACATTAAAATTTCACCTCTTTAATTATTTAAATGGCGAGTAATTAACTTGGTTGCAGAATAGAGAACATAAAAGCTTGTTGCATTTGGATCTAATTATGTTTTAAAGCATTATAAACCCTTTGAATCTATTATGGGTGATTCGGGTTTTTTTAACTTGTCCACCCAATTTCAATGTATTTTTTCAAAAGCACGTTTGTGGAAAAACATAATAAATATTCAAAACATCAGTACCTTGGCGTGTCACAACTCCTGAATCAAATATTTGAGTGATTTTATTTTAAAATATATTCAACTTTTCTTAAATTTTTCAATTTCACTGCAAACTATAAAAGATTAATTAATGTATTTTTCATATTTTATCGTAGATTCGAATAAAAGCAATTTTTTAAAAATTGATAATCTTTGTACTCACCTTTACCCGTCAGTTCTGTGTCCAATGTTAAAATTCAAAATTCCTGCGAAATATTGACGTTTTAACTCGAGTGTTGGTAAAAAATTACCTACAGAGCCCGCCCTTTGCACGACAGTTATCTTGAAAACAATGCAAGCGGCGAAGTTGTGGTGAATGCACGTATAGTGCCAGTCAAAATTTCAGTACTGTGGTGAGTAGTTATTTTCTTACGTATATATATTTCATTGTAATTTATATAAGGCTATATGTGATTTGTTGATACGTAGCATCCACTAATAAAAAATATCAGTAAAATACTTAATTCCGAATTATAATCTCATCATCAGTACCGTGTCGTCAGTTCCATGTTCGATGTTTCTTTTTTTGAAAAACTTCAATTCAAATTCCGCTTGCCCAGAACTTATTTATAAACTCCCAGAACTTATATATAAACTCATATAAATTTGGTGTGGGTCCCATATCTAATAATTGAGATATCTGTATACCCAAAATCCGCCAGCCGCCACTGATGTGTGGTATTATTTGGTTTTAAGATATTTAATGTATAATATGCTCAAAGTTGCAATAAATCTTATATTTTCCAATAAATTATGTTTTTAATTAGTACCCTGGTATACTCGTCACTTCCCTTGCATTCAAATTTAGAAAACTCAGTGTCAGAAACTGTTTGAAAAAGTGACTGGAACAGTATATTTATTATATTATCTATGTTCTCATAACAAAATACTGTTTAATTTTCTCCGAAATATAAACAAATGAGGTCAAAACTTTTGTAGAATCACCTATATATACGGAATAGAGAATAAAGGTATTCTTACATTTACAAAAAAAAATCCGTGTGGATTTGTAGAATAACAATTGAAGGGCTTGGAAGTAAAGCGGTTCAAGTGCACTTTTTTAAATAAATGGTCTAAGTGCAGAATATCACACCTAAAGAATATTCCAACTTAATGGTAAAATTATATAAGTACATTTTACATTCCCTGGCGCCATTTCTTATGTTCTTTAAAAACCTGTCAAAATATTTTAAAATATATATTTGGTAAAACGATTTAAGTGCACCTTTTACTGCTAAACATAGGTTATTATATATGCTGCTAAAGCCTTGACAAGTAGCTCGTTTCGACATATTGTGACCGGGGTCGGAACGACATCGGCCAGCGTTACAATTATGGCATCGGTCCAGACTGATGAGGATTCAACATAATAACTATGTTCCTGACATCAATGAAGAAATAGAAGAAGAAGGCCATGTAACTCCAGCAAAAACTAAAAAAAGAAAACAAAGCCGCTAAGCACAAAAATGTACTTACCTTATTGGACTATATTCCGTCAATTTACCACTTATTTTATAAAAGCATAGAGCACAATGGAGATCCATCAGAAAAAAAAGGAAAAAAAGAAACAAACTTAGACCATAGCATTGAGCCAAAAAAAATCCAATTTAGATCAACCCCAACCAAGACCAGCTAATTCAGATGAAGAAAAGGTTGTATTAGATTCTGATTATGAATAATACTTTTTGTTGTAAAACTTACCCAAATTTTAAAAAATAAAGTTTTGTTCTAGTACAGTAATTTATATATATAATATATAATTTTAAAATTCAAGTTAACTTTAAAGCCATTTATCTCACAACTAACAACAATGCACTTAAACCCTTTTACTTCTAGGCCCCTCAATTATAATTAACAACTCGTAATTACAAACTTTTATTGCATATTCATATCTCATTGAGTAACTTTATAGCCGCCTCGTACACTTCGCCATTGGATGTCTCGAATATGGTAGGGACATTTTCTCCGTTGAAACTTCCGGCGTAAACCGGAAAATACTGATCGCCATCAAACTTTAAAAACGCTCTCAACGTAAAGGATTCATTCCCACCAAACTTCCTTATTGTATTAGCTGCTGTGTCCAAAACGCAAAGCTCAATTCCGTAGTGATCAGCCAGTATTTCCAGTTCCAATTCAGCTATCGGAGAGTTTGGTTGTAAGATCCATAAACGGTATTCTTCCAAGGTCATTTTTGATAGTTTATTTGCGTACGATTTACCATCTTCATCTATCATTCTTGCAATTATATTTCTTATGTAGTCTATTACATCTGGTGTTCTGCTGACGTTTAAAATAAACATTAAAGATTGGATTGCCGACTCTTCCTTTGGCACTTTATGGACCAGCAATTTTATTTCTTCCAAGCATTGATTGCTCTCTGTTGAATACTGAATTATAACAGGACTTTCTTCATTATTAATATGGGCTTCATTATTTTCTAACTCATCTGATATGTCCACTATCCTGGATTGAGATAACTTTGATTTTTCTTCACACATTTAAAAAATATATGTGGAATTTTAAATCCATCAAAATGTGTCAAAATGTTATGATATAAAAATATTGACTTGACAGAATAGCTTAGAAAAATAACACAGCCAAGTGAGAAATTTGAATCGTAATGAATGTGTAAGAATCATTACATTGGCCGAGCAAGGATTAAGCTACCGTGCCATAGCGTAAAGATTGGGAGTTAATCATACCTCAATATCCCGTGTTATTCGACGTTTTGAAGAAACCAACGTGATGGGCAGGGAAGGCATCGAATGACAACAGCCGTACATGATCGTTTCCTTTATTTGCATGCTTTGAGAGAACGATTTGTAACAGCAAGAAATCTACAGGTGCAACTTAATGCTACTCATAATTCCAAACAAGTGTGTCCACCGTAAGAAGACGTCTTGCGGAACAGAATTTGACCTTCGGAATTCCAGCAACAGGACCAAAGTTAAATGCAAATCATCGTAAAGTTTGCCAGACAACATGTTGGCTGGAATATTGAGGATTGGCAGCGTGTACTATTCACAGAGTCCAGGTTTTGTTTATTCAGCTCTGACCGACATCCAAATGAGAGATTTTCACAGTGCAACATTCGTGAACCACGCTATTTAATGGAGGTTCTGTAATGGTTTGGGGAGGAATTTCCCTGACAGCTCGCGCAGAACTCGTCATTGTTCGTGGAGGTACCATGAATAGTGTACGATATATCGAGGACATTTTATCTGAGCATGTTGCCCCTTTAGACCTCACACCGCTCATATAGTGCAAGAGTACTTACATGAGGTGGCCGTTGAAACTTTAGACTGGCCTGCAAATAGTCCGGATCTCGACCCCATTAAGCATTTTGGGATAATATGGGTAGACGACTAAGAAATCATGATCCCTTGCCTGCCTCTCTTGACGTAGCAAATATGCTACGAGAAATATGGAATGTCGTTGATCAAGGCGAGATTAGACATCTGGTTTCGAGTATGAGCCGTCGATGTGAGCTGTAATTAGAAGTAGAGGCGGAAATATGCGATATTTATTTTCTTTAATGTTGGGTTTATTGATTTTATTCATATTTTTATTGTTATTGTTACAATCGTTAGTAAGAAATTGTATAATAATTGAATGATTTATTAAAAAACTTGAAAACATAACCTTAATACTTACTCAAAATTTAAAGCTAATAATATTTTTTATCTCCACGCGGTCTATAATTTGAACTTTATTGTTGTCAACATTCGATAAAGAAATACCTTGTTATGGCCTAGGCCGATAAAAAATTTTATGAGGCAAGTAATTAGTTCGATTTTTTCTCGCTAGGGGTATTGTTTTGACAAATTAGTCCTTTTCTAAGAAATTAACGTACTAAACTGGTTTAATTTATTTATAATAAGCACTAATTTGTTTGTTTTACTGTTAATGTTTAATATTTTTCATTAAATTATTGTGAAATTAAATATGAATAATACAACAAAAAGTGAGGTTAGGCAACCAAGAAAACGCACGATTCTCTTTCTACGATTTAAATTATCTTTAAGTTTTAATTTGCTTTAAGTTTTCAGTGTGAATTAAATGATAAACACAGTTTAAACATTACAAACTAACTATTTTTTAAATAAAAATCCTAACAAATTGAAATTAGATACCTACCTATTTATTAAACAATTAATTGAATTCATATAATAGCAAAAATCCATTTCTACTTAAATCATGTTGCTAGGTATTGTCAAACTATTACTGCTTCTAAAAGCAATAATAATTGTTGTACATTTAATGTAATCTTTAGCTAATAAATAAATGAGATTCTAAAAAAGTGAGGTTAGGAATTAAATTGACCTATATAAAGTGCTTTGAAGATAAAATGTTGTATGCCATTCGGCCAAGAAGTGCCTTTTTGTGCTTCGCTCAAACCTTGAGCTTAGCACAAAAAGCCTTACTTCTTAACCTAATGACATAAATAACTATTTGGTATAAATAAAAATGCGAAAAATACCGTTTTTAATGTTAATGTATTGATAATTATTTTGTTGCTTTCAGGTCCCCCCCATTGACTACCTGCGCCAGGTGACAATAGACTTAGGGGGGACGACCGGAAGTGGGGCATCCGGCCCATCAGCATCGACCGTCGATTCCCAAACTCAAACACCGCCGGCAGGTGGCGGCACCAGCGCAACCCCATCGAGGGGCTCATCTGTGGTCAAGCTAATCCGAAGGTTCAACGAGGTAAATAAAGTTTTTTCACTCCTACCTTTAAAACGCCCTTTATCGTACATGTTTCCATGACACTAAGCGACCTTTTAAATACGCATTGACAAGTTGTGGCTTTACGGCGCTTTAGTCACGGTCTGAAGTTAGCAACAGGTTTTTAGTCACTGGCTGAAGTTAGTTTAAAGTTAGTTGACAGTTGTCAAATGTCATACAACCGTTAAAATAAATTGCGTTTCTTGTAAAATAATACTAAATGTGAAAATTATTTTATCATCTCAATACAAAAATACAAATGTATTAAATAGTTTCTCAACGCCAATATTTGAAAAGTTTATATGAACATTGTACTGACCTTTTAATTTCGCCGACAGTAAACTATAACTTAAATTCGGGCACGGACTCAACTGTAAAGTCCTCATAAAACATTTCCTTTACTTTCACTGTGAAAAACTGTCAATTTTCAAGATACATTTCGATTTATAACCTTTATAATTGTGTTTATAAAATGTAAAAACGTGACATTTGACAGTTTCCCCTGTTGTTTCATAGATGGCGCTCTATACAAATTTTTGATTTAAATCATTTTAAGATCGTAGAAAAAGTATAGTATGCACCTCGTTTATAAACTTTTCTATACACTCATTTACTTAAATTAAATTAAATTAAATTCGTGTATAAAATGGCGTTTATCAAACTTGATACATAATATACTATTTTATCTATTTTGCGTTTTTAATGACTTCATTATAACACCGCTTTCGGTTTTGTAATGAGATACTTTATCCCACCCAAAATATTGATTTTATTTGTTGGCTATACTTTAAACAGCATAATATTTTGCATATTGGTTATAATATTTTTATGATTTTTCTAGTACTTACGAGACTTTTCTGGCAATAAATTTTGTTTAACATCAAAGAAAATCCTTTTTTTCTTCTTTAACATTAACAGCCGCTTATTGTAAATAAGTAAATTAAGGACGGCATGGCGAATCGATTTTGACATTAACTGTCAAACCAATGACTGTGATACCAACTATCTAAAGTAAAATTCGACCAAATTAAATTTAAGGTATATAATTAGAATTTTTTCAAAATAGATAAAATAGCATAAATAACTCATGTCATAAGACCTTTTGTCGCACTGGTCCATTAGAAAATGACGTCTTATGACATTAGTTCTTTAATATACAAATCTGTAAAATCACTCATAATTCAATTATGACATTTAGTGAATATTTAACTCTAAAAATACATCTACATCACAGTTTTAGCACAAATCGATTCAAAAGTATTTGGAGCACGACTGGCATTCATGTTTTTCGTTGACTGAATGAAAGAAAATAATTCCGCTCCCCTTTTAACATAGTGGAATTTTTACAATAACGATAGGATTTTTATTATTAATTGATCATGTTCATTAAATATATAAAAGTCTATTCTTTTTACTCTCTAAAAATGAAATAGTCAAAATTCTACTATTTGAATTAGTACCAGCATTTTTTACTTTTAAATAGTTATTTTTTATCACGTAAATATAGTTAAAGTTTGACTAATTTAAGATTATTCACCTGAGTTCATTCAGTAGATTTTGACTAATTATTAGTGACTGCTTTTTCGCTATGACAATTAGTCAAATATGATTTATAATTAGTTATTTTTGACTAATTCATTTTAAGAGAGTAAATAAGCCTGAAACCCCTATTACGTTGTCATTTTAGTGGGAACACCTTGTATAACCTGATTGTCTCAAGGGGTTTTGTAGAGAGCAATATGTAAATTTGAAAGAAGAATATAATAAAATAAATCAAAGTGTTACAGACCATGGAGGTTTGAATAAAAAACTTTTATTTATGTGTGAAATTGTGAAATTTTTTTTATTAAAACTTAAAAGTATAATTTTTAATACAAAAAAAATATTTTATTATCATTAGCTATTTTTGTATTACAAAACTAATTAAAATCAAAAACTGTTCTATTTCTCAACTTTCTTACATACATAAGCATATTTAATATATTTTTTCTACTCCCACCTTTAAAAAGCCCTTTATCGTACATATTTCCATGACACTAAGTGACCTTTTAAATACACATTTACAAGTTGTGGCTTTATGGCGCTTTAGTCACGGGCTGAAATTAGTTTTAAGTTAGTTGACAGTTGTCAAATGTCATACAATCGTTAAAATAAAGTGCCTTTCTTGTAAAATAATACTAAATGTGAAAATTATTTTATCATCTCAATACAAAAATACAAAAGTATTAAATATTTTCTCAACGCCAATGTTTGAAAAGTTTATATGAACATTGTACTAACCTTTTAATTTCGCCGGCAGTAAACTATAACTTAAATTCGGGCACGGACTCTACTGTAAAGTGTTCATAAAACATTTTCTTTACTTTCACTGTGAAAAACTGTCAGTTAATATTAATTAATTAATATTATAATTGTGTTTATAAAATGTAAAAATGTGACATTTGACAGTTTCCCCTGTTGTTTCATAGATGGCGCTCTATACAAATTTTTGATTTAAATCATTTTAAGATAATAATAATATGTATTTAAAAGATGTCAATTAAAAAAAGTGAGTTTAAAAAATTTTCTCTTAATGCGTTTTTAAAACGTTTTTTCTCGATTTTTTATCTGGGCCAATTTAACTAACAATAAATTAATAAAAAGTTTTAGTTATTAGTAACAATTTTGCTAAAATACTTAAACCAATTGATTTGGCTTAGTAAAGCTTTAAATGGCGTTAAACTCAATTTTTATAAAATATTAAAGTTGATGTACCTATGTTAAATATTTATGTTAAATTCAAACGCCCTTTTTTAGGCTAATCCATTTGATTTTAATTGTACCGGATAACTTTGTGTTCCAGGTGAGTGCGTGGGTAACGCAATTGATAATAACTCAACCTACGCACGATGCCAGAAGGGCAGTGTTGTCATGCGTACTTCGCGTTGCGTTGTGTTGCTGGAACATCGGAAACTTCAACGGCGCTATGGAAATCATTGCCGGTCTCAAGTGAGTATTTTGTTTACCGTTTTCTCCTTAGGGTCATTCCATAGTTTCGGGTGCTACATTTGTTGAACCAAAGTATATGTATTTTGAAATAATATTTTGGCAATTAAAGTGCCTTATTCTCTACGCTTTTAGTTGTTCTATCTAAGTTGTAAAATTAGTACAGTTTAGCATATAGGATAACGATTTAATAAGTCTCTTTCACGATGTCATGACCTTTGTTACATTTATTTGAAATTCAGAGAATTTCTTAGGGAAACATGTCAATTTCTTAGATTCATGATAATTTGCCAATTTTTGTGATTTTTGTCTGGCTCCTGTGCCCATTCTACTAAATCTAGAAAGATATTTTTTTAGGTATCAAGTACTTATACAATAGAAAACGTAACTATTATTTTAAGTTCAAATCATCTTCTTTATTAAAAAAAATTATTGAAACTTGATAATTCTTCAAATTAGTCAATTTTGCCCTCAGTAATCTTTATGTTGAGGAAAAAATAAAAATCTGAAACTTTCAGGAAATGTGGTACCCACCTTCGTCTTTTCAGTCCAGTTAGTCTTGTTTTGTTTATTTTATTCCTTTAAAAGATATATTAATTTTTTTAATGCCCGTTTAGTAGCGATATTGTTAGTTTTATTTTTAATTTAAAATTTAGATGGCTTTCATGTTTGGTAGAAAAGTGTCAGAACTGTCAAAAATATTTCATAAATATTATTTGTGCGTATTTCTTTGGTAAATTTTGTATATAACATAATATGTCATAATATGTTATATAGAAAACGTTTTAAAACCACAAATAATAATTATGAAATATTTTTGACAGTTGATTTATTTGGTAGTTATATACGTATATTTTACGTATTGTACAATCATATGTATATATGTATATGATTATATATTATATACATTATAATGAAGTATTTAATTGGCTAATTGGTGTTTAAAAAAGAAGAATAAAAAAAATATATTCAAGATCCTTATGGTTTATATCGTAAAGTATAATAAGTAAAATTAATAAAGAGTTCATTTAAACGTATAAAAAAAGCGTTAAGCAGTTTTTTGTCGGTTTCTTTCACAATTTAAACCAAGTTAGTCTTGTTCTATTATTTTGATCCCTTTAGTAAGGCACTGAATAGTTTAAAGTTATGTGTATGTATTTTAAATGATAGTGTTGAAACAAAATTTAGTTTTTAGATAACTGGTTAAAATAAAACATGTATGTTATAATAAAGGGGTTTATTTAGAATATTTTTTGGTTTTTGCTTATTTTTAACAATTTAAAACTTCTCAGAACTTGAATATTTTCTATGAGAAAGAGGTACAAAATTATGATATGTTCTTGCATTTTTAATTGCAAACTTGCAAACTTTTTGAAATCAGAATTTAAATACGCACAAATAATATTTATAAAATATTTTTGACAGCTCTGACATTTCTCTACCAAACATGAATTGACTAAGTCAAAGCCATCTAATTTTTAAATTATAAATAAAACTAACAATATCGCTTCTTAACTGCATTAAAAAATTTATTATATCTTTTACATGGATAAAAATAACAAAACTAGACTAACTAGACTAAAAAGATGAAGGTGAGGACTACATTTCCTGAAACTTTCAGATTTTTATTTTTTCCTCAACATAATGATTTCTGAGGGCAAAATTGGCTAATTTTGAAAATTATCAAGTTTCAATATTTTTTTTAATAAAGAAAATGATGAAATCATTTCAATAATTGCCACTGAAAAAAGTTTTAGCCTCTTGTAGGAGATTAAGAAAATGACACGATTTCAGATTTCTAAAGGGTGCCGATTAAAAATAAAGCAACTAAAAATTAAAACAGCAACGGTTTTTCATATATGATACCTAAAAGATCATCCTCATTTTTTTATTAAAATAAAAAATCATGCAGCGCACTAAATTCATTTTTGGTGTTTTCATTTGGATTGACGTAACTTAAAAGTTACGCGTTTCTTCTAGTTTTTTTGTCGCCCATTATAATCTGGAATGTTTTCTTTCAAAATTCATCAGATTTAATGCGAAAAAACATATTTATTTTTTTACCCTCTGTATCGTTTGTCATGGTCAGTGGTCAATAATAATTTTTTACAGCCTAGGCTGTAAAAAATTATTATTAAACATAAACATTTTTAATTGCCTCTTATTTAAAAGATCATGGAAAAAAAAGTTTTCAAACAAAAAAAATTAGTTTATTTTAGTTTATAAAGTACAATGTTAGCTTCATAAACTCCTCTAGGTATTTAGAACTACAGGACTTTAATTTTGCATATTTCTTGTTTCCGCCTAGCAAATAAGCCATTAAATAATAATTTTCGAAGCTTATCGCTTTAAATTTAATGTTTACGTTTTCCAAGTCTGCAAGCCCCTTAAAACAGGGCAAATTTCGGCGAAGAAATCTCTCACGAGCTCTTATTTAAACGTCAGATTTGATAAAACAACATCAAGTAGGTACCTAAGTGTCTAGGCAAAGCCAACTTGCCCTTCTGTTTTCATTACTTCCGCCGGAAACTTGCCCTGTGTGCTGATTGAATTTAAACTTCAAGAAAAATATTATGTTAGGTGCTGTTACAACCCTTATTTTCTTCTTCTACAGATACCAAAGATGATCCAAAATTTAAAATTAAGTTACTTTTATTTTTAACACATTATATAGCGTAAACCACATAGTTTTTTTCTTATAAATATATAAAAAGAATATTTGAATTTTTAATAAAAATTTTATAAAAATATGCAAAAAAGTATAGTAATTGGACATTTTATATAGTAATTGGACACATGGACCATAGTTATTGGACATACAATTTTTATATAAACATAACTTTACATCAAATAACATAAATTGTTAAATATTTTTTAAAGATAAATTGCTGTTTTAGGTTATTTTTTTATTTCGTTTTTGTAAATATCATATAATTCATATATTTCTTTCTCGGATTCCTCATCCCTTTACTGGATTCTGAAGACAACTACTGACTTCTGAAATAGTTTGTTGCAAATATCATTAAGTGTGGTATCTCTAGTTTGTGAAGCATTTATAATGTTTACGCCGGAACAGGATGATTTATAGATATCTAACATTTTTTCGGGTGGTATGTTAAAAGTATTTTCCGAATTTATTAATTTTGTTGCCATTACTTTTTTATGTTCTCTATCATGCACTGTATTTAAATCACTGTTATTCTGCAAGATGTCCTGTGACGAAGAAAACACCATATTACTTACTCTCTAAAAATGAATTTGTCAAATATGTCATAGCGAAAAAGCAGCCACTAATAATTCTCGTCAACAGCAATTTGTATACAGGAGGGGCATTCCACGTTACTCGGTAATTTTTGTCCCGCCCGTCACAATTAAAAATTGTGAGTAAAAACCACAAGTTATTAAATTAATATTTTATAATATTATTTTTATCGTGCTTATAACTTATTAAAAGCATAATAAACAATATTTTAAAATAAATTTTATAAAGTGTAGTTTTTACTCACAATTTTTAATTGTGACGGGCGGGACAAAAATCCCCGAGTAACGTGGAATGACCCAGGACATTTAGCAGTCAATTCCTATGAAATATTATTCGCTGAATCCGAAAATGTCGTCAAAAGTTATAAAAGTTGAACAGTTTTTGAAATATAATCAATTTTACATATAATATGGAATTGACTATACCTTAAAAACTGCTTAACTTTTATAGTTTTTGACGGTCTTTTCGGATTCAGGGGACAATTTTACATAAGAATTGGCTGGTAAATGTCCGGGATACAAATAAAGTATGATATTGGACATCTGTCCAATAACAGAAATTTACATGTTTTACCAACCAGTAATTGGACACTGGCGAGTTTACTGTTTGTTTTCAGAATTAAAATTAAAACGCATTAAAGTGACAATGAGGAACACATTTATACCACACACTGATCTGTACACTTTTTAGAAATATTTTTATGGTATTTTAAACACACAAAACAAAAAACAAAAATCTTACCACCAAAGTAACGTGCGAACTTTTTTGTCATATATTGGACCCAAAATAAAGTAGTTCTATATTATTATCGACTTAGATATTTATAATTGTATACAGCCTCATCTAATGATTTGACTTTAAGGTAACTATTTATAGAACTCTTGTTTTTACAGTATTAATGATATTTGTCCAATTACTATAAAGTGTCTACTTTACCCTATCATATTATTAAATGTTGGGGATACCATGGTATCCATGGTTAACCATGGTATAAGTGAAAAAGCAGTCACTAATAACTGTAGTAATTAGTCATTTTTGACTAATTCATTTTTAGAGAGTGTATAGTATGTTTCTTTAAATTCTTTTTAAAAAGAATCGGAAAAGGCTTTTTCTAATACGAAATCAATAGCTGACGCGAATTTAAAAGGATGTGTTTCTCTCGAAGAGAAGTTCGCTAACTTTCTTTCCTGCATTTAAGAAATATTAAAACATTTGATATATTTATCGAAAAAATTACTTTTCTTAGATTTCTTAAAAACATATTTTTTTTGATGAACACCCTGTGTTATATTAGGAACATATGCAATATTAGGTAGGTAAGTATATACCATATTAAGATAATTTTCTTAAATATGATTGAACCACTTAAAAAAGAGCTTTAAAAGAGCCTTAGGACGTTGACGTAACCTACTTATATACCTAATGAGGATCTACAAGAACTTTTCGGCTATTGGAGTAGGGGTTTCTTTCGGCCTCCAGCAGATTTAAGGCTGTAGGCCGGCGGAAACTACTTGCTTTAGTAGTCGCCCCTTCAATCATCAATCCCATACCTATAGGTATACAGAACGACAATGAAAAAAACGGATAAGAGTGTGAAAAAAGAAGACGCAACAAATTGAGATTGCAAAACGAGTTCGGATTATTATTAGGGTTGGCACTTGTCTCACACTTCTATACCAGTGGCGGCCCATGACATTTGGCAGAGACAGAGAAATTTTTTTAAACCCAACTTAAAAAAACTGACGTCGCAGTTCACAACCTATACTTAAAACTAAGTAAAAAATATCTCACCGTAATATCTATAACGACTAAATTCACATAAATCAGCAAGTTCAATTAACTAAACCCACAGAATAAACCACTTACAAAAGAATCATAAAATAGACAAACTCACAGAAAAAGAATAAACAAAATATTGCGTAAATAACCACAGATTTGTTCTTTGAACAGTTCAGAATTTTATAACCAAAACAAACCTAAAGAAGGAATCTGTATTTATTTTATTGGTTACTGTGATGGCTACAAGATGGCGATAGTGTTAAAATATGTTTATTTTAGAATAGAAATATATAAAAATCTATAATATATTATGACGTTTCAGTTTGTTTGACACTTATTGACATGGAAACTAAGTAACTTTAGCAAACTTTTAACATTTAACTCGAATGCAGCCAAAACATATTTATTGACTTTTTTCACCACCGTGCGAAAATTTCTTCTATCTCGCGCATAAAATTAGGAATATCGGGTGAGAAATTCGCGTAGGGCTGGAAACTTTATTAAGCCATATTTTCGGCTAATTGCATTCAAAAGTTGGGCGGTATAAATCTTCTAAGCCCCGACTTATGTAACGTTTAAAAGTGAATTAATATCTAGCTATGACAGAACCATAAAACATACCTTCGTCGTTCCTTTTGAGTTTGTTTTGTTGAAAGTTTAACTATGGTTTCACGTAAAAATCGAAAAAATTTTGGACATTTGTTTGCAAGGGATGCCAGAATTGAATATATTTTTTAACCTTGTTCTTGTTCTACATCTAAATGGTGCATTTTTTTCAAGAAAGAAAAAATTTCATCCATTGACCGCTGTGGTTTTCAGGCCTTAAGTCACTCTATTGTGATAAAAATAGTTAAATGTCGATATTTTGTAATAACATTTTTATTTAAAAACCTATCAATTTGAAATTAAGTTAAAATGTAGACCTTATTAATGGCAATAAATCCACGTATTATTTTTTTTAGATTTTAATATACAGGGGGCGCTGGGGACAATTTAGTTTAAAATTTTACCATTTTTTAAGGGTTTAAAAGTCGAAGAAGCAACGTTGTTTTATAATTTTGAGTATATCTCGTTAAAGTACTGATAATTAACTATTATTTGATATATAAACTTCTACATGCAAATTATGTTTCTACGAGAGTCATCATTTTTAAGTTAGGCCTAGTTTTATAAGATAATGTATTATATATTACATATTTAACATTATATATTACATATAATATATTATATATAAAATACAATTCTTACATATTTATTTAAAAAAATTGCCATAGATGGAGCTATAAATTTTAAATTTTTTCAAGTTTACTAATTTTGATCATGGACTTTTCTCTATGGTAACCTACCATTGGAAGCATGAAAGAGAATTTGACAGTTCAGTTTATAAGTTGCAAATGACTGATTGCGTTTCAATTTATAAGTGTACCTACTATAAACTCAAAACATTAGTTTATTAAAATGAATAAACTAAATAATAATTATAGACAGTGTCAGCAAGTTAGAAATTATAATCTACTTTAATTTTATTTTTTGCTCCACAACCAAGCTTCAATTTATTTTTTACTCGATAAGCAAGCTTCAATTTTAATTCCAAACTAAGGAAAGTAATATTTACCCAATAAATAAATTAGAATAAAGACTTTATTTTTTATGTTGCATTCGGCTTTTTATATGTTTTTTATTCAGTTGTTTTTCGATTTTTTGTAATTAGTTATTTTGCATTATTTAATATTTGTTCAAAATAATTTAGGAAAAAAGTCTAAAGATTTTTTTTTTCGAAAAAAGTACTGCATTTAGATGTACAAATAAGGTAAAAAAGTTTCAATCGATTTCTTGAACCCTTGCAAATCGACCGTTCGATCCTTTCGCGAAACCGTAGTTAATTATTTTTTTTTTAAATTTATTTATTTACCCAAAAAGAACAAAGGTCCATAACAAGTATAATACAGTATAAAAAAATGTAGTAATTATAACAAATTTATGAAATACATTATTTTCTCAATACTCTGTAGTGTTTCTCTCTTCAAATATTAGGTTTTTCACAGCCCACTGAAAAGCGTTGATATTAGGTAGATTCTTTATTTCATTTGGTAATTCATTGAAAAGTTGCGCTGCATTTCTAGTTATACTTTTCCTACCAGTATTACATGTATTAGGAAGTATAAATATGTCATATCGATTTATTGTAGGATAGTTATGTACTCACAAATTTTTTTCAGGTTTACATTGTTTTATTTTGTAGATAAGTTTAACACTGACAAGTTTTATCATCTCATTTATTGTTACTAATTTAAGTTCATTATTATTTTTCTTCTCTTTATCTTTCAGATCAAACAAACTCAAGCCGTTCTGGCTGTCAATCACGGAGAAGGAGACGTTGCCGGTGCTGGACTTCCTTTCGGCGGCGTTGCTAAGCGCCGAGTACGACCGAGCGCTGACCCGAGCTCTCGCGATGCCCGAATGCCCAGTAGTACCCTTCTTCGGGGCATTCCTGAGGGAACTACAGGTAGGGTTGGGACAGTTGAAATTTTCAAATGAAAATTTCAACTTTGCAAGTTTCAAACTTGAAATATTTCATTTAGTTGGAAAAGTGAAATTTTTAAAAATTTCAAATGAAATTTTCAATCCGAAAAATTCAACATTGCCTGTGAAAGTTTCAGAAATTTCATTGAAAGTTTCGCAATTTACTGAAAATTTCGTATAAATTTCACATGCGGCCTCCCCTGGGACCTTTAATAATAATTTACAACAGATTCCGAATCGACCAATAAGAACGAGTTATCAAGCCTCTGGGCGTTTTTGTTTAGTTCGGCTTGGATTTGATTACACTATAAGTAATTATTGTTACTTATATGCATAAATTAATTTAAATTTAGTTACCAATTTAATTTGTAAATTAAATCAGACGTTAAATTTGTTTTAAAAGTCATGATTAATTTAAACTTTTACTTTTGCTATAATTCCATCGGAAAACGGATAAAAAATGCCTTTGGCTCATAAAATTTTGATGAAGTTTCGCCAATTTTCGTAAAATTTCAGTAAAATATTTAAAAATAATAAATATATATAAATATAAAACAATGAAAGTGGCACAATCTCATTAGCTTACCAAAAAGTGCTATATCTCTTTTAGTTTTAGTAATTTTAAAAATATTTTAAAAGGAAATCTCAAGAAATTTGTGGTAAACATAGGTATTTACTATTTATATTATTGGTGCAGGGGCCCACAGAGGGGTAGGAGGTAAGAGAGGCAATTTGCCATGGTCCCCGAGTGGGCTTATTTCAATATTAATATATTACACTTAAAGTGATTGAAATTTATTGAAAGTTTCAATAAATTTCATAAATTTCAGAAATTTAGGAAATTTTAATAAATTTCATAAATGTCATGAAAATTTCAAGTGAAATTTCAAGTACAAGCAAAAAGTGAAATTTTCCCAACTCTAACTACAGGACATCCTGGCTCCCGAGGGAACGGCAGGAATATACGGCGAAGCGTTCACGTTGGACGCGTGCACGACGGCAACACCGCTTTTCGCGCCCAAGCAGCCCAACGCCCAGACCGGAGCCCGGCCGAAAGAGCCCAGATGGCACCGGGAGCAACACATGCAAGCTAGACAAGTGGTAAGTGAGTTTTTTAATTTTTGAAAATTTGGCATTTAAGGCTTTTCAGGTTATGTATCTGTCAAAGTATAGTCAACGAAAGACATAATATTTATAGTGTTACCGCTTATGTTTTAGCGTTAAAAGTTAATAAATCTTTATAGTATCACAATAACAATGGTTGGTTTAAGAATTTAGCAATATAAATACTGCATTTAATGAAATTCCAAAGTGTAAGGTGCAATATAAGTGATATTTTTTTGCAATGGGTCTACATTTCTCCATAAAATAGTTTTAACTAAACAGCATTTATTAAAAAAATCTAACTTCTCTATTATGAAATAAGAATATCTGTATCAAAGGTAGGTTAATGTATAAGAACAAAAAATATCATCTAATTTTGTATTTTAAGGTTAGAAAAGTCTATTTTGACCAAAATAAATAAGTGGATTATTTGAAAGAGTGTGTTAATATGGTCATAAATAAATATAGGTATACTAAATAATTGTTGAATATAGTTCAAATTAAATTTAAGCTTTTATAAAATTTGAGGTGTCTTCTTATTTTAAAAAATGGATATGTCCCCGACTGATGTTGCCAGAGCCATTAATTTAATCCAGGATGGACGGTCACAGTATTACGTGGCAAGTGTTTTAAACGTCACAAGAAGTAAAGTACAAAGGGCAACATCAGTCGGAGATATTTTTAAAAGTAAGAAGTCACCTCAAAATTAACACATTAATTTACAAAAAACAATTTGATATGACATGTCCAAGTAAGGGATGATTCAACAAAACTGTCACTGTCATCCTCCATAGGCTATGGATGGACCATAGCAACCTTAGTTCTTTATACAGGAAAAATATTAAAAATTGCAATGTTTTTTTAAAAAAATCCATATTTTCCACAAAAATAAATATATCAAGATGAACCAAAAACAAAACTGTTAAAAATAGATGTGACTTAATAATTAAAACTTAATTTAGAACTATATACGGTTTTGCCACTCTACAGAGTGTCTTAAACTTATGGTAAATAACATCTTTTTGTTTAAACCTGTATATTATAAACGTAGGTCTATTTTTTTAGTAATTTTTAAAATGTGAGCGATTCTCCATGAAAGTTATTTGCGATTGAAATTCATCGAAAATTTGTGTGGATCGATTATTTTGCCAGTGAGTGTAGTTAAAAAGAAGCTTTAACAACACTCAATAGTAAATAAATAAAGGTTTTTTTTACAAAAAACTTATTTATAAACCACCAAGTGTTTTCGTTATGCCTTGTTTAGGCTGTCAGAAATCTGAAGCCTAAGCTAAAGCTGAAGTTTTTTCGAACCGTGACCCTTTTTGTTAAAAATATCAATACGACTATTCTCTAGGGACATCCTTCCCTTTTATTTAGTGAATCGGAAGGTATTTAAGTGAAAAGTAAAGGAAGAGTGGAATAGGATTAAAACAAAATCCTGGTTATAAAAGGATTATTAACAAGAAAAAATATATTTTCAATGTGATTAAGCATTTTTATATTATTACTATTGTGAAATGGTTTTGTCTTGGTTTTAAATGTAGGTAGTGTTTTTTTGAGGTATTTTTTTGTTTCAGTTTATTTCAGACTACAATCAAGAAGGACACCATTTCACCAAAATTGGTCCTGGGAAACTAATGAACGTAGACAAAATATATCGTACTCAAGCTGTAATGGACCATATCTCGCAGTGTCATCAACATTACCACACGCGAAATCGATTGTTACCCGAGTCTTCTCTTCTTGAATACCTTAGGTGAGTTGACAACTTGCTTTAGCTCATCATTTTACGAGGTGTGTTCAGAAAATTACGGGAATTTTCGTTTTTTGAAGCAAATATTTATTTATTCGTCTACATTAATGTCGCCTTCAAAATAGTCCCCATTGGATATTATGCTCATGTGCCAGCTCTTCTTCCAATACTCGAAACACTTCTAAAACTCGATCTTTGGGATAGCCTTTAGTTCTTTCAGCGATGCGCTTTTAATGTCATCTATGCTTGCAAAACGACGGCCCTTTAAGGTTCTCTTTATTTTTGGGAATAGGAAAAAGTCAGACAGAGGCATGTCTGGCGAATATGGAGGCTGGGGCAACATTACAGTATTGTTTTTGGCCAAAAATTCTGTTTAAAATTTAACAATTTTAGAATTTTGCTGCCACGCGTTTCATACCCAAAACATAAGAAAAAATTTCATGGGAGGAGCCAATCGATATACCAACATCAACATCGACTTCTCTGATGGTTTATAACCATTTCTTCCACTTTTTCCATGTTTTTATCGGTTGTTAATGTGCTTGTGCGTTCGGGGCGTTCGTCATCTTCAACGTCTTCAAGGCCATCTTGGAAACTCTTATACCACTTGTAAACTCTTGTTTTACTTATAGACCTTTGTTAACATTTCACAGAATTTATTTCATTTTTTAAGCAAAATTGGATACAAATTCTTTGATCTATTTCTTTCGAACGAACGAATATCGCGGAGCTCATAAAACACGTCTAACCTTAGCGGCTACCACAGACAAAGTAAACAATGAAAACAGCTAAAGTTTTTACCATACTTCGGGGGCATGTATACCAACATAATAAAGAAAATTGTATGACGACCGGACCCTCCGAACCCGCGAAATTTAACAATTCCCGTTATTTTCTGAACACACCTCGTATATTGGGTCGGAATTGATAATTTAATACCATCATGAAAGCAACCGCCGTTTCTTTACATAATTTGTAGCGAAACACTGTTAGACTCAATTATTTTTTGTTTAATGCAACTAAATTTGAGATAAGGCTTTAATTTTAAATAATAATAGTAGTACTTTTCTAAAAAATGAGTTTTACTGAATTTCAGATCTTCCACTGGAAACGAGCAGCGAGTTTTTTCCGCTTCGTCCCCAGAAAAAGTGGAACTGGAATCGGAATACGAAATGGACATGGAGGACTTCCATCCCATTCAGAACATGGTATACGACCATGGAGTCAGTTTCGTCTGCATGTCATCTTCTCATACCAAAATCGACCAACACGTCATGCAGGTAAGATATATGTTTCCATTTATTAAATCAAAGTATACCTGATAGCAAAATTTGATTCTAAGAATCTTCTAAGAAGATATGACCCGGAATAATGGAATATTCTTAGAACCTTCCCTTATTGCTAAGAATGTTCTTAGGGACTTTTAAAACATTCAATAGATACCCTTTTAATGATGCAATTGGATTCCTAAAAGCTTCTTAAAACCTTCCTAAAAAGCATTCTAAGAACATTTTAAGAATACGTTTTTGGAATGTTCTTAGAAGGTTTCTTATGGAGCTTCTAGGAAGCTTTTGAGAATATTTCCAAATATGTCAGATACCCACGTTCTAATATGTTGGATTCTACATTCGTAAAATTCTTCAGGAGGCGATAATAATATATATTTATTTAAAAATATTAAATAAACAATTTGACCTCCAAACCATAAGTTGTATGACATTATTTCATAAAAAGTAAAATTGGAAAATTTTGTGGGATAAGTCAGATTAGATTGAAGTTGAAGATAGGATTATTATACATAAAAATGTTAATTCAGATACAAAAAATTGGTATACAAATTAATAAATATTTATTTTTAACATAAAATAAAATATAACAATACAAAATATTTCCTTATAAAATAATTCTTCATAAAAGAAAAAACCAAATAGTTCTTCATAAAAAAACATTTTTCATTGTATTTAAGTTCGATAGAAGATTTTTGTTATCGAATATTGTTTTAATTTGACAAATAACTATAAAAAAATATTTTGGGTTGTGTTTTTTACTTAGTATTTAATACTAAGTATAGGTACCTTTATATGTAGATGGTATATTTTACTATTATATAGGTACCTAACTGAACTGAATATTCTTAACAGAATGTTCCAGGAATATTCCTAAATGAACTTTCTATAGCAATTACTTTCTCAACATTCTAAGCATATGTTTAGAGTGGATTAATTTTTACCACTAAACTTTGCACCTTCTAAGAACCTGCCTATAGGCCAGTGAGTATATTCTTAGGATTATGCTATATTTCTTTTAAGCATGTTCTTTAGAAGAAATATAGCGTGATCCTAAGAATATTCTCACTGGAAGGTTTGAAAAACATTCTTAGAACATGACTAGAAGAAATATAGCATGATCCTAAGAATATTCCCACTGGAAGGTTTAAAATCATTCTTAGAATAAACTGTGCTATCAGGGATGTCGATATTTTCCATAGGATAAAAAACAAATCCCTTGGACGTGATAATTTGTGACAATTTTATTTTATAAATCGATCTATAAATATAGTAATGGATAAAATGGGGAAGTGAAAGGGGGCTGTATTAGCACACTTATCGACATGCAGAACCAATGTCACGACGGAACGTTGACCCACTGAAATTTTCGCCACCAGAAGAAATGACCTTGACCTACTTTCCTACCCTAAGCAGTCCTTTTTAATTGAGTCTGAGTGCAGAAGTCAAGTCGCCCGAAGGGTCCGCAATATTTTGCATAACATCCAGTGTGCTGGGCAGAATTAATTAATTATTTGCGTCTGTTCGGTGTTACAGATATTTTGTGAATAACGCGGTTATATCTTATGGAAGCCATAATCTGAACTTTATAGCCTCCATGTTTATAACTTTTATTTCAAAACAACTTGGTGATGTATTATATTAATTTATTCCAAACTTTCATGGATTTTAACGATGGCAATTTATGTGGATATTTTTTAAAAAAAATTGAGGTCAACATTTTTTTTACTTTATAATTATTTAGTTTGAAGTCGATAATATTGGTCGTTTCGTAATTATTATTTTTTTAATGAAAATGACAGTTTCTAGTAATTCGTGGTTCATCGCAAAAAATTGGTATTTTATATAGGGTCATGAAACTGGGGTGACCTTTATAAAGTGTAATTTAGAACTTTTTGAAATATTTAATATATTTTTGTCAGTAGATTTAGCAACAAGTTGTATTGATTTTTAAAAAATACCGGTAAGTTTTCTTTAGTTACATTTTATAGTTTTTTTTTAAATAAATCATGTTCAAGAAGTTATTCTCTCAATAATTGAAACGCCTTTTTTTTAAAGAATTGAAACTGAAAAAAGACAGATATAATACAGTGGTCCCATAAAGCCTGGATAAAATTTGTATTATATAAAATTTTCACTGGATAAAATTTTCATTATATAAAATTTCCACTGGATAAATTTTTCACTAGATAAAATTCCCACTGGATAAAATTTCCATTGGATAAAATTTTCACTGGATAAAATTTCCATTGGATAAAATTTCCATTGGATAAAATTTTACTGGATATAATTTTCATTGGATAAAACATTTGCATTAGATATGTAGTTAAATATATCAAAAATTTGGTGTGTGAAAGTTGTCATATTATCAACTTCAAACCAAAAAAAATGAAGTAAAACTAAAAAATTGTTTAAAAATAACTTTTTCCTGGTCGATTTGAGATGGAAAGGCCATTAGGGCAAAATTAATAATATTTTAATTTGGGCATAGTAAGCGCTGTACGCTACAAAATTCAATTCAAAACTTTAAGTTACTCCATTTATCTTACTTCCGCCTACTAGGCTAATTCAAACTCTTCGGTATCCATTTATAGTTGTAAGATAAATAAAGCAAAACGCGACTTCGCTGCCTTTTTGAAACATGGAATGTTGAACCCCAAGGAAACTTGTTCAGGGGAAGTCTAATTGCTCGCGCTTATTTCCCTTGGATATCAAAATTTTGCAATTATTTACTCTGCGAAAACTGTTTACAACCGAGAGTTTATATAAACTTAAGGCACAAAGGAATTCAGTATAATTGAAATATTCTCAAGTGAAAAACTTTACAAAAAAACTTTTTTTGTTTGTTCTGATTTTACTACTAGTGACGAATTACTGATTACTTTTCTTTAAGTCAAAAAATGACAAATGACAGCTGTGATACGTTACAAAATTAATTAATAGGTACCAAATTTCTTTATAATTTGATGATTTTAGAATGGTGCGTTATTTGTATGTCTTAAGTTAGGACTTCCAACCTCATTGTTTGGAATTCTATATTAAAACCAATTTTGATTTTGGTTAACTCACCTAGTATTGCATAATTATTCAATATCAAGTAAATACAATTCTCATTGGATAAAATTCCCACCGAATACCATTTCCACCGGAGAAAATTACCACTGGTTAAAATTTCCACTGGAGAAAAATTCCACTGGGTAAATTTTCCATTGGAGAAAATTTTCACTGGAGAAAATTTCCAATTTTGATTAACTGGCTGAACCAACTTGCCTCCTTTATTACAAATTAATACTTGGGTTCAAACGAGTATCAAGTAGATAAACAATGTGGGTCAACAAGCCGAAAGGTCTTGTTATTGCCTCGTACAAAGTTCATCAGTGACCCAAAAGTTGCGCAAGTATCGATTAAAGCGACTCTCGCGTACCTTCAAGACGCGTATCTTGGGATTAACTTACATCAGATTCCGTTTATTTCGCTTCCTAAAGCTAGGTGTACAGTTTCCTCGACTTTTTATTGCCGGTGCTCGTTGGCACGTATCCAGTAAAAGCTGGGACAATCCTAATTCCTAAATGTCTTTATTTTAATTACACCAGAAATTTGCAACAATTTTTAATGTTTATTTCATTCATTACACATCCAAGAACATCTTGTTTTTCAATCTATCCCAATGTGCTTGTCCGCCTATCCATCAGATAAAAGCTCAGGCGAAAAAACGTCGGTAATTATGTTAGGATTTCGTTTAGAACAACCGCTGGCTAAATAAAACTCAGCCGAAATAAGACCAATTAAAAGAAAATTTAAACTAATTTCGTGAAAGGAATTAATGGTTTAAAACTAATTTAACAAATTTGATTTAACACCTTGTATCTTATAACAGCTAATTTCTATAAATGAAATGTCGGGGAAAAATTTCTTGTTTTATTCCTGCTTACGTAACGAAAAACACATTTGCTAGAATTGTGTTCTTTAAAAGGTTTTGTCACATTCATTATTATTTAATGAAATGACCAATGCCCATACGTTTATGAAACTTTGTTATGAACAACGTTAAATCATAGAAGATAAAAATCGAAAAGAGAATTCCAGTTTGATTTTTTTTACGTATAGATTATACTTAAAGGAAAAAAATAAGCTGCTGTTTTTAAAAATCCATGGATAAATGGCGAAGTTGTGAATTTTTCAGTGGAAGAGCAAAATTCAGTTTTTCGAGAATTTTTACGTTTTTTCTTTATTTTATTGAATTATATAACATTCAATATTGAACATTGATTTTTATTTCAAAGATTAAATATTAAAATTAATTTATATATTGAATATTAAATAATAAATATTGAACATTGAAGAAATTGAGTGTTTTATTTTGTTGTAATAAGCATAGGTTTAAAAAAATCCTGGCTCCTTTGTTTTATGTTGATTTCGTATTACGTTTCTCGTATAAGGGACCAAATGTAATCACCCATCATGGCTGCATCCCAGAAGCCGTGATACCGCCGCTCCATAGCCTTCATTTGCTGGTGAAAACGTTCTCCGTGCTCATCACTTACGTCGCCCAGATTGTGCGGGTTATTTACGCACTCGAACTGTCTACTTCTTTTACTCATTTTACACTTTTTATTTACTAAAGAAAACCTTGTTGAAAAATCAAAAAATATCAGTAAAATGTCTATTCCAACACGAAAAACAAAAGAATTCACGTTTGCGGAGTCATGTCAAATTTGAATTTTGAACAATGTGAAAAAAGTACGTAAAAAACTCAAATAAATCCAATCATGAACTTTATTTAGGTTTTCATTAAAGAATAAACATATTACAAAACATTAGCTTGTTTTTTTTTGTAAAAATGCTTCACAAAAAAAATTCAAACTGGAGTTAACTGTTTGATTTAAACCTTTCCCATGACGATATGTAAATTTTCGACCTCATTTTTTTCCATAAAAACGAATTTTTTAAGTTTATAAAATTGTAGGATCATCTTTGTTTTATTTATGGATAGTACTTTTCTTACTTTATAAGATACTTCCACAGGTAACAAAATGTCAATTTTAGAGTCTTCGCTAATCTAATTGGTTAAAAAGTTAATAAAGATCAAAGTTAAACTCAAAGTTTTATTAAATTGAGCACGAAATTTCACGTGGAACATAAATTTACCATTACAAAAGTCGTAAAGGAATATTTTTTTTTTTAATGCAAACAACCCTTTACTTAAATAATATGATAATAATTGTTTTTTTAATTTCATTTTTATTAAGAAAATATGCTGCTGCCTGAAATTTAAATTTTTGATAAGTTGATATGCCAATAAAATTTATAAAAATATTTTGAACTGTACGGAACGTATAAACAAACTATAAAAAACAAATTTATGTTTATTTACAATAAAAATAACACTATAATAGTTTTACAAACTTTTTTTCCTAACATTAAGTACCCACTACAGCTTAGTTTAACTAATTTTGGGCCGCTGATTTCAAAAATGCCATAAGTTTTTCTTTATGACGTCTAGGATTTAAAATAATTTCGTAATAAAATGCTCTCTGCTCAATCACCTCAAAATGTAAGATTTTTGTTGGTATTTTAAAAATTTATTAAATTATTTTGGCTTAAATTTATCTTAAATGTACTAAAGTAATTGATATACGGCAAAAAGATCATATTTATCTTAACAATATGACATTTTAAATACTAAAACTAAAATTTTAATGTATTTTTTGTAAAAAAACAACCAATATTTGACATTTTTGTCGTTTATTTTAATTATTAAATTGAAAGGGCAACAAAGTAAACAAGTTTCAGTATTTTTTATCCTCAAACTTTAATGCATTGCATAATTTTGCTTTTTCCTACCTTAATTTATTAAATCGTATCAAATATCAAATTGGATTATAGTATTATTGTGCTTAATCCTTATCATCGTCGTACATCTTGTGCTGCAAATTCCAGCAAATGTCTCATAGCAATAAATCCAACTTCTTTCCGCTATACCCAATGCTCTAGATTTGCAGCTACTTGGTGAAATCGTTTTCCATGTTCATCAGTTCAGCAAATTTATCAGGATAAAAAAAATAAAATGTATATTAAATGACTTATTAACGCTAATTCTTTGCAAAACGATGAATTGGCGCCAATTTTAGGCATGATGTAAATAAAAACATCAAATAATAGTCGAAGAAGAAATGTTTATACCTTTGTTGCCTTTTCAATTTATGTAGTAATTAGAAAAACGACACAAAAAAATTTCAAAAAATGATATTTTTTACCAAAAAAAATTATAATTTTAGTTTTGGTATTCAATAAAGCACTTCTTTGCAGAAAAGTGCTTTATTAAATATCCCTTATAAAATACTACTATACAATGGAACAAACAAAATTTCTATTTGACATTTATCTCCCGATGACTTTGTATGGAGTCCCTGTATATTTTTGACAAAAAACTTCAAAAATATACTGAACATCCAAATAAATTGTTAGTTATATTATTATATTTGTTATAAAATGTTAGTAAATCGAACTATCATAGTGTTATTTGGTTTTTGAATTATTTAATTCTATTTTCACAAATATTTTATACAATTAAGGAAACTTTGTCACCACACAGAAAAAACGCTAGCTTAGCATGAATGGATGAGCCGTTAAACCCACAGACCACCAAAACAATTTTGTTTTGGTGGTCTGTGGTTAAACCAATGGGATCTTGTAATCCGTATTCCTGAATAACAGTTCCTATAATACCAATAGGTGGTTAGCACTTGGTTTATAATCGTTTACTGTTTTTAAATTAACAACAAAAGTTATCGCTCCTAAATCTATTGATATTCATATTGATATTTATTTGTTAGAATGGTAGAATGTTATTGCATTAAATACTAATTTGATTTATTTAATAACGTTACTATTGTATGTATACTATGTATACATTTAACGCAATAAATTCTTTGACATTTAGGCAAAATATTTCCCTATTTTGGTTTAATGGTAATTAATTGAGCAAATAACAATTTAGATTGCTTCAATTTTAATGCATTCAATGACAGCGCTGTTATTAGTACTATGTTAGATTTTTTCTGTGCAGGCTAATTAATTTGATAACCATATCCAATGTTTGAACGTTTTGTTACCAACTTTTATGAAACTAAAAACATGCGGCGTACATAAAACTCCGGTATCTGCTGACGACGATATCTTTTAGATCCTCCAACACGGCAGCACGGTGGTCCTTTGGGAAGGCGTGGACGGTTCCTCGAACTCTTTAGGCCCACGCGGCGTCCTGCAATACTTGCGCCTCGACCGGTCCCTGACGACCTTGACGTGGGTGAGGCCCAGCTGGAGCGGCCTGCGGGCGGGGAACGCCAGCGACAGCTGCGAACCCGTCCTCTCCGACTTCAACCTCAACTTCAACCCCGAAGACACCCTGGCCCCCGGGCTGCTGACCAAGCTGGCGCTGCAGTCCAACGGAGAGCAGTCTACGAGTTCCACCTTGGACGATGGGTAAGTGCAAACACCAAAACGGTGTTTATCTAAAAATATTTGAGAAGTGCACCTACACAGAAAAAAAAAGAATAGTACATTTAACTATATTAATTAATTTAGTTGACCCATAAGTATTTATTTAAATCAACTGTGGGAAGGTTAATATAAACAAAGATTAGTTTGACGGTACTAAACCAGATAGTTATTATTATTTTTTTAAATTGGTTAAATTAACCCAGAAAACTTTAGTGAAACCAACCCGCTGTATGGTTCAGTTTACTAAATATGTTGTTTGTAAAATAAGAGTTACTTCAACCTAAAGCACTCTGTTAAAACGATTAAAACAATTTGCCGTGCATTCCTGGTTGCATAGTGTGTACCGATCGCGGCAAAGGCGGTGTGGATCACGCGATGTTCTTAAATCTCGCCTCTGTTGACTTACATGAAGAGTATATAAGCTCAGGTAGTCCTTTGCTTTTGTGTGACACTACAAGTTGTTCGATACTAAAGAGACCTTAAATAGGTGGAAACAGCTGTCAATATTTGAAGAATTTTAAGTTGGTGGAACGCACTAAAAATATTATCTTTAGCGAGTTGAAGGTTCAATTTTCTGGAATAATACCACTGGTAATATACTTGTAATGCGTCAAGGAACTTCCTGTTTCATTTTTCTTTGTGGCATGATTTAATTTGACCAAAAACACATAATATTTAACACTGAAAAGGAGTTCAATTTACACAAGGTAAAATTTATTTTAATACTGTGGAAAGTTAAATTTACACCATTTTAGTATTTGAATTTACACTGGACCAACGAACCATATTTAACACAATTTTGGTTTGTATCGATATAGATCATGTATGGTGTTAATTTGGTGTTACAATGGTCATGAAATTTTGAACAGTGTGTAGCTTTTTAAATAAAACAAATACTCATAAAAGTAGGTACACATAGAAATAATGTAAAACTGATTTTTATTTTTTAAATTTGCAAAAGTTGTAAATATGGCGAATGATCCGGGGTGTCTCCCGATAAAAGTTGTAAAAATGGTGGATGCGCTGGGATATTTTAGTTTGTTGCAAATATCATTAAGTGTGGTACCTCTATAATGTTTAGGCCGGAACAGGATGATTTATATATATGTTATTCTGCAAGATGTCCTGTGACGAAGAAATCACTATATTACTTACTCTCTAAAAATGAATTAGTCAAAAATGTCATAGCGAAAAAGCAGCCACTAATAATTCTCGTCAACAGCAATTTGTATCCAGGACATTTAGCAGTCAATTCCTATAAAATATTATTCGCTGAATCCGAAAATGTCGTCAAAAGTTATAAAAGTAGAACAGTTTTTGAAATATAATCAATTTTACATATAATATGGAATTGACTATATCTCAAAAACTGCTTAACTTTTATAGTTTTTAACGGTCTTTTCGGATTCAGGGGATAATTTTACATAAGAATTGGCTGGTAAATGTCCGGGATACAAATAGAGTATGATATTGGACATACGTCCAATAATAGAAATTTACATTTTTTTACCAACCAGTAATTGGCCACTGGCCATTTTACTGTTTGTTTTCAGAATTAAAATTAAAACTTATTAAAGTGGCAATGTTAAAACCATGAGGAACACATTTATACCACACACTGATCTGTACACTTTTTAGAAATATTTTGTATAGTAATTTAAACACAATTTAAAAACAAAAATCTTAGCACCAAAGTAACGTGCGATTTTGTCTTATATTGGACCCAAAATAAAGTAGTTCTACATTATTACCGACTGAGATAGTTATAATTGTATACAGCGTCATCTAATGATTTGACTTTAAGATAACTATTTATTGAACTCTTGTTTTTACAGTATTAATGTTAATTGTTCAATAACTATAAAGTGTCCGATAACTGTCAAATTTACTACTAAGTCAACTTTAAAGTATTTTTTACGATTAACCAAAACGATTTTATAAAGGTATGGATACGAAAAATTACCAAATTTGGGGAATGTTTTATTTCGTTTATTCTACTAACGTAATAAAAACAATATAAAAACCACAAATTTACGTAAAAATAACGCTATAATTACTAACTATTTGCTCTCTCTTTCTAAAACATTGACATTCGTCATTTCTTTGTTCTTTCAATTTATATTTTACAAAAAGGAAATAAAGGCCACCCTAGAGTAAAATTAAAAAATATAACTTAAATTGTCAAAACCAATAATATTTTGCATTAAAACTAAAACGCACAATATTTTATTGATAAAAATAGGCACGATACATCTTAAAAATTATATGCCCTCTAAATATTTTACGGTTTTAAGAAAAATTATTGCTTGGGTAAAAATTCAACAAAACTTAAAACCTACAAAATTTTATAAAATCTTTTAAAAATCATTTAGTTATATCATTTTTAAGTAACTAAAACTTTTCTTTTTATATTTTAGAAAAATATTTATGAAAAAATATTATATAAATGTTTAGATAAGTAATGAATGCCATATTAAAATACTCATTACGGCGACCTGAAAAAAAATATTTTTCACTTTAAGCTTATTTTTTCTTTTTTAGTCAATATTAATAGTATTTATTACCACTTATAGCACTAAAAAATACCAGGGGAATAGGAATTATTTACTCATGAGTTACATTTACCATTAAGTAAAAATTCCGACGTTAAAATTACCGTTAAATTTTCCTTTAGGTGAAATACACTTATAAGTAATTCTCTTTCGTAAAAATTACGTCCCTCATAATACTTTAAAGTGTTGAAACTTAAGGGTTATTAAAATAGGTAAAAATAACATAAACAAAACTTGTTAAATAACTTTAAAAACAGTTTTACTTCAAAGTAAATTTTTAAGATCATTTTAACAAAATATTTGCTTAAATTAAGTAATATTGCCTCAAAGCTCTACGCTTTTACTTTTTAATGCTGCTTGGTTAAATATCCCCGTACATCCACCCTTTTTACAACTTTTATCGAGAGAAGTCCCGGAGCATTCGCCATATTTGCAAATTTTGTATCTTGGAAAATAATTAAATAATCAGCAACATTATTTGATTGATTATTTCCCTCATTATAATATGAAACAATCAAAAGCCTTGAATTTTCGAATGAATTTCGTTTAAATAAGCGATTAAATCACTAGAACTAATTAACAGCGATAAAATTTTAGCCTCCATATTGAATTTTTGTTTACGATTTTATGGTGTTATTTACAAGTTTTAACAAACATTTTTTAAAAAACAATAAAAAATAAGTTATCTAGTTTACGAAATATCAATTATTACTTATTACATACCTTAAATTAATGGATTTTTTTTTTTAATATTTATAAATTTTGACACATACGTCAGATTTTATGAATTATCAAATAGTTTCCTTTAATTCGAGAAATAATCTAGACGTACATCACTCAACCTATAAATTTAATCTGTCAAACTATGCTCAGTAAGTTTTTTATTTGATTTTTCTTTTTGGAAAATAGTTTCATGCAAAATAATTTAAAATAAAACCCCTCGACCGCTAAGCGGTATCGTGATTTTATTAAATTATTTTGCATTCAACATTTTCCAACCAAAACCAAACAAAAAACTATTGAGCCTAGTTTAACCGATTAAATTTATAGTTCTCGTGATATAATTAATATATGATTAAATCTTATCCTATTGCCTTCAGATTCTTGGACTTGTGCGCTGTAAAGGAAGTACAATTGGGCGGCAGAGATGCCGAGAAAGAAGGCGAACTGGCAACAATGGCACGCAGGTACGGTCTCGGCCACGGGCAAGGCAACGAGTGTGCAATTTCCATCGTCTACGGAAACAATCTGTGCGACAATCGGCTGCTTTACATCGTGTGTCCGCCGGCAGAATGCAGGTTAGTAATTCCAACTTTTAGGGGAGGTCTAACCCTAATGAAATTTAAGTACACAATAAACGTACTTAAATGGATATAGAAAATTACCTGGGGGTTAATTGATTTTAGCCTGCGTTGATCTTATTGATTTAAAAACCAAGTGAAAGCCTAACAAGCCCTTAGTAAACTCTTTCAGAAAATTTGTGTTTAGTTATTTCAGAATAATTTTTTTTTAATATTGAATAACCAGAACTTTGTGTTGCTTTATAGCAATCAATAACATCCTTAGTTAAAACAGTAAACAATTTATATATAAAATAATTAATTTTAATCTACTTTTTTTAAATTTGACTCATGTCCCAGACATTTTTTCCGTTGCGTTACCGATAGAATATTAAAAAAAACATATATATGGCAACTTTTTTGGCACTCACGTGATCAACAAATGATGTTCGGACGTACACATTAACCAGCTGAATTTATTTATTCAATCAGGAAGAAGATATCGGTTGAAACAGGTGCAGGTAACGCGAATGTAATAATTGTTTGTCCGCTAAGTTACTCAAAAAAATAATAAAAATAAGGTATGAAAAAATACTATTTTTCACGTTTATTATTATTTTTTAAATATGGTTTTACAAAACTTTCTCCACTGCGTTACCGAGTCCATTATGTTACCTTATGGTAACGCAATGGAATTTAGGGTAACGCAATAGAATTTTTCGACAACAAAGTGGATATTTACCGTCGCTTTTATTAAAAATAGTTTATGATAAACCAATTTAAAATTATTTGTGATTACAACTCACGATATAGATTACATCCAAGGGAAAATTCCACGCAATATAAAAGTACTAAAAGGGACCTTCACCAGCTTATAGTCAAAGAAAAAGGGTGTCTACAATTTAGAAATTTAAGTTGTTATTCTGCAAGTGAGCACCACTACAAGGGATTTTGTTTATGCATTACTCTAAAATCGTACCACCCTATATAGTTTCTTTTTTACGTTATCTAAATAAGTCCTTTGTGTACCCCTGTCCGTTGTGATACCAATGTCTATTTCGTTACTTTTTTAGTTTTTGTTAAAAAAAATACTTAAAATGATTTTTATACACTATCACTTGGTAATACGTGTTTATAAATTAGAGTTTAATTCACTTATACAGTGACTAAAAGAAAATATTAATGGTATTGTTTTTTTAACAAACAATCGGAATGGTTTCTTTTAAAAAGTAACTTAACGAACATACATATTTAAAAAAAAGCATACAATTTTTAATAAAAAATATAATAAAAAATTGGAGTCAAAAGTTTGTGAATTAAGTACATTTTATTTCAAATTATTTTTATAACAACTTTTTTTATTGAATTAAATTTTGGATTTCAAATTGGTAACACAGTGGAGGTATATAAAGCTAGCTAAACACATTTTTCTGAAAAAAAACGTAAAAAAAAATTAAAAAGTGCACTGCCTGTCTTAAATGTAAGTAAACAAAAACATTTATAAAAATCCAACCAAAAGTCAATTTAAGCAAAAAAATTGATCTTCATTTTCCTGAAAGCGGGTGTTTCTTGAAAATGACCCATTACTTACTTTTTATTATTTTAACCAAAATTAACTAAAAACTAATTTAGTCAAACCGGGACTTTTTTCCTGGTCGATTTGAGATGGAGAGACCTAGTAATAACATTTATTTATTAAAATTGCTTAACTTAAACTTAGTATCTCAACTCCGAACGTTCGTAATAACGACTAATAAAAACAGGTGGATATCTCCTAACATAAATTTATCCCGGCGTTAAGGATTTTATGATTACACAACAAAAATTTATTATACGATTTCTCCTAACTGGCTCAATAAATTGTAGACTCGGTAGAGTTCCAGTCTGGGGGATTAAAGTGGAAGTCGGTAAAATAACATTAAATGTTAATATTTTGATTATTTATTAAATTATTTTGCCTTAAATCTATTTTGGATGTTCAGTATATTTTTGACGTTTTTTGTCAAAAATATACAGGGACGCCATTGGTAGATAAATGTCAAATAGAAATTTTGTTTGTTCCATTGTATACTATAATAGTAGTATTATATAAAGGATATTTAATAGAGCACTTTTCTGCTAAGAAATGCTTTATAAAATACCAAAACTAAAATTATAATGTTTTTTTGGTATAAAGTTTCATTGTTTGAAATTTTTGTGTCGTTTTTGTAATTACTAATTAAATTGAAAAGGCAACAAAGTAAATGGGTTTCGGTATAAGCATTACTCTTCGACTATTATTTGATATGTTTTTATTCACATCATGCCTAAAGTACCCAAAAATTTAATCTCGAATCTAATTTATTAAGTCCTATCAAAATTTAATATCGAATTGAAGTATAAAGGCGCCTTTATCTACTTTATCGTTCAAGCACACTAAAGTGCATCTATTAATTATTGACATTTAAAATTTAAACTTTAAATTGTATTTTTACTTGAGAGTGATTTTAAGAACCAAAAATGAAAAAAGAGCAGGAAATGGAAGTGGTAATGGAAGTGGCAGAGAAAGAGAAAGGAGACGAACATTTATGTCGTCGTTGTAAATTTGTTTTGTTTTTGTTGCGGTACCTTTACGCCCAAGAAAAACCAACGCAATATTTCATTACAAAATTTTATGAGATATACCTACTACTTTAATTTTGCAGAAATATTAAATGGACCTGATATACGACGTTTAATGAAAGATCAAGTATTCAAAAATGCTCTCAAAGTTGACGAGCTTGTCGCATATGTGTTAAAGCTGCCATTGAAAATGTTCTTGGTTCGTATCGGGCCTAAAATTGGCGCCAATTCATTTAAAAAATGCTCTTCGTTTTGTAAAGAATAGGCGTTAATATGTAATTTAAAATACATTTTCTTTTTTTTTCTTCCTGATAAATTTGCCGAACTGATGAACATGGAGAACGATTTCACCAAGTAACTGCAAATCTAGAGCATTGGTAGATATCTATGGGTATAGCGGAAATAAGTTGGATTCATTGCTAGGAGACATTTGCTGAAATTTGCAGCAAAAGATGTACGACGATGATGAGGATTAAGCACAATAATACTATAATCCAATTTGATATTTGATACGATTTAATAAATTTAAGGTAGAAAAAAGCAAAATTATGCAATGCATTAAATTTTGAGGGCTTGATTTGGATAAAAAATTCTGAAACTTGTTTACTTTGTTGCCCTTTCAATTTAATAATTAAAATAAACGACATAAAATACATTGCCGTATACCAATTACTTTAGTACATTTAAGATAAATTTAAGCCAAAATAATTTAATAAATAATTAAAATACCAACAAAAAACTTACATTTTGAGGTGATTGAGCAGAGCATTTTATTACGAAATTATTTTAAATCCTAGACTTCCTAGAGAAAAACTAGCTTTAGTTTAGTCACCCTGTTTTTGGTGCCATAAGTTACTTTCTACATTGCGGTAACATTTTTGGAACATAGCAGTGAAGCCGGCTCCAGTCAAAGTGTCATATATTTTGTAATTTGTTTATTGGTTATTTTGTTATAACAATTAACATTAAATACTTAACGTGAGATCTGTGGTTATTGTTAAAATCAGAAGAGTATGTTTATTTAGTAGTCACATAAGTTATTACGTAAATCACGCAATTTTAATTATTTTTACAAATTGTTCGTAACATAATCTTAAAACAGGCTTGTTATTTAAATCTATGCAATCCGATTTATATCCCACGTTGCCGGCTTGTTTACAAAATTTAAAAAGCCAAGAAAAGTCACATAAGTTACTGTCTCATAAGTTACCGCTAAGTGGAGAAAATACAAATACTTCAAGAAAAAGCATTGGTACTGATCTTTCGATAAACAAGTGGGTTGTGGTTAGATATGATAAGAATTTTTTTCCCGGAGTTGTGTGCAGTTTAAATGGTCAAGACTACGAAATTAAAGCACTTAAAAATATTGGAGAAAATAAATACATTTGGCTATTACCGGAAGACAAAATTTGGTATTGTAAAACCGACATAATGTTCAATATTTCACCTCCAATAAAAGTAACCAAAAGGCTCTTGTCTTTAGATTGGAATTTATTAACTTCTATAAGCAACGAGTGAGGAAGTGCAGTTTATAAATGTATTTAAATTATTTAATAAAATGTTTCAAAAATCTTATGTTGCTAGTTCATTGGTACCTAAATATACGTTATTTATATGAAAAATAAATTATATTTTTGATATAAGTTACCCAGCGTGTCTCATATGTTACAGAGTACAGTTCTTTTGATTTATACACGTAATTTTTATATTTTTATAATACCTAAAAAGTGTACGGCTCGCATTAGTAATTATTTAAGTAGGGTCTAATACTAAGTACATTACTATAAATTATGACTTTATAAAAAATAAATTTCAAAATATTTCCTCTCAAAATTGCGATTTAAGACGGAATTACCCACTAGCACCTTCGTATCTTTGTAGAGTGTGGTTCAGCGGCTTGCAGTGGCTGGTTAAGGGTCTCTCCCGCCAGATGTCGCTGTGCGACCGGCGACTTTTGTGGCTAAGGGAGCAATACGTGCAACTCTATCACGAAGACGGCTACTGCTGCGGACCTCTAGCCGCCGACGCAATCAGGGTAAGTTAAATGAACCCTCGAAATAATGCTCAATTTTTATAAATTACAGGTTCTTTTGCAGTCCTTCGGGGGACGCGATTGGTCGCTAGCGGGCATGCAACAGGGCCAAGGCGCCGAGTCTTCGGGGGCGCTCAGGAGGGAGGTGTCGATGAAAATCAAAAAGAAGCAGCTACTCAGCAATCAAACCTTCAAGGTAACTATAAACCATAAGATTTAGTGTTAGATGGTTTAGGTGTCCTAGTCAGCTTTCGCAGATATTTTCCACCAGACTAGCGATACCTATCACATTAAATTTACTTTTATTTATGGGCAAACATAAAATATTTAATTAATTGGTTACAAAGTATTGATTTCTATGATAACAAGGAACAAGTTGTTTGAGAGAGTTCCTTAAGATTCCGATAACTTTGCGTATTTTAACATTTTATCTAGCTTCAATCTTGTAATGAAATTTTACCCATTCTGAAGACCAACGCTAAATATATACAGGGTGAGTCATAAAACTTAAAACTTTATTCATATCATGTTTATGTTAAATTATAAAACAGCATTGAGAATTTTCGAGCACTTTGTCAAAAGTTTGCTGCTCTATTTAGGCAATTTGAGCTTGAAAGTTTTGTTTTAAATGGTGAATAGGCTTTGTTACGTCGACGCGTGGATTTTCCGTGGCCCAAATCCTACAGTTTTGCTTGTTGACATAACCTCCGAGGTAAAAATGCGCCTCATCCGAAAAGATGATTTTTCTTGCAAAATTAGGGTCATCGTTCAACTGGTTTAAAGCCCACTCAGCAAAGCGAAAACGTTGTGGATGGTCAACTTGCTTTAACTCCTGAACAAGCTGGACTTTGTACGCAAACATACCGAGGTCTTTGTGCAGAATCATCCTCAGAGTGGTACGGGAAAGGCCGAGTTGTTGACATCTGCGCCGAGTTGATGTTGACGCGTTCATGCGTACATTTTCGGCCACAGCAGCGATTGCTTCAGGTGTACGTCTAGGACGAGCATGCGAAACATGTTTTAGGTCCACCAGCATTCCATTTCTGCGCAATTTTTTTATCAAATTTGTAATACTTTGGTTAGACGGCGCCTCATTTCTTCCAAACGCAATTTTCTTGCCGTCTCTGCGATCACAGTCACATTCAAAGTAAGTTTTGAGTATTTTGAAACGTTGATCCAAATTTATTCGGTGCATATTTTGTAATCGGAAGGTTAAAACTAAACCACTGTCAGCAATTTAAAGCTTCATTAATAGCACGTAGTTTAAAATTCAACTTATAGATGGCCCACCCTTTAGATGACGCTGTAATGAAAAAAAATCAATTTTGTTCGATTTTTCTTCTGTATACGATTCTGCAATAATTTTTCTTTTTTTGGTACCCAGGATTTTTTAACCAATATTTAAGTTTCCTTTGGTTTAAGTTTTATACATTATTTCAGTCGGTGATAATGATCAATTGCGCACCATGGTCACTTTTTACCTGCCAGCATTAAATCCTTTAATTTAAAGGGTTTTTGTACTATTTTTAATAAAAATAAAAATGGTATTTAGTTATAAATAATAATTATTATTGAGGTGTAAAGAAACTATTTATAGTATAGCATTATTTAATCAATTTAGTTCGAAGATTAATTTGCAAACAAAAAGACCTCCTTTCGTTAAGCAGTTATTCATAATGGATTTTTTAACAGTGGAAGAAAAAATAGAAATGATTTTGATTTATGGAGAAGCAGGCAGGAATCTTGATGATGCTGTTAATATCTACGCTCAGCGTTTTCCGGATAAAATTCGATCACGTACTTCATTTCACCGTACAGTCGAGCAGTTTACTACAAACGGGAGTGTTCAACCGAAAAAAAGAGTTCGTCGAGCAACAGTCACAGGTGGAAATAATGAAATTATGTATTAGCAGCATTTTTTCGTAAAATTCATACCAACTGAGATATTTCAAAGTTAAATGACTTACCCTGTAGTTCGATTTCGGTTTTATTAAATAACTTTTTTGCACAAAATTTTATAACAAATAAATACCTAACTATAATTTTTGACAAAATTCTTCATGAAGATCAATACACTTTTTCGTGCGTTTGAACCAATTTTCGTAGAACTTTTTTAACCCCAAAGGTACCTTCAAAACATGCATTTCAAACAACTTTCGTTGGGTTTGCTTACCTTAAAAGACCCATGATTTCTTGTCAACATAATGCTGATTGATTTTTTTAGGCCTTGGTACATACAGTAAAACAGTTCTGAGAACTTTAATGCTAAAAAATGTCAAGCTTAAAAGTAATGGGGTAGTTAAATTTTTTCTGACCTATACTTTTTATGGTTTTATTCAAGGCGTTTTGTAATATTAAACATTTCTGTGAAATCAGAATTTCAATTGAGTTTACCGTTTTCGAGATATTTACAAAAAATATAAATTTTTATGACGTCACAAACCTCGCCATGTGACCAACATTCTAAGATTACTATTGGTTGAAAATTACCCTGTTGTCAAGTTGTCTTGTTAATGATTTCATTCAATTATGTCAGAAAATACCCGAAGAGGTTATGTACAAATACTGTCACTGTCAGTTGAGTGAAAGATGGTCACCAAATTAATTCCTTATTACGAGGTATCATATTACTGTTTGATATTTTAGAGTCCAAGATATATCTAAAAGAATATAAAGAACTAGGCATTATACTAATGAAATGCATTTACGAGAAAATATGATTATAATTATAGGTACTTACTTTATTTGTTTAAAAGCTCCAATGTTCAATGTAACCAACCATTCCACAAGATTCCTCTGCTTTGGAGTCCGTTATTAATAAATCACTTATCTAATATCAATTACAAATAACATAACAATAACATTGATTTTCAATAATCTATTTAAAAAAAAACATAACCCAATAAAAAGACGTCAAAAAATCAATTCTTCTTCTTCTTCTCAACCAAAATTATAGATCAAGTGGTTTTAAAACTAAAATATTATAACGTGGCGCCATCTATCGTAAGAATCTTAAACTAAACACACTGGCAACCATAGTGACGTAATTAGGAGATTTTTTTTTGTAAATATTTCGAAAACGGTAAACTCAATTTCACAGAAATGTTTAAAATTACAAAACGCCTTGAATAAAACCATAAAAAGTATAGGTCAGAAAAAATTTAACTACCCCATTCTTTGCAAAACCATGTTATTACAAAATCTGCATATCTAATCAAAACGTTATAACCGCATATGGCGTAAAAGCCACGTACCTGCGCGCAATAAATAATGTAGGTGTTCGTATTGTGCAGTAACGGCATGCAGTTATTTTGAAGGGAGGGAAATTCCCAAGCTTTCCAATTACATATGCCAAATACGTTTGTGCATTATTCCGATATACGGGACGTTCCGATATATCGGGTCACGTATCTTTCCCCTAAGCCCGAAATACCGGACATTTGCCTGACGTTTATTTACAATTTCTGCGAACAAATCGATAGCACAAAATAACGAAATACCGAAGAAAATATTTAGTTTTGTGTAGACATACAGGGTTGATATTTTGAATGGGGTTTGGGTGCTTAGTTCGCTGCTTGTCTTGAAGTACTATCTGATTTATCTGGGAATTCTATTTTTCTTCTTTGGCTGTTTTGTTTCCCTGGTTTGGATGCGTTGAAGATGTTTTTTGAGAAAATGCAAGATTGCTTTCTTAGTAGAGATTAAAGCTATTGAACTTATCTTTTGATGCTACTGCCCACTTAACCCTCTCTTTGGTTCCGTCCGGAAGACTGGTACACTGAGTTCACCTGCACAGGCAGTGTTACTGATTTCTTACAATCTTCACTTTTTGTATACAAAGTCATCGGTAGATAAATGTCAAATAAAAATTTTGTTTGTTCCATTGTAGCCGTATACTATAGTAGTATTTTATATGGGATATTTAATAGCACTTTTCTGCAGAGTATCATTTTTGTAAATTTTTGTGTCGTTTTTTTAATTACTAATTAAATTAAAAAGGCAACAAAGTAAATGGGTTTCGGTATAAGCATTACTCTTCGACTAAAGTAACCAAAAATTTAATCTCGAATCTTATTTATTAAGTCTTCAAAATTTAATATCCTTATCTGCTTTATCGTTCAAGCACATTAAAGTGCATCTATTAATTATTGACATTTAAAATTTAAACTTTAAATTGTATTTTTACTTGAAAGTAATTTTAAGAACCAAAAATGAAAAAAGAGCAGGAAATGGAAGTGGCAATGGAAGTGGCAGAAAAAGAGAAAGGAGACGAATATTTATGTCGCCGTTGTAAATTTGTTTTGTTTTTGTTGCGGTACCTTTACGCCCAAGAAAAACCAACGCAATATTTCATTACAAAATTTTATGAGATATACCTACTACTTTAATTTTGCAGGAATATTAAATGGACCTGATATAGACGTTTAATAAAAGATCAAGCATTCAAAAATGCTCTTAAAGTTGACGAGCTTGTCGCATATGGCAGTGTTAAAGCTGCCATTGAAAAAGTTCTTGGTTCGTATCGGGCCTAAAATTGGCGCCAATTCATTGAAAAAATGCTTTCCGTTTTGCAAAGAATTAGCGTTAATACGTCATTTAAAATACATTTTCTTTTTTTTTCATCCTGATAAATTTGCCGAACTGATGAACATGGAGAACGATTTCACCAAGTAACTGCAAATCTAGAGCATTGGTAGATATCTATGGGTATAGCGGAAAGAAGTTGGATTCATTGCTAGGAGACATTTGCTGGAATTTGCAGCAAAAGATGTACGACGATGATGAGGATTAAGCACAATAATACTATAATCTAATTTGATATTTGATACGATTTAATAAATTTAAGGTAGAAAAAAGCAAAATTATGCAATGCATTAAATTTTGAGGGCTTAATTTGGATAAAAAATATTGAAACTGGTTTACTTTGTTGCCCTTTCAATTAAAATAAACGACAAAAAATGTCAAATAACGGTTCTTCAGATCAACCGTTTCAAAGATATCAGCGATCAAAAATAACACTAATAAAAAATTTAAAATACTTTCAAATAAAATACAAAAAAATTCATGCCAAATTTATATTATTTTTTATGTAATTCTGTTAACCTGTTTTATCCCAATCCCTGAACAATTTTGCAAATATCTAACTACCTATTCGGAAAAATAATATTCAATAATTACTAACCTCACAATGATACACTTCCTAACACTAACTAAAACTGCAAACTGATGATGCAGATTGCAGTTGAGTCTTATTTCAATCAGGAAATCATTTCATTGGTTATCTTAGGTGGTGTGATGCTTCATCTCAAGCAAACTCAACAAAAGTTGCTCAAAATGTTGTAAATGTGCATTTTATTAGATATGTTTGCTTTTAGTTAATATTATTTAATTGTGTAGTATATTTACCAGTTGTATGTTCTTTTTGACGAAAGCTATTCAAGAGCCTCTTGAGGAGGATTCTCCAGGTACTCTCTCACAATATGATAATAACGATAGATGTTTAGCCTAGGCTCTTTAGTACTCTATCTATCTTTATCTTTTCAATGTTACTTATGCAGTGTGGTTCCTATTCCCAGTCTCATAGGAAACACTCTGTATATTATCGGTTTCATTTAGTGTCACTAGATGTTGTTACTGCGTAAAACATGTCACGTTCGTGATTTAGGATCGCAGTTTGCGCTGTCAGTTCGTGGAACCGCCCACTATGGTGATGGAGAGCAGCTATTGGAGGAACCCAACTCACCATCGCCAATCGACTCCAACGACTTTTCCCGATCACCAACCCGATGTTTCCCGACACCACAGTCTCGGCCAGCTCGCCTGTACCTCTGCTTCGCAACCCAAATATGACAGGTAAAGTTCTAAAGGTATTTTCCACGATACACGGAAACTGGTATGCTAATGCGCATGTTATACACTTTGATTCAAAAGATTTGCGCTTTCCCTGATAGAATGTTCTTTAAACCTTCCAGTGAGAATATTCTTAGGATCATGCTACATTTCATGCTTAAAAGACATATCCCTGATAGCCAAATTTGATTCTAAGAATCTTCTAAGAAGATATGACCCGGAATAATGGCATATTCTTAGAACCTTCCCTTATTGCTAAGAATGTTCTTAGGGACTTTTAAAACATTCAATTGATAACCTTTTAATGATGCAATTAGATTCTTAGAAGCTTCTTAAAACCTTCCTAAAAAGCATTCTAAGAACATTTTAAGAATACGTTTTTGGAATGTTCTTAGAAGGTTTCTTATGGAGCTTCTAGGAAGCTTTTGAGAATATTTCCAAATATGTCAGATACCCACGTTCTAATATGTTGGATTCTACATTCGTAAAATTCTTCAGGAGGCGACAAATACGCCTCACTGTCATAAAATGACAGTGAAATGTATTTGTCGTCCCCTTAAAAAATTTTGCGACATATTAATATAAATTTATTTAAAAATATTAAATAAACAATTTGACCTCTAAACCATACACGGTGCTGTTCTGAGAGGTGATTTTTTGACTTTCTGTGAAACCTAATTTTTTTTATATTCTTGTTAATTAGGTCATAACTAAGAATTTAAGAGAAAATTAAAAAAAACTGACGGTTTGAATTGTTTTAATTGGCTGTTTATTAAAAATATTATGCACTCTTTCAATTATCCAATTAAAACTAGCGATTTAATTTAAATATTTAATATTTGCATAACTAAAAAGAAGGTTTTTAGAATTTTGTTTTATATATTTTACTGTTTTGTTGCAATAAACGTTCAAACTTTTAATCTAACCTAATACATTTATGTTCCCTTAATTAATATATCCTTAAAGGTTGCCATGAAACTTAGATCTATTAAAAATTTATTTGACGTTTGAATTGTCATTTTCAGAATCGCAAGTTTTAATTGGAGAATTGAAAGTGTGCATACATATTTTTAATAAACATCCAATTAAAACAAAATTAACCGTCAATTTTTTTTTATTTTGCTCTTAAAATTTTAGTTATGACCTAATTAACAAGAATATAAAAAAAAATTAGGTTTCACAGAAAGTCCAAAAATCACCTCTCAGAACAGCACCGTGCATAAGTTGTATGACAGTATTTCATAAAAAGTAAAATTGGAAAATTTTGTGGGATAAGTCAGATTAGATTGAAGTTGAAGATAGTTAGGAATATTATACATAAAAATGTTAATTTAGAAATAAAAAATCGGTATACAAATTAATAAATATTTATTTTTAACAAAAAATAAAATATAATAAAACAAAATATTTCCTTATAAAATAATTCCTCATAAAAGAAAAAACCAAATAGTTCTTCATAAAAAAACATTTTTTATTGTATTTAAGTTGGATAGAAGATTTTATGTAAAAGCCCTGGATAATTTAGATACCTATAGTAATCGTATTTTTGTTATCGAATATTGTTTTAATTTGACTAATAACTATAAAAAAATATTTTGGGTTGTGTTTTTAGTATTTAATACTAATTATACTTAATAATAATAATAATAATAATAATAATAATAATAATAATAATTTATTTCCAACAGGAATACACCCAATTACAGGAAATGTTATTAACAGTACAGTAAAATAAACAATGAACAACATTTCAGATAAATTAAAATCTGCCAAAAAAACATTCAATAATATATGATAGGGGACTATTGTGAATATCACATATATCACTTATGCTATTAAACAAATTACATATTCTAAATATAGGTGAGCATTGCATTACATTAGTTCTTGGTGCTAGAAGATAAAAAGTATCAGATTATATATATTAAGTATACTTATATATATATATACCTATATATAGGTACCTTTATACCTAGATTATGGTATATTTTACTATTATATAGGTACCTAACTGAACTGAATATGCTTAACAGAATGTTCCTGGAATATTCCTAAATGAACTTTCTATAGCAATTACTTTCTCAACATTCTAAGGATATGTTTAGAGTGGATTAATTTTTACCACTAAACTTTGCACCTTCTAAGAACCTGCCTATAGGCCAGTGAGAATATTCTTAGGATTATGCTATATTTCTTTTAAGCATGTTCTTTAGAAGAAATATAGCATGATCCTAAGAATATTCCCACTGGCAGGTTTAAAAAACATTCTTAGAATAAACTGTGCTATCAGGGATAGCATGATCCTAAGAATATTCTTACTGGCCTATAGGCAGGTTCTTAGAAGGTGCAAAGTTGAAGTAGTAAAAATTAGTCCACTCTAAATATATGCTTGGAATGTTAAGAAAGTAATTGCTATAGAAAGTTCATTTAGGAATATTCCTGTTAAGCATATTTAGTTCAGTTACCTATATAATAGTAAAATATACTATAAACTACGTATAAAGGTATATACCTATACTTAAGTACCTAATTAGTATTAAATACGAAGTAAAAACACAATCCAAAATATTTTCTTATAGTTGTCAAATTAAAACAATATTCGATAACAAAAATACTTTTACTATAGGTATTTTATTTATGTTAAAATATATATTTATTAATTTGTATACCGATTTTTTATTTCTGAATTAACATTTTTATGTATAATAATATCTTCAACTTTAATCTAATCCGACTTATCCCACAAAATTTTCCAATTTTACTTTTTATGAAATAATGTCATACAACTTAGGGTTTAGAGGTCAAATTGTTTATTTAATATTTTTAAATAAATATATATTAATATGTCGCAAAATTTTTTAAGGGGACGACAAATACATTTCACTGATATATTATGACAGTGAGGCGTATTTGTCGTCTCCTGAAGAATTTTACGAATGTAGAATACAACATATTAGAACGTGGGTATCTGACATATTTGGAAATATTCTCAAAAGCTTCCTAGAAGCTCCATAAGAAACCTTCTAAGAACATTCCAAAAACGTATTCTTAAAATGTTCTTAGGATGCTTTTTAGGAAGGTTTTAAGAATCTAATTGCATCATTAAAAGGGTATCTTTTTATTTTTTTTAAAAGTCCCTAAGAACATTCTTAGCAATAAGGGAAGGTTCTAAGAATATTATTCCAGGTCATATCTTCTTAAAATCAAATTTTGCTATCAGGGCCCATTTATCAGAAGTACCAGATTTTGTCATGCTATTGAGATAATTGTGATGTATCTTGAATGAATAATTTTCATAGCTTTTGAACAAAAACACTTTGCACTTGAAAGAAGAAGCATTCAAGAGATTTTGTATTTGTTATTAAGAGAACTATACTTCTTCCACTAAGAACTATTTTCTTCAAGCAATAAACACTATTTTATGCTAAAATATTGTTTCTTGCCGCTAATCATTTTTATCAAGAGAGTTGACTACTTCAGGTTAAAATCTTGTTTGCTAGTCTGGCAAACTATTGAACAGTGTTCAAGACAAATTAAACTAATTAATGTTAATGTATTAAGAGTAGTGAAGTTTATTAATGATACTCGTCCATTCAAAGTAATAAACTCGACACTTCGGCAATACAATTGTACGGTAAAGTTTATTACTTTGAATGGGTTGCATTAATGTAATGTTAATTGCATTGGAAACTGGATTTTATGCATCCCGCTAGTGGGACAAGGTCGGCGTTATCCAAGACTTCTGAGCACTACATATGCAAATTTAATTAAATATTATTAGAAGTAGAATTTAATAAAATTCACATTTAGCTACATTTTTCTGAAAGTAAAATCGTACTATTATTTTTTTTTTATTATTATTATTTTTTATTATTACTATAAAGTATAGTAATTGGACAATTTTTTATATACACATAACAACTCAACATAAAATAACATAAAATGTCAAATATTTTTTAAAGATAAATTTCCGGTTTAGGTAATTTTTTTATTTCGTTTTTGTAAGTATCATATAATGTATGTATTTCTTTCTCGGATTCCTCATTCAGTTCTGCATCGGTAAATTCTTCACTTCCATTAGAATTATCATTATCATTACTCTCTTTGTAACATGATGACATAAAAATATATCATCTTCCAATTATTCCGGTATATGTTCTTGATGATTCTTAGGAATGCACTACTTATGATTTTTTTAAATTCAGTACAATGTACCTGGCTGGTAAATTTTTATTTTTTTTTTTTTATTATTTTTAATGTGCCTTCAACAGGCACAAATAAACAGCCATACCCCTGGTGGGATTCGAACCCACGACCTCTCGGCTTGTAGTCCGCAGTGCTAACTACTACACCACCGAGGGCGGTCAAAAAATGTCCGGGATACAAATAGAGTATGATATTGGACATATGTCCAATAATAGAAATTCACATTTTTTACCAACCAGTAATTGGACTGGCCATTTTGCTGTTTGTTTTCAGAATTAAAATTAAAACGCATTAAAGTGACAATGTTTAAACCATGAGGAACACATTTATACCACACACTGATCTGTACACTTTTTAGAAATATTTTTTATTGTAATTTAAACACAAAAAAACAAAAATCTTACCACCAAAGTAACGTGCGAACTTGTTTGTCCTATATTGGACCCAAAATAAAGTAGTTCTATATTATTACCGACTGAGATAGTTATAATTGTATACAGCGCCATCTATTGATTTGACTTTAAGGTAACTATTTATAGCACTTGTTTTTACAGTATTAATCTTAATTGTCCAATAACTATTGGTTGAAATTACAATATTTCTTTCAGGGATAGACACGGTTCCACGGAATACCTATGGCATGGAAGGCATCCTAGGGTGGGCTCGATATTGTACGATACTCAAATGGATTTTGTCGATTTTGTGACACTTTTTCGATCGTTTAGGTATTTTGACATAAACATGTTTAAAAACAAAATTTTAGTATATATATAAATATATTTCAGCATATTAATTCGCAAGGATCTCAGAGACTTGTTTGAACAACTCGCGATATCCTATAGAAGCATGGCTGTGAATACGAAAGTTAATGGAGTGAGGTCGAAGGTGGACGGAAAAAAACCGACAAGATTAGGTGAGGAAATAATTTCATCCACATCTTTAAAAATACGCTAAAGCTAGTAGCGCCACCATAATCAGCTGTCAAACGCGTGTGTTACAAACGAGTGTATTTGAGAATAAAGCCGGAAAATATTAAGAAATATCAAAAAAAACCGTGGCTCGATTTGTTTTGTTGTTGGGTGTATTTCGAGAGGAAATCCTGGGTTGAGTTTTTACCGGTTTTCCAATAAACAGTGTTAATCTGAATGAAGAAATAAATTTCATACGGTCTCTGTAAATATAAATTCTACCAATTAGATACAATAAATACAGATTTTAGTAGTGATTAACGTGAAAAGTGTAAACATTTCAATTCAGTAAAAGTCGTCTAATTTTAAACAGCATTTAGCATTATTAAAAGCTTTGATTAAGAAAGTCTACACTCAACGGTAAAATACCTTTATATTATGTATTATATATAATATTATGTTGCCATGAATTCGTAGGTACATTTTGTTGTTTAAAATGCAGTTGTCGGCGTTTTTTAGAGAACTCAAATATAAAAATGGTTGATTTTAAGATTATGTTTGTGCAAAAATTATTTTTTACTAATTTCTTTAAAATGTCCAAACTTAAATATAAATTATATTAGGTAAAATTATCATTAGTTAATTCTGCACCAACAAATGTACTTACCGAATTGGACCTTTGGCAAAACATGAAAATGCAACGATTTAGTTTTTGAATTTTATTTACAATTAAAAACACAATAATTCACCATGATCCCTTTGATAAAATACACACAATAACGTAACTATATAGGCATTTAAGCGTTTGGTTTCTTAATCAATGATATAAGGAATAATCAATCGAAATCGAGTACTAAACCAGTTTTTTAGTTTTTTCCTTGCAACGTAAAACACAAATAACGTGCGCGATTTAGCTGTGCAATGAACAAAATTTGTCGAGTCTTTTGGGAAAAACGACCTATTTATTTAAAAATGATGTACCTACAGTTCGTATGCTTGAAATGTATTGTTGACAATAGACCTATCCCATAAAACAGACTCTTGGATAGCGCGTGCCTGAAGAAGAGTGGTATCTCTTTCTCTTTTATATAATTAAAAAAAGACGACGTGCCTTTTCACGCACGCGCTATCCAAAAGTCCGTTTTATGGGATAGGTCTATTCTTAAATTCACGCAATCCTTTTGAAGTCCACCAGATGGCGCGCGCGGTGCGAAAACCCGATACTTCTTTAGCGTATACTGTATAAACAATAGGGTGATTCATTTCCGCAAAGTTTTTGTTTTTTTTCGGTGCTCAAGCAAAATATTAATCTGCATATAGAAAAAAAAATACTCAACAAGTTTGAGCTCTTAATATTAATATTAATCACTTACTATTTAAATTTAAAGTTTTACCGTTTAAAATGCATGTAAAAAATATATTTTTTTTTCAAATTTCTAATGCTTACCCACCTTTGACAATATTGCAAATCGGTTTAATACACCTTATGGGGAATTTCACGCTCTTTAAAATTGCTTTTGAGTTTTTTTTTGTAAATCGCATTGGTTCACCAGTAGGAGTCGTCAAAGGACAGTTTTTGAAAAAAATCGTTTTTTTTTAATTTTTTCTAACAAACCGCAAAAAGTAGGGAGAAAAAAGGGCTGAATCATAAAAAAAAGTTATCCAACCAATATTTAATGAATTTACTGCCATTTTTATAACTGAAAACGTAAGAAATTGATAAATACCAACCCATAATGTTATTTAGATTGATTTTTTCTATTTATTATCATTATATTTCCCTACACTAAGAAGTTTTTTAAAATTATTATGATTTCTCACTCATAATGAATATGAAAACAACAGATAAATTAATAAAAAAACAATAAGAAAATTGTAACGTGGATTTTGCAATTTTTCAACATTTCTGTCATATAGCAAAAAAATATAAATGAAGATTATTTAATTTTTTGAAGCGAAATTTGAAATATGTTACATAACCTTCTGTATATTCCGATTAAAGTTTTGTTGTTTCTTTTATGAATTTATGTGTTGTTTTCATATTCATTATGAGTTAGAAATCATAATAATTTTAAAAAAGTTCTTAGTGTAGGGAAATATAATGATAATAAATAGAAAAAATCAATCTAAATAACATTATGGGTTGGTATTTATCAATTTCTTACGTTTTCAGTTATAAAAATGGCAGTAAATTCATTAAATATTGGTTGGATAATTTTTTTTATGAATCAGCCCTTTTTTCTCACTACTTTTGGCGATTTGCTCGAAAACATAAAAAAACGATTTTTTTCAAAAACTGTCATTTGACGACTCTTACCGGTGAACCAATGCGAGTTACAAAAAAAACTCAAAAGCAATTTTAAAGAGCGTGAAATTCCCCATAAGGTGTATTAAACAGATTTGCAATATTGTCAAAGGTTGGTAAGCATTAGAAATTTGAAAAAAAAAATATTTTTTACATGCATTTTAAACGGTAAAACTTTAAATTTAAATAGTAAGTGCTTAAAATTAATATTAAGAGCTCAAACTTGGTGAGAATGTTTTTGCCTATATGCAGATTAATATTTTGCTTGAGCACCGAAAAAAACCAAAAACTTTGCGGAAATGAATCACCCTAATAAACAATCACTCTCATCTGAAGACTTCATGCTGAAGTTACCAGTAACTTTTCCAGGCGTTTTGACGAGAAACAGTCAAGGAGAGCTGGAAGGTTCGGTGGTTAACACGCAAAAAAAAGTTTTCGATGCGATAGCAGCCGCTAGCATTTTTACCAACTGTGCTGGAATCGACACCAACAACTCTCAAGTGATCACTTTATCTACGTTCGCGAAATTTCTGGAGACCCGACAAATGGAAGTGAGGACGCAGGATCAAATAAAAGCCTTAATTTATGTAAGCACAGAAGTCTTTATTTTTAACCGCAATTAATTATTTTTTACAATGTTTTAAAAGTTTAAAACCTATCCTCCGTGACTGTTACTCTTTATAGGTTAACCTATATGTTTTCAACTATCTGAGGTGGTAAAAGCATACTAAAATATCAGTTCACTAAGTAAATTAAACACATCCAAAGCAATCGAATCAAATATAAAATATTATTAAAAATTAAAAGTAATCATTTTCATAACCATTTATGTAGGTGTCACAAAAATTGATTCTATCCTCCGTGAATCTGTTTTTGCTTTCAATTTTATGCAACGGATGGCGCTTTAATCATTTTAAATAAGTAAAAACCTCTGCTTACGACATTATAGATGCATGTGATTCCTGAAGGACAGTTAGAATTTATATGCAGATGAGAGTGTTGCTGTTTTATAATTCAAAAGTTTAAGTTCATGAATTTGCTATTTAAAAACCTATAAGTGTAATATCTCAGTAAGTAGATTTTTGTTATAAATATTTTATTGTATCTTTAAAAAATATTAAGGTGTCAAAAGATACAATACCTTATTTCAAATATACAAAGGGATGTTTAAAAAAAACATTCGAAATCCTAACCTCCGTGAAGCTCTAATATTCAAAATGTATGATTTCTTAAAATTCTTGCATTAGTGCCTGTCAGAGCAAAGTCAACAATCTCCCATCAGAGTAAAACTGAGTAAATTGAGATAATTGATTTTGGTATTTTTAATTCTAGATTTGTAATTTTTTTTATATATTACATTGAAATATTGTTGTTGTTAGTCTAGTAGCCAACTACAAGGTCTCCAGGATGCATATTATAGGTGAAATCTATAATTATAAATTGGAGATTGCTGACTTTGATATGAATTGCTGGAGATTGCTCATTTTGTTGTAAACGTTTAAGGAGATTTAGAAAAATAAATAAAAAAATAATTGTTTTTTTATTCCTTTAATGGGTATAAAATTTAACTGTACAATCAATGTGGGAAAATTCTGAACTGGACCACATAAATCTGGAGTTTCTTGTAAATCTGGGACCAGGTTGCCTCGTGCAAAAAAGTTTTTATAGTACAACAACTCATCATCTTCTTCCCACTTTGCCCCGTAATATTTTACTTGCAATGTTTTAACATTATCAGCCTTCTCTTGCTTTACCTTTACGTCTTATTATGGTATAATAGCACAAAATAAACAAGACAACTTTTTTTATAATTCTTAAAACAATAAAACGTATATATACCTATTTTTTAAATATATTTTAGGTGCCATTTACTGCGATAGAACTTAACAGTATGTACCAGTAAAAAAACACAAAATTAAATCTCTAAAATACGTTATAACATCAAATGTTAGGATATCAGGTGACACAAATTACTAATTTCCAATGGTGGAATTGGAGATTGTATACTTTGCTGCAAATCTATCAGTGGAGATTGTCGACTTTGCACTAAATGTCATTTTTAAAATAGGATTTTAGGCAGGATTTAGCTCCTTTTGCAGCACATAAACTTAATCATCTTATAGATAATTAGTTGAAGTACAGTCTCCGCCAAAAATCTAATTTTTGACCAAAAGTGGAGATAGTCGGTTTTGCTATGACAGGCCTCACTGGGTATGTTATTACTAGACCTGGTGGCTTCCCGAAAACCCCATTATAGACTAACAGTGAAGAAACCAAAAATAAAAAAAATCATTTTCACTTGAGGGACATCCACTTCAAAACATTGTTCTTTTCCAGAGGCATGAACCAGATGCCAGTTTGCGCGCCCAAAATTGTCTTTCCTTCGAAGGATTCGCCAGATATTTAATGGACAAAGATAACTTTGCTTTCGTACCTGAGTGCGAAACCCCTATGGAGAATGGAATGCATCGTCCAATGTCACATTACTACATAGCCTCGTCTCACAATACCTATCTCACCGGTCATCAGCTTAAAGGAGAGTCGTCTGTGGAACTTTATGGGTAAGTGTAACAGCACTGAAGTACTAATTTTGATCATAGTAGGCATCATAGACTTTTCCCTATGGTAACCTACCATTGGAAGCATGAAAGATAATTTGACAGTTCAGTTTATAAGTTGCAAGTGACTGATTGCGTTTCAATTTATAAGTGTACTATAAACTCAAAACATTAATCTATTAAAATGAATAAACTGAATAATAATTATAGACAGTGTCAGCAAGTTAGAAATTATAACCTACTTTAATTTTATTTTTGCCCCACAACCAAGCTTCAATTTATGTTTTACTCGATAAGCAAGCTTTAATTTTAATTACAAACTTAGGAAAGTAATATTTACCCAATAAATAAATTAGAATAAAGACTTTATTTTGTATGTTGCGATCGGCTATTTAGATATATGTATATTTTTTATCCAGTTGTTTTTCGCTTTTTTGTAATTAGTTATTTTGCATTTTTTTATATTTAATATAATGCTATACAGGGTGTTTCTGGAGAAACGCAAACGATATGGATTTGAAATTTTAATAGCATATACAATTGATTTAGACATACCTAAAGTCAATGTTTTCAAGATATTAATTTTTTTCGTTAAAATTTTGCTAAATGCACGTTAATCAAAAATAGCCTCTAATTTTTTTGTTATTATGTTTGCTGACATGGGGTTGGAATTTTTGGAAAATTAAAACATTGTTTATATAATTTTTTAAAGGTTTTTTAACAACAAGCTTGAGAAAAACCACTTGAAATTAGGCAAACTTCAAACAATAATAACGTTTTTATTATAAATGTAAAACCCTGTATATTTTAACATAATCTAATAGAAAATTAAAGAATCTTTCGATTGGTATTATAATAACTTTTTCCTAAAGTTAAAATTTCAGAGACATTTAACAATTTCTAATATTTTCAATACTATTTTGTATCAACAAACCTGTGAAATTCTACATGTGGGTTAATGTGACAGTATCCATGGTTACCACTTAATCTGTCATTGTTTAAAATAGTTGATTGGAAAAATTATAACTCGAAAAATATTGACTTTAGGTATAGGATATGGCCATTTTACTCAAAATTTTAAGTAGGATTCAAAAATGTAAAAATATATGAGGTGTCCTGTTTAAAATAACAAAGTTAAAGATATTTCCGGTAAAACAGGAAGTATTATTTTGTTCAAAATAATTTAGGAAAAAAGTCTAAAGCGAATAATTTACGCTATTAAAATTTTAAATCGATGTCTTTCGCGATTCCCTAGAAACTTCTAATGGACCACGTACTATTGCGGCCGATAAAAAGTAATCGATTCTTTATCAAGTTGCAGGTTTTTCTTAAAAATTGGCTATTGTAAGTAGGGTTTTTTACGTCAGTCATGTCAATTAAATTATTTTGACAAGAAATCATAGGTGTATGACATATTTAATTTTTTAATAAAAAAACCTTAAATTATATAAAGCATGTTTATTCGTAATACAAACAAAAAGAACAAATTATAATTTATTATTATTAATTATAATTATAATTAATTATAATAATTATTTATTGGGCGACCAAAATATATAAATTTAAACTTAAACTTAAAAAGAAATAGTATACTACGACTATAACAATTATAAAAGATGAGCCAACCAGGGTTGGATGGGTTCAGAAAAACCGGCCCTGGCAATTTTTCATTCAGCCCTCCCTCGGGCATTATCTTACATAATCTTACACATTTGTAATGCTATAAAAACTCCATTAAAAAAAAATAATACTTGGTAGAACCACCATTCTTCTCTATAACATTTTGTAACCTTCTAGGCATGGAACTAATTAAAGTTTGCATATCGTAATTTTCTTCCAAATTGTTCCACTCATTTTGAATTGCATTAATAAGGTCTTCTCTATTTCTTGGTCTAAATTCATATTTATATATTTTTTTTACGAGATATCCCCAAATATTTTCGATTGGGTTTAAATCGGGGCTTCTTGACGGCCAAGGAAGCGTTGTAATGTGATTTTCTTCTAGCCAATTATGAACCACATGAGCAGTGTGAACTGGCGAGTTATCCTTAAAATGAAAAAAAAAATATTTTTTTGATCAGGAGAGATATTCATAAAGTTTTATGTGTTGAAACACAAAATCATTATCAAATCTTTCTTGCACTGACGGGAGCATTACATCGTTTAAAATTTCCACGTATCGGTTCCCAGTTAATCGGCCTTCTACAATATGAATTATATCCCCTTATAGCCCCTGAAGATGATATTCACGCCCACACGTGGACAGAAAATCTTCCGCTGTTGCCAGTTTTGTGGAGGTATTCTTCATCAAACTTATGGTTTCTGGGACGATAAACTCGCAGTTGCCCATTGTAGCAGGATTGAAATATTTTTTCATCTGAAAAGACTACTCGCTCCCAATATTCAGCGTTTTGATTTAAAACATTATTTGCAAACTCCACTCTTGCCTCTTTATTAACATCCGTCAAGCGAGGCTTTTTAGCACTCACGCAGTTAAATAAACCTTGTTCTCGCAACCGTTTTCTTGCCGTCCTAACAGATGCTGGGAAGTTGGTTTCCTCTTTGGCTTGAATGGAGTTAGAAAATGGGTTTTGCCTCACATATTCAACCAACTCGTCGTTTACTGGAGTTGTCTTTCTTGGACGCCCAGAACCCATAACCCTACTCAGGTCACCAGTTTCCACCCACTTTTTGTTTAATTTTTGAATAGCGCTTTTGCTGCAGTTTATTTCATTTGCTATTTGTTGTTGAGACCATCCTCCAATTTTGGCGATAATATAGCCTTTTTCTGCTTCACTTAAAGTATGGTAAGGCATACTTAAATATTGACTTTACTTAATTTAAGATGACGTTACTTAATTTTATAAAATTATTTTTGAAATGCCACTGCTGACAACCATATTTACAACGGGAAAATTAGTCGATTACTTTTTATCGGCCGCAATAGTACGTGAAGCACCCTGTATATTAAACGTCATTTATGTGTTATGCTATACTTAATTATTAATAAAAGATACAACAATATTTGTATAAAAATGATAAAATGTACTAAACTAAACATTTATGAATACTGCTACTGCTAATTCAAAACTGATCCTGGCCACAGAAACATCATTTGCATAAAAAAGTTAATATATCAAATAATAGTCTAAAGGTTTTATTATAATTGCTATATTGCTCTCAAGCAGTAGGAATTCATAAAACCTATTTATTCTCTTAAAACCTCAAAATAATACTTATACATCGGTAGGTATGTCTAAACTGTTTTATTGTGATGGATTGAAATAAACTTGGCTTACATTGGAAGATTTCTTCTGTGTTGTTATAACACAGAAACGATGTTTATAAATACTTTTTTCGTGTTTTGTTAACAATAACCAAATACGAGGTGTGATCAGAAAATAACGGGAATTGTTAAATTTCGCGGGTTCGGAGGGTCCGGTTGTCATAACATTTTCTTTATTATGTTGGTATACATGCCCCCGAAGTATGATAAAACTTTAGCTGTGTTTTATGAGCTCGGCGATTTTTCGTTCGTTAAAAGAAATGGATCAAAGAATTTGTATCCAATTTTGCTTAAAAAATGAAATAAATTCTGTGAAATGTTAACAAAGGCCTATAGTGAGTCTGCTATAAGTAAACAAGAGTTTACAAGTGGTATAAGAGTTTCCAAGATGGCCGTGAAGACGTTGAAGATGACGAACGCCCAGAACGCTTATGCGCATTAACAACCGATAAAAACATGGAAAAAGTGGAAGAAATGGTTATAAACCATCAGAGAAGTCGCTGATGATGTTGGTGTATCGATTGGCTCATCCCATGAAATTTTTTCGAATGTTTTGTGTATGAAACGCGTGGCAGCAAAATTTGTTCTAAAATTGTTAAATTTTAAACAAAATTTTTGTCCAAAAACAATATTGTAATGATGCCCCAGCCTCCATATTCGCCAGACATGCCTCTGTCTGACTTTTTCCTATTCCCAAAAATAAAGAGAACCTTAAAGGGCCGTCGTTTTGCAAGGATAGATGACATTAAAAGTGCAATGCTGAAAGAACTAAAGGCTATCCCGAAGATCGAGTTTTAGAAGTGTTTCGAGTATTGGAAGAAGAGCTGGCACATGTGCATAATATCCAATGGGGACTATTTTGAAGGCGACAACATTAATGTAGACGAATAAATAAATATTTGTTTCAAAAAACGAAAATTTCCGATATTTTCTGAACACACCTCGTCTTATTCCGACTTAATGAGTCCTATGTTTAAGAGAAAGGTCCATTGCTTTCTATAGAGAATATTTCCGTAGAAAGTAAAGGACCTTCAATTCTAAATACTACTTATAATGCAGTTTTGCTATATCGTTTATTTTTTTAGTCAAGTTTTATTGACCGGCTGCAGATGCGTTGAATTAGACTGTTGGGATGGGGACGACGGAAATCCCTTGATCTATCACGGGCACACTTTCACTACGAAGATCCCCTTCAGTTCCGTGGTGGAAATAATTCACAGAAATGCTTTTGTCACATCGCCATATCCTGTCATTTTGTCCATCGAGAATCACTGCTCGATGCAGCAACAGACAAGAATGGCGCACATTTTTCAGGTACATACACTGTTTAAAATATCTGTGTGTAAAGAGTAATCTTAAAATGGTGTCAAAATCCAACACCAAGTGGTGTTAATATAAACACCATGAATTATGGTTGAAAATGTTATACACAGCAAACACCAAAACGGTGTTTATCTAAAAATATTTGATAAGTGCACCTACACAGAAAAAAAGGAATAGTTCATTTAACTATATTAATTTAGTTGACCCATAAGTACTTATTTAAATCAACTGTGGGAAGGTTAATATAAACAAAGATTAGTTTGATGGTACTAAACCAGATAGTTGTGTTTTTTTTAATGGCTTAAATTAACCCAGAAAACTTTTGTGAAACCAACCCGCTGTATGGTTCAGTTTACTTAATATGTTGTTTGTAAAATAAGAGTTACTTCAACCTAAAGCACTCTGTTGAAACGATTAAAACAATTTGCCGCGCATTCCTGGTTGCATAGTGTGTACCGATCGCGGCAAAGGCGGTGTGGATCACGCGATGTTCTTAAATCTCGCCTCTGTTGACTTACATGGAGAGTATATAAGCTCAGGTAGTCCTTTGCTTTGGTGTGACACTACAAGTTGTTCTATACTAAAGATACCTTAAATAGGTGGAAACAGCTGTCAATACTTGAAGTATTTTAAGTTGGTGGAACGCACTAAAAACATTATCTCTAGCGAGTGGAAGGTTCAATAATACCACTGGTAATATACTAGTAATGCGTCAAGGAACTTCCTGTTTCCTTTTTTTCTGTGTAGTAGGTATGATTTAATTTGACCAAAAACAAATAACATTTAACACTGAAAAGGAGTTTAATTTACACCAGGTAAAATTTATTTTAATACTGTGTGAAAGTTAAATTTACACCATTTTAGTATTTGAATTTACACCGGACCAACGAACCATATTTAACACCATTTTGGTTTGTATCGATATAGACCATTATGGTGTTAATTTGGTGTTAAAATGGTCATGAAATGTTTGTTACAGAGAACTTTTGGTGAAAAGTTAGTTACGAGCTTCTTATTCGAAGCAGATTACAGTGATGAACCGACGTTGCCTTCTCCTGAGCAGCTGCGAAACAGGATTCTAATTAAGAATAAGAAATTGATAATGGAAGTGCCTGCGCCCCTGCCGTTTGTTATGTCTGCGCCAGTCAGGTAAATTTAAATAAAATATGATCGAAACCCGACGAAATGTTTTAAAAGTCCAAAACCTATCATCCGTGACTGTTACTCTTTCTAGGTTAACCTGTATGTTTTCAACTATCTGAGGTAGTAAAAGCATGCTAAAAATATCACTTCACTAAGTAAATTAAACACATCCAAAGCAATCGAATCAAATATAAAATATTATTAAAAATTAAAAGAAATAATTTTTATAACGATTTAAGTAGGTGTTACAAAAATTGATTCTATCCTCCGTGAATCTGTTTTTGCTTTAAATTGTATGCAACGGATGGCTCTTTAATAAATTTAAATAAGCAAAAACCTCTGTTTACGACATTATAGATGCATGTGATGCCTGAAGGTCAGTTAGAATTTATATGCAGATGAGAGTGTTGCTGTTTTATAATTCAATAGTTTAAGTTCAATAATTTGATATTTAAAAACCTATCCACCGTGAAGGGTAATATCTCAGTTAGTAGATTTTTGTTTAAATATTTTATGTAAATATGCACAATTGTATTTTTTTAAAATATTAAGGTGTCACTTTTTATACAATAACTTATTTCAAATATACAAAGGATGTTTAAAAAAAACATACGAAACCCTAACCTCCGTGAAGCTCTAATATTCAAAATGTATGATTTCTTAAAATTTTTGCATTGTTGCAGAACCACTTATGTTATGTTATTACTAGACCTGGTGGCTTCCCAAAAACAGGGCTCCCACACCTCCTAAAATTCATAAAATTCCTAAAATTGGGCTTAAATCTTAAAAACTCCTAAAATTGCCACCAATCTCCTAAAACTCCTAAAAATTAAATATAAGTAGGCCAACTTGACTGCGTTTAATTAAGGTAGTTGTGCTAAAAAATTTCTTTTTTAAAAAGTAATTTAAAAAATATATATTTTTGGGTTCTAGTTTATTAAATTCTTTTTAAAATGATATAGGTATCACAACCTACATTTTTCTTAAAAAACAACAAAATATACCATAAAACAACATCCATGTAGTAGCTTCTAGACTTCTACAAAATTGTCATTTTTAGCCATATTTCGTTAATTTTAGACAAAAATATACCGTGTTATATATCAAACAAACTGATTTTTAATTTTCTTTTAAATGATAGCTAAAATAGTAAACAATCTAAAGAATGTTTTGCTGTACTTTATATTTTATTAAAAAAAAACTCGTCGAGCGATTTGGCTAAAAAACTAGTCAATAAAATTGGGCTTAAATCTTAAAAACTCCTAAAATTGCCACCAATCTCCTAAAACTCCTAAAAATTAAATATAAGTAGGCCAACTTGACTGCGTTTAATTAAGGTAGTTGTGCTAAAAAATTTCTTTTTTAAAAAGTAATTTAAAAAATATATATTTTTGGGTTCTAGTTTATTAAATTCTTTTTAAAATGATATAGGTATCACAACCTACATTTTTCTTAAAAAACAACAAAATATACCATAAAACAACATCCATGTAGTAGCTTCTAGACTTCTACAAAATTGTCATTTTTAGCCATATTTCGTTAATTTTAGACAAAAATATACCGTGTTATATATCAAACAAACTGATTTTTAATTTTCTTTTAAATGATAGCTAAAATAGTAAACAATCTAAAGAATGTTTTGCTGTACTTTATATTTTATTAAAAAAAAACTCGTCGAGCGATTTGGCTAAAAAACTAGTCAATATAACCTATTTGTACAAAAGAAGTGATATTTATTTATATTTTTGTTAAAAAGAATTACTTATTTTTTTCTTATTTTTTAAGTATAGTTGTTTTTATTTAATTGAATAAATTCATTTGCATACTTTTTTCTCCTAAAATTCTCCAAAAAACCTCCTAAATTCCTAAATAAAATTTGTAATTTAACTGTGGGAGCCCTGCAAAAACCCCATTCTAGACTAACAGTGAAACAACCAAAAATAAAACTGACATCTGAATATATTCACCCAATTATATTTCCAGACCTGGATCTGGCATTCGACACTCCGCTCCTGGACGAACGAGTTCTATTATAAGCAACACCAGTAGCAGTTCCTTCAATGATGACTTTAGTGACGACGAATACGATGACGAAGATGACGAGGAAACAATGGACGGTAAGTTTAAATCAAAAATGTAACCCTCATATTGCCTTGCTTAGCTTGGAACAGTTAGTCAATAAATTAAGTCATCATTAATATAATTTTATTGAACAGATGATCTTTTTAAAATCGATTTCTGAGCCAAACAATGCTGCTTAAATATTACACTATGATAGATTGAATTACTAACATTGAGTACGCCCACCTATATTACCTAATTTTGGGCTGCTGATTTCAAAAATGCCACTCGTTTTGCTACACGACGTCTAGGATTCGAAATAATTGCGTAATAAAATGCTCTGCCCAATTATCTCAAAATGTAAGTTTTTCGTTAATATTTTGATTATTTATTAAGTTAATTTGCCTTAAATCTATTTTGGATGTTCAGTATATTTTTGACGTTTTTTGTCAAAAATATACAGGGACTTCATACAAAGTTATCGGTAGATAAATGTCAGATGGAAACATTTTTGTCCCATTGTAGTATTATATAAGAGATATTTAAAAAAGCAGAAAAGTGATTTATTAAATACCAAACCTAAAATTATAATGTTTTTTTATTCAAAAATATCATTTTTTTGTGTCGTTTTTTTAATTACCTACTAATTAAATTATTATTTGATATGTTTTTATTCACATCATGCCTAAAGTACCCAAAAATTCAATCTCCAATCTTATTTATTAAGTCTTATCAAAATTTAATATCGAATTGAAGTATAAAGGCGCCTTTATCTACTTTATCGTTCAAGCACATTAAAGTGCATCTCTATTAATTTTTGACATTTAAAATTTAAACTTTAAATTGTATTTTTACTTGAAAGTGATTCTAAGAACCAAAAATGAAAAAAGAGCAGGAAATGGAAATGGTAATGGAAGTGGCAGAGAAAGAGAAAGGAGACAAACCTTAATGTTGTCGTTGTAAATTTGTTTTGTTTTTGTTGCAATATTTCATTACAAAATTTAATGAGATATACCTATAGGTATACTACTTTAATTTTGCAGGAATATTAAATGGACCTGATATACGACGTTTAATGAAAGATCAAGCATTCACAGCAAACGGAAAATTATAGAAGTGTATAGGATGACTTCGCGTTTGAATATCAAATCTTAAAGTTGTATCATAACTGTATTGAATCGTGCTTTGTTTTTATATTTTTCGGCTCTATACCTATGCATGACTATATTTAAAGTCAAACTCAATGGTGTCTTACAAGATACATTATTTTGATTTTCTATATTCAACAGAGGAGTAGAAACTCGACCCTGTCGAATGGTGCAGTCATTTATGTCTCTAGAAATTATTAAAAAAGGGTTCAGTCCAATGGTGCAGCAACTTCGGATTCCTATTCTCCTCAGAGACATAGAAACTCAAGCTTTTCGAATTTTACTGGCAATGATTTTCGTTAATGTCCCCGAGAATTATACAAAAACAGCGCAATGCAATATCGCAACGGTTTCGACTTCTCTTTACTCTACCAAGTTATAGAAACTGGAGTCTCTCTAATACTGTTCTAGTCAATATTTCTGAGAGTATAAAAGAGGGTGTAATATTGCAAGAAGTTTTGATCTTTTGATGGATGCAAGTAGTTTGAATTTTCTCCTTTCTGCATATGATTTTGTTGAAAAGAGTTCCTTTCTTTGGTTCCTTTGTCTGATTTTTAGTTACCGTAACAACTCAGTAAAGCACAGATGATATTATGTTAAGTATATTTATCTATTATATAAAGTACCTATATTTCTATTAAAAATTTCAGAGGTTATGTTGATGATCGATATGCTATTAAACTTTAATAATTTAGTAATTAGGTCTGTTGGTAGACCCTGCACTATCTCCACTGGTATATGTTAGTTTTGTAATATTTAAATCTGGTTGATGAAAAAGTACACGCCAGTGCAGGTTATTTTAGCATATACGAACAAATGAATTAATGGCCATTGGCAATTATTCCTTTAGGAAAAATATTCAACACAGCTTAAAATGAAAAAAATCACAATCATGTCGTATATAGTTTTTTTTAAGCATAAAATAATTTTTATATTAATACTAGTTCAAAAGTGAAATTACGACCTCTATACTGTGGAGAGTATTGAAACGCTCGACTGACGAATACAACTCTATACCGTGGCGAGGGTTTAGAAAACGATATTCAAACGTGGCGTCATCCTATACACCTCTATAATTTTCCGTTTGCTGTGTTCAAAAATGCTCTCAAAGTTGACGAGCTTGTCGCATATGGCAGTGTTAAAGCTGTCATTGAAAATGTTCTTGGTTCATATCGGGCCTAAACTTGGCGCCAATTCATTGAAAAAATGCTTTCCGTTTTGCAAAGAATTAGCGTTAATATGTCATTTGAAATACATTGTCTTTTTTTTTCATCCTGATAAAATTGCCGAACTGATGAACATGGAGAACGATTTCACCAAGTAACTGCAAATCTAGAGCATTGGTAGATATCTATGGGTATAGTGGAAAGAAGTTGGATTCATTGCTAGGAGAAATTTGTTGGAATTTGCAGCAACAGATGTACGACGATGATGAGGATTAAGCACAATAGTACTATAATCCAATTTGATATTTGATACGATTTAATAAATTTAAGGTAGAAAAAACCAAAATTATGCAATGCATTAAAATTTTAGTTTATTTAGGTGATTGAGCAGAGCATTTTATTACGAAATTATTTTAAATCCTAGACGTCCTAGAGAAAAACAAATGGCATTTTTTAAATCAGTGGCCCAAAATTATTAATGTTAGGGAAAAAAAGTTTCTAAAACTATCATAGTGTTATTTAATATGTGTAATGGGTCGGATCGCAAATTGCAAATATATTGTTTAAACGGTTTTCAATTGGTAAAGATATAGCACTTGATCGTAAAGAAGATTCAACACCATTATATTAAAAATGTTAACCTACACTTTAGACCTGGTGGAAATTTTTCTTTAAAAAACTGAGCTGCTTTCTCTTAAATACTTAGACTATTAGTAAGATTTGTAAGAGCGTATTTTATTTAAGAATAACTGATTACATCTCTGAATAACTCTTCTAGAAGACTGGTAAATCTTGCTATTAGTCTGACAAGTTTTTAAGAGAAAGTAGGACTTGCAGAAAAAAATGTCCACAAGGGTTTTTGACTGAACCAAAATGTATTTGCTTCGATCTGTGCCTATATGTACCTAAGTGCAATTACTAATACCATTACAGTCAATGTGTTTCTAGAGAAAGCAATGCACGGGATTCTAAACGCCAGCGACTCGCCGAAAATCTACGCGCACACACCCGTAGTTAAGGCAGTGGTTCCCAAAAGAGCAACACCCGACGACAAGCTGAAGAAAAAGAACCAAATCGCCAAGGAGTTATCCGACATGGTCGTATACGTTCAGGTGAGAGATTTACGAGTTTTTTTTTTTTTTTAGAGAGAAACGAACAATATTATTTCAGGCCATCAAGTTCCGGGGATTGAACAGCATTAGTCCTAGCAGCTCTGTGAAGCAGCGCCACAGAACGGGGATGTCTAGTTCCGGTAGTTCTACCGTGACGACGGGAAGTTCCAGCACTTCAGGCGTAGGCACGAGCGAATCCGATGTCACGGTGCACGAGTGCGACGTGAAAATGACGCGCGTAAATGTGCACACCCCGTGCTATCAGTGCTCCTCAATAAACGAGAACACGGCTAAGAAACTGTGCCGCAAGCAGCCTCTGGGGTTGATATCCCACACGCAGACGCAATTAATGCGCACATATCCCGCTGGTATGCGGATAGACTCATCGAACTTCAACCCGGTGATATACTGGTCTTTTGGCATGCAAATGGCAGCTCTAAACTACCAAACGGAAGACAGCGGGATGCAATTAAACACCTCTTTGTTCGAGCTAAACGGGCGGTGCGGATTCGTGAGCAAACCCGACGTGATGTGGGATAGAACGCACGTGATGTACAGAAGATTCAACCCGTGGGATAAGCAGTTCGACGGGATACACTCCTCCCAAATCCTCATCAACGTGGTATCAGGTCAGTATGTCTCACAAACGAACGTCAACATAAATACGTATGTTGAAGTGGAAATAGTCGGCATACAAGTAGATTGCCTCAAGCAGAAAACCAAGGTGGTACAGAAGAACGCCTTAAACCCCATATGGAACGACACCTTCCACTTTCGTGTGATGTTTCAAGACTTAGCCTTCCTACGTTTCGCTGTGATGGACTCAACCAACAATCACTTGTTAGCTCAAAGAATAATCCCGCTGAAAAGCCTAAAACCAGGGTACAGACACGTCAGACTTAGAACGCCCCAAAACAAAAGCATGAACATGTCGACCCTATTCATCTACTCCCGCGTTGAGGAGGAGAGTCTGGACAACGGGGAAAGTCACAACAACGGTGTGAAAGAAGAGTTTGTGGAGGCCGCCACTGATAAAACGTTCTTCGGCATATCCGGCACGCCCTTATGCGTGAAACGCCGCATGTTCTTCCTCATGGTGTACGGGGTTTTAACCGAGGAACCTTACACGATACTCAAAATAACGCAGGAAAGTACTACGCACGAAGTTCTCTTGCTTTGCCTGCAGAAGGCAGGAGTTGCGGTGAAGGAAGTCAACGATTACATACTCGTGGAGGAAGTGGCGAGAAGTTGGGAGAAGAAAGATTTATGTTTGCCGGCAACGCAAAGAATACTTGATTTGCACGAGAGGCCTTTACAGGCCCAATCTAAGTGGAAGGGGGAAGGCCGTTTTATACTCAAACGAATGGGTGATGATCCAAGCAGTCGAGCATGGCTATCTTCGATACGAAGCGTCGCAAATAGAGAGCGCGAGGCTAGAAAATCCGATGGTGCGCCTAGCAACGCTTGGGAGGAAAACGACACCTTTTTAGTGTGTATATACAACGTTTCCCCGGAAATACCCTACGCCATACTCAAAGTACCTCTAAACGCACGCTCTCAAGACGTCTTAGCGCAAGCTTTGGTAAAAGCACGAAGATTAGAAGACCCCTTGAAGTTTGTAATCGTGGAAGAGTTAGAATGGGGAGGCACAACTCATAACATCCAGCAACGCGTTTTAGCCGACCAAGAAACCGTGTACAGCGCTCAATCGCACTGGCAGACCATAGGGCGGTTTATAATGCAGGAAAGAACCAGCGCCACTCCAAATACATTGCGAAAAAACCGAATTGCCTCGAGTTTGCGTCTGGCCACTTTGGATCGCATCAGCCGCGGTCTGAATGTAGCCAGAAACATCAAGATGCCCGTCTCCATGGCTCTAAGCGATCCCAACACTTCAAAATGGAAAAGTAAGGGCCAGCGCGGCAAAGGTAGCTCAGAGAAGGAAACCAACGCAACCATAGCGAAGAAAACCGAACTCCGCCGCGAGGTACACTCTGAAGGCGAAACTTTAAGCGACGAGGATTCAAAGGAATCCGACTTAATGGCGACGGTATCCCGTTTGAAGAGGGTCTCGCTGCGGAAGATAAAAGAATGGAAATCATGACTGAACTGAACAGTTCGGGAGCGCATTCCAACTGTCGTCTTTTTATAGTGTTGTAGGTTGTGACGCGTGGGAATATTTACACTCTCATTCCGTCGAATTTACTGGTGGCAAATCGCGGAAGCAATGGTGCCAACTTAGCTGCTTTCCCCCAACTCAACCCTATACAAGGTGACACCTTTGTAAAAAAAACAGTAAGCTAGATTTGGGAGAGTTCTGGAAGTGTTACTCTGACTTATTAATAAAACAGTCCACAGAAAAGTGGTTAAGCGCAATAAAAATGGGTATTCAGAATTAGACATGTTGTATTTGGTTATTGTAAAAGAGAACACACAATATAAGTTTATATCAATTTATCAGTTGAGACATACGAATATCTTCTCAACGGTTAGAGTAATCAAAAAAAATCTATTTTGAATCAGTATATTTTTGACGTTTTTTGTCAAAAATATACAGGGACTCCAGCCGTATACTATAGTAGTATTAAAACTAAAATTATAATGTTTTTTTGAAATTTTTGTGTCGTTTTTTTAATTACTAATTAAATTGAAGAGGCAACAAAGTACAAGTAAATGGGTTTGGGTAAAAGAATTATTCTTAGGACCCAAAAATTTAATCTCGAATCTTATTTATTAAGTCTTATCAAAATTTAATATCGAATTGATGTATAAAGGCGTCTTTATCTACTTTATCAAGCACATTAAATTACTGACATTTAAAATTTAAACTTTAAATTGTATTTTTACTTGAAAGTGATTTTAAGAACCAAAAATGAAAAAAGAGCAAAAAAAGAGAAAGGAGACGAACATTTATGTCGTCGTTAGAAATTTTGTTTTGTTTTTGTTGCGGTACCTTTACGCCCAAGAAAACCCAACGCAATATTTCATTACAAAATTTTATGAGAAATACCTACTACTTTATTTTGGCAGGAATATTAAATTGACCTGATATACGACCTTTAATGAAGGATCAAGCATTCAAAAATGCTATCAAAGTTGACGAGCTTGTTGCATAATATGGCAGTGTTAAAGCTGTCATTGAAAATACATTTTCTTTTTTTCTCATCCTGATAAATTTGCCGAACTGATGAACATGGAGAACGATTTCACCAAGTAACTGCAAATCTAGAGCATTGGTAGACATCTATGGGTATAGCGGAAAGAAGTTGGATTCATTGCTAGAAGACATTTGCTGGAATTTGCAGCAAAAGATGTACGACGATGATGAAGATTAAGCATAATACTATAATCCAATTTGATATTTGATACGATTTAATAAATTTAAGGTAGAAAAAAGCAAAATTATGCAATGCATTAAATTTTGAGGGCTTTATTTGGATAAAAAATACTGAAACTTGTTTACTTTGTTGCCCTTTCAATTTAATAATTAAAATAAACGACAGAAAATGTCAAATAATGGCTGTTTTTTTACATAAAATAATTTAATAAATAATTAAAATACCAACAAAAAAATTACATTTTAAGGTGATTGAACAGGGCATTTTATTACGAAATTATTTTAAATCCTAGACGTCCTAAAGAAAAACTAATACCATTTTTTAAATCAGCGGCCCAAAATTAGTGAAACTAAGCTGGAGTACCTGTTTAATGTTAGGAAAAAAAAGTTTGTAAAACTATCATGGTATTATCGTTCAATGAGTTACAAATTTATTAAAAAACGATTTTTTTTTATAAATTCTTCCAACTTTGGAATATCTTTTAAATGGTTAATGAACTGCAATAAACTTGGTGTTTTATTTTACAATAACCAAATGCAACATCTCTAAATAATCCCGAATATTTATTTGTATTGCTTATTAATTAAGTCAAAATAACTCTTCCAGAAGCAGGACTTAGACAGTAGAACAATTTTTAAAAATTAACAATAAGAGTTTTGAAAGTTTACTTATTATAATACAAGTTTTAAAGATAAAGTAAAACTTTAAAAACTATTATTTGCCACTGTCTGAGGCGTCACCTTGTATATATTATCAATTTTGCTACTTTGCATAATTTAATTTATTTGGATGTCTTTCCTAATCCCCTGCAATGATATTAAATAATCTGAAACGGTCTATTATTTTAATAGTAGAACTTTGTTATCTAGCAATATAACAATTTGTTTTAACTAGTCAATCTTACATTTAATAATTTATTATTTACAACTAAACTTATTTATATATCGGATAAACAGTGTTAATTTATTTTTTTAAATAAATCCATACATATAAAAAATAAGTATATTTTTAAGGTCATAAAGATAAATTAAAATTTTTATATGTAGAAAAAAAATTTAGCTTTTTTAAACATACTTATTTTTAATAATCAAGTATTGAAGGACCCCATCAATTAAAATGGCATATCTATTTTACCACAATAACAATTTGTTTTGTGATGTTATCATGTTTAATATAGTTTATGATTAAAAAACCTAATACATATTTTATTGCTGTTATAGTTAGCTAAATAATAGATATATAAATAACAACTTATTCAACATGTATATTGTATTTATAAGATATCACAACTTACCATATCCTTCCTTACTTTTTGTTTTATTTTTCATTATTTATTAAAAATCTGCAATTTGTAAGGTAGAGAAAAAAAATCAAACCTTCGAATTTCAGATTTTAAAAAGGCTTTGTAGTTTTATATAAAACATACATGTAATAATATGATATCACAATTTAAATAATGTTGTTTTTGTAAATACATATTGATGTACTTTTTAAACTATATGAACCATAATATACTGTGTATATATAACTTATACGAAATTTGATTATTTTGCAGTACAAATTTTAATGATTATTTTTTTCGTAATATTGTTATATTTAACGATTTATAAAAATATATTACGTTAAAAATGTGGCTGTTTTTTATTTACCTTACCTCAAAAAATACTTAATTTGTTAGATGGAATATTAAAACAATTTTTTCTACTCCCACCTTTAAAACGACCTTTTGAATGCACATTGACAAGTTGTGGCTTTATGACGCTTTAGTCACGGGCAACAGGTTTTTAGTCACGGGCTGAAGTTAGTTTTAAGTTAGTTGACAGTTGTCAAATGTCATACAATCGTTAAAATACAGTGCCTTTCTTGTAAAATAATACTAAATGTGAAAATTATTTTATTATCTCAATACAAAAATACAAAAGTTTTAAATAGTTTCTCAACGCCAAAATTTGAAAAGTTTATATGAACATTGTACTGACCTTTAAATTTCGCCGGCAGTACACTACTGTTTAGTGCTCATAAAACATTTTCTTTACTTTCACTGTGAAAAACTGTCAAGTTTCAAGAAATACATTTCGATTTATAACCTTTATAAAATTTAAAAATTTGACATTTGACGGTGACACACAAATTCCCCTATTGTTTCATAGATGGCGCTCTATACAAATTTTTGATTTAAATCATTTTAAGATAATAGGTAAGTATTTTTAGTAAAAATTAAATTCGTGTATAAAATGGCGTTTATCAAACTTGATACATATTATACTATTTTATAAATTAAGGCATAAATAAATAAAACAAAGTTATAATTATTGTACTTGCTTTTATTTTTTACAGATAATCTAAAGTAAACATTGAATTTAACAACTACGTATGTACACGTATTGAAAAAAGTTTTGTGTTTTTGCTTAAAAATGTAAATCATATTGAAGCAAGTACCAATTCTTTTCGTAAATGAATCTTTTTATTAGGATGATTTATGAATGATTTTTTATAGTTGATAGATAGCATAAAACATGGATGACAACAAATTAATAGTTTTACATTTTCGGACAAAAAGCTGTTATTATTTTTTTGATTATTTTTATGTTAAATTAGTCCTAATGTAAGAAGACAACCAAAGGAATATACAAATTTTTGTAGGTGTTATTTTTCTTCTTTTCAAATATATGACACTAAAATAATAAATCTTAATATCTAATGTAATGCATGTGGTGATTGAAAGATTTTAGATACCTTAGCGAAATATTAAAAAAAATATTGTAGGTATTGATGCAAAATTTTTCAGTCACCAAATGTTCGTTCGCTACCAAGGATTTTGTCCTTTGGTCTAGTTTTATGTAACATAGATTTTTCTATGTCGCTTTTTTCACTGACTGATCAGCGACAAGGCGGTAAATAAATAATTTCAGTGAAAAAAATCGACGTTCGATATTCAACGGCACCAAATATTGCTTAAATACGGCAAGAAATTCTACGCACGAAAACACAGTTTGGAATGGTGCAGTTGATTTGCGTTCATAGCTACAGCTACAGCTAGCATTTAATTTTTTTTCTTCAAAACCCATTTAAACAATCCAAGCACTCCCACTCAACCATCAGCAAAAACTCTGCTCAGTTTTCGATATGAACTATAATGATATTTTTACCGAATGAGTTTATATTTTTATGTTTTTTTTGTTTGTTTTAAATCAATACAATATATATTATGCTTAAGAAGTATGGTTAGACTGGAGGGTCCAGACAAACAAATTTTGAGCTAAATAGACTAAATAGACAACCATACATTATATCCCCACCTATATTAAACAAAAATATCGTCCCTGTATTCTATACACATATATACAGGATTGCGAATTATGCTTTTAACCTAGCAGCACTACTCTTAAAAAATTATAGTTAAGACTATATTTAAAAACACAGCCATATTTTTTATGATTAATATAATATTTTAACTCCCAACGATTAAAATGAACAGTCTATTTAGCGATTTAGAAAATAATTTAATAGAATTGTAACCCTCGAATCTTTACATGTATGGAAAAGAAATTAAAACTATGAAACTAAATAATGTAACTAGTACTTTAGTACCCTTTTCCAATATTTATAGTACTAAATAACTAAAAAACGGCAGCTATAAAGATTAACAAAATGTTAGTCTTTTTAGTATTTTTTGATGACGTATTGCTGCTTAAATAAAACCTAGAGCTACTCTAATGCCCCTCGTTTTATACATAGATACACACACTTTTTTTATCATAAAAGGAGACATTTAGACACAAACTGTATTAATCCAAATTATTTAAGGTGTGTATTGAATTTTGTGGATCGTAAGTATGATAAAAGCCCAATAAAAACAAGGTTTTGGGAAATAAAAATAACAACAATAAAATTGGCCCCGAAAATTTCAACAAACAAAAACAATAATTTTAAAACAAAGCTCGACAACAAAAAAATATTCTGTTTAAGGGGCAACAAAATTATAACTAACGATACAACATCTAAATTTGCGGAAAGACCAAAACAAAATATATACGTGATTTATAAGACACACTTTTTGAAAAAATTAAAATGAAATTCACTAAACGAATGTAGGTTGGTACCACAAATTAAACTAAAAATAAATATTATGTTGGTACTCACTCTACATACATATCTGTACACTTAGCATATATAATAAATATACACATACAAAATCCGGCTATAGGGTCAATTTCTCCCTATAACGGTATCATACATATATCCAATACATTTGAATATTCGTATTTATAAACTAAATAAAAACCAACGTATGTTGCATAAAAGCCTGGACTGCGAAACTTTCACGAAAATTATTTAAAAAGACTAGACTAATAATCGATTTGCAGATTTACACTAAATTTTTCACTAATGCCAAACTTGTTATATAACCTAATAAAAATAATAAAAATACTGCTCATTTCGTGAAGTGTCCACCATAGACAAAACCAGAATAGAGATAGTTATGTCTCTGTGCACTAAGAATCTACAATCACCACTTTTAATCTGCGTTTTAGTATTTATTAGATTATATTTTAAATATAAAATACAACAAATAAAATTTTGAGCTGAAAAATATTGATTTTTAAAAATTTAGTTTAAATATTTTATTTTACAAAATTTTTGGTGTCAATTTGTAGTCATTTAAATTTTTAATACAAAAAATCTCAAAATACATTTAAATGTGAGTTTTAAATTTTAAAGCGATAATTTTTATATTTAAAATCATTTTAAATCCAAAAATTAACACTTTAAATGAACCAATAATTTTGTAGAATAAAATATTAAAACAACCAATATTTTAAACCTAAACTTTTACCATTGCATTTTATGTTTAAAATATTTTTTGATTTTCAATTTTGTGAGTTTACAAAAATTAAACTTTTTGGTAGAAAATGTTTTTATTTTAAATCTTCAATCACCAATTATTTTTAATCTGCGTTTTAGTATTTATTAGATAATATTTTAAAGATTAAATTTTTTCAAAACAATTGATAGTCAAAAATTTTTTAAAATATAAAATACAACAAATAAAATGTTGATTTTTAAAAATTTAGTTTAAATATTTTATTTTACAAAATTTTTGGTTTAAATTTGTAGTCATTTAAATTTTTAATACAAAAAATCTCAAAATACATTTAAATGTGAGTTTTAAATTTTAAAGCGATAATTTTTGGATTAAAAATCATTTTGAATCCTAAAATTACCACTTTAAAATTTAAAACTAACATTTAAATGAACCAATAATTTTGTAGAATAAAATATTAAAACAACCAATATTTTAAACTAAACTTTTTCTATTGCATTTTATGTTCAAAATATTTTTTGATTATCAATTTTGTGAGTTTACAAAAATTTAACTTTTTGGTAGAAAATGTTTTTATTTTCAATCTACAATCACCAATTATTTTTAATCTGCGTTTTAGTATTTATTAGATAATATTTTAAAGATTAAATTTTTTCAAAACAATTGATGGTCAAAATTTTTTTTAAATATAAAATACAACAAATAAAATTTTGAGCTGAAAAATATTGATTTTTAAAAATTTAGTTTAAATATTTTATTTTACAAAATTTTTGGTTTCAATTTGTAGTCATTTAAATTTTTAATACAAAAAATCTCAAAATACATTTAAATGTGAGTTGTAAATTTTAAAGCGATAATTTTTGGATTAAAAATCATTTTGAATCCAAAAATTACCACTTTAAAATTTAAAACTAACATTTAAATAAACCAATAATTTTTTAGAATAAAATATTAAAACAACCAATATTTTAAACTAAACTTTTACTATTGCATTTTATGTTTAAAATATTTTTTGATTATCAATTTTGTGAGTTTACAAAAATTTAACTTTTTGGTAGAAAATGTTTTTATTTTAAATCTACAATCACCAATTATTTTTAATCTGCGTTTTAGTATTTATTAGATAATATTTTAAAGATTAAATTTTTTCAAAACAATTGATAGTCAAACTTTTTTTTTAATATAAAATACAACAAATTTTGAGCTGAAAAATATTGATTTTTAAAAATTTAGTTTAAATATTTTATTTTACAAAATTTTTGGTTTAAATGTGAGTTTTTAATTTTAAAGCGATAATTTTTGGATTAAAAATCATTTTGAATCCAAAAATTACCACTTTAAAATTTAAAACTAACATTTAAATAAACCAATAATTTTTTAGAATAAAATATTAAAACAACCAATATTTTAAACCTAAACTTTTACCATTGCATTTTATGTTTAAAATATTTTTTGATTATCAATTTTGTGAGTTTACAAAAATTTAACTTTTTGGTAGAAAATGTTTTTATTTTAAATCTACAATCACCAATTATTTTTAATCTGCGTTTTAGTATTTATTAGATAATATTTTAAAGATTAAATTTTTTCAAAACAATTGATAGTCAAAATTTTTTTAAAATATAAAATACAACAAATAAAATTTTGAGCTGAAAAATATTGATTTTTAAAAATTTAGTTTTATATTTTATTTTACAAAATTTTTGGTTTAAATTTGTAGTAATTTAAATTTTTAATACAAAAAATCTCAAAATAAATTTAAATGTGAGTTTTAAATTTTAAAGCGATAATTTTTGGATTAAAAATCATTTTGAATCCAAAAATTACCACTTTAAAATTTAAAACTAACATTTCAATAATTTTGTAGAATAAAATATTAAAACAACCAATATTTTAAACTTAACTTTTACTATTGCATTTTAAGTTTAAAATATTTTGATTTTAAAGGTCTTGAAACTATTTTTAAATACCAAAAAACTTAGCCAATTTAATCTAAATAATTTTATAAAATATTTATTTAAGATTATACTTAATAAATTATTTTTATTACAAAATAATGGTAATTTTTGCAAAATTGATTGGAAATAATAGTTTAGTACAGAAGTGAACTGTTAGTTAGTAAATTTTGTATTTCTGTTAACTTTTTAATCTGCGTATTTACTTATTCAATAATAATAAAATATAAATGATTGTAAAGCTGCCTTTACTTACTGGGAAAATAAATAAATCGGTGAGATTTAAACAGTACAAGTCCAAAAGTTGAAATTTGGACAAATTATTTCATAAAATCGGTTTTATAGTTCAAAATGCGTTTTTGTGAAAATCTTCCCACAAAAATGCATTTTAAACTTATAAATTGATTTTAAAAAATGATTTTTTGGCAAAATAAAGAGACGTAATATATTCTGTTTTTGTCTATGGTGTCAGTCCTTTTGGAGGCCGAATACGACAAAAGCAGCGTCCAACGGTCGAAGGACAAGGGCGTCGCAAACGGGGGGCGTACCGCTTCCGTTTCGAGTCTGCGCTGAAATAAATATGGCAGTTGTCTTGCGTTAGTGTGCTGGCACACTAAGCGACGCTCTCCTATCGCCGTTATTTTTTTTTCGGGTGAATCGATAATGGGGGCGGTTTTTTTTATTTTTTTAGAGGGTGACCGAACGAAGAGACGGCATGGTGGACATTTGGATGAGGCAGTCTTCCTCGAGACGCGAGGCAAAGCTCCAGGAGCTGCGGCTATTTGCGTGAGGGTCCGGTACGTGATCGCTTATGTAAGAGTGGCGGCGCTTGCGTTCCTGAAAGAGAATTTAAAGCGTAGAGCGGCGGTTCTTGATCTTTAACGGCTAATGTTGTTGCCAAATTTCCAAAAAATCCCAGAATCAGGGAATTTTTTAAAATCTTATACATACATTTTGTTTTTTTTTTACTTTTTAATGTTTTTTCAAGGTGTTGTCAAATACCCTCAGTGAGTACTCTTGCACTAATTACTGTTGTTGTCAAATTTCCAAAAAATCCCATAATCTGGGAATTTTTTAAAATCTTCAGGATACATTTTGCTTTTTTAATTTTTAATGTTTTTTCATCTTTATTCTTATTGTTTTTACGGTGTTGTTAAATATCCGAAAATTTTCCAGAAATTGAAATTTTTTTTAATTTTCAGGTTACCCTCAGTAAGTCATCTTGCACTTATTACCGTTGTTGTCAAATTTCCAAAAAATCACAGAATCTGGGAATTTTTTTAAATTTTCAGGATACATTTTACTTTTTTTTACTTTTTAATGTATTTTCATCCTATTTTTTTTTTGATTTTACACTGTTGTCAAATATCCGAAAATTCTCAAAAATTACGATTTTTTTAAATTTTCAGGATACATTTTGGTTTTTTTTACTTTTTAATGTTTTTTTCATCTTAATTCATTTTTGTTTTTACGGTGTTGTCAAATATCCGAAAATTCCAAGAAATTGTTTTTTTTTAATTATCAGGATACCCTCAGTAAGTCATCTTGCACCAATTACCGGTGTTGCCAAATTTACAAAAATTCCAGAATCTGGGAATTTTTTAAAATCTTCAGGATACAATTTGCTTTTTTTTACTATTAATGTTTTTTCATCTTACTTTTTTCGTTTTTACGGTGTTGTCAAATATCCGAAAATTCACAGAAATTGCGATTTTTTTTAATTTTCAGGTTACCCTCAGTAAGTCATCTTGCACTTATTACCGTTGTTGTCAAATTTCCAAAAAATCCCAGAATCTGGGAATTTTTTAAAATTTTCAGGATACATTTTACTTTTTTTTACTTTTTAATGTATTTTCATCCTAATTTTTTTTTGATTTTACACTGTTGTCAAATATCCGAAAATTCTCAAAAATTACGATTTTTTTAAATCTTCAGGATACATTTTGCTTTGTTTTACTTTTTAATGTTTTTTCATCTTATTTTTTTTGTTTTTACGGTCTTGTCAAATATCCGAAAATTCCCAAAAAATACGATTTTTCTAAATTTCAGGATATCCTCAGTAAGTTATCTTGCACCAATTATCGGTGTTGCCAAATTTACAAAAAATCCCAGAATTTTCAGGATACATTTTGCTTTTTTTTTACTTTTTAATGTTTTTTCATCTTAATTTTTGTTTTCTTTTTACGGTGTTGTCAAATATCCGAAAATTCCCAGAAATTGGGATTTTTTTAAATTTTCAGGATACTCTCAATAAGTCGCACTAATTACCGTTGTTGCCAAATTTACACAAAATTCCAGAATCTGGGAATTTTTTAAAATTTTTAGGATACATTTTGTTTTTTTTTTACTTTTTAATGTTTCTTTCATCTTAATTTATTTTTGTTTTTACGGTGTTGTCAAATATCCGAAAATTCCCAGAAATTGGGATTTTTCTTAATTTTCCAGTTACCCTCAGTAAGTCATCTTGCACTTATTACCGTTGTTGTCAAATTTCCAAAAAATCCCAGAATCTGGAATTTTTTTAAAATTTTTAGGATACATTTTGTATTTTTTACTATTAATGTTTTGGTTTTTACGGTGTTGTCAAATATCCGAAAATTCCTAGAAATTGGGATTTTTCTTAGTTTTCAGGTTACCCTCAGTAAGTCATCTTGTACTTATTACCGTTGTTGTCAAATTTCCAAAAAATTCCAGAATCTGGGAAGTTTTTAAAATCTTCACGATACATTTAGCTTTTTTTATTTTTTAATGTTTTTTCATCTAATTTTTTTTGTTTTTACAATGTTCCCAGAAAGTGGGATTTTTTTAAAATTTTCAGGATACCTTCAGTAAGTCATCTTGCAGTAATTAACGTTGTTGCCAAATTCCCATAATCTGGGAATTTTTAAAATTTTCAGGATACATTTTGTTTTTTTTTTACTTTTTAATGTTTTCCATCTTAATTTTTGGTTTGTTTTTACGGTGTTGTCAAATATCCGAAAGATTCCAGAAATTGGGATTTTTCTTAATTTTCAGGATCCCTTCACTAAGTCATCTTGCAGTAATTAACGTTGTTGCCAAATTTACAAAAAAAATCCCATAATCTGGGAATTTTTTAAAATTTTCAGGATACATTTTGCTTTTTTTTACTTTTTAATGTTTTTCATCTTATTTTTTTTTGTTTTTAGGGTGTTGTTAAATATACGAAAATTCCCAGAATTTGGGATTTTTTTTAAATTTTCAGGATACCCTCAGTAAGTCATCTTGCACTAATTACCGTTGTTGTCAAATTTACAAAAAATCTAGAATCAGGGATTTTCTTAAAATCTCTAGGATAAATTTTGCTTTTTTTTACTTTTAAATGTTTTTTCATCTTAATTTTTGTTTGTTTTTACGGTGTTGTCAAATATCCGAAAATTCCCAAAAAATACGATTTTTTTAAATTTGAGGATACCCAAAAATTCCAAGAAATTGGGATTTTTTTTTAATTTTCAGGTTACCCTTAGTAGGTCATCTTGCACTAATTACCGTTGTTGCCAAATTTCAAAAAAATTCCAGAATCTGGTAATTTTTTTAAATCTTCAGGATACATTTTGCTTTTTTTTACTTTTTTATGTTTTTTCATCCTAATTTTTTTTTGTTTTTACGGTGTTGTCAAATATTCGAAAATTCCCAGAAATTGAGATTTTTTTTTAATTTTCAGGATACCCTCAGTAAGTCAACTTGCACTAATTATCGTTGTTGTCAAATTTCCAAAAAATTCTAGAATCAGGGATTTTCTTAAAATCTCTAGGATAAATTTTGCTTTTTTTTACTTTTAAATGTTTTTTCATCTTAATTTTTGTTTGTTTTTACGGTGTTGTCAAATATCCGAAAATTCCCAAAAATTACGATTTTTTTAAATTTGAGGATACCCAAAAATTCCAAGAAATTGGGATTTTTTTTTAATTTTCAGGTTACCCTTAGTAGGTCATCTTGCACTAATTACCGTTGTTGCCAAATTTCAAAAAAATTCCAGAATCTGGTAATTTTTTTAAATCTTCAGGATACATTTTGCTTTTTTTTACTTTTTTATGTTTTTTCATCCTAATTTTTTTTTGTTTTTACGGTGTTGTCTAATATTCGAAAATTCCCAGAAATTGAGATTTTTTTTTAATTTTCAGGATACCCTCAGTAAGTCAACTTGCACTAATTATCGTTGTTGTCAAATTTCCAAAAAATTCTAGAATCAGGGATTTTCTTAAAATCTTTAGGATAAATTTTGCTTTTTTTTACTTTTAAATGTTTTTTCATCTTAATTTTTGTTTGTTTTTACGGTGTTGTCAAATATCCAAAAATTCCCAAAAATTACGATTTTTTTAAATTTGAGGATACCCAAAAATTCCAAGAAATTGGGATTTTTTTTAAATTTTCAGGTTACCCTTAGTAGGTCATCTTGCACTAATTACCGTTGTTGCCAAATTTACAAAAAATTTCAGAATCTGGTAATTTTTTTAAATCTTCAGGATACATTTTGCTTTTTTTTACTTTTTTATGTTTTTTCATCCTAATTTTTTTTTGTTTTTACGGTGTTGTCAAATATTCGAAAATTCCCAGAAATTGAGATTTTTTTTTAATTTTCAGGATACCCTCAGTAAGTCAACTTGCACTAACTAATTAACGTTGTTGTCAAATTTACAGAATCTGGTAATTTTTTTAAATCTTCAGGATTTTTTGTTTTTTTTACTTTTTAATGTTTTTTCATCCTATTTTTTTTTGTTTTTACGGTGTTGTCAAATATTCGAAAATTCCCAGAAATTGAGATTTTTTTTTAATTTTCGGGATACTCTCAGGAAGTCAACTTGCACTAATTAACGTTGTTGTCAAATCTTCAGGATTTTTTGCTTTTTTTACTTTTTAATGTTTTTCATCCTTATTTTTGTTTGTTTTTACGATGGTCAAATATCCGAAAATACCCAGAAATTATCAGAATACGCTCAGTAAGTCATCTTGCACTAATTATCGCTGTTGCCAAATTTCCAAAAAATTCCAGAATCTGGGCATTTTTTTAAATCTTCAGGATACGTTATCCTTTTGTTACTATTAATGTTTTTCATCTTACTTTTTTGGTTTTTACGGTGTTGTCAAATATCCGAAAATTTCCAGAAATTGTTTTTTTTTTAATTTTCAGGATACCCTCAGTAAGTCATCTTGCACTAATTATCGCTGTTGCCAAATTTCCAAAAAATTCCAGAATCTGGGCATTTTTTAAAATCTTCAGGATACATTTTGCTTTTTTTTACTATTTATGTTTTTTCATCCTATTTTTTTTTTATTTTACGGTGTATTCGAAAATTCCGAGATTTTGGGATTTTTTTTAAATTTTCAGGATACCCTCAGTAAGTCAACTTGCACTATTAACGTTGTTGTCAAATTTCCAGAATCTGGTAATTTTTTAAAATCTTCAGGAGTTTTTGCTTTTTTTACTCTTTATTTTTTTTTCATCCTAATTTTTTTTTTGATATTACAGTGTTGTCAAATATCCGAAAATTCCCAGAAATTGAGATTTTTTTTAAATTTTCAGGATACCCTCAGTAAGTCAACTTGCACTAATTAACGTTGTTGTCAAATTTCCAGAATCTGGTAATTTTTAAAAATCTTCAGGATTTTTTGCTTTTTTTACTCTTTAATGTTTTTTCATCCTAATTTTTTTTTTGATTTTACGACCGTAACCAACACCGGTGTTGTCAAATATCCGAAAATTCCCAGAAATTGGGATTTTTTTAAATTTTCAGGATACATTTTTTTTTTGTTACTTTTTAATGTTTTTTCATCTTAATTTTTTGTTTGTTTTTACGGTGTTGTCAAATATCCGAAAATTCCCAGATATTGGGACTTTTTTTTAATTTGGCAAAAAATTGAAAACAAAAAAACGTCCATGCTCGAGAATTGTATTGGGACTGTCCTAAAAACGTCCTTAAAACCCGAAACTGCTTAAAATCGTCTTACCTTGGGGACAAGAAACGTGGCAACGTCGCAGGCGATCTCGTTGGCGGCCGGCAGATCGTCGCGATAGCACCTTTGCGCGCTGCTGAGGTCCGAGAGCAGCTGATCGCCGTCGTTGGAGATGTCCTCGCGCAGCTGCGAACGCAGCTGCGAGCGCAGCTCGTCGGGCGGCGGCGCGGCTCGCGACGGCGGCTGCCCGCCGTCGCAGGCCGTCTGCCCGAGACAGGCCTGGCACACGTCGCCGCCGCTCCAGATGTTGCGCATGCTCAGCCCGCCCCAATCCGACGCTTTCGTCTGCAAAACGGACGTTTCGTGAGTGTTGAAAAATCGAAAAATTCAATTAAGCAAAACTTTGACAACAACTTTGAGCTTTTTTAAGAAAAAAAGAACACAAAAACCGTTCAAAAAAATTACCCCAATTTTCAGCTTTTTTGAGGAAAAACATAAAAAACGTAAAACGAGAAAGATAAAACAGATTTTATATTAAAGGTGTCGCGACTAAACACGGTGGTCAAAACTTAAGTATAGGACGAACAAAAATGCCAACCACAATAGCATATTTTGATTATAGACCCTTTTGGTAACACTAACATGTATTTATCAAAATCCCAGCTGATCCTATTTTAAAGTTTTGCAAACTTTTTTGTTTTTCTATTTCTATATATTATTTTGCAATTATTGTACTAAAACTACCTGTACGAATTTTAATAAAATTAAGCAAAATAATAAACTTTGTATCATTTAAATTACTTTACTCCCCAGTATTAATTTATTGAGTCACCTATTATTTTTTACCACTCAAAACAAAACATAACAAAAAAAACGAAGATTTATATCTTAAATATTTTTTATAACAAAAAATACTGGAAGTTTGTCTATGAAATAATTACAACTTGCAAATTTTGTAAAACAATAATTAAGGTGGTTATGAAAAAAATTGCTATACGTTATAATGCAAGTGACATTTTGCTTTAGTTGTTTATTTAATGTCTACTTTACAAAGTTAAAAATAGTTTTTTAAAATGAAAATTAAACCGAAATTCAAGTTAAGCCATGAAGAAAATCAAAAGAAGGTATGTGCTGGCTGTGGAGACAAAATTGTTTTTGCTAATCGAAAAATTCAGAGTTTAGGGTTTCTGAGAAAATATAAAAATTACTGCAGACTTTAACTTAAGTGATTCAAAATTACCTACTTCAATATGGTAAAAACGGTATTTTTGCATAGCCACAATTGCCAAATTTTCAAAATTTAGAAATTGCTAGAGAATTTCGCGGCAGCCAAGAATGTATGTGCTTTATCTGCAAAATGGCAAGATATAACGGGCATACAAAATTATTAACTAAAGTTTTGATATGCTCTTCCTTTCTAGGGGATATCGCTAGATGTAAGAAGCATGTTTGTACAGAGACTGAAGAATTTAAAAATACTGTTTCCATGTTAAAAACAATTCCATGGAAAACCCAAGAAAAAGTTTTACTGAAAATTTAAGGCAAGCAGTAATCGATTTTGCTTCAAAGAATCTTTAGTTATTTATTAGTTTTGTATTAGATACCTTAAAACAATAATTAAGATGTTGCAAACTGTATTTTACATAATTTTGTATTTATAATGTAATTTATCCATATTTCAGTCATGTATCTGCCAAATTTTTAAAAACATTTAATACTGGTACTAGAGTATTTTATCGAAATAGCATAAACAATTTTAAAATACTAAGAAATATGCAAAACTTTAATAAAGGATCAGGTGGGATTTTGATAAATACATTTTTGTGTTACCAAAAGAGTCTTTAATCAGATTATGCTATCAGTTTTGGTTGGCATTTTTGTTCGTCCTTTACTTTAGTTTTGACCACCGTTTTGTAATTTTTGAAAAATAGAAAAATTCAATTTAGCAAAACTTTGACAACATTCAGCTTTTCTAAGAAAAAAGAACACTAAAACCGTTCTAAAAAAATTACCCCAACTTTCAGCTTTTTTGAGGAAAATCATAAAAAAAATGTTAAACAATAAAGATAAAACATATTTTATATTAAAGGTGTCGCGACTAAGGTACTTGAAGAAAAAATGTAAAAACGAGGAATTTCTTGATAAATATAAATAAATGTGAAAACAGGGAAGATAAAACAGATTTTTCCGGTAAATATAAAGTTGTGACGACTAAGGGATAGAAAAAATATAGAAATGGGGAGTAGAAAAACAAATCTCTCAATAAAAAAAGGTATTTGGAAAAAAATGTAAAAACCGAAAAAGTTATTAATTTTTTTGAAAATTTAACAAATTTGAAAGATTTAAAAAAAATTCAAATACTAATTTCCAACAACTTTTTTTGAAATTTCATTTTAGCAAAACTTTGACAACAAATTTCGCCCCAACTTTCAGCTTTTTTAAGAAAAAAAGAACACAAAAACAGTTTAAAAAAAATTACCCCAACTTGCAGCTTTTTTGAGGAAAACATAAAAAAAATATATAAAACGAGAAAGATAAAACATATTTTATATTAAATGTGTCGCGACTAAGGTACTTGAAGAAAAAGTGTAAAAACGAGGGACAAATATAAAAACAGGGAAGATAAAACAGCTGCAATTTTTTTTTAATATTTTAAAACATGGTAATATTTACCTGAGCACTTCTGGGCCAATCCGTGTTCCAAGCAAGCATATTGTTGTTACTGCAGGCTTCGCAGCCTCTGCTCTCGTAGCGCCACAATATTTCGGACATCATGCTTTCCGGCCTTCCATTGATATTGTAATTATTATTATTATTATTAAAGGGGTGGACGGCGCATGCGCCGGTCCCAGAATAGTCCGTGTTCATTGCGGTTTTGTGCTCCGATTGGTGGGGACAAGTGCACAGTTTCAAATCGTCTTCTTCGGGCGAAGAAATGGGGCAAGCAGTTGGGATAACTGAAGAAAAAGAGTCAAATTTCAGCATGCACATCTATACAATCTTTAAAAAAATGCAAATTTCCCAATTTTTTCGTTGGCTCAATTTTTTCGTATAACCCTTTGAATAAAATGAAAGAAATGCAAAAGTGAATTTTTCTAAAAATTTCACAAAAAAACGTTTTATCCGCCGCACAGTGTTTCAATTCTGGAAAATATCGACAAAACCTCAAAAATTGACATTTTTTTTCAGGTAAATTTTGAGTTAGATGGGTAGTTAATACCTGTCTCCATCCTGTATTGAAAAAAAATACGTATATTTTGTCTTGTACATCAGTTTAAACTTGACGCTTTCAGTTGAAAGTACTTTATACGCGATCGCTGCGAAAAATTGTTTATTGTTTAAAAGAGAATAACTTGTGTTTGGTGTGTCCGATTGTTATGTGGTTTGATGAAGGGTGATCTTCAAGGTATCTAAAATTCAGATAAGTATTTGTTTTTCGTAGATTTTGCTTGTACAACGGGTTATTGTAACCGACAAGATCGGTCTGTTAAAATCGCAAACTTTGAATCGAGCTTTTAGAACAATGGAGCTACAAAAATTGTAATGAATTGTAAGGCATCAGTTCAAGATCCGTTGAATAGCTTAGAGTTTTGTCTATCAAGCCATCAATAAATTAGCTGCCCCAACTTGCCCCCGGCTTTTTTAATACTACATGTTCTTGGGCGCTCAGGCACGGTTGTGGTAAAAAACCTTGCGATTTTAAGCCTATGTCGAGCGCGTATCTGTGTTTTTGCCTTACAAAATATAAGTTTTTTATTATTTCTGGGTTGCGTTCATGACGTTTACTCGATTCACTCGGATTTAACTCAAAACGTTTATTACAACAGCGGTGTCTAGACTTTCACTTGCGTAAATCGTTCGTGACTACTAAGATATTTAACACCGATTTTACATATTTAACCCACCTCTTGTAGGTGCGTTAAAAAAACTCCGCATGCGCATTGTAGTGTGTTAATGTCAAATTTGAATTGTGGTTATTTGTATTGATAATTTTTTTTAGCGAATTAAGAAATCGTTGCTAAAATATTAAGTAAAAGAAATAATACAAACAAAAAATACATACAAAAATCAAAAACCTACCTTCTTGTTCAAAGGGTTCTTCCATGTAAAGCGCGGAATCAATGCTCTCGGGACCGCTGGCCGCGCAAGACGAAAACTCGTCGTCAGTTTGACAGGCCTTATCGTTTTGGCAGATGCTGAATTTAAGCACGAAATCTTCGTTTGATTCCTCCGAGTGAGAATCCGAGTTTTCTTCCAGGTAATATTTGCAGTACTTTTTGCTGTTACCCTGCTCAGTTTCCAAGTACATAGAGCCGCTATCGCTTCTCACATAATTCACCTGAAATATAAATGATCTCGTGTCATTTATATTCGAAACGTATAGTTTTGGTATCCACTCAGTAGTTCGATACTGGCGATTTTATTAAGTTAAAAAAGCCTTTTTTTTTACAAAAATCGAGGTCGAAAATTTACATATCTTTCTGGGAAAGATAGAAATCGAAAAGATAAGTCCAGTTTGATTTATTTTACGTATAGATTATACTTAAAGGAAAAAATAAGCTGCTGTTTATAAAAATCCATGGATAAATGGCGAAGTTGTGAATTTTTCAGTGGAAGAGCAAAATTCAGTTTTGATTTTAAAAAATTCTGGCTCCTTCTTTGTTTTTTGTTGCTTTCGTATTCCGTTTCTCGTATGAGGGACCAAATGTAATCACCCATCATGGCTGCATCCCAGAAGCCGTGATACCGCCGCTCCATAGCCTTCATTTGCTGGTGAAAACGTTCTCCGTGCTCATCACTTACGTCGCCCAGATTGTCCGGGTTATTTACGCACTCGAACTCTCTACTTCTTTTACTCATTTTTCACTTTTTATTTACTAAATAAAACCATGATAAAAATACCTTGTTGAAATATCAAAAAATTGCAGTGAAATGTCACTGCCAACACGAGAAACAAAAGAATTCACGTTTTCGGAGTCATGTCAAATTTAAATTTTGAATAATGTTTTCGGTGAAATAGTACGTAAAAAACATAAAACATATTACAAAATAAAAGAACAAAATAAAATAAAAATCGTCAGGAAGCAGAATTTTGGTCTTCCACTAAAAAATTCGTAACTTCGCCATTTTTCCATGTATTTTTATCAACATTAGCTGTTTTTTTTTTGTAAAAATGTCAGCTTCACGAAAAAAAATCAAACTGAAGTTATCTGTTTGATTTAAACCCTTCCCAGGACGATATGTAAATTTTCGACCTCAATTTTTGCCATAAAAATCGCTAGCGTCAAAATACTTATCCAATATCAAAAGTATGCAAAATAAAGTTTTAGAGGGCTCAAATGCCTCCAATTTAACACGGTGATCAACTTAAGTATAGGACGAACAAAAATGCCAACCAAAACATATTTTGATTATAGACCCTTTTGTTAACACTAACATGTATTTATCAAAATCCCAGCTGATGCTATTTTAAAGTTTTGCAAACTTTTTTGTTTTTCTATTTCTATATATTATTTTGCAATTATTGTACTAAAACTACAATTTTAATAAAATTAAGCAAAATAATAAACTTTGTATCATTTAAATTACTTTACTCCCCAGTATTAATTTATTGAGTCACCTATTATTTTTTACCACTCAAAACAAAACATAACAAAAAAAAAATGAAGATTTATATCTTAAATATTTTTTATAACAAAAAATACTGGAAGTTTGTCTATGAAATAATTACAACTTGCAAATTTTGTAAAACAATAATTAAGGTGGTTATGAAAAAAATTGCTATACGTTATAACGCAAGTGACATTTTGCTTCAGTTGTTTATTTAATGTATGTAGGGATTTAGTTGCTAGATTATTTTAAGAATAAGAAGTCCGTAAACTTTAAATTAAAAATAGTCGTTTATTAAAAATATTAAGTTAAACAACAAATGAAACTAAAAGTAAATATAATACGTCTTAATACAACGACGGTCGCGTTAAATCTGACTTAGGTACTATTACAAATCTTTGGGGTTACTTCATATTCCCACGCATCTATTTTAGTCTTTTACGTTATCTACACTTTCACACACATATTATCAGTCCTAGACCCTTGCGGTCGTTTGAAAACAACGTATTGAACTTAAACACTTGACGCCTAATTTTAACCTACATAAATAAAAGTCTTTAAATCTAAACATTCTCACAGAGCCTGGGAAAATTCCGATGCTACATTCGGCCATCCTGCAATGACCTCTGTCCTCAGAGGTTATCCTCGGCTTCTTCGTCGCTGGTTAGGACACCCTCATCATAGCTGGCCCATGGCTTCATATTATCCGCCGAACAAGATGTTTCCCTGGGTCCTTCGTGTTCTCCAACTTTTATGACCGTATAGCGGTCATGTCGCATAACGCCATTAATCTTGTACGGTCCTAGGAATTTGCTACGCAGCTTTGACCCAGGTATAAACTGCGTTCGTTTGATTGCCACCATATCGCCCTCCTTGTATTTAGTAGCTGCCTTACGCCTCCGGTTGTAACCCCTTTGATTTTCCTCCTGCGTTTTGGCTATTTTCTGCTTCGCTGCCTCTCTTAGTTCGTCACGATGTTCCTCAAATCTGGTTACCCATTCTTCTTCCACTAACTCGCGGACTCGCGGGTCGTCTTTAATACGCATATTTACTCCAAATAATAGTTGAAATGGAGCTTTCCCCGTACTGCGACTTGGGATGTAATTTAAATATCGTTGGACATCTTCAACGTATTTGAACCAACTTTCAGGGTGGGGGGCGGCAAGTTTTGTAAGAAGAGGGATTATGGTACGGTTCACCCTTTCTACCTGACCATTGCCCCTGGGTACGCCTGTCACTATTAACACGTGGTCAATGTTTTCTTCGAGGCAATAATCTTTAACGGCACGTGCCGTAAATGCTGTCCCTCTGTCAGATATAATCCTCTTTGGGTTACCAAATACAGATGACTGTTTCTTAAGTCGGTCAATGACCTCTGCGCTATCTGTTGACTTTGTTGGATACAGCCACACAAATTTTGTGAATGAATCAACCACTACAAACAGATGCTGATATTTCTTTTTTGTTGCCGTCATAGGCCCCAGATGATCCACATGGTATGTGTTTAAGGGTGCATCACCTTTATTAATAGGGTTTAACAGCCCCTCTGGTTTTCCGTGTTTTCGCTCAGCCAGTATACAGTTAATACAATTTGACACCACTTTTTCTACTTTTTCGCGTAATCCCGTAAACCAAAAGTCTCTGCGAACTATAGCTTCCGTCTTATTTACACCAAAATGTCCGCGTTCATGAGCTTGGCGCACAACTTGTATTTGCATTGTCTTGGGTACCACTAACAACAAATCATCCTTTACCACTTTATATAAAAGTCCATGTTGCACAACATAACCGCGTAGTTTACAACGCTCATTATCTTCTACCAACGTGCGAATTTCTTCGTCTTCACTTTGCGCTTTTTTGAGGTTTACAATTAGTCCATTGTCATTATCACTTATTAGTAAAACACTTGGTAACGGATTACGACTTAGTGCATCCACATGCTTCATGTTGTTGCCCGGTCTATGAATTACTTCATAGTTAAACTCTTCTAACAATAACGCCCATCGCGCTACACGCACACACAAGTCTTTCTTTTTCATAGTCATTGCAAACGCTTGACAATCCGTATATATCTTAAAGGGAATTCCTAGCAGGTAAACCCTAAACTTTTTTAACGCCTTCACAATAGCCAACACTTCTAATTCGTAACTAGAGTATTTTTCTTCAGCGCTCGTCGTTTTACCACTCGCATAATAAATCGGGTGAAATTGTCTGTCGACACTGTCGCGTTGCATTAATATCACTCCGTAACCGCGTCGCGACGCATCCGCATGAAGCTCCGTATCGGCACCCACACGATATAACCGTAAAACTGACCCGTTAGTTAGCGCTGTCTTTAAAGTTTCAAAGGCTTCCACTTCACGCACTTCAAAATTAAATTTAGTGTCCTTCTTTAATAAATCTGTGAGAGGTCGTGCTATTAAAGAATACCGTGGTATAAATTTACGAAAATATCCTGTCAACCCCAGGAAACTTTGTACTGTCTTAACATTTGTCGGTTTCGGAAAGTTCATCACCGCTTTTGTCTTGATTTCTGACGGCCGCACTGTATTGTTACTTACAATATGACCTAGATATTCAATTTCCTTTCGTAAAAATTGACACTTACTCCAATTAATTTTTAACCCGTGTTTTGCCGCGACTTCTAACACTACTTTAAGTCTTTCGATTGCTTCTTTGTTATTATTTGCGGGTATTATCACATCGTCGATATAAGTCACTACAATCTTACGTTGTATTAGATCCTTAAACACCGCATTTATAAACTTTTGAAAATATGCCGGCGAAACACTTAGTCCAAACGGTGTCTTTAAAAATTCGTACTGACCGGTCGGCGTTACAAAAGCCGTGTATTTTTGACTCGGTTCTTCGACTGGCACATGGAAAAAACCATTTTCCAGGTCGATCGTCGTAAATATTATTGCACCTTGTAATGAATCTATTTGATCCTCTATCAGTGGCAGCGGGAACTGCAATCGTTCAATTTTCTTATTAAGTGCCCTGTAGTCCACACATACTCTTGTCGTACCATTTTTCTTTTTAACAAGGACTATAGGACTCGCATATTCCGAGGTTGAAGGTCGAATTATGCCATTGTCCAGCCAATCCTGAATAACACTTTCAACTTCGTCTCTTTCTGCTGGTGACAGTCTTCTCGGTCTGGCAGCCACTGGAATATCGTCTTTCACAATAATTTTCGTTTGAATCCCGACGCTACACGTTTTCTCGGGCTTATAAGTATTAATTAATTGTTTTAGTCTTTCGCGATCACTTGGTTCTTTAATCTGTGACATATCCACATTTGTTACGTCTACTATGTTAATATTATATATTTCCGGCACATCTGGATTATTATTAACTTCTAACTTCGCGAAAGTAACGTTTCCTCCTTTTACTCTTAATTCCACCTTGTTTAAAAAGTCTGTTCCTAACAATAGGCCTCGTTTTAAAATTGTACTACTAACTACATGAAACGTAATAGGGTATTCTTCCCCATCGACCATAACTCTTGCGGAAAATTCACCTATCGTTTCATTACCGATAGAGCCAAGTCCCTCGAATTTAATCTTGCGGTTTAGCAGCTCAGGTGATCCAATTTTGACATATTCGTCTGTCCTCATAAAAGTAAGATCGCTGCCTGTATCTACAAGCGCCGTAAACTTTTGACCCCCTATCACTACGTCTTTCATGTATTTTTTATCTCCTGGTCGCGACACTAGATTTGCTTCTTTTGCTTTTGTGGGACAAACTGTTGCTTTGTGTCCATGTTCGTTGCATTTAAAGCACTTGACACCCTTGTCCTTCACTGGACAGTCTGCACTTACATGATTTTTATCACCACAATTAAAGCACCGCCTCGTTTTTGTCGCTGCCGCAGCTGTCGTTGACACTGCCGTCTTTTTTTGGGTTCCTTTGCTCTCGTCTCTCCGTTCTGCAACTTTTGCTTTGTTTTTCATTTCTCTTTTCATACCTTCATATTGCAAAAATCTCTCTTTCAGTTGCTTTATAGTCTTAGCTCCGTATAAAATAGACTTGTTAACCGCATCGTCAGCGATTCCTTCTATTATGTACTGAATTACGGACGACTTTTCGACCTTTGCCGGTGCCGCAATTTCCAGCATTTTGTAGACGTATTCCTGGTATGTTTCGGTCGTCTTTTTTTTTCTTTCTTTCAACTTTGCGTGAACTCGATGACTATCTACTCGGTCGTCAAATTCATCTCTTAGCGCTCGTTTCAGTCGATTCCACGACTTCGCACACCTTTCGTAAATAACGAATAGTCTGGCTGATCCTGTTAATAATCTTTTTGCGTATGCCACCTTTTGTACTTCGGTCCATATGCACATTTCGGCCATATCCTCGAAATCTTCGATCCACCGTCGCACATCAGCCTGGTCGTCTCCACTGAATTTCTCGAGGGATTCTTCAACGTCCCTAAAGGTTAACTGCACGCACGGCCTTGCGCGTGACCTGTTGCGGACATTCGGCGTTAACCTTTCTTCATCTTCTTCGTCGTAATGGGCGTTGCGCTGACTGCTCTCTGCCCGCTCCGCCAATTCGTCGTCGTGTTGTCCGTCGTCTTCGCCGTCGTCTTCGGCGTCGTCTTCTTCTTCGTCGTCTTCGGCGTCGTCTTCTTCTTCGTCGTCTTCGTCGTCGTTGTGACCGTCATCTTCTGGTTCGTTTTCTCGAACCCCGTGATTTCTTAATAGTGTTAGCGCATCCATAAGGCGATCCACCAGCTCTCGCTTTCTTCCCGACACTCGTAGTTGACGTCGTCTTAGCTCTTCTTTGAGCTCAGGAACTGTCATGCGAAGCACTTGTTCGTCTTCGATGTCTACTAACCCTCCATTTTTGTCGTATTCCATGTTTCACTTTTGTTTATTACACTTTTCAACTTCTCACTCGCGAATAACCGTTGCTAAATCCACTTAAGTGTAGATTGGCTAAATCAATCCCGTTTGAGCCCCCAAAATTTGTAGGGATTTAGTTGCTAGATTATTTTAAGAATAAGAAGTCCGTAAACTTTAAATTAAAAATAGTCGTTTATTAAAAATATTAAGTTAAACAACAAATGAAACTAAAAGTAAATATAATACGTCTTAATACAACGACGGTCGCGTTAAATCTGACTTAGGTACTATTACAAATCTTTGGGGTTACTTCATATTCCCACGCATCTATTTTAGTCTTTTACGTTATCTACACTTTCACACACATATTATCAGTCCTAGACCCTTGCGGTCGTTTGAAAACAACGTATTGAACTTAAACACTTGACGCCTAATTTTAACCTACATAAATAAAAGTCTTTAAATCTAAACATTCTCACAGAGCCTGGGAAAATTCCGATGCTACATGTATACTTTATAAAGTTAAAAATAGTATTCTAAAATGAAAATTAAACCAAAATGCAAGTTAAGCCGTGAAGAAAATCGAAAGAAGGTATGTGCTGGCTGTGGAAACAAAATTGTTTTTGGTAATCGAAAAATTCAGAGTTTAGGGTTTCTGAGAAAATATAAAAATTACTGCAGGCTTTTTCAAACGAACACTTTAACTTAAGTGATTCAAAATTACCTACTTCAATATGGTAAAAACGGTATTTTTGCATAGCCACAATTGCCAAATTTTCAAAATTTAGAAATTGCTAGAGAATTTCGCGGCAGCTAAGAATGTATGTGCTTTATCTGCAAAATGGCATAAAAAATTATTAAGGGAAGAGGACGGACGAACGAACTAAAGTTTTGGTATGCCCTTCCTTTCTAGGGGATATCGCTAGATGTAAGAAGCATGTTTGTACAGAGACTGAAGAATTTAAAAATACTGTTTCCATGTTAAAAACAATTCCATGTAAAACCCAAGAAAAAGTTTTACTGAAAATTTAAGGCAAGCAGTAATTGATTTTGCTTCAAAGAATCTTTAGTTATTTATTAGTTTTGTATTAGGTACCTTAACACAATAAATAAGATATTGCAAACTGTATTTTACAAATTTTTAAAAACATTTGACAATGGTACTAGAGTATTTTATCGAAAAGGCATAAACAATTTTAAAATAATAAGAAATATGCAAAACTTTCATAAAGGATCAGCTGGGATTTTGATAAATACATTTTTGTGATACCACAAGAGTCTATAATCAGATTATGCTATCAGTTTTGGTTGGCATTTTTGTTCGTCCTATACTTTAGTTTTGACCACCGTGTTTATAAACAAGTGTTACCTACCTTGTCTAGATTGTTGGAGATGATGAAAGTGGACCCGTCCACGTAGATACTTTCCGTCTTGACCGCACTGGAATTATCGCTTATGGGTCGAAAGTGGCTTTTTTCGGACGTAAGCAGGTCGCATTCCTTTTCAAAAGCACCATTAAAATGGCCAATTATACCTTTGTATCCGAAAGGGTCGAAAGAAGGACGTTCGGAGTTAAATTTGTTATTTGTGGGCACTATTTCGGCGAAGCAGCTTTTGTCCTTGTTGTGGTTTATTTTCATCAAGCTCACTGCCACTCTGCAAAAGGTTTTACCATTCTAAGTACAGTTATGGAAAATAGTAATGTCCATTTGTTCGGAGACATTCGGTATAATATGGGTGATTCTACAAAAGTTGGGCAACTTTTGACCTCATTTTGTTTATATAATTTTTGGAGAAAATTAAACAGTATTTTGTTATGAGAACATAGATAATATAATAAATATACTGTTTCAGTCCGGGCCAGTCACTTTTTCAAACAGTTTCTGTGTTTTCTAAATTTGAATGCAAGGGAAGTAACGAGTATACCAGGGTACTAATTAAATATATAATTTATTGGAAAATATAAGATTTATTGCAACTTTGAGCTTATTATACATTAAATATCTTAAAATCAAATAATACCACACATCAGTGGCGACTGGTGGATTTTGGGTATACCGATATCTCAATTATTAGATATGGGACCCACACCAAATTTATATGAGTTTAAATGACATTAAATAAACAAGTTCTGCGCAAGCATAATTTAAATTTTGCGAAAAAAGATAACCGAAACATCGAACATGGAACTGACGGCACGGTACTGATGAATGGGATACAAATTTGAGATTATAATTCGGAATTAAGTATTTTACTGATATTTTTTATTAGTGGATGCTACTTATCAACAAATCACATATAGCCTTATATAAATTACAATGAAATATATATACCTACGTAAGAAAATAACCACTCACCACAGTACTGAAATTTTGACTGGAACTATACGTGCATTCACCACAACTTCGCCGCTTGCATTGTTTTCAAGATGACTGTCGTGCAAAGGGCGGGCTCTGTAGGTAATTTTTTACCAACACTTGAGTTAAAATGAGGACTTGACGTTTAAACTTCAATATTTCGCAGGAATTTTGAATTTTAATATTGGACACAGAACTGACGGGTAAAAGTAAGTACAAAGATTATCAATTTTTAAAAATTGCTATTATTTGAATCCATGATAAAATATGAAAATTTAATACATTATTTAATGTTTTATAGTTTGTAGTGAAATTGAAACATTTCAACTTGAATACATTTTTTTTAAATAAAATCACTCAAATATTTGAATCAGGAGTTGTGACACGCCAAAGTACTGATGTTTTGAATATTTATTATGTTTTTCTACAAACGTGCTTTTGAAAAAATACATTAAAATTGGGTGGACAAGTTTAAAAAACCTGGATCTTTTGTAATATACTAAAATATTTACAGAAAATATTAAAATACCTACTCTTTTGACATCAAGTTGTCCAACTTTTGTAGAATCATCCATATGTTCTATAATTTATTTAATAAAATATGAAGACATTTAATACTAAAATAATTATAAACCTTTGCATAATTTTGCAAATTGAAATGAAAAGTTGAAATTTTTGAAAAGTTGGGTTTTATAAAATATATATAAATAAATATATTTTTCGGAAAAGTTGAAAAAGATGGAAAAGTTGAGTTTTTTGTAATGTAAACGTATAAAACATAAATAATGCTTGTCAATGTATTAAAATAATTTATTTCTTATGTATTTATACATACATAACAAGTTGTTTTATAACAAAATAACAAACAAAATAAAATGAACAGACAACATAATCACAACAAAAATAAACTAGGTTTGAGTTAAAAAAATCATATTTTTTAAGTCAAAAAGAATAGAAATTATTAATTTACTATTTGAAGGGATTAGATGAATTCTTTAATTTTGTAAGGGAGTGAATTTAACCAATAATACATTGAATTGATATAAATTCAGTTTTTGTGAAAGTGTTGTTTATTTAAATAGGTATGTCTTTTTATATATTTAGTTATTAATAACTAAATATAATCTGAGGTTAATTATTTAATATTTAATTTAATAAAAGAATCTTTATATAATAGAAAATGCTGTTAGCAGACACCATTTTTGATAAAGTTTGACAGAATGTTATTCCAAAAAACAATGATTCTAGCACGTTTTACTAAAAACACTGCAAATCTAGCGATTTATATCGGATTTTGACCAAATTATCTACCGGTAGTGGAAACACTGGTTAGAAGTCAACTCATTGTTCTTTGGCTCCCACCTAATAACTTTTCCAACTTTTCGACCGAACTTTTCCTTGTTTGCCACACTATAAATACATCATTTTGCCTTACGTGCGGCGCTGAAAATGGAACATTAAAAAACAAAAAACTGCACCTACCTGTTCAACAGGTGCTCGTTCTCGAAGCACTCCTCCTCCAAGTCGACGTCGGCGCCCCAAGGGGCCGACGAGCCGCCGAAAGCAGCCGAGCGCTCGAAGCTTGCGTTGGCCTCGTTTTGCAGCGAAGCCGGCGGCTCGTGTTCGGCCCAGATCGAGTCGCCTCGGCCCGGCCCGGCGTCGATCGCGATGGCGCCGAGGCGTCGGTCGATGTCGCGCGACGAGTTGAAATCGTTGTCGAACGATGCGTCGTCGTCCGCTTGCCGTTTGTCCGACCAGATCGAGGACGTCAGGTTGCACGAGATAAAGTTCCGTTTCGTACCGTCTGAAGTACAAAAATCTCAAAATGTATCTTTACAAACCAAAATTAATAAGTAAAAATCACATTTTAGAGTGCCAAAAACACATTAAAAAGTGTAAAATGTAAGTATCAGAATAATAAAACAAACTAGAAAAGTTAAAATACATTTAATATTGTTAAAAACACAATTTAAATATATAAAAAAAAATTTAAATGCTAAAAGTTCGTTTAAAGATGACAAAAACACTTTTAAGAATGTAAAAATACATTTGAGAATGTTAAAACACATTTAAGAATGTCAAACTCTAAATGCAATTTTGGCATTCTAAAATTTGTTTTGCCATATTTAAATATTTTCGATATTTTTAAATTGTGTTTTAACTTTCTTAAATGTATTTTTATATTCTAAAAAGTGTTATTTACATCTAAACGTACTTAGAGGGTGTGTTTTTTAACATTCTTAATGTTTTTTGGTATTCTTAGACGTGCTTTTAACAGCCAAAAATGTGATTTTGACTTCTTTAGTAAGTTTAACATTCTTAAATGCGTTTTAAGATTCTCAAATTTATTTTTACATTCTCAAAAGTGTTTTTGACATCTCTAAACGTTCTTATATAGTATTTTTGACATTCTTAGACGTGCTTTTAATAGTCTAAACTTCAAAAGTAAGTTTGACATTTTTAAATATCAAATCTCTAAACGCACTTTTGGTATTCTTAAATGCCATTTTTAAATATTTTCGATATTTTTAAATCAAATCTCTAAACGCACTTTTGGCATTCTTAAATGCCATTTTTAAATATTTTCGATATTTTTAAATTGTGTTTTAATATTCTTAAATGTATTTTTATATAATTAAATGTTTTTGACGTTACTAAATGCGTTTTAAAATTCTCAAATGGATTTTTACATTCTCAAAAGTGGTTTTGACATCTCTGAACGTTTTTATAAGGTATTTTTGACATTCTTAGACGTGCTTTTAACAGTCTAAAATGTGATTTCGACTTCTATAGTAAGTTCGACATTTTTAAATGTCAAATCTCTAAACGCATTTTTAACATTCTTAAATGTGTTTTTGCCATTTTTAAATATTTTCGGTATTTTTAATTTCTATTTTAACATTCTTAAATGTATTTTTACATAATAAAATGTTTTTGACATTTCTAAATGTTTTTTTAGCAGCCAAAAATGTGATTTTGACTTCTTTAGTATGTTTGACATTCTTAAATGTATTTTTACATTTTAAAAAGTGTTTTTGACATCTCTAAACGTTCTTATATGGTGTTTTTGACATTCTTAGACGTGCTTTTAATAGTCTAAAATGTGATTTCGACTTCTATAGTAAGTTTGACATTTTTAAATGTCAAATCTCTAAACGCACTTCTGGCATTTTTAAAAGTGTTTTTGCCATTTTTAAATTGTGTTTTAACATTCTTAAATCTATTTTTCATAAGTCTCAAATGTATTCGATATTTTTAAATAATGTTATAACATTTTTTTGAAATATTAAAAAAAAACATTAAAAATGGCAATATACATTTTAGAATGCCAAAATTGCGTTAAGAGATCCCAAAACACTTGAGAATGTAAAAATACATGTGAGAATGTTAAAACGCATTTAAGAATATTAAACTTGCTAAAGAAGTCAAAATCACATTTTAATGGAAAAATACATTTAAGAATGTTAAAATAGAAATTAAATATATCGAAAATATTTAAAAATGGCAAAAACACATTTAAGAATGCCAAAAGTGCTTTTAGAGATTTGACATTTAAAAATGTCAAACTTACTATAGAAGTCGAAATCACATTTTAGACTGTTAAAAGCACATCTAATGTCAAAAACACCATATAAGAACGTTCAGAGATGTCAAAAACACTTTTGAGAATGTAAAAATACATTTGAGAATGTCAAACTTACTAAAGAAGTCAAAATCACATTTTAGACTGTTAAAAAACATTTAGATATGTCAAAAACATTTAATTATATAAAAATACATTTAAGAATGTTAAAACACAATTTAAAAATATCGAAAAAAGTGCGTTTATAGATTTGACATTTAAAAATGTCAAACTTACTATTGAAATTTAGACTGTTAAAAGCACGTCAAAAATACCATATAAAAACGTTTAGAGATGTCAAAAACACTTTTGAAAATGTAAAAATAAATTCGAGAATGTTAAAACGCATTTAAGAATGTTAAACTTACTAAAGAAGTCAAAATCACATTTTTGGCTGTTAAAAGCACGTCTAAGAATGTCAAAAACTATTAAGAATGTTAAAAAACACACCCTCTAAGTACGTTTAGATGTCAATTAAACTTTTAATTACGTAAAAATACATTTAAGAATGTTAAAACACAATTTAAAAATATCGAAAACATTTAAAAATGGCAAAACAACATTCTCAAATGTATTTTTACATTCTCAAAAGTGTTTTTGTCATATTTAAACGAACTTTTAGCATTTTAACATTTTAACATTTTTGATATATTTAAATTGTGTTTTAACATTCTTAAATGTATTTTACATTCTCAAGTGTTTTTAACATATATAAAAATTCCCAACTTTTCTAGTTTGTTTTATTATTTTGATACTTACATTTTACACTTTTTAATGTGTTTTTGGCACTCTAAAATTTGATTTTTACTTGTTAATTTTGGTTCGACTTTCTTAAAAATGTTTTTTACATTTTAACATGTTTTTTAGATTAGATTAGAATATTCTTACCCTTCAATTTATCCTGCACGTTGCCGTAGCTGACGATCTCAGGGGGCACCGGGGATTCCAACAGCTCCCTGATGTTGACCGGCAGGTCGTCGTACATGTTCATCTCCTCGTCGCGCCACGAAGCGGCAACACCGTCCAAACACTGATCGGCAACAGGGGCGATTGCGGCGGCATCGGCAACAGGGGCGACAGTGGCGTCGCCGCGGTAAATCAGATCCTTTTTGCCGCGACCGTAGTAGTTGTGACGCTGCTTCGACTTCATAACGCTCGCGGCCGGGTCCAGCTTGTTCTGCTGGTACAGCTTCGTGCCCACGGTGTTCTGTCTGGCGACCGCCTTTCGGCCCGACTTTTTCTTCGGCGACTGGATCCACTTGGGCGCTACAGAAACAATTTTTTTCGGCGACGCAGACTGCCTGCCTAGCGCGGGGAAAGCCGCGTAGTATTTTTCGGCCTGCTCGCGCGGCGTGACTCGCTTTTTAGGCTTCGCAGTTGAAGGCAAGGCTTGTTCCTCCTTGTCGGAGCACTGGTGCTCGCTGCTCACCTCCTTCAGCTTTTCGCACAGCTCGTCCACCAGCGATTCTATCTCGCAGTTCTGAAAGCCCCCATCTTCGTTAGTGACGCTGTTTTAGCAACAATTGCCTAAAGGCCGATTCTCACATAGCGACGCGACGCTACGCGACAGTACGGTTAGTTCGGTTTAGTTCTTTATCATGAGTAGTTCATCGTATTCAAGTGAAGAAGATGTATTAGTTGTGACATTATTGTATGAACACCAAAAAAAGAAAAGAAAGAGGCGCTATTGAGTCCATAATATCTGTAAATTTCTTCATTTATCAGCCCTATTTATTACGCATTTTTAAAAGTTTATCGGACATTTGCTAATAATAATAATTATTAAATAAGCATACCTACCGGTCAATTAAAATCACTAAGTGTAGCAAAACTTGTCGCGCGTAAATTCACACATGCCTACTTTTTATCGCGCCGCGCAATTTTGTCGCTCCAGGAAGCGCTATGTGAGAATTGGCCTTAATACAGCTAATAACAGCGATACAAAATCGCACTGGCGTAGATATTTGCCAAGTGAGCCCATGATTTTCGACGTCAATTTTTGTTTTTTAAACTTCATTCCCAGCACCAAATATCAATAAATATGTATTTAATATTTAAATAATATTCAAAGCTTTTTAAATATTTATTAAATATATAATAGCCAAAAAATTAAATTTTTACCATTGTTACAAATTTTCATTAATTTTTTATTAATAGTTTACAATAAAATAATTTTTAAATCAAATGCTACCTTTTTTATCAAATATTGGAAATAAACGAATGAAGTTAGTAGATTTAATATTTATTTTTAATTTTTATTACAACGTCGAAATCATGGACTCACTTGGAAAATCAATCCGATCGCTTGTTAGCAATGTTAAGCAAATATTAAATACTAAAGTTTAGTATGCTATTTTAGGCTAATAAGTTGCTTGAGGTACGCATTTATTAGTTATTAGTGCAACAACACCCAATTTAAACACATAAACAAGTTTATTTTAACAAACTTAAGGCAATAATATTATACTTATTATAGTGAAAGCTAACTATGGCCATATAAATAGATCTTTATAAGTGTAGTCAATCAAAAAGCAATGATATGCTTAAAAACTACAAACACTAACTCACCGTAAACAATAACGCGGAATTTAGTATAAAAAAGTGGCTGAAAGTCGACAAAAAAGTCTTGGTGGAAATTTGTCAGCCATGGTCTAAGTGGAAAATTAAGTGTTGAATAAAATTTTGAACTGAAAAAAACACTAATGGAGGCAACTCTTATACACACACACACAAGCTAGTGGTTGCAGTTTATTCAACTATGTACCTACTAAACAATTAAAAGCGTGAAACCAGTGAAAAAATCCACAATTTTAAAATGTTTCTCTGGATTAATTTTTTTTTTCAATAGACCTATCCCATGAATGAGTTAATAAAACACACAATGTCCAGAAATGTGCGAAAAAAATTTGGAAGAACCCCACGCTACAAGTGCAGATTTGATCACTGGATGAAAAAACAAACGAAAAAAAAAACACGAGGTGCACCTTATTTATTACGATGATAAATACCTGATCGGAAGCGGACATTAGACACTCGACGGCGGCCGAACGTTTCAATTGTTCAGCGTCGACATGGGCGTGTCTCCACCATTCGGAGGCACCCCGGAAGCGCTTCCGGCTTCCGCCCGAACGCCTAGAGTCCTACGCGTCGACAAAAAATCATCAAATGCTGACGGCGACTCGAAAATGGAGACCTGACAGTAACTTCCGGTCATGCCGGAAGTTACTACTTCCGGTTAAGCCGGAAGTGACTACTTCCGGTTATACCGGAAGTAATTAATTTTGGGTACCTACACCGAAAGTACTTACTTCCGGTTATGCCGGAAGCAGTTACTTCCGGTTAAACCGGAAGTTCTGTCAAATTATGTCAAAACAACAGGGATTCTCAGTAAATAATAATCCAATAATTTACATGTTCCGAAAGTGTGTAATCAGAAAATTTTGTCTCAAATTGAGTTTGCAATTAATGGATACGTAATAATTAAAATAAAACTACCACGTAATCCTTATTGAAGGACCTAATACCAAAAAATATGTTGATTAAATAATCTTTCGTCTTTTATTTGTAATATTCTTTTTTTATATACCTTTGCCTACCTTTTTTAGCGATGAAAACGAAATATCGTCCTCGGGACAAATAACATCTAGGTTATGCGTGTGGAGCAAACTGAGTATGTAGCGTGTGTAAACCACGCCGTCTATACCACGTGCTTCTAACTGTTCCTCAAGCCAATTGGATACTGCCGAGGGCATGGACACCTGTTGTGGGTACTTCATACTATACTGAAAAGAATGAAATTATTCATGAAGAATATTTTGAAAAACATAAAATATTAGTTTTTAATACTTTGTTCTACAAAATTATTCGTTTAAATGATAATTAATAAATTTTTAATACAAAAATTCTCACATTATATTTAAATGTTAGTTTTTAAATTTAAAGTGGTAATTTTTTGATTAAAAATTTATCACTTTAATTTAAATTATACAAATTTAAACCAATAACTTTTATCTATAATTTAAACTTTATTGTTGTCAAGATTCGATAAATTTTTATGAGGCAAGTGATTAGTTCGATTTTTTTCTCGCTAGGGGTATTGTTTTGACAAATTAATCCTTTTCTAAGAAATTAACGTACTAAACTGGTTTAATTTATTTATAATAAGCACTAATTTGTTTGTTTTACTGTTAATGTTTAATATTTTTCATTAAATTATTGTAAAATTAAATATGAATAATTAAACGAAAAGTGAGGTTAGGCAACCAAGAAAACTCACAATTCTTTTTCTACGATTTAAATTATCTTTAAGTTTTTATTTGCTCTAAGTTTTCAGTGAAATTAAATGTTAAACACAGCTTAAACATTCCAAACTACCAATTTTTTAAATAAAAATCCAAACAAATTGAAATTAGATACCTACCTATTTATTAAACAATTAATTGAATTCAATGTAATAGCAAAAATCCATTTCTACTTAAATCATGTAGCTAGGCATTGTCAAACTATTACTGCTTCTAAAAGCAATAATAATTATTGTACATTTAATGTAATCTTTAGCTAATAAATAAATGAGATTCTAAAAAAGTGAGGTTAGGTCGCTTTGATGTTAAATTAAATTGACCTATATAAAGTGCTTTAAAGATAAAATGTTGTATGCCATTCGGCCAAGAAGCCTTACTTCTTAACCTAATGACATAAAAAACTATTATTTTTAACAAATTTAAATTGATAAATTTTTAACACAAACATATTCACATTACATTTAAATGTAAATGTAAGTCGATAATTTTTAATTCACAAAGTGTAAATGCGGCTTTATGTATTTAAAATATTGTTTAAATATCTATTGTTTAAGAGTTATTATATTTATCAAACAGGCAACTTCAAAAAACTATTTTTTTAAATGTATGTAAAAACAAAAGAATAATTTAAGAATAATTATAAAACAAAGCTCAAATGAAAAATATTTATTTAAAAAAATTGTTGTACATTTTTTGTAGAAATTACACAACTCCCTAATAGATAAGTAATAAAAAATATACAAAGGCCAAAGACTTGTTACAACTCTTTTTTATCCAGACAGTTTTTTTGTCGTCGGGAATAAAATCCACAGGGGCGGGTACAATCGATTTTTGATGGTTGAACGTAAATTTAATAAATTATTCTTTAATAGGTAGCTCATTTTGTTTTAATAAAGCATGTAGATAAAATTATTGACTATAATAAAAATGTTGTGATGTTTATCATTTTACTCAATTACGCGCTTTTGTGTAAAAGATGATTTTCGAGTTTTTTTAGATAAACTCTTGTTTTTCTTAATATATGGGTGAATTTTCTTATTATATGGGTTAATTTTATTATTTTTATTATTATTATTTTGGTCTTTTATAATTAAGTAGATATTACAGCTCAGGTTCCAGATTTTTAACAATTTACAATGTTTTAAAAGTCTAAAACCTATCCTCCGTGACTGTTACTCTTTCTAGGTTAACTTATATGTTTTTAAATATCTGAGGTAGTAAAAGCATACTATATCAGTTCACTAAGTAAATTAAACACATCCAATGCAATCGAATCAAATTAAAAAATATTATTTTTATTTATGTAGGTGTTGAAAAATTGATTCTATCCTCCGTGAATCTGTTTTTGCTTTAAATTTTATGCAACGGATGGCGCTTTAATCATTTTAAATAAGCAAAAACCTCTGTTTACGACATTATTATAATAGATGCATGTGATTCCTGAAGGTCAGTTAGAATTTATATGCAGATGAGAGTGTTGCTGTTTTATAATTCAAAAGTTGCTGTTTTATAATTCAAAAGTTCATTAATTTGCTATTTAAAAACCTATCCACCGTGAAGTGTAATATCTCAGTAAGTAATTTTTTTATAAATATTTTATGTATGTACAATTGTATTTAAAAAAAATATTAAGGTGTCAAAAGATACAATAACTTATATCAAATACGAAATCCTAACCTCCGTGAAGCTCTAATATTCAAAATGTATGATTTCTTAAAATTCTTGCATTAGTGCAGAACCACTTGTTATGTTATTACTAGACCCATATAAAAAAAATTTGTTTAAAAATCATAAACTGTTTTAAAAATGACATAATAAGTATTTTCGCTATTTTGATGTTTTTGAGTTTTAATTTATTCAATTTTTCAAATACACTTGATACCAAAGACTAAATAAATAAAGAACAGTAATAATTAAGGTTATCTATCTGTCAGTTTAAAACTTAATTCATCTTACTATGAATATAACCAAAGATATTATCTTTGAAAATAACAACCTACGTTTTGGATTGTTTTGTTTTACTTATCTTTTGAACTTAATAAATAAAAAACAAAAAAATACTTACTTTATCAAAAATATAAAAGATGGTTTGCCATACAGCGGACAAATGGTTTGGATGAAGATTGTTTCTCCTCGAAATAGGATTGCAGATTCTGTATAGATGAAACTACAAGTCGACACTTGCTAACACCAGTCATGTTTACAATGTGCAATCTTCATCAAAACCCATTGCGTTATTGACTAAACAAAAAATACTGTTGCCCAAAATAAAAAACAAAGCCAAACATCAAAAAGAAGACTTGTTAATTTTTATATGTGTTTATTGAAATTGCAGGTTTTTTTTGGTGGATTCCCCCATTGTAAATCTGCAACAAAAAACACTGGCATCAGACAAAGAACTGAAAAATTGGCGCGCCAAGTTCACAGCACTTTGGGATATAAATAGTACCCGCCAAGGGCAAACAATTTAAGAAAAACGCGTGACTTTTAAGCTTTTAAAGCGATTTTTAACCGAATTGAATGCATTTCCTGGCTACTTTAATTTTAGAAACGCGTCAGTACAATGCACTGCCAATAAATCGTTTATTTTCACTTGATCTTTGTTCGCACACCTTTTTTATTAGAAAAATCATGTTTATTTTTAATTTGGGTACCTACTTAGTTTTAGTATGGTACAATTATAAATACCAACAAATGATAGTTAAAGATAAAAATGTTCGAAAATAGAAAGCTGTCAAAACAAAAATCACATTTATATATAGAAATGCCATAAAAAACACATTTTTACTCGGCCAATAAGAAGAAAAAACGCCGAATAACTAATTGAACAGTAGGCAATGCTGCAATTCGCCATTGCAAGTTGCACAACAAACGCACTTGATTTCTACTCACAAAGACTCGATTTACCACGCAAATGCAACGCGTACAAACACAAACAATTAACATTACGGTTACTCGATTACCTTTTACTACGGGGTTGATGTTAATACACTTAAAACATTAAAACACACCCCACAATTCACTAAAACATGGCAGACAGGCACAAGGGCCAGTGCCAATCAGAGAGAAACCCGCTAAAAGCGCGCTTGGGCACAACGGACGGCAACAATGCGCATGCGCGACGTTGTTTTATTGACTTTTGTCGCTTTTGACGTAAAAATCGAATTTCTTTCGACATATGACGAGACATCGCTGCTGTTACAACTCGCAACTTACAAGAGTTTATTTTGTTGAGTCAAGTTGAAGGGTATTTTGTATAAAGGAAACTGTCGACATGTAATTTAAAACTTAAATCAGAAAAATAATTAATTCATGCAAAAAGCTCAAAAATTATTAATTTATTTATTGCTCATTCAGATTTTGAATTTGAGAATGCAGTAAAAAAAATTACATACACTTATGGAAAGCTGGCAACATTGATCTTCGTATGTGGCGCCATCTCCACATGCAAAGTCGAATAAACCGTTGACCTTGAAGTCACATGTTCCAGCATAGAAATGTGCTAATGTGCTATGTGTTCCAGGGATGCATCTGGTGATATCGGTTTTTTTAATGTTGGTAAATTAACGTCACCATGATGTCACTTTTCACATTATTTTATGTTAAGGAAAATTTTTAGGTCACTAAACATACAAAGGTAAAGAACGAGGGAAGGAAAGGTGCTACTGGAAAATTTAATGGCATTTTCAACAAAGTAAACCAACAAATCACGTAACTATTAGATAAAAAATGTACGTTTTATTGAGGTTACCTCATATCAGGCAATGCCGATCGAAATTCTTGAAAAGTAAGTAGTATTTCAGTTTTTTTTAGGTTATCTGTTTGTTGTTCTTTGCTTGTATACTGTTATATAATAAACAACGTTACCTAAATAGCCCCCATGTCACCAAATAGGTATTACATTATTTAATTTGAAATGTCATTTTTATGGTTTATTTTTATTTTGCCTTTAAAATATTTCTTCCGAAAAGTGCGTGTTTATTATCACAGGAATTTAAAATCATAACCTTACTTTGATATTAATAGTAAAACAAAATTGTTTGCACTTTGCCTCCAATCAAATCATACAGTTTATTTGCCAAATTTTTAAATTGGAACAAGTTCAATAGTTGGGCAATGTTTTAATACTTGGGATGTTTTTGATTTTATACTTCAACCTGTGTAGTATTATTTACATTATGTCAATATCTAACTATTAATTTTACAGTAAGTGAAATAAAGATAAAGATTTTTTAGTTTGACTTGTCAAAGTTTGACACATTTAAAGGGGTTGGTATTTGACAGTGGTTTATTTTTATAACATTGGTCACAATGGTTTCAAAAATATTGACATCTGTCAAAAAATCACAAATTAATTGAAAATAATGTTAAAATACTATTATTTTGTTTTTACACCTTAATTTGGATTGTCTTCGTTGTTTTCTTAAACTGTTAAAATTAGATAACTAGGCCAAAAATGTTTAGATCATTACAATAATTGTAATTAATTAATTAATTGTAATAATTGTAATTATAATTATTGTCTTTTAAATTGTAGGTAAAAGTCACTTTTTTGTTTTACTTCATATTGTTGTCATTTCGGAATTATTATTTGTTTTAATAAAAATGCCATTTTCAAGTAAATTCGTCGTTTATCGCAAAAATTTGGTTCTTTATCTAGGGTCATGAAACTGGGGTGACCTTGATAAAGTGTAATTTAGAACTTTTGGGTGTATTTCAAGAGGAAATCCTGGGTTGAGTTTTTACCGGTTTTCCAATAAACAGTGTTAATCTGAATGAAGAAATAAATTGCATACAGTCTCTGTAAATATAAATTGTATCCATTAGATACAATAAATACACATTTTAGTAGTGATTAACGTGAAAAGTAAACATTTCAATTTAGTAAAAGTCGTCTAAATTTAAACAGCATTTAGCATTATTAAAAGCGTTGATTAAGAAAGTCTCCACTTAACGGTAAAATACCATTATATTATGTATTATATATAATATTATGTCGCCATGAATTCGTAGGTATATTTTGGTGTTTAAAATGCAGTTGTCAGCGTTTTTTAGAGACCTCAAATATAAAAGTTGATTTTAAGGTTATGTTTTCTGTAAAACTGTTTATTAAATTACAAATTAAATTCGTTTCTTTAGACTTTAGAATTAAGCAAGATAAAGAAAAAATGCAGGAAACAAAAAAGTTGTATTTTTAATTGCATAATGTAATTTTGATATCAAACTCATAAAAAATCAATGGCATGACCATACTTTTTGTATTAACTTAAACACCTTATATCATATAAACAAAGCTTTAAAACATACAAGTTCATAAAAACTTTTCTTCTTATTTTTTTGAGTTTTATCGACTATCAAAATTTGAGACAAGCTGTATAATTTTTAAAGGTCCCCACACACGAGCCGCATGCTTGCTACGCACCTCGGCAAGCGTCGTAAAAACCGAACCGACACGATCTAACCACTCGCTTCTAACCGTCGAGCATGCGCAGTTGCCAGGTTTCCGACCCCACCTGACGCACCTGGTGCTGGTCAGGAATTTTCAAACTTCGAACCGCTTGTACGACAAAGAACCTCTAAAACCCTCCTCTAAAGTCGAGGTGACAGTGCAAGAGTTGAAGAAAAATCAGGAGGAAAAGGAAAAGGACGTTTCCAAGGTATTTTTTGTCGATTTTAGGTCGAAATGTCAAAAAAATTACGTTTTTTTTTAGGTCGTGGCACCGGTTGTAAAAAAATCTTTAAAGCAAAGAATAGTGGACGAAATTGTTCACTATTACCATGGCTTTAGACTTCTTGGAATTGACATTAAAATCGCTAGTGCATTGGGATTTCGAGTGCTTAGAGGTAAGTTAGTTTTTACTTACAGAAAGCAACAATTATTATAGATAAAATATTCTTACACAGTAAAATACCAAAAACCGGTATTTTGTTATGTGTAATATATAATATTATGTTGCCATGCTATTTTGTCGTTTAAAATGCAGTTGTCGGCGTTTTTTAGAGAACTCGAATATAAAAATATTCGATTTTAAGGTTATGCTTGTACAACAATTATTTCTTGTTAAATTTCTTAAAAATGCGATTTAGCTTTGTAATTGAACAAAATTTGTCGAGTAAGACTCTCTTTTGTGAAAAAATGATGAATTTACTATTTTTTGTTATGTACAGTTACAGAAAATAGTAATGTACATTTGAATGCTCAATATGTCTATATTTAGAATTTACTACCTGCTAGTATTGAATTAATTACTTTGGTTGTATTACATATTTAACCGTATTTTTATTAAATCGTTTATTTTTTTATATATTTTTTTATAGTTTTATAAAATTTATACATTTATTCTATGAAAAACTTTTAAAAAGAACTTTTTAGGCTAAAAATAATATTATTAAGTTGTAGTTTTTAAAACTTACTTTACATTTTTGAGAACTAGCAATAATTCAATACTCTTCTACATCATAGGAATAAAAAACACATTTTATTACTTGCATGTTTATGTGTTTTTAGTATATTTTTAAATTAAATATACTAGGATTTATTAAAAACCGTTTGATATAATTATAATAAAAGAATTAACATATCTATGAAACTATCTAAAAAGAATGGTCCTGTTAAAATGTAAGCCCTTAATGTTAAATTTACAGACCCCTCATTATTTTTTAAAGTACTTTGAAATTGAATAACTCGTCAACGTATTAGTGGACCGATAAAACTGAAAAAATTTTTAGTAGGGAATTGAAGGCTTTACAAAAAAGGCATCCCATCATTTTATAATAAATTAACTCTTATAAAAGGTATTCAAGGTAAAAGTTAAATTTATAGAAATTTTACAGATTATCCTAGCGAAACTAAATTTATGGTAAAATTTGGTAGGACCCTTTATTTAAGAAAATATTCTGCTAAAACAATGTGCAAAGAAAGCGACATTTTTATTAAAAAAAAAGGCAAATAATAACATTAATAATTATTCAACATTTCTTTTTAAATAAAAATGCCGCTTTCTTTGCGCATTGTTTTATCAGAATATATTCTTAAAAAAGGGTCCTACTAAATTTGACCAAAAAATTAGTTTTGCTGAAAAAGTAGGAAAAAATTATAATTGGTATTCCCAAAGGGTTTGGACCCAATTTGGTCAAATATTAAATTATTATTTAAAAATAGTCTATGTGCCCTGCAAAAGACTTAAAAAATATTCCAACTCCATATTATTTTTGTATTGTATTTTATCTAATATTTTCATTGTTTACTCACAATTTTATTTTTGGCACTTAGACCCTTTGGGAAGACCAAGCTTCAGTTATTATAAGGTTATGCCGTTTTCATATTTTATTCGATTTTTATACATTGAAATAAGTTGGTATTGGGCAGTTATTTCATAAAACAAATATGGAACAAACATGCAAAAGCCGATAAATCCATTTTAACTTATTATGAAATATTGACCAAAAATGTGTACAGCAGATTGCCCCAAATGTTTAAAAACTATTAAAAGGGACTGTTGCTCCTGTTGGGATGTCTCTGTTTGGGTTTTTACTAAAATGCTTTGTTAAGTTAAAAAAGTTTACCAAAATTTGTAAGAATCGACTCTATCCTCTTAAAATGTTTGCTCTACAAACAATGAAAACTAAAATTTTGATAAACGTACTAAAATTGAATTTCTTTTTGTAAGCACAAAATTCATTTTAGTTTAAAATTTTAATGGATTTAATTTACATAGTAATAATAAGTATTTTAATTCAAATTGCCCAGGTAACAAAAAATCACATAAAATGGTTAATACATTAAGAGGGTTATTAACAATTTTATTAAATAAAGTATAGAACATATATTATATTTAAATTATTTCAAAATCAATAATTACAACGGAGCATCCAAATGGACATTACTATTTTCCGTAACTGTACATATATGTACAGTTAAGAAAAATAGTAATGTACATATATATACAGTTAAGGAAAATAGTAATGTACATATAATATATTACATATTATGTTAGTGAAGAAGATTATAACAATCACGGTGCCGATTTCCTTAACACCGAACTATTTAAGGTAAATCCTTGACGAGAAGAGAATACCGCCTTATGACGCGAACAGTAGGCGACATCTTTCGTCTGGTTCCCTTCTCAGTTTTCATAATAGTGCCGTTCATGGAACTTTTGCTGCCGGTGTTCATAAAATTTTTCCCGGGCATGCTTCCCTCAACATTTCAGAACGCCAAAGAGCAGGAAGACAAGATAAAACAGAATCTTAAAGTGAAGCTGGAGATGGCGAAATTCTTGCAAGGAACTTTGGATGGAATGGAGGTTCAACACTCCGAAAGGGATTCGGAGAAGGCCAAGGAGTTCCACAACTGGTTCACAAAGGTACATACATCTTATAATGATGTAGTGATTTTCAAATACACTCAAGTGCAAAATACTCGATCCACACAAACTTTCGATGAATTTCAATCGCAAATAACTTTTTTATTTGATGTCGGATTTAAACGAATATTAAAGAATATTGTAAAAAAATTAATGGACAATCGCTCACATTTAAAAAAAAATACTAAAAAATAGACGTACGTTTATAAAAACAGGTTTAAACAAAAATATGTTTTTACCATAAGTTTAAGACACTCTGTAGAGTGGCAAACCCGTATATTGTTCTAAATTAAGTTTTAATAATCAAGTCACATCTATTTTTAACAGTTTTGTTTTTGGTTCACCTCGATATATTTATTTTTGTGGAAAATATGGATTTTTTAAAAAAACATTGCAATTTCCAATATTTTTCTGTATGAAGAACTAAGGTTGCTATGGTCCATCCATAGCCTATGGAGAATGACAGTGACAGTTTTGTTGAATCATCCCATACTTGGACATGTCATACACGGCTTTCAAAAGCTATCAAATTGGTTTTTGCAAATTAATGTTTAAATTTTGAGGTGTCTTCTTACTTTAAAAAATGGATATGTCTCCGACTGATGTTGCCAGAGCTATTAATTTAATTCAGGATGGACGGTCACAGTATTTCGTGGCAAGTGTTTTAAACGTCATAAGAAGTAAAGTACAAAGGGCAACATCAGTCGGAGACATTTTTAAAAGTAAGAAGACACCTCAAAATTACTACATTAATTTACAAAAAACAATTTGATAGCTTTTGAAAGCTGTATATGACATGTTCAAGTATGGGATGATTCAACAAAACTGTCACTGTCATTCTCCATAGCCCATGGATGGACCATAGCAACCTTAGTTCTTCATACAGGAAAAATATTGGAAATTGCAATGTTTTTTAAAAAAGTCCATATTTTCCACAAAAATAAATATATTGAGGTGAACCAAAAACAAAACTGTTAAGAATAGATGTGACTTGATAAATAAAACTTAATTTAGAACAATATACGGTTTTGCCACTCTACAGAGTGTCTTAAACTTATGGTAAAAAACATGTTTTTGTTTAAACCTTTATATTATAAACGTACGTCTATTTTTTAGTAATTTTTTAAAATGTGAGCGATTGTCCATTAATTTATCTACAATATTCTTTAATATTCGTTTAAATCCGACATTACATAAAAAAGTTATTTGCGATTGAAATTAAAAAAAATGCATAAACCGGTCATTAGGAAGCTGCATTCTTTTAAGGTGAGGACCAGCGGCGAGGAAGTGTCCAACGAAGACATAATGAAGTTTTCCAAGCTGTTCGAGGACGAAATCACTTTGGATTCGTTATCGCGCAGCCAGCTGATTGCATTGTGCCGCGTTCTGGAAGTTCAGACGTTGGGTCCGAACAATTTCTTGCGCTTCCAGCTGCGCATGAAGCTGCGCAGCTTGGCGGCCGACGACAAGATGATCCAGAAGGAGGGAGTGGACTCGATGACGTTATCTGAAGTGCAACAGGCGTGCAGAGCAAGAGGTAAGTGCAGTGGGGACAAGGTTGCAAAGGGGGGGAAATATTTTACATTTCTGAGAAAATTTCATTCCTCGTTGCTTGATTTCAAGCCCCCAGAATAAAACAACAATCAAGAATGAAATTTTCGGAAAAATTAAAATATATTTTTTTTTCTTTGTACTTAGATTTCTGTATTTTAAAACGTTGGAAATACGTGGGATTATTGTATTATAAAAAGTTGGATTTTTGAATAATTTTGTGTAGGATTTTACACTGCCAAAATTAATAGAAAAATGAAAAAAATATTTAAAAACAAACATATATTGTACAAAAAACAAATACACTTAAACGCAAAATGGATACTGGTATATTAAAGAATTAATGTCATAAGACCTCATTTACACTGTTTAAAATATATGTGGTGTAAAGAGTAATCTTAAAATGGTGTCAAAATCCAACACCAAGTGGTGTTAATATAACACCATGAATTATGGTTGAAAATGTTATATACAGCAAACACCAAAACGGTGTTTATCTAAAATATTTGAGAAGTGCACCTACACAGAAAAAAAGGAATAGTACATTTAACTATATTAATTTAGTTGACCCATAAGTATTTATTTAAATCAACTGTGGGAAAGTTAATATAAACAAAGATTGCTCTGACGGAACTAAACCAGATAGTTATTTTATTTTTTTTTTAAATTGCTTAAATTAACCCAGAAAACTTTAGTGAAACCAACCCGCTGCATGGTTCAGTTTACCAAATATGTTGTTTGTAAAATAAGAGTTACTTCAACCTAAAGCACTCTGTTAAAACGATTAAAACAATTTGCCGTGCATTCCCGGTTGCATAGTGTGTACCGATCGCGGCAAAGGCGGTGTGGATCACGTGATGTTCTTAAATCTCGCCTCTGTTCACTTACATGAAGAGTATATAAGCTCAGGTAGTCCTTTGCTTTGGTGTGATACTAAAAGTTGTTCGATGCTAAAGAGACCTTAAATAAGTGGAAACAGATGTCAATACTTGAAGTTTTTAAGTTGGTGGAACGCACTAAAAACTCTGGCGAGTTGAAGGTTCAATTTTCTGGAATAATACCACTGGTAATATACTAGTAATGCATCAAGGAACTTCCTGTTTCCTTTTTTTCCATTTTTCTGTGTAGTATGATTTAATTTGACCAAAAACACATGAGTCATTCCAAATAAAAACACCAAATGGGGTGCGCCGCTTGATTTTTTATTTTGATAAAAAAAATTGTGTTTTCGATATAAAATATTATTATCCAATTAGTTAATCTCACAAAAGAATGGTAAACCATTAAAAATTCATGATAATTTGCCAATTTTTGTGATTTTTGTCTGGCTCCTGTGCCTATTCTACTAAATCTAGAAAGTTATTTTTTTTCAGGTATCATCAATGAGGTATCAATTACTTATACAATAGAAAACGTAACTATTATTTTAAGTTTCTATACTATCATTTTCTTTAATAAAAAAATTATTGAAACTTGATAATTTTTAAAATTAGCCAATTTTGCCCTCAGAAATCATTATGTTGAAGAAAAAATAAAAATCTGAAACTTTCAGGAAATATAGTCCCCACCTTCATCTTTTCAGTCCAGTTAGTCTTGTATTGTTATTTTTATTCCTTTAAAAGATATATTAATTTTTTTAATGCCCGTTTAGTAGCGATATTGTTAGTTTTATTTAAAATTTAAAATTTAGATGGCTTTCATGTTTGGTGGAGAAGTGTCATAACTGTCAAAAATATTTCATAAATATTATTTATGCACGATGACATTATAATATGACAATTATAACAAAAATTCTTTGACGTAAACGTCTTTTTATAGCCGCGGGCGTTATTATGACCCAGCGGGCTATAATGAAACGTCAAAAATTAAAAACAACAATGTTACACCATTTGATATATTCGAAGTAAGTTTTTTCGTATTAAGATTTTAATTTTTCCGGCAGCAGGCCGCAATTTTTCGCCTTTTCAGCTGCTTCGACAATTTCATTCATCTTTAAACTTTAAAACTGACTGATGTCAGTTGACATTATAATATGACAATTATAACAAAAATTCTTTGACGTAAACGTCTTTAAAAACAATAATATATTAAAAATAATAATATATTAATCGGCGGCTGAAGGACTACGGTTAATGGCCTTTGAACTTGGTTTTAGTTCAATAAAGCATTATTATTATTATATTAATCGTGCATAAAGTTTTGTATGCATTGCTGGCATAACTGGTTTTTATGGTCCTACGACGCTTTTCTAGCCCTCGCGCTAACGCGCTCGGGCTCGAAATAGCGCCTCGGACCATAAAAACCTTATTATGCCCTTAATACATAAATAACTATTGTGCGTATTTCTTTGGTAAATAATTTTGTAATAATAATTATGACATATTTTTAACAGTTCTGATATATTTGGTAGTTATGTTATATTTTATGTATTGTATAAGCATATATATATATGATTATATATTATATACATTTTAATGAATTATTGGTGTTTAAAGAAGAAGAATGTAAAAAAATATATTCAAGATCCTTATGGTTTATATCGTAAAGTATAATAAGTAAAACTAATAAAGAGTTAATTTAAACGTATAAAAAATGCGTTAAGCAGTTTTTTGTCGGTTTCTTTCACAATTTAAACCAAGTTAGTCTTGTTCTATTATTTTGATCCCTTTAGTAAGGCACTGAATAGTTAAAAGTTATATGTATGTATTTTAAATGTTAGTGTTGGAAAAAATTTACACAATCTGTAAATAATTCTTTAAATTTTAGTTTTTAGGTAACTGTTTAAAATAAAACATGTTATAATAAAGGGGTTTATTTGGAATATTTTTTGATTTTTGCTATTTTTAACAATTTAAAACTTCTCAGAACTTAAATATTTTTTATGAGAAAGAGTTACAAAATTATGATATGTTCTTGCATGTTTAATTGCAATTAAATTCATGAATCTCGAACACTCCGTCATTTATTACACTTGCAAACTTGCAAACTTTTTGAAATCACAATTTAAACACGCACAAATAATATTTATGAAATATTTTTGACAGTTCTGACATTTCTCTACCAAACATGAATTGACCAAGTCAAAGCCATCTAAATTTTAAATTATAAATAAAACTGACAATATCGCTTCTTAACTGCATTAAAATAGTTATTTATGTCATTAGGTTAAGAAGTAAGGCTTTTTGTGCTAAGCTCAAAGTTTGAAGGCCGACGCGTAGCGGAGGCCTACAATTGAGCGAAGCACAAAAAGACACTTCTTGGACGAATGGCATACAACATTTTATCTTCAAAGCACTTTATATAGGTCAATTTAATTCAACATGAAAGCGGCCTAACCTCACTTTTTTAGAATCTCATTTATTTATTAGCTAAAGATTACATTAAATGTACAATAATTATTATTCCTTTTAGAAGCAGTAATAGTTTGACAATACCTAGCTACATGATTTAAGTAGAAATGGATTTTTGTAAGAAAATGGTTTACTTACCCTCTTGCTATTACATTAAATTCAATTAATTGTTTAATAAATAGGTATCTAATTTCAATTTGTTTGCATTTTTATTTAAAAAATAGGTAGTTTGGAATGTTTAGGTACGCTGTGTTTAACATTTAATTTCACTGAAAACTTAAAGCAAATTAAAACTTAAAGATAATTTAAATCGTAGAAAAAGAAAACACAACTGTGAAATCCACAGAAACGTCAAATTCCAATATCCTAACCTCACTTTTTGTTTTATTATTCATATTTAATTTTACAATAATTTAATGAAAAATAATAAACATTAACAGTAAAACAAGCAAATTAGTGCTTATTATAAATAAATTAAACCAGTTTAGTACGTTAATTTCTTAGAAAAGGATTAATTTGTCAAAACAATACCCCTAGCGAGAAAAAATCGAACTAATTACTTGCCTCATAAAAATTTTTATCGGCCTAGGCCATAACAAGATATTTCTTTATCGAATGTTGACAACAATAAAGTTTAAATTATAGACCGCGTGGAGATAAAAATTATTATATCTTTTACATACAACAAAACAAGACTAACTGGACTGAAAAGATGAAGGTGGAGACTACATTTCCTGAAAGTTTCAGATTTTTATTTTTTCCTCAACATAGTGATTTATGAGGGCAAAATTGACTAATTTTTAGAATTATCAAGTTTCAATAATTTTTTTATTAAAGAAAATGATAGTCTAAAAACTTAAAATAATAGTTACGTTTTCTATTGTATAAGTGGTTTACCATTCTTTTATGAGATGAACTAATTAGATAATAATAATTAATATTGAAAATATACTTACTTTTCATTAAAATAAAAAATCATGCAGTCCACTTTTAAATTCCTTTTTGGTGTTTTCATTTGGACTGACTCTACTGTATCAAGTTAAATTCTGGTAAACTCTAAAAAGACGATTTTCTCACTAAGGAATGCGAGCTTACGGTATGTCTGAAGAGCGCCTCAGAAACCAGCTCTCTCAGTGGTTGGACCTGAGCCTGAACGAAAAAGTGCCCCCGTCCCTGCTGCTCCTGTCCAGAGCGCTCATGCTGCCGGAAACGATTCCCACCGGCGACAAACTCAAAGCGACCATTTCCGCTTTGCCCGAAGCCATCGTCAAGCAGACTCAGGCTTCTATCCAAGAGAAGGAGGGCAAGATCGACCACAAGACGAAGATAGAGGTTCTGAAGGAAGAGGAGAAGAAGATAGCGGAGGAGAGGATGGAGAATCGGGAGGAGAAGAAGAAGGAGATGGAGCTGAAGAAGAAGGATCTCGATCTCCTAGTCGACAAGGTTTGTTGTTATTGTTATTTTTTTAATACAAATTATTAAATTTGTAATGAGTTATGTATTCTTTTTTACATTACTCATATATTATATCACGAGAACTATGAATTTAATCGGTTTAAACTAGGCTCAGTAGTTTTTTGTTTGGTTTTTCTTGGAAAATGTCGAATGCAAAATAATTTAATAAAATCACGAGACCGCGTAGCGGTCGAGGGGTTTTATTTTTAATTATTTTGCATGAAACTATTTTCCAAAAAGAAAAATTAAATAAAAAACTTACTGAGCATAGTTTGACAGATTAAATTTATAGGTTGAGTGATATTCGTCTAGATTATTTCTCGAATTAAAGGAAACTATTTGACAATTCATAAAATCTGACGTATGTGTCAAAATTTATAAATATTTTTTTAAAGAAAATTCCATTAATTTAAGGTATGTAATAAGTAATAATTGATATTTCGTAAACTAGATAACTTATTTTTTATTGTTTTTTAAAAAATGTTTGTTAAAACTTGTAAATAACACCATAAAATCGTGAACAAAAATCCAATATGGAGGCTAAAATTTAATCGCTGTTAAATAGTTCTAGTGATTTAATCGCTTATTTAAACGAAATTTATTCGAAAATTCAAGGCTTTTGATTGGTTTATATTATAATGAGGGAAATAATCATTTTTAATTTGTAATGTGTTTTTTCGTATGTTAATGAGTAATTTACTCACTTAACATTACTCTTTTTCTTTTTTTAATGAGAAATGAATAATTATCGAATTACCTACTCATTTTTAAAATTAAAACTATAAAACTCAAAATTCGCATGCAAATATGCTTTGGATAATTTTGATACCCGAAAATTTTAGGAAATAAAAATTTCAATTCGAACCATTTTTAAAGAAAATACAAAAAACTCTATTGTTCTGAAAATTTGATATCTTTTGAACAAGTACTCAAAAAAATATCAAACTTTACCAGAAAGGGATTTTTAATGGGTACTTAAAAATATCGAAAAATAAAAGAAATCGAAAATCAACATTTTTCAAAGTTTTTTACATTTTTTTTAGTTTTAGTGAAAATCTTAGCCCCGTTTACGGCACGATAAAAAATAAAAAATCAAATTATTTTTTATAAAATTTTCCATAGGATTAAAGAAATTAGCAGCAAAAAAACAAAAAACGCTATTGTTTTGAAAATTTGATATCTTTTGAACGAGTACTCAAAAATTATCAAACTTGACCAGAAAGGGATTTTTAATGGGTACTTAAAAATATCAAAAAATAAAAGAAATCGAAAATCAAAATTTTAACCCCGTATACAGCACAATAAAAAGTAAAAAATCAAATAATTTTTTATAAAATTTCCTATAGGATTAAGCAGCAAAAAAAGCTATTGTTTTGAAAATTAGTACTCAAAAAATATCAAACTTTACCAGAAAGGGATTTTTAATAGGTACTTAAAAATATCGAAAAATATAAAATATAATAATAATAAATATAATAATATAGAATATATGCACATGTCATTTGTCAATTTTTGACAGGTCAAATCATTTTTTGATAAAATTTTATTTCTATATCAGAGTGCCTTGAATTGGCTTTCCTGCTTCATGTTGGGCCAAGCAATGCAATGCTGTTTTTAAGGAGCTTTCAAAAATTGAAAAATCATACTTTATGCCAAAACTATTTTATTTTTAATAAAAGTTTGTTGGTCATATCCACTCTTTTTGTTATGTCTAAACATAATTAACATTTGCGAAATATTTGTAGAAGAGTAAAAAAACAAGTTAATTTTAACTGGCCGTATTGTTTGACTCAGTTGTTTAAACAAAAAATACTTTATATAAAAATAATTGTAAATTTTATAAGAATTATTTTGCCATTTTACTTTTTATCGTACAATATACGGGGGCCGAGATATTCGCTGAAAACCAAAAAAAATTATTTTGCGTGTATCTTTTTACCTCGCATTCAGGCCCCCATAATTTCCGCCCACTCCACGCCTGTCTTGGAGGACGCAGCCCAGAAAATCAGCATCGCCAAGATGGCGCAGCAAGAAGAAGCGCTGCAGTCGAAAGACTTCGAGATTATAGACCACGCCATCGATACTGTTTCAAAAGAGAAGAAACTGATCGTGGAGAAGGGCGAGATCGAAGAATTAAAGGCGGAGATGGCCGACTACGAGGAAGACGTCACGGATTTGAAGAAGGTGGTGAGCTCGCAACCCAAACCCGAAGTGCAGGAAACCAAGGGCGCCAGAAGACTGTTCAAGACGGTAAATAAGATGATTGGCCGTCTGGACAACGTAATGGTGGAGTTAGAAAAGAAGGAGCGGCAGATCAAGAAGGACCTGGAGATTGAGGAGACCACCAAGAAGAAGGAGGAGCTGCTGAAGATAGACGACATCATGACCGCCATCAAGGAGATGCAGGTCATAAAAGACATCCCGGACCAGAAGAAGCTCGACCAGATCACGAAGGTTCTGAACAAGATGGACTACGATCAAGACGGCTCCCTAAAGATCGAAGATGTTCTCAAGGTGAGTCCTCAAGTTTATTATTTTTTTTCAGCGGCTCTTGGACCGAATTTTGTTGCGGTTTCATGCTGAAATTTCTCCTTCCGTTTTCTTAAAATCGCTCAATCGATTTTCGCTTCCTTCCGAAAATGTATCAATATCAATTTTTGTATTAGTTAAATACGAAACCAAGGCACGCCGTTTTAGCATTTATTAAATAATTTTTTAATTTAAAATTTTAGTGGTATAAAATTTTTCTAACTAAAAATTTTTGGTTTACATTTATAAATTTAAAATCTTTTCAACTATCATGTATTGAAAGGCAAAATTTACTAACAGTTCACTTCTGTATTAAACAATATTATTTTCTATCAATTTTTGCAAAAATTTCTACTATCTACTATCATTTTTTAATAAAAATAATTTCCCAAGTATAATTTATTTGGGTGGCATTTTGTAAACTTAAATAAATATTTTATAAAATTATTGAGATTAATTTGGTAAAGTTAATTTTTTTAGTATTTAAAAATAGTATCAATCCATTTAAAATAACAACACGTATAAAATATTTTCTACCAAAACAGTTTAAAAAGTTAATTTTTTGTAAACTCAAAACTATTGAAAATCAAAAAATATTTTAAATATAAAATGCAACTGTAAAAGTTTAAATAAGTTTAAAAATATTGATTTTTAAAAAATGGAATTTTAATATTTTATTCTTCAAAATTATTGGTTTGAATTTGTAAAGAGTCATTTAAATGATAGTCGATAAATTTTCAATACAAAAATTTGAACATTACATTTATATGTTAGTTTTAAATTTTAAAGTGGTAATTTTTGCATTAAAATTTTATCGACAATCATTGACTCTTTACAAATTAAAACCAATAACTTTTATTTTTAACAATTTTAAATTGATACATTTTTAAGACAAAATTTATAACTTTACATTTAAATGTAAGTCTATATTTTTTTAATTAAAAAGTGTAAACGTAGCTTTAGTCTTCTACAAGAGTCTGGGATCGGAGCCACGATGCAGCCAGTTTGATCCGCAGTGTTGCCAAATCGTGCTTGCTCCATAAATATTTGACGCGTTTTACAAATTATCGTAATGAAATGTTTCTTTATTACATAAATTTAATAATAGAACAACAACATTTTTAGTGCCTATTGTTCTAAGTTAATTCGACAATTAAAAAACATTTTTTCTAATTTTTAAGAGAAATTTTTTTAAAATGTAGTGTCCAATATTACGTGGATGCATCATACAAATTCCCAGTGCCGTTTATAGATTCCCGTACGGGATTGTATTGTTCATCTTCTACGGGAGGAAGGAAGGAAGGCAATCTATAAATCAGGCTTAACACGTAACCTCACCACAAAAACCGGAAAGCGGGAATTTGTATTTGTATATGGTTGCATCCAGGTAATATTGGACACTACATTTTAAAAAAATTTCTCTTAAAAATTAGAAAAAATGTTTTTTAATTGTCAAATTAACTTAGTACAATAGGTACTAAAAATGTTGTTATTCTATAATTAAATTAATTTAATAAAGAAACATTTTAATACGATAATTTGTAAAACGCGTCAAATATTTATGGAGCAAGCACGATTTGGTAACACTGCGGATCAAACTGGTTGCATCGGGAAAAGATTTTTCAAAATATCACATAAGGATAATTTCTTAAAACTACAGGGTGTTATGTAATTAATGTATATTAAAATACTGAATACCTTTTGACATAAGGTTTAACGAAAAAATATTTAAAAAAATATTTTATTAATTACATAACACCCTGACAATCATAATAATTAAGGGAAAAAAATGACAGATAGTGAAGTAAGTATTTTTTGAAGGTCGTCGAAATAATGTGCAAGGAAAACGTGAAGCTGTCCGACAAACAAGTCGATGAGCTGATCGAGCTTCTCGACAAGGAGGAAATCTTGTCGGTGGAGGAGAAAATCGGGAAGGCCCTCCAAGAATCGGGCGGGGGGTCGAAAAAGGACTCCGACTCGAAGCCGCCGAGCGGGGGCGGGGGCGGCGGTTCGGGGGGCGCCCCCCCCTACCGCCAAAATGGACACGAAAGGTCCGATGGTGCCCCCCAACGTTAGCAGTATTGAAAAAAACAAAAACAGTTCCAAGATGCTTTAATGTTCGGCGTGTATACTTTTAGTACCTTTTTTACGAGTCGCCAACGGTTGTAAGTGTTGGTATTTTTTTTTAACTGTGACTAAACCGGTGATGTAGCCGAAATGGCGCGTCACAATATGCGATATTGTGGATATAAATATTTTTGATAAATTCCTGAGCCTTTGTTTCTAACTCTGTCTTTATTAATAATCCAATGGATTTTTACAACAATCTACTACCTATTCCTTAGTCCCAACTCACACACCTCAAATTTTATCGATACAACACTAATTATTCATTTGAGGTGATACAGGCGACATTTAAACAACAAATTTATTTTTATATAACTAATTTCCAGTTATTTTTGTTTTTTTTATTTAATTAGATGTGTATAATATGTTTTCATATACTATATTCTGATTTATTTTAAGGCGGTGGGTATGAAATACCCACTGTTTGTACAAAGCTAGCTAATTTGTTGCAAATTTAAAATTTGTAAAGTATGGTGTTTTTGATAAATAAATTATTTAAATTTTTTGTTTTTTTTTTTTCATTGGTTCCCCTCCTGACCGTAAAATTGGGGGGGAAAATTGTCTTTTTTGGGATAATTTTAATTTTTACATACATATACAATATTTTGATTTATTTTAAGGCGGTGGGTATAAAATACCCACTGTTTGTACAAAGCTAGCTAACTTGTTGCAAATTTAAAATTTGTAAAGTATGGTGTTTTTGATAAATAAATTATTTAAATTTTTTGATTTTTTCATTAGTTCCCCTCCTGACTAGGGTTTTAAAGTGTTGAAAAAAACCGGAAAAATTGGGGAAAAAACAAAAAATGTCTTTTTTGGGAAAATTTGAATTTTTACATACATATACAATATTTTGATTTATTTTAAGGCGGTGGGTATAAGATACCCACTGTTTGTACAAAGCTAGCTAATTTGTTGCAAATTTAAAATTTGTAAGTATGGTGTTTTTGATAAATAAATTATTTAAATTTTTTGATTTTTTCATTAGTTCCCCTCCTGACTAGGGTTTTAAAGTGTTGAAAAAAACCGGAAAAATTGGGGAAAAAACAAAAAATGTCTTTTTTTGGGAAAATTTGAATTTTTACATACATATACAATATTTTGATTTATTTTAAGGCGGTGGGTATAAAATACCCACTGTTTGTACAAAACTAGCTAATTTCTTGCAAATTTAAAATTTGTAAAGTATGGTGTTTTTGATAAATTAATTATTTCATTTTTTTGTTTGTTTTTTCATTAGTTCCTCTCCTAACTAGGGTTTTAAAGTGTTAAAAAAACAAAAACAGTTCCAAGATGCTTTAATGTTCGGCGTGTATACTTTTAGTACCTTTTTTACGAGTCGCCAACGGTTGTAAGTGTTGGTATTTTTTTAACTGTGACTAAACCGGTGATGTAGCGTCACAATATGCGATATTGTGGATATAAATATTTTTGATAAATTCCTGAGCCTTTGTTTCTAACTAATAATCCAACGGATTTTTACAACAATCTACTACCTATTCCTTAGTCCCAACTCACACACCTCAAAATTTTATCGATACAACACTAATTATTTATTTGAGGTGGTACAGGCGACATTTAAACAGCAAATTTATTTTTATATAACTAATTTCCAGTTATTTTTGTTTTTTTATTTAATTAGATGTGTATAATATGTTTTCATATACTATATTTTGATTTATTTTAAGGCGGTGGGTATAAGATACCCACTGTTTGTACAAAGCTAGCTAATTTGTTGCAAATTTAAAATTTGTAAAGTATGGTGTTTTTGATAAATAAATTATTTAAATTTTTTGATTTTTTTCATTAGTTCCCCTCCTGACTAGGGTTTTAAAGTGTTGAAAAAAACCGGAAAAATTGGGGAAAAAACAAAAAATGTCTTTTTTGGGAAAATTTGAATTTTTACATACATATACAATATTTTGATTTATTTTAAGGCGGTGGGTATAAGATACCCACTGTTTGTACAAAGCTAGCTAATTTGTTGCAAATTTAAAATTTGTAAAGTATGGTGTTTTTGATAAATAAATTATTTAAATTTTTTGATTTTTTCATTAGTTCCCCTCCTGACTAGGGTTTTAAAGTGTTGAAAAAAACCGGAAAAATTGGGGAAAAAACAAAAAATGTCTTTTTTGGGAAAATTTGAATTTTTACATACATATACAATATTTTGATTTATTTTAAGGCGGTGGGTATAAAATACCCACTGTTTGTACAAAACTAGCTAATTTCTTGCAAATTTAAAATTTGTAAAGTATGGTGTTTTTGATAAATTAATTATTTCATTTTTTTGTTTGTTTTTTCATTAGTTCCTCTCCTAACTAGGGTTTTAAAGTGTTAAAAAAACAAAAACAGTTCCAAGATGCTTTAATGTTCGGCGTGTATACTTTTAGTACCTTTTTTACGAGTCGCCAACGGTTGTAAGTGTTGGTATTTTTTTAACTGTGACTAAACCGGTGATGTAGCGTCACAATATGCGATATTGTGGATATAAATATTTTTGATAAATTCCTGAGCCTTTGTTTCTAACTCTGTCTTTATTAATAATCCAATGGATTTTTACAACAATCTACTACCTATTCCTTAGTCCCAACTCACACACCTCAAAATTTTATCGATACAGCACTAATTATTTATTTGAGGTGGTACAGGCGACATTTAAACAGCAAATTTATTTTTATATAACTAATTTCCAGTTATTTTTGTTTTTTTATTTAATTAGATGTGTATAATATGTTTTCATATACTATATTTTGATTTATTTTAAGGCGGTGGGTATAAAATACCCACTGTTTGTACAAAGCTAGCTAATTTGTTGCAAATTTAAAATTTGTAAAGTATGGTGTTTTTGATAAATAAATTATTTAAATTTTTTGTTTTTTTCATTGGTTCCTCTCCTGACTAGGGTTTTAAAGTGTTGAAAAAAAACCGTAAAAAATTTTGGGAAAACAAAAGTTGTCTTTTTTTTTTTAAAAATTTGAATTTTTACATAAATATATAATATTTTGATTTATTTTAAGGCGGTGGGTATAAAATACCCACTGTTTGTACAAAACTAGCTAATTTGTTGCAAATTTAAAATTTGTAAAGTATGGTGTTTTTGATAAATAAATTATTTAAATTTTTTGATTTTTTCATTAGTTCCCCTCCTGACTAGGGTTTTAAAGTGTTGAAAAAAACCGGAAAAATTGGGGAAAAAACAAAAAATGTCTTTTTTGGGAAAATTTGAATTTTTACATACATATACAATATTTTGATTTATTTTAAGGCGGTGGGTATAAGATACCCACTGTTTGTACAAAGCTAGCTAATTTGTTGCAAATTTAAAATTTGTAAAGTATGGTGTTTTTGATAAATAAATTATTTAAATTTTTTGATTTTTTCATTAGTTCCCCTCCTGACTAGGGTTTTAAAGTGTTGAAAAAAACCGGAAAAATTGGGGAAAAAACAAAAAATGTCTTTTTTGGGAAAATTTGAATTTTTACATACATATACAATATTTTGATTTATTTTAAGGCGGTGGGTATAAAATACCCACTGTTTGTACAAAACTAGCTAATTTCTTGCAAATTTAAAATTTGTAAAGTATGGTGTTTTTGATAAATTAATTATTTCATTTTTTTGTTTGTTTTTTCATTAGTTCCTCTCCTAACTAGGGTTTTAAAGTGTTAAAAAAACAAAAAACAGTTCCAAGATGCTTTAATGTTCGGCGTGTATACTTTTAGTACCTTTTTTACGAGTCGCCAACGGTTGTAAGTGTTGGTATTTTTTAACTGTGACTAAACCGGTGATGTAGCGTCACAATATGCGATATTGTGGATATAAATATTTTTGATAAATTCCTGAGCCTTTGTTTCTAACTAATAATCCAACGGATTTTTACAACAATCTACTACCTATTCCTTAGTCCCAACTCACACACCTCAAAATTTTATCGATACAACACTAATTATTTATTTGAGGTGGTACAGGCGACATTTAAACAGCAAATTTATTTTTATATAACTAATTTCCAGTTATTTTTGTTTTTTTATTTAATTAGATGTGTATAATATGTTTTCATATACTATATTTGATTTATTTTAAGGCGGTGGGTATAAGATACCCACTGTTTGTACAAAGCTAGCTAATTTGTTGCAAATTTAAAATTTGTAAAGTATGGTGTTTTTGATAAATAAATTATTTAAATTTTTTGATTTTTTCATTAGTTCCCCTCCTGACTAGGGTTTTAAAGTGTTGAAAAAAAACCGGAAAAATTGGGGAAAAAACAAAAAATGTCTTTTTTGGGAAAATTTGAATTTTTACATACATATACAATATTTTGATTTATTTTAAGGCGGTGGGTATAAGATACCCACTGTTTGTACAAAGCTAGCTAATTTGTTGCAAATTTAAAATTTGTAAAGTATGGTGTTTTTGATAAATAAATTATTTAAATTTTTTGATTTTTTCATTAGTTCCCCTCCTGACTAGGGTTTTAAAGTGTTGAAAAAAACCGGAAAAATTGGGGAAAAAACAAAAAATGTCTTTTTTGGGAAAATTTGAATTTTTACATACATATACAATATTTTGATTTATTTTAAGGCGGTGGGTATAAAATACCCACTGTTTGTACAAAGCTAGCTAATTTGTTGCAAATTTAAAATTTGTAAAGTATGGTGTTTTTGATAAATAAATTATTTAAATTTTTTGATTTTTTCATTAGTTCCCCTCCTGACTAGGGTTTTAAAGTGTTGAAAAAAACCGGAAAAATTGGGGAAAAAACAAAAATTGTCTGTTTGGAAAAATTTGAATTTTTACATAAATATATAATATTTTGATTTATTTTAAGGCGGTGGGTATAAAATACCCACTGTTTGTACAAAGCTAGCTAATTTCTTGCAAATTTAAAATTTGTAAAGTATGGTGTTTTTAATAAATAAATTATTTGAACTTTTTGGTTTTTTTTCATTAGTTCCCCTCCTGACTAGGGTTTTAAAGTGTTAAAAAAAACAAAAACAGTTCCAAGATGCTTTAATGTTCGGCGTGTATACTTTTAGTACCTTTTTTACGAGTCGCCAACAGTTGTAAGTGTTGGTATTTTTTTAACTGTGACTAAACCGGTGATGTAGCCGAAATGGCGCGTCACAATATGCGATATTGTGGATATAAATATTTTTGATAAATTCCTGAGCCTTTGTTTCTAACTTATAATAATCCAATGTATTTTGCTGATATTTTGGGTTTTTACAACAATCTACTACCTATTACGCACTCTGATATGTGCAACTCACACACCTCAAATTTTATCGATACAGCACTAATTATTTATTTGAGGTGATACAGGCGACATTTAAACAACAAATTTATTTTTATATAACTAATTTCCAGTTATTTTTGTTTTTTTATTTAATTAGATGTGTATAATATGTTTTCATATACTATATTTTGATTTATTTTAAGGCGGTGGGTATAAAATACCCACTGTTTGTACAAAGCTAGCTAATTTGTTGCAAATTTAAAATTTGTAAAGTATGGTGTTTTTGATAAATAAATTTTTTTTTTTTTTTAATGTATTTATTGAACCCAAAAAAACAAACGTTCATAACAGGTTAACATAAATATAAAATAAAATAAGGCTTTTTGTGTTTAACAAAATACTATAAATATACAATATATACAAAATAAATTAAAGTGTGTTATTTCTAGATAATAAATAATTTTTTATAGCTCTGTTAAAGTTTATAACATCTAAGTCCTTAATACTATTTGGGAGTTCATTGTACCATTGCACAGCCGTAGTAGTTACTCTCTTCTTTCCAATGTTTTTTGCACTTGGTAAAATATAAAAGTTTTGGTTTGTACGAGTATTGTAATGGTGAATATCACAGTTTTGCACCAATGTTATGTCAGTCTCTAATATATTATTTTTTATTTTATGTACAAGTTTAAGACTTTCTAATTTGACAATATCACACACTTTAAGAAGATTTAGTTCGCTATACAGCTCATTAGTTCCATAACACATAGGTTTACAAAACAACACTTTTATGAATCTGTTCTGGGTAAACTTGTAGTTTTTCGATATCCTGTTTTCTGGTTTGTCCCCAAAATGCTGCTAAGTATGACATAACTGAGTGAACATAGGCAGAGTATATTTTAAATTTCGTTACTTGATTGAAAAATTTGGCTGAATGATATAGGGGATAGATCAATTTATTTATTTTGCTCCCGTATGCTTTCTACATGTTTGTCAAACAGTAATTTGTTGTCTAATATCAAACCTAGGTACTTTGCAGTAGTCATCTCCTTAAGTATACTGTTGTTGATTGTTAAGCATTTATCAGTTACTTGGGATTTCTTGTTGAAAACGAGATAGTTGCATTTGGATTCATTAAGTCGGATGTTACTTTGCTTTGTCCATTCTGTGATGGTATCCAGGTCCTGCTGAGCATCTTCATATATTTTTTGCATTGTACCCGAATAGAAAAGAGCAGTATCGTCGGCAAAGAGTGTTAAGTTTCCATTAAGTTTCATATTGGTCAATCGATTTATATAGATTAGGAAAAGAATAGGTCCTAATACACTTCCTTGCGGCACTCCACTGATGATAACCTCATTGATGCTTTTGATGCCATTTACCGTAGTATACTGCCTTCTATCTGTAAGATAACTTTTGAAAAGTTCAAGTGGTTTACCTTTTATTCCAATAGATTTTAATCTGCTTATCAAAATATTGTGATCTACTACATCGAATGCTTTTTGAAGATCCAAAAAGCATGCCATTACTGTATGTCCATTATCAATCTTTGTATATATATATTCCAATAGGGAAGCTACTGCTGTTTGCGTATTTCGTTTATTTAAAAATCCCATTCTGGTGCATATTGAAGAAATTTATATTTTTTAGATAGTTAAGCAGTCTTGTTTTTAAGGCAACTTCAAATATTTTAGCAAGTATTGATAATACGGATATGGGCCTATAGTTGTTTGCTTGTGATTTTGATCCTGTTTTGTGAATGACTGTAACTCTTGCTGTTTTTAATTCTTCTGGAAACGTACCTTGTTTAAAATGGTTATTTATTAATTGTGCTATATATGGAGCTATAATATCTTTGATGCTCTTCATAGTTTTCGTTTTAATCCCATCGCCACCCGGTGATGCATTGTTCTTCAGATTACTTATGATTTTCTTGATTTCGTCTGGGGTGGTTCTTTAAATTTTTTGATTTTTCATTGGTTCCTCTCCTGACTAGGGTTTTAAAGTGTTAAAAAACCCGTAAAAATTGGGGGAAAAAAACAAAAATTGTCTTTTTTGGGAAAATTTGAATTTTTACATACATATACAATATTTTGATTTTTTTTTTTAGGCGGTGGGTATAAAATACCCACTGTTTGTACAAAGCTAGCTAATTTGTTGCAAATTTAAAATTTGTAAAGTATGGTGTTTTTGATAAATAAATTATTTAAATTTTTTGTTTTTTTCATTAGTTCCTCTCCTGACTAGGGTTTTAAAGTGTTGAAAAAAAACCGTAAAAATTTTGGGAAAACAAAAATTGTCTTTTTTTGTGAAAATTTGAATTTTTACATAAATATATAATATTTTGATTTATTTTAAGGCGGTGGGTATAAAATACCCACTGTTTGTACAAAACTAGCTAATTTCTTGCAAATTTAAAATTTGTAAAGTATGGTGTTTTTGATAAATTAATTATTTAATTTTTTTTGTTTGTTTTTTCATTAGTTCCTCTCCTAACTAGGGTTTTAAAGTGTTAAAAAAACAAAAACAGTTCCAAGATGCTTTAATGTTCGGCGTGTATACTTTTAGTACCTTTTTTACGAGTCGCCAACGGTTGTAAGTGTTGGTATTTTTTTTAACTGTGACTAAACCGGTGATGTAGCCGAAATGGCGCGTCACAATATGCGATATTGTGGATATAAATATTTTTGATAAATTCCTGAGCCTTTGTTTCTAACTCTGTCTTATTAATAATCCAATGGATTTTTACAACAATCTACTACCTATTCCTTAGTCCCAACTCACACACCTCAAAATTTTATCGATACAGCACTAATTATTTATTTGAGGTGGTACAGGCGACATTTAAACAACAAATTTATTTTTATATAACTAATTTCCAGTTATTTTTGTTTTTTTATTTAATTAGATGTGTATAATATGTTTTCATATACTATATTTTGATTTATTTTAAGGCGGTGGGTATAAGATACCCACTGTTTGTACAAAGCTAGCTAATTTGTTGCAAATTTAAAATTTGTAAAGTATGGTGTTTTTGATAAATAAATTATTTAAATTTTTTGTTTTTTTTCATTGGTTCCTCTCCTGACTAGGGTTTTAAAGTGTTGAAAAAAAAACCGTAAAATTGGGAAAAAAAACAAAAATTGTCTTTTTTGGGAAAATTTGAATTTTTACATAAATATATAATATTTTGATTTATTTTAAGGCGGTGGGTATGAAATACCCACTGTTTGTACAAAGCTAGCTAATTTGTTGCAAATTTAAAATTTGTAAAGTATGGTGTTTTTCATGAATAAATAATTTAAATTTTTTGTTTTTTTTTTTCATTAGTTCCTCTTCTGACTAGGGTTTTAAAGTGTTGAAAAAAAACCGTAAAAATTGGGAAAAAACAAAAATTATCTTTTTTTGGAAAAATTTGATTTTTCTTTGGGAAATATACATAGGTAAACATTTAAAAAAAAACTTATTTTTAAAACAAATATATCCTGCATTACAGAAAAAAATAAAACTAAATATTGAATTAAATTTGAATTGAATTGAATTTAAAATATTAAAAAATATAAAGTTAAATTACAGAATTATAATTATAATCAAAGTGTCAAATAAAACGAAAGTTTTGAATGTTTTTTTTTGACCCAGTAGAATTCTTACTTATTAAAATAAAAGGAATAATAATTATTATTATGAATATATTTGGCATTGAAAATTCATTAATATCAATGTACGGATAGTATTCGTATAAGTTTGTAGAAAATTTGACTTCTGCATTTTTTCGTATGTAATGCAAAATGAAAATTTCCCAATTTTTCCGTTTTTTCCGCCGGCTCAATTTTTCCAGAAATAAATATTTAATAATAATTACTAAATATCAAAATAAAAATATCATATCAGTAAAAAAATTGTGCTAGAATTGGCCAAATATTGAGCAAACATATTCCAATGGTAGGTATCAATTAATGGTCAACATTTGCACTATTTAATTGAGCAACATAAGTATCCAATAATTTAATAAACTTGTTCAAATTTTAATATTCTTATAACCAAATTATGTATTTCAGCAAATTACAACAGTAAAACTCATAAAGGATACAAATATTATAGATGTTTAACCTATAAATACAAACCAACTTACATGATACGAGAATTACAAAGAATAGTGCAGTTAAAAACACGTTTTTCTTAAAAAAAACAACACTTTAATTTCAAATTGTTGGTTTTTATCAAATTGACAGAAGAAAGCAGAGTTGCCATAATTCTTTGGTTTTAGTTTAGTTTTGTTATATTCAAAGATTTCCTGATATTACCAGATTTCTAAATTGCAATTTTTTTAAGCTATAACCTTGGTCTTATATACGTATATATTATATAAGACCGTGCTTATAAGTTATAACAAAAGTTTTTTGTAAGTACGTTCTGTGGGTATAAGGTACAGGGTTGCCAACTATTCAGACGCCTGCAAAATTTGATGATCTCAGTAATTTTATAATAACACCTATATTCGTTGATTTTTTCTCTCGCCCTTCACCTCAATTACCGTACATTTGACGTACGGTAATCGTTTTGGTTCGTATACCGTACACTTGCTAAAATTATCGTGTACGGTAATTAACGTACGATTGGTAACCCTGATCAGACATCATTCCTGTGGGAATTACCATGTTGCCACTCACTGCTGATAACTTATCAGTTATAAGCATTGGCAACATGGCAACAAAACTAACCTCCAAGCTTTTACAATCTTTGTTATAATCTGTGCCTTCAAGCGATTTCACTAATTTGAATGCAAACACGTCAAAATAAAACAAAACGTTTCGGGGAAGTCCTAAATGACGTGGAATTTGCATATCAGTTTTTAATCAGGAGATAGAGTTTTATTTGTTGTTTGTGTTAGGTACATACCTATTTGATTAGAAATCATGGATGAGGTGAGTAATGTTTGCGAATTAAATTCTTGCTATTAAAATTTATTGTTTTAGGAATACCCCCAGGGGCGGTGCATGATTTGCAACTATTCGAGAGTCCAAGAAGATGTTGACCACGAAAGTACTTACGATCATAAGTTTAATTTTAGGCTATGGGAATGGAAACACTACAAGTAAGTTTATAGGTTATATTATATTTAATTTTAAGTATTGCATGTTAAATAATACACCGGTTACAAACCTAAGTTAAAAATTAAAATATTTTATCTATGTAACAAAGAATTTACCATGGGTTAATAAAAATTGATTTTTTTTTGGCAAAAATGCTTATTTAATTAAAATCAAGTTGGTTGCTAAATTTAGTTATTTGTTTTCATTTGAATACCAATAATTGAGGTTATATATCTGTCAGTTTAACGCTACCTTAGTCCTTTTCTAAATATAATGCATTTTTGTTTTCCATATTAAAAAATTCATTCAAAAAAATATATACCCATATTGTATTATTAAACTGAGAGACTTTTGGGTGTTTTGGTATTTTCTGGACAAAATTTTAGATAATCTCATTTTTTTACTATAATATATGTTTTTATTCAAATTCTTTGTTTGATAAGATATAGGTACTTAATAAATATATTAGTAAACATATTGTTTGCAAAACTAGCTTAAAAAGATAAATCCATATTAATATTAGCCAATTTAATTTTAATTACCTATGTATTAAAATTATTTACATAAATTATAATATTATCTAATAAAATTTATATTTTAAAAGGTACAAACATATATTTATTATTATATGTATAATACCTATACTGTTTGCATTTTTTTTATCACTTATCTATTAATTATTATCTGTTATCAAAAATAATTAAAATCAAACAAAGAATCTCTGCTTTTTTATACAGAAAATTCATTTTTTTATTTTAGGATAAATATATGTAGGTAGTTGTAAAATATATTTGCTAAATTAGTTTTGATTTTTAAACAGCTTGTAATCTTTTGGTGTTTTTTCTTTAATTTATTTTGTTTTATTTAGAAAAGCCTTGGTAAAAAATAGGCATGGTATATGTTTGGAAATAAAACATTTGGGCTGTGGTCAATCACCATGTACATATGAAGAAAATGTTAATAAAGGGCTATGTGCAATTACTGTAAGTGTTTGAATATACCTTACTAAAGTTACTATTTTTTTATATTTACTAAGATATGTATATGGGTTTTTTTATTTAAAGAGCTACAAGGTTGGTTAAATAAGAAAAAAAATTTAATAAAAAAAATGCTGTTTTAATATTTTAAATAATTTGAAAAAACTGAAAAACCTGTTAAAACCAAAAATCGTTAAAACTTTGAAAAAAGTTTATATACACATTTATCTACATTTTTATCCAATTTTTGATTTTTTATTAAATTATGAAATTCATCCAAATTTCTATAAAATTATTCGATTTTTAGATTAAATTGTCAAATAATTTAAAGATCACACTTATAAAAAACTATCTAACAATATTAAAATTTCAAGAAAATATTATTAATGAAAAAAAACTATTTTTTCTACTCCCACCTTTAAAACGCCCTTTATAGTAAATGTTTCCATGACACTAAGTGACCTTTTAAATACACATTGACAAGTTGTGGCTTTACGGCGCTTTAGTCACGGGCTGAAGTTAGTTTTAAGTTAGTTGACAGTTGTCAAATGTCATACAATCGTTAAAATAAAGTGCCTTTCTTGTAAAATAATACTAAATGTGAAAATTATTTTATTATCTCAATACAAAAATATTAAATAGTTTCCGAACGCCAATATTTGAAACGTTTATATGAACTGACCTTTTAATTTCGCCGGCAGTAAACTATAACTTAAATTCGGGCACGGACTCTACTGTAAAGTCCTCATAAAACATTTCCTTTACTTTCACTGTGAAAAACTGTCAATTTTCAAGATATATTTCGATATATAACCTTTATAATTGTGTTTATAAAATGTAAAGATGTGACATTTGACAGTTTCCCCTGTTGTTTCATAGATGGCGCTCTATACAAATTTTTGATTTAAATCATTTTAAGATAATAATAAGTATTTGTTGTAGAAAAAGTATGCACCTCGTTTATAAACTTTTTTATACACTCATTAACTTAAGCACTCGCTCGCAAGCTCGCTCGTGCCTAAATTAAATTCGTGTATAAAATGGCGTTTATCAAACTTGATACATAATATACTATTATCTATTTTGCGTTCATAATAACTTCATTATAACACCGCTTTCAGTGCTGTAATGAGATACTTTATCCCACCCAAAATTTTGATTTTATAGGTTGGCTATACTTTAAAAGCATAATATTTTGCATATTGGTTATAATATTTTTATGATTTTTCCAGTACTAATGAGACTTTTCTGGCAATAAATTTTGTTTAACACCAAAGAAAATCCTATTTTTCTTCTTTAACATTAACAGCCGCTTATTGTAAATAAGTAAATTAAGGACGGCATGGCGAATCGATTTTGACATTGACTGTGATACCAACTATCTAAAGTTAAATTCGACCAAATTAAATTTAAGGTTTAAAATTATCTTTTTTATAGAATTTTTGCAAATTAGATAAAATAGCATAAAGAACTCATGTCATAAGACCTTTGTCCATTACATTAGTTCTTTAATATACTATTATATGGTTTTTCAATTAAATAAAATATATTGTTTTAAAGTTAATATTATGGACTGTCTTTGAAGATCATTAGCTTTCTTGTCTTGGCACATTTCCTGCACAAGGCAAGAAGAAATATTTTTATTAATTTTGTTTTTCAAATTTGTTTTTAATTTCTTACACTGCAGTATCTACATTGGTTTTACAGATTTTTACTTGGCAGGTAAACATGTTTTACTAATTTAACCGACTTGGTAGCTCTTCAAAAAAAATATCCCTAGAATATTTGTAATGTAAAATTCAAAAATCATTATTTACATTTAAGGTCCATCCAAATCAATATGAGAATCACAGACACCAGCTTATTTTCGATTGTTTGATAAAAAATTCCAGCAAAAACGAAATATACATTACGGATATTTATCTTGTACATCCCACAAATTTGTTTCAAATATGTGAGGGAATCGTTTCTACGGGGGGATATATCAAACTTGAAACAGGTTTGTTTCTTAAACATTGCGACTTTACTTTGTATAGAAAATAATCTCTATAAAAATAAATAAACCAATCAGAGCAGGCCTTTAGTGTGTTGATTGGTTTAATGCTTTCTATAAAAAGTAAAGTGTAATTTTTAAGGATAATTTTTATACTTTTATTTATTTATTTATTGAAGGTGCTCAATACAAATTCCAAGTAAAATATGCGAAAAACCCTTTAAACATCGGTAGCATTCAAAATCCTGTTTGCATAAATTTTCAAAGCAATGCTGATCCCAACGCAAACAAACAAAAATCGCACGAAGATCAGTTTACCATTGCTAGAAACTTGGTAAGGTTGTTTTTGTATTTGGAGCAAAAATTAAATTAAACGCTATACTTTATTTTGACTATTCTAATTTAATTTTAAGTACGTAAAAATAACTGAATACACTGAAGAAGCGATTTCCACTGAAAGAAGTCCTTTCTCCAATGAAGATTGGGAAACGAATAGCGAAGAAATAAAAGTCGTTCCACCAACGCAACGATTGTGAGTACATTTTTGTTTTTTTTTGTAATGCTGGGTCATTTTCAAAATTCTTGTATATTTAAAGAAGAAAAAGTAAAAACAATTCATAATATACAAATTTTGTTTAATTAGGGGTGTTATTTAACACCTAAAAGTGGGCCACAAAATTATTAACATATTAAAGAAACTGATATAAAAATGCTTAATTATTTTGAAAATATATTTTTTTGCTTGTTAATAATCCTTTTAAGGTTTTATTTACACTAGGATTTGTTTAAAAAAAGAACATAAATTTATTATTTATAAAAATTTGTTGAGTATAAAAGCAAGTACATATATACCTAAGTAAAAGCAAAAATTATGTTTTAACAGAAATTTATAAAGTTAAATTTTTTTAAACTCAAAACAATTGATAGTCAAAAAATATTTTAAATATAAAATGCAACAGTAAAAATTTATGTTTAAAAATATTGATTTTTAAAAGTTCTGGTTGTAATATTTTATTCTACAAAATTATTGGTTTAAATTTTTAAAGTCATTTAAATGATAGTTTATAAATTTTTAATACAAAAATTCTCACATTACATTAAATGTAAGTTTTAAATTTTAAAGTAGTAATTTTTGGATTAAAAATTTATCGACTATCATTTAAATGACTCTTTACAAATTTAAACCAATTTTTTTTATTTTTAACAATTTTAAAGTGATATATTTTTAAGACAACATTTATAACTTTACATTTAAATGTAAGTCGATAATTTTTAAATTACAAAGTGTAAACGTAGCTTTAGAAGGCACAAGAATCTGGGATCGGAGTCACGATGCAGCCAGTTTGATCCGTTGATGTTTTTTAATTGTCGAATTAACTTAGTACAATAGGCACTAAAAATGTTGTTGTTCTATTATTAACTTTATGCAATAAAGAAACATTTTATTACGATAATTTGTAAAACGCGTCAAATATTTATGGAGCAAGCACGATTTGGCAACACTGCGGATCAAACTGGCTGCAGCGTGGCTCCGATCCCAGATTCTTGTGCCTTCTAAAGCTATGTTTACACTTTGTAATTTAAAAATTATCGACTTACATTTAAATGTAAAGTTATAAATTTTGACTTAAAAATGTATCAATTTAAAATTGTTAAAAATAAAAGTTATTGGTTTAAATTTGTAAAGAGTCATTTAAATGATAGTCGATAAATTTTTAATGCAAAAATTACTACTTTGAAATTTAAAACTAAAATTTAAATGTAATGTTCAAATTTTTGTATTGAAAATTTATCGACCATCATTTAAATGACTTTACAAATTCAAATCAATAATTTTGAAGAATAAAATATTAAAATCCATTTTTTAAAAATTAATAATTTTAAACTTAAACTTTTACAGTTGTATTTTATATTTAAAATATTTTTTGATTATCAATAGTTTTGAGTTTACAAAAATTTAACTTTTTAAACTATTTTGGTAGAAAATGTTTTATATGCGTTTTTATTTTATACTATTTTTAAATAATAAAAAATTTAACTTTACCAAATTAATCTCAATAATTTTATAAAATATTTATTTAAGTTAACAAAATGCCACCCAAATAAATTATACTTGGAAAATTATATTTATTAAAAAATGATAGTTAGAAATTTTTGCAAAAATTGATAGAAAATAATATTGTTTAATACAGAAGTGAACTGTTGGTTAGTAAATTTTGTCTTTCAATACATGATAGTTGAAAATATTATAAATTTATAAATTTTAAACCAATAAAATTTTAAATTAAAAAATTATTTAATATGTAGTGTATATTATTGCAAGTGGTACAGCAAATGTACAAGAAATTTGAAAATAACCCACGTACCAATAGATGGCAGGTCGGTTCGGTAGTTGACGCGTTTCATACAATCAGGGTTCCCAACCAAAATTAATAATTATTTTAGGAAATACGTAAATAAGTACCCAATCCCCGATGATTATGTTCTACCTTTGAAGTTTGGTTTACGATTAGCCAGCGGTTTAAATCACCAACTAATTCATACCATTCAACAGCTAAGGTAGGTATTTTTTTAAATTAATGTAAAGAGCACAGCAAACGTTGTTTAGGAATTTGATGCAACCCAATCATGTGACACTACACAATTACCGAATGTATTTCCATATTTTGTTGTGGTTAGAGGAAATGGGCGAAATTCTGATGCTGAAAAGATACAACATGTCAAATGTGAGTAAATAAACTACACTCACAGGCAAATAATCGATCCACACAAATTTTCGATGAATTTCAATCGCAAATAACTTTTTTGTTTGATTTCGGATTTAAACAAATATTAAAGAATATTGTAGATACATTTATGGAGAATCGCTCACATTTTAAAAATTACTAAAAAATACACGTACGTATATAATATACAGGTTTAAACAAAAAGATGTTTTTTACCATAAGTTTAAGACACTCTGTAGAGTGGCTAAACCGTATATTGTTCTAAATTAAGTTTTAATTATCAAGTCACATCTATTTTTAACAGTTTTGTTTTTGGTTCACCTTGATATATTTATTTTTGTGGAAAATATGGATTATTTTAAAAAACATTGCAATTTCCAATATTTTCCTGTATGAAGAACTAAGGTTGCTATGGTCCATCCATAGGCTATGGAGGATGACAGTGGCAGTTTTGTTGAATCATCTCATACTTGGACATGTCATATACAGCTTTCAAAAGCTATCAAATTGTTTTTTGTAAATTATTGTGTTAATTTTGAGGTGTCTTCTTACTTTTAAAAATTTCTCCGACTGATGTTGCCCTTTGTACTTTACTTCTTGTGACGTTCAAAACACTTGCCACGTAATACTGTGACAGTCCATCCTGGATTAAATTAATGGCTCTGGCAACATATCCATTTTTAAAAGTAAGATGACACCTCAAAATTTAAACATTAATTTGCAAAAAACAATTTGATAGCTTTTGAAAGCCGTGTATGACATGTCCAAGTATGGGATGATTCAACAAAACTGTTACTGTCATTCTCCATAGCCTATGGATGGACCATAGCAACCTTAGTTCTTCATACAGAAAAATATTGGAAATTGCAATGTTTTTTAAAAAAATCCATATTTTCCACAAAAATAAATATATCGAGGTGAACGAAAAACAAAACTGTTAAGAATAGATGTGACTTGATAAATAAAACTTAATTTAGAACAATATACGGTTTTGCCACTCTACAGAGTGTCTTAAACTAATGGTAAAAAACATCTTTTTGTTTAAACCTGTATATTATAAACGTACGTCTATTTTTTAGTAATTTTTTAAAATGTGAGCGATTGTCCAATAATTTCTCTACAATATTCTTTAATATTCGTTTAAATCCGACATCAAATAAAAAAGTTATTTGCGATTGAAATTCATCGAAAATTTGTGTGGATCGATTATTTTGCCTGGCAAAAAAATAAATAAGAATGGATCAATTGCAGGTACTTCTTACCGTTAAATCCGACATCCTAGAGCTGGAGGTACCAGGTCTGGCTGAAAAAAGGCCGTCTCTTATAGCGGGAGACATGATTGACATAAGACTTCACGGAGACCACACTTGCTACAGAGGGGTTATAAAAAAGATAAACGATAAGACAATTGAAATCGGATATATTCATGAGCAGTACGCAAAAAATATTTGTTGATGTAGTTTCGTTTGAATGGTGTTTTTTAGTTTGATAAACTACGTAAAATCAGACCCCAAAACTGAGATGGATGTGAGATTTGTTTTGGGTAGGTTAAATTTGGAGAGGCAGCATGAAGGAATTGATAGGACGTTTCTTAGTGGCATGGTCCCTTATTTGTTTCCCACAAACAACATATGCAGACCAAATACAATTAGGCACTTGCCGGATGCAGAGTGAGTTTATTTTTTCTTTTTATTTAAATTGATTTTCAAGGGATTTTCATTAAGTGTAAGTGTAAAATAATTAATGTAATTGAAACATATGCATATGTTTTGACTGGTCACGTCTTTTTTGCACCTCAATTTATACGTTTTTAATAAACAACTATTTGTAGCGACATTTACAAGGAGTATCTTTTTTGCGCAATAAAGATAAAAAATTATGTGACAATTTAATTAATTTTTTCAAGAAATTTAATTAATAATGTAAAAATTTAATTAATGATGTGATAGTTTGATTAATTTTTTCAAGAAATATAAAGGATGTGACAATTTAATTATTTTTTTAAGAAATTTAATTAATGTTGTGACAATTAATAATGTGACAGTTTAATTTATTCAAGAAATTTATTTAATGATGAGCAATTAATTATGTGACAATTTGATTAATTTTTTCAATAAATTTAATCAATGATGTTACAATTTGATTAATCATTTCAAGAAATTTAATTAATAATGTGACAATTAATGATGTAACCACAGACCTGTTTGTAGGTCTGTGGATGTAACAGTTTAATTAATTTTTTCAAAAATATTAATTAATTTGTTCAAGAAATTTAATTAATAATGTGACAATTTAATTCATTTTTTCAAGAAATTTAATTAATATAGTGACAATTAATCATGCGATAATTTAATTAATATTTACAAGAAATTTATTAAATGATGTGACAATTTAATTAATTTTTTCAAGAAATTTAATTATTAATGTAACAGTTTAATTAATTTTTCAAGAAATTTAATTTAGGATGTGACAACTAATAATGTGACAATTTAATTAATTTTTTAAGAAATTTAATATATGATGTGACAAACAATGATATGACAATTCAATGAATTTTTTCAAGAATTTTAATTAATTTGTCAATTTTCAAGAAATTTAATTAATGATGTGACAATTTAATTAATATTTTCAAGAAATTTAATTTAGGATGTGACAATTAATAATGTGAAAATTTAATTAATTTTTTAAGAAATTTAATATATGATGTGACTAATAATGATATGACAATTCAATTAATTTTTTCAAGAATTTTAATTGATGTGTCAATTTAATTAAATTTTTCAAGAAATTTAATTAATGTTGTGACAATTTAATAAATGTTTTCAAGAAATTTATTTAATGTGACAATTTAATTAATTTTTCAAGAAATTTAATTTAGGTTGTGACAATTAATAATGTGAAAATTTAATTAATTTTTTAGAAATTTAATATAGGATGTGACAAATAATGATATGACAATTCAATGAATTTTTTCAAGAATTTTAATTGATGTGTCAATTTTCAAGAAATTTAATTAATGATGTGACAATTTAATTAATATTTTCAAGAAATTTAATTTAGGATGTGACAATTAATAATGTGACAATTTAATTAATTTTTTAAGAAATTTAATATATGATGTGACAAATAATGATATGACAATTCAATTAATTTTTTTAAGAATTTTAATTGATGTGTCAATTTAATTAATTTTTTCAAGAAATTTAATTAATGTTGTGACAATTTAATTAATGTTTTCAATAAATTTGTAACAATTTGATTAATTTTTCAAGAAATTTAATTAATGTGACAATTTAATTAATTTTTTTAAGAAATTTATTTATTGATGTGACAATTTAATTAATTTTTAAAGAAATTTAATTTAGGATGTGACAATTAATAATGTGACAATTTAATTAATTTTTTAAGAAATTTAATATATGATGTGTCAATTTAATTAATTTTTTCAAGAAATTTAATTAATGTTGTGACAATTTAATTAATGTTTTCAATAAATTTGTAACAATTTGATTAATTTTTCAAGAAATTTAATTAATGTGGCAATTTAATTAATTTTTTTAAGAAATTCAATTATTGATGTGACATTTAATTAATTTTTTAAGAAATTTAATTTAGGATGTGACAATTAATAATGTGACAATTTAATTAATTTTTTAAGAAATTTAATATATGATGTTACAAATGATATGACAATTAATTTTTTCAAGAATTTAATATGATGTGACAATTTCAATAATTTTTTTAAGAAACTTAATAATGTTACAATTTTTTCAAGAAATTTAATTAATATTGTGACAATTTAATTAATTTTTTCAAGAAATTTAAATAATAATGTGTCAATTTAATTTATTTTTTCAAGAAATTTAATTAATGATGTGACAATTGAATTAATTTTTTCAATAAATTTAATTAATGATGTGACAATTTCAATAATTTTTTCAAGAAATTTAATTATTATTTGACAATTAATAATGTGACAATTTAATTAATTTTTTCAAGAAATTTAATAATTATTACTTTTAATGTTACAATTTAATTAATTTTTTCAAGAAATTTAATTAATATTGGGCCATTCCACGCGTAACGGATGGGACAGTTGCAAGTTTTTATTTACAAAATAATATTGTTCTATTATATTACTAATGTTAAATTTTTATAAATAGTTCTAAACAAAAGCTGTTTAACAAGGTTTTTATTTGGCAAAAGTAGGTACCTATCGTAATTGTATGTTTAATTCCTTAAAAATTAATTTTTTGTATTCAAAAACAGTACTAGTAGTGTTTTTGAATAAAAAAAATTAATTTTTAAGGAATTAAACGGTCAACCACGATACCTAATTTTGCCAAATAAAAACCTTGTTAAACAGCTTTTGTTTAGAACTATTTATAAAAATTTGACATTAGTAATATAATAGAACAATGTTATTTTGTAAATAAAACTTGCAACTGTCCCATCCGTTACGCGTGGAATGGCCGTATTGTGACAATTTAATTAATTTTTTCAAGAAATTTAAATAATAATGAGTCAATTCAATTAATTTTTTCGAGAATTTTAATTGATGTGTCAATTTAATTAATTTTTTCAAGAAATTTAATCAATGATGTGATCATTTATTTAACGTTTTCAATAAATTTGATTTATGATCTGACAATTTCATAAATTTAAAAAAAAATTAATGATGTGACAATTTAATTAACGATGTGACAATTTAATTAATGTTTTCAAAAAATTTAATTAATTAATTTTTACAATTAATTTAATTAATTATGTAACAATTTAATTATTTTAGTCAAGAAATTTTATTAATGATGTAACAATTTAATTAATTTTTTCAAGAAATTTTACTAATTAATGATGTGACAATTTAATTAATTAAAAAAAAATCATTAATGATGTGACAATTTCATTAATTTTTTCAGGAAATTTTATCAATGATGTGACAATTTAATTAATTTTTCAAGTAATTTAATTAATAATGTGACAATTTAATTTATGATGTGACAATTTTATAAATCATGTGACAATTTAATTAATATTTTCAATAAATGTAATTAATTTAATTATTTTTTTCAAAAAATGTATTCATTGATAAGACAATTAATGATGATGTGACATCATTAATTTAATAATTAAATTTGTCTGTCCCAAAAAATCCCCGACTATGAAATTTTGTTCCGTTGTCACCCACCAAGGTCGTTTTAGCTACATAAATCAGACGATCTTAACGAACCAAGAGCAGAAAAAAGCCGTGTCGAGCATTTTATACAACAGCTCGGGAAACGTGCCTTACATCGTCTTCGGACCGCCCGGTACCGGTAAAACCGTCACCATCGTCGAAGCCATCCTTCAGCTGAAGCGAAAAACGGACAAAAAGATACTGGTGTGCGCCCCGGCCAACGCAGCTTGCAACATGATAGCTTCGAAGCTGATGGTCCACTGCAACAGAAGCGAGCTCATCCGGGTGCACTCAGAAACCCAAGACATGTAAGTGTATTAGGGTGATTCATTTCCGCAATGTTTTGGTTTTCTTTGGTGCTCAAGCAAAATATTAATCTGCATATAGGAAAAAACATTCTCACCAAGTTTGAGCTCTTAATATAAATTTTAAGCACTTACTATTTAAATTTAAAGTTTTACAGTTTAAAATGCATGTAAAAAATATATTTTTTTTTTCAAATTTCCAATGCTTACCCACCTTTGACAATATTGCAAATCGGTTTAATACACCTTATGGGGAATTTCACGCTCTTTAAAATTGCTTTTGAGTTTTTTTTTGTAACTCGCATTGGTTCACCAGTAGGAGTCGTCAAAATCTTTTTTTTTTAATTTTTTCTAAAAAACCGCAAAAAGTAGGGAGAAAAAAGGGCTGAATCATAAAAAAAAGTTATCCAACCAATATTTAATGAATTTACAGCCATTTTTATAACTGAAAACGTAAGAAATTGATAATTACCAACTCATAATGTTATTTAGATTGATTTTTTCTATTTATTATCATTATATTTCCCTACACTAAGAAGTTTTTAAAAATTATTGATTTCTCACTTATAATGAATATGAAAACAACAGATAAATTCATAAAAAAAACAATAAGAAAATTGTGGATTTTGCAATTTTTCAACATTTCTGTCATATAGCAAAAAAATATAAATGAAGATTATTTAATTTTTTGAAGCGAAATTTGAAATATGTTACATAACCTTCTGTATATTCCGATTAAAGTTTTGTTGTTTTTTTTATGAATTTATGTGTTGTTTTCATATTCATTATGAGTGAGAAATCATAATAATTTTAAAAAAGTTCTTAGTGTAGGGAAATATAATGATAATAAATAGAAAAAATCAATCTAAATAACATTATGGGTTGGTATTTATCAATTTCTTACGTTTTCAGTTATAAAAATGGCAGTAAATTCATTAAATATTGGTTGGATAATTTTTTTTTATGAAACCGCCCCCTTTTTTTCTCACTACTTTTGGCGATTTGCTCGAAAAAATAAAAAAAAACGATTTTTTTCAAAAACTGTCCTTTGACGACTCCTACTGTTGAATCAATGCGAGTTACAAAAAAAACTCAAAAGCAATTTTAAAGAGCGTGAAATTCCCCATAAGGTGTTTTAAACCGATTTGCAATATTGTCAAAGGTGGGTAAGCATTAGAAATTTGAAAAAATATATATATTTTTAACATGCATTTTAAACGGTAAAACTTTAAATTTAAATAGTAAGTGCTTAAAATTAATATTAAGAGCTCAAACTTGGTGAGAATGTTTTTTCCTATATGCAGATTAATATTTTGCTTGAGCACCGAAAAAAAACAAAAACTTTGCGGAAATGAATCACCCTAAAGTGCAGTCACCGGCAAAAGTAAAATCCTTGATTTTTTCTTTACTCCATCACTCCATCACTGTATATGGGTGAATCTCACGAAATGTGGTGGTGGTGTTACCCCGTGTTATTTAATAAAACTAAATGAGTTTGACCTACACTTTTATTGCGTTTTGATCTTTCTTAATTAAGTAGATATTACAGCTCAGCTTCCAGATTTTTAACCGCAATTAATTATTTTAACAATGTTTTAAAAGTCTAAAACCTATCCTCCGTAACTGTTACTCTTTCTAGGTTAACCTATATGTTTTCAAATATCTGAGGTAGTAAAAGCATACTAAAAATGTCAGTTCACTAAGTAAATTAAACACATCCAAAGCAATCGAATCAAATATAAAATATTATTAAAAATTAAAAGAAATAATTTTTATAACCATTTATGAAGGTGTTACAAAAATTGATTCTATCCTCCGTGAATCTGTTTTTGCTTTAAATTTTATGCAACGGATGGCGCTTTAATCATTCTAAATAAGCAAAAACCTCTGTTTACGACATTATAGATGCCTGTGATTCCTGAAGGTCAGTTAGAATTTATATGCAGGTGAGTGTTGCTGTTTTATAATTCAAAAGTTTATGTTCATTAATTTGCTATTTAAAAACCTATCCACCGTGTACAATTGTATTTTTTAAAAATATTAATTAAGGTGTCAAAAGATACAATAACTTATTTCAGATATATAAAGGAATGTTTAAAAAAAACATATGAAATCCTAACCCTCGTGAAGCTCTAATATTCAAAATGCATGATTTCTTAAAATTCTTGCATTAGTGCAGAACCACTTATGTTATGATATTACTAGACCTGGTGGCTTCCCAAAAACCCCATTCTAGACTAACAGTGAAACAACCAAAAATAAAAAATAATCATTTTCACTTGGGGGGCATCTCAATATATTCACCCATATAAAAAAAATTGTTTAAAAATCATAAACTGTTTTAAAAATGACTTCATAAGTATTTTCGCTATTTTAATGTTTTTGAGAGTTTTAATTTATATAAAAGACAACAGCAATTTTTCAAATATACTTCAAAAATATAAAGTTAAAATTTGTTGATACTGAAAAGACTAAATAAAGAGAAGTAATAATTAAGGTTATCTATCTATCAGTTTAAAACTTAATTCATCTTACTTTATGAATATAACCAAAGATATTATCTTTGAAAATAACAACCTACGTTTTGGATTGTTTTGTTTTACTTATCTTTTGAACTTAATAACAGTGGCGGCCCGTGCTAAAAATGTTTGCCTGTTCTGCAAAAAAAGTAAAGTAAAATATCAGTTTAAGTAGAAAAGCTTTATTTCATTTTTTAAACTGTAATACAATGCTCCTTTCCTTCTTTGCTGCAAACTTATCAATTACTTTTTCGTTAAAGTTTTGTATTGATGCGATAAAAAAAATTTCAATAGATAACATCGAAAGAAATACAGTTTTCCCTGTTTTTATTTTTTACCCTCTAATGCCTTTTGCTTAAACACAATTGTGTTAACAGTCTGACTATTGAACAATGTTATTTATCGTACTGGAGAAACAACAGAAATTTCTGTTGTATTTATACTCGAATACGTTACTGGTGGTCCAGAAAACAACCAATTGCATATGCTGATGTGTACACGATTATTATTAAAAATTCCATAATAATATTAATAATTTGGTTATTTATGAAATTAAACTTCATTATAATTAATTGGCCCTTTTTGTCAGGCGTTAACTACACATTTACCCATCGGAATGCTTAAAAAATAACAAAATCCGGATATAAATTAATTAGTGATTTTTGAAAAAAAAATGTGTCCCAAAAATATTATTATTATTATTATTCCTTTGTTTGTATCTGCAACAGATTTTAGAAAAATTGATTGCTTAGCATTAAAAATTATTAATTTTTTTAGTAAATTGCCATATTTTACATAATATAATAATAATAATATAAAAAGAATTTTCATACTTATACTTGAAATGTGAGCGCTTCTAATAGCAATTCAGAAATTTTAGAATTATCAAAATCGTGCATCAAAAATTTTACTCTGCGGTGAGCGTGAATTATTGAAAATTTCTTTACATATATATCGAGTCAAATATAGTCAAAACATTAACAAAGTTTTCAAAAAAAAAATTAAGTCGCTAACTTCAACGGTTGTAGAAATATGAATTTTATCCAAGAGTCCTGAAATGCGCGCTAGATTTGACTACCTATTAGGTTTAATCCCCGTATAGCATATCGGCCCAATCAGATCAGGTAAGACGGAGTACGGACGTCGACACGGTTTCAAATATCCGAGCACTGATCTGCACTAATTGCAGCTCATTTCCACCGTAAATTGTGTAACAACGAACCTAACCGATGGCAGGCGGGGGCTAACGAAAGCTCGAGGTCGGCTTTAGCAGAACAAGGATGTTGAGCAGCTATGTAATGAACATTACTAGACGTGCTTTGCTTTAATATCCATTTGGCTAACTGAATTCGCAAAACGCGCAGCAGGCTCTTTAAAAATCTAACCATAAACTTTTTATTATTTGCTGATTTGATATTATTTAATTATAATAATCAATTAAATCATTGTTAATAATAATAGCATTAGAAATTAACATTTTTACTTTTATTTTTGGTGGTTCTGCAGCTCTGCAGCACTTAAGGACAAACCGCCCCTGCTTAATAAATAAAAAACAAAAAAATACTTACTTTATCAAAAATATAAAAGATGGTTTGCCATACAGAGGACAAATGGTTTGGATGAAGATTGTTTCTCCTCGAAATAGGGTTGCAGATTCTGTATAGATGAAACTACAAGTCTACACTTGCTAACACCAGTCATGTTTACAATGTGCAATCTTCATCAAAACCCATTGCGAAAAACTCTTATACTTTAAGACTAACAGTGAAACAACCAAAAATAAAAAATAATCATTTTCACTTGGGGGACAATATACCTATTCACCCATATCTTAAACGGTGGTCAAGTATAGGACGAACAAAAATGCCAACCAAAACTGATAGCATATTTTGATTATAGACCCTTTTGGTAACACTAACATGTATTTATCAAAATCCCAGCTGATCCTATTTTAAAGTTTTGCAAACTTTTTTGTTTTTCTATTTCTATATATTATTTTGCAATTATTGTACCAAAACTACCTGTACAATTTTAATAAAATTAAGCAAAATAATAAACTTTTTATCATTTAAATTACTTTACTCCCCAGTATTAATTTATTTAGTCACCTATTATTTTTTACCACTCAAAACAAAACATAACAAAAAAAACGAAGATTTATATCTTAAATATTTTTTATAACAAAAAATACTGGAAGTTTGTCTATGAAATAATTACAACTTGCAAATTTTGTAAAACAATAATTAAGGTGGTTATGAAAAAAATTGCCATACGTTATAACGCAAGTGACATTTTGCTTTAGTTGTTTATTTAATATATACTTTATAAAGTTAAAAATAGTATTTTAAAATGAAAATTATACCGAAATTCAAGTTAAGCCATGAAGAAAATCGAAAGAAGGTATGTGCTGGCTGTGGAGACAAAATTGTTTTTGGTAATCGAAAAATTCAGAGTTTAGGGTTTCTGAGAAAATATAAAAATTACTGCAGACTTTAACTTAAGTGATTCAAAATTACCTACTTCAATATGGTAAAAACGGTATTTTTGCATAGCCACAATTGCCAAATTTTCAAAATTTAGAAATTGCTAGAGAATTTCGCGGCAGCCAAGAATGTATGTGCTTTATCTGCAAAATGGCAAGATATAAAGGGCATAAAAAATTATTAAGGAAAGAGGACGGACGAACGAACTAAAGTTTTGATATGCTCTTCCTTTCTAGGGGATATCGCTAGATGTAAGAAGCATGTTTGTACAGAGACTGAAGAATTTAAAAATACTGTTTCCATGTTAACAACAATTCCATGTAAAACCCAAGAAAAAGTTTTACTGAAAATTTAAGGCAAGCAGTAATCGATTTTGCTTCAAAGAATCTTTAGTTATTTATTAGTTTTGTATTAGGTACCTTAAAACAATAAATAAGATATTGCAAACTGTATTTTACATTATTTTGTATTTATAATGTAATTTATCCATATTTCAGTCATGTATCTGCCAAATTTTTAAAAACATTTGATAATGGTACTAGAGTATTTTATCAAAATGGCATAAACAATTTTAAAATACTAAGAAATATGCTATCAGTTTTGGTTGGCATTTTTGTTCGTCCTATACTTTAGTTTTGACCACCGTAAAATACAAATTTCCTGTGCTGTTTTCATCTAGGCAGTCCATAGATCGATATCTACGCGACTATAGCAACATAGAAGCGGGCATTTTCATAAAAACAAGTGCGGGCAAGCTGAACACGTATCGCATAGTGATAACCACGTTGGTTCTGGTTGGTCGTTACGTCAACGATTACAAACCGGACGTTGTGTTTGTGGACGAAGCTGCGCAGGCGTCGGAACCGGAATGCTCCATCGCGATAGGCTTCTTGAAAAACAGCAAGAAGCAGCTGATTTTGGCGGGGGATCCCAAGCAGTTGGGTCCCAATTGCTGCTCCAACGTTGCCGAAAGATACGGATACGGTGAGAAAATATTAAAAACCCTAACATAATTGTTTAGTCTGTATCGTTTTTGACTTTTTTGGTTTGTCGTTTTATTATTTTTTATATTACACTGCGCGTCAAAATTAAAGCATAACAAGTAAAAAAAATCCAACTCCAAAACGCCTTTGCCAATCTTTTTGTTTATTATTTTCTGTTAATGATTTTTTCTCCTCTTCTCACACAATAAAACGTCAAAAACTATACACTTTATCTACATAACAATTTTGTAGGCAAATCTCTATTAGAGAGGCTTATGGAATTTGACATCTACCAACCCCAAAACCCTAACTACCCCTACTACATCACTATGCTAAAACTTAACTTTAGATGTCACCCGCTTATTCTTGAAATACCTAACAAACTGTTTTATGAGGGTCACTTAATAGTAAGTAACTGATTAATGTTATTTGCGTGAAAGGATTTTTGTTCCATAACACGCTGTACATAAAAATCCATTCGTTGTTTTTAGGCCAGTTCTACGGCTGCATTGAATGACCCTGTTGGGCAGTATTTTGTTTTCAATAAGAATTTGAAGAAAAAGAAAACTATTGGTGGCAGAGCCATTGAATTCTTCAGTGTCATTTCAAAAGAAAAACGAGAAGGTAGATCTCCAAGGTAAGGTATCTTAATATTTAGTAATATTTTTCATCCTCTCAACATTTTTTATTTATTATTTTCATGTTTTTTTTTTATTGGACTCGTGTTTTTTATTAAGTTGGTTTGATTTAGTATTTTTAGTATTTAAAAAATGGTTTTGCTGACACTGTCAAATTGACAGTAATGTTTATTATTGATAATTTACTTGTCAATTTTATTATTGTCTTCTGAAAATTTGGCATTTAAGGCTTTTCAGGTTATGTATCTGTCAATGATAGAAATAATATTTATAGTGTTACCGCTTATGTTTAAGAGTTAAAAGTTAATAAATCTTTATAGTATCACAATAACAATGGTTGGTTTAAGAATTTAGGAATATAAAAACTGCATTTAATGAAATTCCAAAGTGTAAGGTGCAATATAAGTAATATTTTTGTGCATTGGGTCTACATTTCTCAATAAAATAGTTTTAATTAAACAGCATTTATTAAAAAAATCTAACTTCTCTATTATGAAATAAGAATATCTGTATCAAAGGTAGGTTAATATATAAGAACAAAAAATATCATCTAATTTTGTATTTTAAGGTTAGAAAAATCTATTTTGACCAAAATAAATAAGTGGATTATTTGGAAGTGTGTTAATATGGTCATAAATAAATATAGGTATACTAAATAATTGTTGAATATAGTTCAAATTAAATTGAAGCTTTTATATTTCTAACGACAAAACTTGTGCATACCTCTCTGCATACTTACTTTAAGTTAGATTATAAGAAAACAAACAATTTTTAGAGAAACTTGCAATGTGAAAATATTTAATACTCCCATGAAATGTGATTTATTAAAATTTTTAAAGTTATAATGATTTTTTGATGTAGATCAAATTCAGTCTAAGCTTTTTAACTATTTGTATTGACAAAACTTTATGTAAATACACTTTAAGCTGGATAAGAAAAACTACCACATTTTTAAATACCATATTATAGTCTTTTAAATAATCCAAAATACTTATTTATTTTGGTCAAAATATATTTTTCTAACCTTAAAATTACAAAATTAGATGATATTTTTGTTATAATATATTAACCTACCTTTAATACAGATATTCTTATTCCATAATAGAGAAGCTAGATTTTTTTAAATAAATGCTATTTAGTTAAAATTATTTTATGGAGAAACCCAGATATTTGGACCAAATGCACAAAAATATTACTTATTTTGCACCATACACTTTAGAATTTCATTAAATGCAGTATTTTTATTCTTAAATTCTTAAACCATCCATTGTTATTCTAATGATATAAAGATTTATACATTTTTAACGCCTAAACATATTATTATTTCTTTTGTTGGCTATACTTTGACAGATACATAACCTGAAAAGCCTTAAATGCCAAATTTTCAAAAGACTGCGTTCCATACGTGGTCACGTGGTGGGACTTTGAGGTGTGGAGCATAGTACATCGCCTTATGGACATTTTTTGAGTAAAAAGTAACGTTTTTGGTTTTACAAATATTAAATCACACATTATTTTCAGCTGAGCAGATCAAAATTTTTTGAAATTTTAAAAAATAACGGGGAAATAAAGAAACAAAAAATAAAAATTATTTGCTGTTGGGTTCAACCTTTTTGTGAAAAATCTAGTAGTTAATTTTCCAGTCTTTGAAAATGGCATCCATTTGGTTTGAAACAGATAAGCAATAATCACGAAACTTTTTCTTCTTTCAATTTGCAAGTTACTGATCATTAATAGTCCTGGACAATATATACATTATAATTATTATCAAGCCACAACAAGTATTAACGTCCAGTGGCTTTAACAAAATACCCATTCACCATTGGAGTCCAATGATTGGACAACATTCACGTGTCTTCACATAAAATTTTAATTTCTTTTATATAAATTCTTTTCAAAGCGAAGATTATTATCCGCTAGGAATACTTTGTCTCTCCTGGGCCGTAGTCACCTATATTTAACTACTTTTTATATGATTTTATTTTTAAATAGCTACCAAATTTCTGACTAAATTATTTATTGCAGTTATTTCAATCCGGCTGAAGTTGAAATTGTGATGAAATACGTTCACGGGTTGTTAACATCGAGATTCGATGTGCAACAGAGTGATATTGGAATCGTAACTCCATACATTAGACAGGTACATAATATACACTCACAGGCAAAATAATCGATCCACACAAATTTTCAATGAATTTCAATCGCAAATAACTTTTTTATTTGATGTCGGATTTAAACGAATATTAAAGAATATTGTAGATAGATTAATGGACAATCACTCACAATTTAAAAAATTACTAAAAAATACACGTACGCTTATAATATACAGGTTTAAACAAAAAGATGTTTTTTACCATAAGTTTAAGACACTCTGTAGAGTGGCAAAACCGTATAGTTTTCTAAATTAAGTTTTATTTATCAAGTCACATCTATTCTTAACAGTTTTGTTTTTCGTTCACCTCGATATATTTATTTTTGTGGATTTTTTAAAAAAACATTGCAATTTCCAATATTTTTCTGTATGAAGAACTAAGGTTGCTATGGTCCATCCATAGGCTATGGAGAATGAGTGACAGTTTTGTTGAATCATCCCATACTTTGACATGTCATACACGGCTTTCAAAAGCTATCAAATTGTTTTTTGCAAATTAATGTTTAAATTTTGAGGCGTCTTCTTACTTTAAAAAATGGATATGTCTCCGACTGATGTTGCCAGAGCCATTAATTTAATCCAGGATGGACGGTCACAGTATTAAGTGGCAAGTGTTTTAAACGTCACAAGAAGTAAAGTACAAAGGGCAACATCAGTCGGAGACATTTTTAAAAGTATGAAGACACCTCACACATTAATTTACAAAAAACAATTTGATAGCTTTTGAAAGCTGTATATGACATGTCCAAGTATGGGATGATTCAACAAAACTGTCACTGTCATCCTCCATAGGCTATGGATGGACCATAGCAACCTTAGTTCTTCATACAGAAAAAATATTGGAAATTGCAATGTTTTTTTTTTAAATCCATATTTTCCACAAAAATAAATATATCGAGGTGAACCAAAAACAAAACTGTTAAGAATGGATGTGACTTGATAAATAAACCTTATTTTAGAACAATATACGGTTTTGCCACTCCACAGAGTGTCTTAAACTTATGATAAAAAACACATTTTTGTTTAAACCTGTATATTAAACGTACGTATATTTTTAAGTAATTTTTAAAATGTGAGCGATTCTCCATTAATGTATCTACAATATTCTTTAACATTTGTTTAAATCCGACATCAAATAAAAAAGTTATTTGCGATTGAAATTCATCGAAAATTTGTGTGGATCGATTATTTTGCCTGTGAGTTAAATTGTCTCTTTTCGACCAAATAAAGATTTTAATTTTTTAAAACATGTAGGTCCACAAAATCAAATATAAACTTAAAGATGCAAACTATGAAGAAATAGAAGTCGGAACCACCGAAACATTCCAGGGACGAGAAAAACGTATTATTATAATAAGTTGCGTGAGGGCACAGGATTCCCTGCTAAAGTTTGACAGGGAGTATAATTTGGGATTTGTGCGCAACTCCAAGGTAAGAATATTTTGTTTTTTCAATTATATAGGGTAAACCACATAGTTATTGGACACAGGAATATTATTTATTTTAAATTTATATATTAAAATTGCTGTTGTAAGTAATTTTTTTATTTTGTTTTTGTAAATATCATAATTCATATATTTCTTTTTCGGATTCCTCATCCCTTTTCTGGAATTTGAAGGTAACTACTAATTCCTTGGTCTGACTTCTGAAATAGTTTGTTGCAAATATCATTAAGTGTGGTATCTCTAGTTTGTGCAGCATTTATAATGTTTAGGCCGGAACAGGATGATTTATATACATATATTTAATATTTTTTCGGGTGGTATGTTAAAAGTATTTTCCGAATTTATTAATTTTGTTGCCATTAGTTTTTTATGTTCTCTATCATGCACTGTATCTAAATCACTGTTATTCTGCAAGATGTCCTGTGACGAAGAAATCTCTATATTACTAACTCTCTAAAAATGATTAAGTCAAAAATTTCAAAGCGAAAAGGCAGCCACTAATAACAGCAATTTGTATCCAGGACATTTAGCAGTGAATTCCTATGAAATATTATTCGCTGAATCCGAAAATGTCGTCAAAAGTTATAAAAGTGGAACAGTTTTTGAAATATAATCAATTTTACATATAATATGGAATTGACTATATCTCAAAAAATGCTTAACTTTTATAGTTTTTGACGGTCTTCGGATTCAGGGGACAATTTTACATAAGAATTAGCTGGTAAATGTCCGGGATACGAATAGAGTATGTCACATATGTCCAATAATAGAAATTTACATTTTTTACCTAGCAGTAATTGGACACTGGCCATTTTACTGTTTGTTGTCAGAATTAAAATTAAAAAGCATTAAAGTGACAATGTTTAAACCATGAGGAAAACATTTATACCACACACTGATCTGTACACTTTGGAGAAATATTTTTTATTGTAATTTAAACACAGCCCTGCTCTTAACAAAAAAACAAAAATCTTACCACCAAAGTAACGTGCGAAATTTTTCGTCTTATATTTGACCCAAACTAAAGTAGTTCTAAATTATTACCGACTGAGATAGTTATAATTGTATACAGCGTCATCTAATGTTTTAACTTTAAGGTAACTAAATATATTTATAAAACTCTTGTTTTTACAATATTAATGTTAATTGTCCAATCTACTTTACCCTAAATGTTTACTACACACAAAAAAATATAAAAAATTAAGTGAATTCACTCAATTTTTTTTAAATTGTTTTTTCTAAAAAGAGCAAAAAAAATTGAGGTGAAAATTTTGACCATTGCCACATTTTTGGCTGAATTCGTCGTTTCAACATTTTATTTTACCATGAAAACATACGCTGAAACTTTTTATAAAATAAAATAAAAATAATAATTGAGGTGGTTAGAATCAAAGGGGTTTAAGTAATTGCTCAACATTTTTTGTTTTTAAAATACTAAATAAAATGATTCAAATATTTTGAAATAATTATAAAAAGTTATATCCAACCGCCCCATAGTGTGGCCATTGTAGGGAATCTCTGGCAATGAATAAAAAACGAAATATGAAATCAAATAAAAATTTGTTATTTCCAAACATAATTAACCTGCGCATTAGTTTCTGGACCTCTTAGACTTAAAACTTTCTGATAAAGCCTCAGTCAAAAAGAGTTTCGCGACTGCCTCACTGATATCTGTTAACCGACCAAAATTTTTGAGAAAAGTTTGAGTTAATTGAACGTGTTTTTTTTTTAATTTCATCCTTATTAAATACAGGGTGAGTTTTAAGTTGACGCGTTCCTTTTAACAGCGTGTAGAAATCAGATAAACAAATAAATATTTTAAGTAACTTTTTTGTCAAAACTCAAAAATAAGAGAGTTATAGGGCTTTCAAGTTTAATTAAATTTTGAGCCGGTCCTGGCTATTGTTAACAAAAAACATAACCATAAAAATAAAAATAACAAAATAACAATGCAAAATGTCATCTATGACAACAAACATAACCATTTAAATCAAAATGACATTTAGCAATGAAAAATGTCAATTTTTTTGTGCCTTAATTATTGTTAAAAATGGTTCATTATTATAGCAATAATGAATTAGTGGAAATGTTACTAATTTATGGAGAGTGTCGTCAAAATGCAAATGCTGCAACTTAAGTAAATAATGACATTTTTTATTGCAAAATGTCAATTTGATTTAAATGGTTATGTTTGTTGTCAAATATGACATTTTGCATTGTTTATTTTGATATTTTTATGGTTATGTTTTTCGTTAACAATAGCCAGGACCGGCTTAAAATTTAATTAAACTTTGATGGGCTATAACTTATTTATTTTTGAGGTTTGATAAAAAAGTTACTTAAAATATTTATTTGTCTAGCTGATTTCTACACACTGTTTAAAGGAACGCGTCAACTTAAAACTCACCCTGTATTATATTATATATTAATATTTTATTTTAATCGTGATTTTAATAAAACAAAATCACTTGATTTAAATAAGTGATTTAAATCATAACACGCTGGTTTCCAGTTTTCTATCAAAACGTGTTATTTTAGCGTTTCAATGTGGCACTTACAAGAGCCATGAGCAAGTTAATTGTCATTGGATGTCCATCTGTTTTGTGCAACGATTCAAAATGGCTCGAGTACATCGAGTTATCTGAAGAAAACGAGGCCTACTTTGGCGCCCCCTTCATCCGCAGAACCACCGAGGTTAAGGAACAAATTTCGCGCAGAATCGGTAACATACAGTTGATTGACAGTCAGTTTAGGCACCAGCAGAACATTTCTTAAGCAAAAAACGACAACTAAGAATACTTCTTTATTTTATAATTATTTTTCTTAGCACTCGGTCTTAAATTGCTACCATATTAACATTTTAAATCACAGTATTTAGTGCATTTTTTTTAAGCAATTTCAGACCAAAGCTCCATTATTTTTTGACAATATGTTATTCTTATATTAGATTTAAAAATATAGTTTTTTACTAATGTTTAAAATTGGTATTTTAGTCCTTTATATAAAAAAACAAAAGTGATAAACAATGTGATTTTTTAATTAAAAAAAACAAAATATCACCCAATAGTTTTTAGTACATCCTGTCATTTATATAAAAAAACAAAAGTGATAAAAATGTGATTTTTTAATCAAAAAACAAAATATCACCCAATAGTTTTTAGTATAAAAATGTTATTTTTTGATTTTTATTTTATCTTTAATTAGGTAAGTATATTTCTAAAATCCATGCCTATTATATTAAAAATGTTAATTAATAAAATTTATATCCAAATTAATTGTTTTAATAAATTAAAATAATGTTTTCCAAAAAATTTTAAGATTAGGTTCAAGTTACAATTAATTTAAAAATCTGAATTTTCGGGAGTACCTTCAGGATAGTAAAAAAATTAAAAAGTTTTTTCCACATTTTTAGGATTTGTTCTAATTTTTGGAAGTACCTCTAGGATAATTAAAATGTAAGAAAAAACCTGTTTACATTTTTTTTAGTTATGAGTTTTTCTCACTTTTTTAGGATTTGTTCTAATTTGTTTATTAAAAGTGGTTGGGGCTCAGGTTAAAAATTAATTTAAAAATCTGATTTTTTGGTAAAAAAGTAAAAAAACCTTTTTTTTTATTATTATTTTTTATTGCAAAGAAATATTTATTTTTTTATTTTTTACTGTGTTAAATAACACTTAATAGGTATAATTAACTATATTTTAATAACAAAAATTAAGGTGTTTATTTTTTGAATTCACTTTTTAAGAAAAATAGACTTAAATGGATAAAATTTCAAATTGAAAACTTCTAATTGGACCACAAATGTGAAACACCCTGTATAATATTAACCTTATAGGCAACTTCCAATAATTAGTATAATATATGTTGTTTATTAATAATTATCTAAAATAAAGTGAGTATTATAATAAATGTTTAAAAAGCACAGTATGGTAAGTACAAATCATGAATATTTGGTGCAGAAAATTCTAAAATTAATTAATCAGTCAATATTTTTTAAATGTAGGTACAGTTCATTTTTTTTATCTGGACTCGTGTTTTTTTGTTAGGTTGGTGGCTTATGCCAGTTTGACTTTGTATTTTTAGTATTTAAAAATTTAATTAAATACTTTGACACTGTCAAATTGACAATAATTTACTTGTCAATTATAAATAAAAAAATATTTATGCCAAAAAAAATAGCAACGAATTCGAATGTAAAAGCCCTTTTGAGGGCAAAACTTCATTTTGGGGCATTCCACGTTACTCGGTAATTTTTGTCCCACCCGTCACAATTAAAAATTGTGAGTAAAAACCACAAGTTATAAAATTAATATTTTATAATATTATTTTTATTGTGCTTATAACTTATTAAAAGCATAATAAAACAATATTTTTAAATAAATTTTATAACGTGTAGTTTTTACTCACAATTTTTAATTGTGACGGGTGGGACAAAAATCCCCGAGTAACGTGGAATGACCCTTTTTATGAAATTATGCCAAATGCCATTAATGGAGTAAAAAAGTAACAAATTTGGTTTTATAAATATTACATCTCACATTATTCACCATTGGACAACATTTACGTTCACAAAAAAATTTAATTTTTTTTTTTAAATTCTTTTCAAATCAAAGATTATTATCCGCTAGTAATACTTTTTCTTCTGGGCCGTAAAGCAACCTATATTTAACTACTTTTTATATGATTTTACTCATCCAAGCACCACCAAAGCCAAATTAATTGCATTTTTAACTACGAATTTCGACAACTCAACTTGACAACTGCACAATGTAGCCTACAATAATTTATACATAACCACAATTAGATTTATAACTAGCTTAGTTTGTTTTAATCAATGCGACCAACTTGACAACTGTATTTACCAACCTAAACCCGAAATTTGCAACGTTGCCGCAGTCCAGATAAAAAAATGAACTTTAGGTATATATTATAAATATATTTAACCCTAATTCAGTATTATTGGGATCTATGTAATCTTCTTTACAAAAATGTTTATCATACACATATTTTCCAATGGAATTTACAAAAAATATGTACGCCACATTTTAAACCTAACCTAAAAATCACACCAGTATTATTCATTTGAAAAAAACAATTTAGCATTGTGAAATAAAATTAATTGCCTTTTAAATTATGATGAAACCTGGCAACCCTGCGTGTGTCATACCCAATAATTAATTTCTAGATGTATACTTCTTATTTTTATGATAATACCTATTATTGCCATATACCTAGTCTTCTTGAACTATTGTTATAAAAAGAATTATTAATTATTAATATAATAAATAATAAATTATAATAAAATAACTGAGGTTCACATGGTTAAAATGACAGTTTGTGTCAAAAACTATTTTAAAATAAAGTTTGAAATAATAATTTAACATAATAGTAAAATTCAACTACTCATAGGGTACATCAATTCTTTAAAAAGCATTAAAAATTAAATACACCATATTTCCACTTGTTCCGTTTGTCAACATTCTTTTATTATTTTATTTATAAACAACAATTTCAAACAATCTGGCAACGTTCTGGTGCAGTGGCGCCACCTGCGGCGTTTTCGCGAATTTGTGCATCTTGACAGGTCAATTGTCATTATATAATCTTCGAGCATTTTAGAGAAATTTCAAAATGTCCGGGGCTGTAAGCAAAGCTAACAAACCTCAAATGAGGGGTCTTCTCCAAAGCCAAATCAAGAGGAACCTCGTGTTCGCCATAGGGCTCTGTACTGCAGCCGCTGTTCTTCAAAAGGTGTTCTACAATGATGGACGTAAAAGGGCCTACAGCGAATTCTACAAGTATGTATATCTATTGTACTTACATCCGATATAAAATTATATTTTAGGACCTACGATATTGAAAAGGCATTCAACCAGATCAGAAACAAAGGCTTGTTTGACTCCTGCGAACCAGACAAATAAGCTGTCTTTATGCTTAGGTACCTAGTAGCTAATTACTGTCTATAGTTTATTAAAATTATTGTAAAATTATGTTGGTTTGTGATGTAATTTTAAATTATACATACACCTAATTTGAGTTTTTTTTTAATTTTTCAATCGGACATCTGACCTTGCTTGACGCCTGTCAAACAGTTTTAACCTCACTTTTTTGTAATAAATGACGTAGAAGTAAAAACATACTATTTATTAAAAAATTAACACTATAAAACAGATTTATTGACTAGATGTCTCTTCCCACGGCCTTGGCCCTCGAACCTGCTCCCAGTTATCGATATCAAGATTTTTTATTTTTTCATATTCACTCTCCAAAGTTACTTCGCCAGGCTTTTTCATTTCAATACCGTGTTTTTTTAATTCGTCTGGATTCACCTTTGAAATTCTTGAAAACTGATAACTACAAGAAACAATCTACGTTTGTATTTTGTATTTGCATATTTAATTTAGTAGCTACCGTAGTTGTGTGAATTCTCTTAAACCAAAAGAACCGCCCAGAACTAGCAGAAGGAAAGGTAGTCCAAATTTTACAGATTTTCTTTTTAAAAATTTTTCTATCGAAGAAAAATTCATTCTAACCTAAAAGATATACCCACCCTGTAAAAAACGAGAACATGATATAAATACCATAGAAAAAGGATAAATACGTTCATTACCTATTTGCTATGGTTTGAATTGAATTTTTTGTAAAAGAAATTATAGAAAACTTGGTTTATTTAGTTCAATATATTTGAGGTTAAATTGTAACTGCTGTCATCTTAATTTTATTTTTAAAGTAGTTAAAATTATTATCTTAAATATTTAATTCTAATAAAACCTCATGTCATAGGTAAAATCATTAATTACAAATTCTCTACATTGGTTTTCTATAACTAACTTACATTCAACTTTTTTATATGTCTATGGTCAGGATTTTTGACAGCAAATTTGACATTTAAGTACGCGCCATTTCTTGTAAGACGGAGTCGTCTTTTTTAACCAGAGATTTCAAGTAATTTCACTAAAAACAACGTTCATAAGATGGCAGAAACGAGCTCAGAAGCGACCTTAAGTCGTTTAAATGAAGAGGAAACTGACAGTGAATTGATAATGTACAAAAAACAGGCTGTTAATGTGGTTACTTTCAAAATCGGTAACGAGTATTTTTTTATTTGTGTTTTTATGCTAATGGCATGTAAATTTCGTTGCAGTTTATGATGCAGATGATATTGGTAAAAAGGATGGGCAATTCAAGCCTTTTATGGCCCATCAGGTGTTTGGAGAAAGGTAAAAACATTAAAACTACCTCGATTACTTATGTATAGATAAGTACTAAAATATTATTTTTAGCGAATCAATTTTCGGGTACAGATCACTGTCTATCGACATTTATTACATGCACAATTCGTCCAGATGTTATGTTGATCTAAAGAGCTCTGGCAAAATTAAAAAAGATTTGTATGAAGCCGACGATATTATAAAGGCGTTAGATGGATGGCTTCCAGAAAATTACAGTGTTGATAAAAAAGACTTTCTAAAGCAAATTGAGAGTGAGGAACATGATAAAATATATGGGGAAATTTTGGGGGAGTTCAAAGATACACAAGAGGGTAAGAATATATTTTTTTAAACTACTTTTGCTTTATAAAAAAACATTCTTAAAATTAGTTTTCTTGCTATTTAAAACAGTTAAATTCTAGCTTTGATTGACATTCTTATAAGAGTTATATTATAGCTTAACCTGACATTCTCAAGGCAGTTCTAGCCTAAACTGGCATTCTTAAAAAAATTAAATTCTAGCTTAAATTAACATTCTTAAAACAGTTATATTTGAGCTCAAATTAACATTCTTAAGACAGTTATATTTTAGCTAAAAATTGCATTTTTCATACAGTCATATCTAGCTTAAGTTAACATTTTGAAGACAGTTATAACCTAGCTTAAATTGAAATTTTTAAAAAGTAAAATTCTAGCTTAAATTGACATTCTTGAAACAGTTAAATACTAGCTTTAATTGACATTATTAAAACAGTTTTATTATAGCTTAAACTGACTTTCTTCAGGCAGTTTAATTCTAGCGAATTCTAGCTTAAACTGACATTCTTAAAACAGTTATATTTTAGCCTAAATTGACATTCTTATTTTTAATACAATCATATCTAGTTTCAGTTAAAAAATTTTAAATAGTTAAATTTTAGCTTAAATTGCATATTCTTGAAACAGTTAAATACTAGCTTTAATTGACATTCTTAAAACAGTTTTATTATAGCTTCAGACAGCTAAATTCTAGCTAAAACTGACATTCTTCAGACAGTTAAATTCTAGCTTAAATTGACATTCTTGAAACAGTTAAATACTAGCTTTAATTGACATTATTAAAACAGTTTTATTATAGCTTAAACTGACTTTCTTCAGGCAGTTTAATTCTAGCGAATTCTAGCTTAAACTGACATTCTTCAAACAGTTTAATTCTAGCTTAAATTAACATTCTTAAAACAGTTATATTTTAGCCTAAATTGACATTCTTATTTTTAATACAATCATATCTAGTTTCAGTTAAAATTTTTTAAATAGTTAAATTTGAGCTTAAATTGCATATTCTTGAAACAGTTAAATACTAGCTTTAATTGACATTCTTAAAACAGTTTTATTATAGCTTCAGACAGCTAAATTCTAGCTAAAACTGACATTCTTCAGACAGTTAAATTCTAGCTTAAATTGACATTCTTGAAACAGTTAAATACTAGCTTTAATTGACATTATTAAAACAGTTTTATTATAGCTTAAACTGACTTTCTTCAGGCAGTTTAATTCTAGCGAATTCTAGCTTAAACTGACATTCTTAAAACAGTTTAATTCTAGCTTAAATTAACATTCTTAAAACAGTTATATTTTAGCCTAAATTGACATTCTTATTTTTAATACAATCATATCTAGTTTCAGTTAAAATTTTTTAAATAGTTAAATTTTAGCTTAAATTGCATATTCTTGAAACAGTTAAATACTAGCTTTAATTGACATTCTTAAAACAGTTTTATTATAGCTTCAGACAGCTAAATTCTAGCTAAAACTGACATTCTTCAGACAGTTAAATTCTAGCTTAAATTAACATTCTTAAAACTGTTATATTTTAGCCTAAAAAGACATTCTAAAGACAGATATATTAAAATGGCATTTTTAGTTAAAAATTTTAAAATAGTTAAATTTTAGCTTAAATTGACATTCTTAAAACAGTTAAATAGGTACTAGCTTTAATTGACATTCTTAAAACAGTTAAATTGTAGGTTAAAATTCTTAAACAGCTTACATTTTTTTTAAAAGTTTTATTTTAGCTTAAATTAACATTGTTGACAGTTACATTCTATCCTAAATTGATATTCTTAAGACAGTTAAATTTTAGCTTAAAATGTAATTTTTAAGACAGTAATATATAGCTTAAATTGGCATTAACATTCTTAAGACAGTAACATTCTAGCTTAAATTTGCATTTTTAAAATAGTTAGTCTACCTTAAATTGATATGTTTAAAACAGTTAAATACTAGCTTTAATTGACAATCTTAAAACAGTTATATTATAGCTTAAACTGAATTTCTTAAAACAGTTAAATTTTAGCTTACATTAACCTTCTTTAAACAGTTATATGTTAGCCTAAATTGAAACTCTTAATACAGTTATATTTTAGCTTAAAATGGCATTTTTAATACAGTAATATCTAGCTTAAGTTAATATTTTGAATAGTTATATTAATTGGCATTTTTAAAATAATTAAATTTTAGCTTAAATTGACATTCTTGAAACAGTTATATTATAGCTTAAACTGACATTCTTAAAACAGTTAAATTCTAGCTTAAATTAACCTTCTTAAAACTTATATTCTAGCCTAAAGTAACATTCTTAACAGTTATGTACAATGTAAAATGTACATTTTAGAATAAAATGTAATTTTTAAGACTTTCATAGCTTAAGTTAACATTGTTAAGTTATATTTCATCTTAAATTGACATTCTTAAAACAGTTATATTCTACATTGTTGACAGCCTAAATTGATATTCTTAAATTTTAGTTTAAAATGTAATCTTTAAGGCAGTTATATCTATCTTGTTCACATTCTAGCTTAAATTAAAACTTATATTCTAGCCGAAAGTAACATTCTTGACAGTTGTATTTTAGCATAAAATGTTATTTTTAATTTAAGATGGCATTTTTATTTGATATTCTGGCCTGAATTTAAAAGTTAATATTAAAATATAACCGCCTTAATAATGTCAATTTAAGCTAGAATATAACTGTCTTAAGAATGTTAATCTAAACTAGATATAACTGCTTAAATTGACATTTTTGACAGTTATATTCTAGCCTAAATTGATATTCACAGTTAAATTTTAGCTTAAAATGTAATTTTTAAGACAATCATATCCAGCTTAAATTGACATTCTTAAAACAGTTATATTTTAGCTTAAATTAACATTGTTGACAGTTATATTTTAGCCTAAATTGATATTCTTAAGACAGTTAAATTTTGGCTTAAAATGTAATTTTTAAGACAGTCATATCTAGCTTAAGTTAACATTCTTAAGACAGTTACATTCTGGCTTAAATTGGCATTTTTAAAATAGTTAAATTCTAGCTTAAATTGACATTCTTGAAACGGTTAAAAACTAGCTTTAATTGACATTCTTAAAACAGTTATATTATAACTGAATCTGACTTTCTTAAGACAGTTACATTTTAGCTTGAACTGAAATTTTTAAAACAGTTATATTCTAGCTTAAATTAACATTCTTAAAACATTTATATTTTAACCTAAATTGACATTCTTAAGACAGTTATATTTTAGCTTAAAATGGCATTTTTAATAAAGTCATATCTAGCTTAAGTTAACATTTTGAAGACAGTTATATTCTAGCTTAGTTGGCATTTTTAAAATAGTTAAATTTTAGCTTAAATTGACATTCTTGAAACAGTTAAATACTAGCTTTAATTGACATTCTCAAAACAGTTATCTATAACAAACTGATATTTTTAAAACAGTTAAATTCTAGCTTAAATTAACCTTCTTAAAACAGTTATATTCAGCCTCAATTGACATTCTTAGAACAGTTATATTTTAGCTTATAATGGCATTTTTAAGCTATAATAGACAGTTAATATCTTAAGTCTTAAGACAGTTAATAGCTAAAACTGACTTTTTTAAGACAGTTAAATTCTAAAACTGAAATTCTTAAAACAGTTTAATTATAGCTTACATTAATATTCTTAAAACAGGTATATTCTTGCCTAAATTGATATTCTTAAGACAGTTAAGAATGTTAATCTAAACAAGATATAACTGCTTAAATTGGCATTGTTTACAGTTATATTCTAGCCTAAATTGATATTCTTAAGACAGTTAAGAATGTTAATCTAAACAAGATATAACTGCTTAAATTGGCATTGTTTACAGTTATATTCTAGCCTAAATTGATATTCACAGTTAAATTATAGCTTAAAATGTAATTTTTAAGACAGTCATATCCAGCTTAGGGTATGTTCCGTAAATCAACTTGGTTGGTTTGGTTTCGGTTAAGGTGTCCCGTAAATGAAAAATTCCTGAAAATTATGTAGTTAAGAAACGCGGTTCCTGAAAAATAGGTTAATCAATCGTTACCGAAACGACCGACGCTGTATGATCGGTTAAATCGGTTACCAGTGCTGCAAACCAAATGGAAACAGTGTTGCCCTAAACAAAATTACTGTTTTTTGTTGGTTATCTAACCTAAAAATTTAACACAGGAGCAGACTTCGCATACAAAATACTAGTGTTCGCGATAGTGGGAAAAAATCAATATCGATAGTTTCGATGTTGATAGTTTCAAATATCGAAACTATCGATAGTTTATCGATAGTCTTTTATATACCTATTTAGGGATGCACCGGAATTCCGGCGGTACCACTAAATCCGGCCGATCCGGCCAGTTGGCCGGAACTACCGTTCCGGCCGGATCGCTCCGGCCGGATCGGTATTTTCTTTTACCAAAAAATTAATCTATTCTCTGGAACTTTAAATAGAGACACTTTCTCTAAACAACTTTTTTACCCACCATTACACGTAGGCATTAAAATACGTTTTGTCCAAAAATAATTGAATTCAGTATTATAGGGTGTTTTAGGTTTGTTTATGTAACTATAGAAATATTATTAAAAATATATGCAAGTTGTAGTTTTTGACACAAATAAAAGTTTCAATAAAAAATCTTAAGTTGGGTTATGTTTTTTCAAATAAAGGTGTCCCGTAAATATGAACTAACCGAGAAAACCAGGAATTTATTTCAGTAACCAGACCGGTAACTCGTGTGTATTTACGGAACATATCCTTAAATTGACATTCTTAAAACAGTTATATTTTAGCTTAAATTAACATTGTTGACAGTTATATTCCAGCCTAAATTGATATTCTTAAGACTTAAATTTTAGCTTAAAATGTAATTTTTAAGACAGTCATATCTAGCTTAAGTTAGCATTTTTAAAATAGTTAAATTCTAGCTTAAATTGACATTCTTGAAACGGTTAAAAACTAGTTTTAATTGACATTTTTAAAACAATTATATTATAGCTGAATCTGACTTTCTTAAGAAAGTTACATGTTAGCTTGAACTGAAATTTTTATAGAGTTATATTCTAACTTAAATTAACCTTCTAGCCTAATTTAACATTCTTAAGAGAATGCTTTTAAAGGTGTATTGTTTTAGTTCCAAATTTTCCGGATAAAAATATAAACGCAACTTATAAAATTGCCATGATGGATCTAAAAGATCCCAATTTTATAGAGCTTCACAAAAATTTCGAAACCCTGATTGTGTGGTTTATCGACGCAGCAAATTTCATAGATTTGGAGGACGATAAATGGATGATATTTTATGTGTAAGTTAGAGAAACGCGATTATTTCGCTATTTATCGATATTTTTCGTCAGATACGAGGAGTTTAATCATCCAGACACAAAAAAACTGATGAGGTCGCCCGTAGGATTCTGCACCTTGTACAAATTCTTTCACTACCCTGACAAGATCAGAGCGCGCATCAGTCAGTACTTTATTTTGCCTACGCATCAGAGGAGGGGAATCGGTTCGAAAATGTACAAAATCGTTTTTGAACATCTCAGGAACATGCCTGATGTCATTGATATAACAGGTAAACGTCGACATTTCAGTTATCTCTGCAAGAAATTTCCATTAAAATTTTATTTCAGTTGAAGAACCGACCTCAACATTCCAAAAAATAAGAGACATAAACGATTCCCAATTGATTTATGATAGCTTGAAAGGCAACAAGTTAGAAATAAATATAGGCAACCGAAAAAAAATAAACGAGCTCATGAAAAAAGTGAAATTATGCAAGAAACAGTCAGCGAGAATTTTCGATATTTTGGGATGCCACAGGGCAAAAAAATGCGGCCCTTTCGAGTACAACAATTGCTTGAACACTATTAAAAGAAGAATTGAAAATGACTTGGAGGTAAGTACATAGTTAAGTATTTTAAGACTTTTTCTGAATTTGCTTTGCTCCAAAAACCGCCTCTTCCTTTTCTCCAATCCCTGACTAGTCCAGTCAAACATTGGTGACCTTGCCGGCCATTTTTTTTTACAAAGATATACGCAAAATATTTTTTTTTAGTTTTTAGCGAATATCTCGTATAACTTTAATTGGCATTATTAAAACAGTTAAATTCTAGCTTTAATTGACATTCTTAAAACAGTTTATTATAGCCTAAATTGACATTCTTAAGACAGTTAAATTTTATCTTAAACTGACATTCTTAAACAGTTAAATTCTAGCTTAAATTAACATTCTTAAAACAGTTATATTCTAGCCTAAATTGACATTTTTAACTTGTATTGCCAATTTGAGGTAGAATATAACTGTCTTAAGAATTAAGAGCATTTTACAGACAGTTATATTCTACCTTAAATTGACATTCTTAAGACAGTTATATTTAAGCTTAAATTGGCATTTTTAAGACGTTCACTTTTAGCTTATAAGCTTGTATTGCCAATTTGATGTGGAATATACATGTGTCTTAAAAATGACGTTAGCATTCTTAAGACACTTATATTCTACTTTAAATTGACATTCTTAAAACAGTTATATTTAAGCTTAAATTGACATTGTTGACAGTTATATTCTATCCTAAATTGATATTCTTAAGACAGTTAAATTTTAGCTTAAAATGTCATTTTTAAGACAGTTATATTCAGCTTATAATATTGCCAATTTGAGGTAGAATATAACTGTCTTAAGAATTAAGGTTAGCATTCTTAAGATAGTTATATTCTACCTTAAATTGACATTCTTAAAACAGTTATATTTAAGCTTAAATTAACATTGTTGACAGTTATATTCTAGCCTAAATTGACATTCTTAAGACAGTTTTTTTAAACTTAAAATGGCATTTGTAATTTTTAGCTAAGCTTGTATTGCCAATTTGAGGTAGAATATAATTGTCTTAAAAATTAAGTTAGCATTCTTAATACAGGTATAATATAACATTATATAACCTTAAATTGACATTATTAAAACAGTTATATTCTACCTCAAATTGGCAATACAAGCTTATAAGCTGAATATAACTGCCTTAAGAATGTCAATTTAGGCCAAAATATAACTGTCAACAATGTTAATTCAAGCTTAAATATAACTGTTTTAATAATGTCAATTTCAGAATATAACTGTCTTAGGAATTAAGTTAGCATTCTTAAGACAGTTATACAGGGTGGTCCAGGATTAATCTGAAAAATTTTAATGATCGATAGAGCCTGAAATAACAATAAAAACAAACCCAAAAACATTGGGATATAGTCCTTCAAAATAATTTTTCTTAAGACAGTTATATTCTACCTTAAATTGACATTTTTAAAACAGTTATATTTAAGCTTAAATTAACATTGTTGACAGTTATATTCTAGCCTAAATTGATATTTTTAAGACAGACAATTTTATCTTAAAATGGCATTTTTAAGACGGTCATTTTTAGCTTATAATCTTGTATTGCCAATTTGAGGTAGAATATAACTGTCTTAAGAATTAAGTTAGCATTCTTAACAGTTATATTCCATCTTAAAATGACATTCATAAAACAGTTAATCATAGATTAGATAAAGTAAGTTAATTTAAGCTTAAATTGGCATTTTTAGCTTATAATTTAAGGTAGAATATAACTCTTGGGAATTAAGTTAGCATTCTTAAGTTATATTCTACCTTAAATTGACATTTTTAAAACAGTTATATTTAAGCTTAAATTAACATTGTTGACAGTTATATTATAGCCTAAGTTGATATTTTTAAGACAGGTAAATAATAACTTAAAATGGTATTGGTTATATTTAAATTAACATTGTTGACAGTTATATTCTAGCCTTTGATATTCTTAAGACAGTTAAATTTTAGCTTAAAATGGCATTTTTAAGACGGTCATTTTTAGCTTATAAGCTTGTATTGCCAATTTGAGGTAGAATATAACTGTCTTAAGAATTACGTTAGCATTCTTAAGACAGTTATATTCTACTTTAAATTGACATTCTTAAAACAGTTATATGTAAGCTTAAATTAACCTTGTTGACAGTTATATTCCAGCCTAAGTTGATATTCTTTTTAGTTTAAAATGCCATTTTTAGGACGGTTATTTTTAGCTTATAAGCTTGTACTGCCAATTTGAGGTAGAATGCTATCTTAATTCTTAAGTTATATTCTACCTTAAATTGACATTATTAAGTTATAATTAAGCTTAAATTAACATTGTTGACAGTTATGTTCTGGTCTAAATTGACATTCTTAAGACAGTTATAACTAAATATTTAAGCTTAAATTAACATTAAAGGAAATTTTATAAAAAATTGTTTTTTTACTTTTTGTTGTGTAGTATACAGGGGCCAAGATATTCACCTTAAACTAAAAAAAAAAGTATTTTTGCGTATATCTTTGTAGAAAAAAATTTTCAAGCTGTGCAAATTTGGTTTTATGCTTTTTAAATCAATTTGAATTGAACATGAAAAATAAACCAAAACGGTTTGAATGGACTAGGCCGCCTGACTCAAGTTGTAAGCTTAAAAAATACATTTTAGAGGGAACAAAGGGCTGGAAAAAGGTTTTGCCCGATACAGGGTGCTACTCTTGCGGCAATAGACACGAAAAGTCTTGTCGAGTCGGAATTTAAACGTTACATCGAGGACATCACTCCGTCTGTTAAATATTTGGTGGCAAATATGTTGTAAATTATATTAACGATTAAATTATTACTACCTTTTAACGTGTTAAGTATTAAAACTAAATAAGTGTTATTATTGATTTTGTACAATTTTTTTTTGAATAAAAAACATGAATATAAAATAAAAATTTATTGACTAGTATTTACATCTATAGGAATATTTTATTAACAGTCTTTTCTACCTAACCTATTACCGTCTTTTTACCATAAATACAGAGTGTCACCAATAACTTGTCATATAAAATAAGAAAGTTTGTCCTTCATCATTTTTTTTTTTAATAAAAAAATCATTAAAATTTTTATAACCGATTTTGAATAAGTTTAAAAGTTTGCTTGATATTAGGTTTTGTCAAAAAAATTTCATACTTTTTTTTAATTAAAAAAACAGTATTTCTTATGCAAAAAAGATGGAGGAAAAACTTTCTTGTTTTGTCCCAAAGGATGACAATTTATTAGAAGACGAAATAACTGTTAAGCCTAAGTTACAGATTGCCTTCCTTCCTTCCTTCCTCCCGTAGAAGATGAACATTACGTAATTGTCACCATTAACATTTCCCGTGTAGGTATTTTTAATACTTAGTGCAATTATAGTAATAAAAAAAATCAAAGGATAAAATATTTTCTTAACAAAATCATATTTTGAAGTTATTTTAATATTTTAAAGTATCAATAATTGTTAAGTTTAATTAAAATTAATAACGGGCAATGTTAATGGTGACAATTACGTCAAAAATGTTTATTTAAATCGTAGTGCCATATATAGATTCCCGCACCGTAAGGACGGCATTCCTTCCTCCCGTAGAAATTTTTAAGTTTTATCTTTCAACGTAAAGGTCTTTGACATGACCAATCACAGTGCTTGTTATGGGCATGCGCTGTAGGGTGACAGCGCGTAGGCACAAAATATTTAAAATACATGATTTTTTAGTGTTGTTTAAGATAGGTGTTCAGTTTATTAAATAATTTGTGTCTCTAAATAGGATATTTAGATATTGTTTATGATCAATGTCTTTCATTTTTAGAAACGTTGCTTTGTAAAACCATTATACTGCCCTACTATGGAGAAAGGCAGTAACTACAAATGCGTTTTCTTGTGCTATGATAAAGCTATGGACATTTTGTATCTTAATTCAACAAAGAAATGCAGTAAACTATCTTTTAAGTTAAATAAATCAGTTAAATACCTACTGCTTTTTATAAAAATGTAGTTTATGCTAATTTCCCACAAATTTCTTGTTTAGCAGTTACTGCCTTTCTCCATAGTTGGGCAGTATACAACAAGCTGCCTGGGCAATTAAAATTGTGATCACTGCACTAATATATAAATGATTATCTTTCATATTTACACACAATGGGTAAAACGCAGAATATAAACAAAAACAAATGTCAATCATTTTAGCTGTCATCGCGCATGGTTACGTAATTTTACACGGAAATCTATAAATTGACTTTTTACAAGACGCACAAATCGTACGGGCACGACTACGGGAGGAAGGAAGGAAGGCAATCTATAATTTATTGTGATGTCACAAGTTTTTGAAAATTTTACTTGACATGTATTTTTTGGAACCTACAGTTCATTTTTTTATTTGGACTTGTTTTTTATTAAGTTGGTAGCTTATGCCAGCTTGATTTAGTATTTTTAGTATTTAAAAAATGGTACTTCTGCTGAAGACCTTAATTAAATACTCTGACACTGTAAAGTTGACAGTAATATTGATTATTGATAATTTACTTGTTAATTATTATATAATATCGATATAATTGCCAAAAATAATATCAGATTGTAAAGTAAAAGAACTTTTAAGGGCAAAACTTCATTTCAATGAAGTTATGCCAAATGCCTCAATGGCAGAAAGAGTGCTATGCTCCACACCTCAAAGTCCCACCACGTGACCACGTACGGAACGCAGTCTTTTGAAAATTTGGCATTTAACGTTTTTCAGGTTATGTATCTGTCAAAGTATAGTCAATGAAAGAAATAATATTTAGTGTTACCGCTTATGTTTAAGCGTTAAAAGTTAATAAATCTTTATAGTATCACAATAACAATGGTTTATGCACGATGACATTATAATATGACAATTATAACAAAAATTCTTTGACGTAAACGTCTTTTTATAGCCCGCGGGCGTTATTATGGCCCAGCGGGCTATAATGAAACGTCAAAAATTAAAAACAACAATGTTATACCATTTGATATATTCGAAGAAAGTTTTTTCGTATAAAGATTTTGATTTTTCCGGCAGCAGGCCGCAATTTTTCGCCTTTTCAGCTGCTTTCTCAATTTCATTCATCTTTAAACTTTAAAACTGACTGATGTCAGTTGACATTATAATATGACAATTATTACAAAAATTCTTTGACGTAAACGTCTTTAAAAAACAATAATATATTAAAAATAATAATATATTAATCGTGCATAAAGTTTTGTATGCATTGCTGGCATAACTGGTTTTTATGGTCCTACGACGCTTTTCTAGCCCTCGCGCTAACGCGCTCGGGCTCGAAATAGCGCCTCGGACCATAAAAACCTTATTATGCCCTTAATACATAAATAACTATTGTTTAAGAATTTAGGAATATAAATACTGCATTTAATGAAATTCCAAAGTGTAAGGTGCAATATAAGTGATATTTTTGTGCATTGGGTCTACATTTCTCCATAAAATAGTTTTAACTAAACAGCATTTATTTTAAAAAATCTAACTTCTCTATTATGAAATAGTATCAAAGGTAGGTTAATGTATTAGAACAAAAAATGTCATCTAAATTTGTATTTTAAGGTTAGAAAAATCTATTTTGACCAAAATAAATAAGTGGATTATTTGGAAGAGTGTGTTAATATGGTCATAAAAATATAGGTATACTAAATAATTGTTGAATATGGTTCAAATTAAATTGAAGCTTTTATACTTTTAACGACAAAACTTGTGCATACCTCTCGGCATACCTACTTTAAGTTAGATTAAAAGAATACAAACAATTTTTAGAGAAACTTGCAATGTGAAAATATTTAATACTCCCATGACATGTGATTTATTAAAATATTAAAGTTATAATGATTTTTTGATGTAGATCAAATTCAGTCGAAGCTTTTTAACTATCTGTATTGACAAAACTTTATGTAGGTACACTTTAAGCTGGATAAGAAAAAGTACCACATTTTTAAATACCATATTATACAGTCTTTTAAATAATCCAAAATACTTTTTTTCTAACCTTAAAATTACAAAATTAGATGATATTTTTGTTATAATATATTAACCTACCTTTAAAACAGATATTCTTATTCCATAATAGAGAAGCTAGATTTTTTTTAATAAATGCTGTTTAGTTAAAATTATTGTATGGAGAAAACCAGATATTTGGACCAAATCCACAAAAATATTACTTATTTGGCACCATAGTATGGTGACCATACACTTAAGAATTTCATTAAATGCAGTATTTATATTCTTAATTCTTAAAGCATCCATTGTTATTGTAATGTTATAAAGATTTATACATTTTTAACGCCTTAACATAATATTATTTCTTTCGTTTGGTTTGAAAAAGATAAGCAATAATCACGAAACTTTTTCTTTTTTCAATTTGCAAGTTACTTATCGTTAATAGTCCTGGACAATATACATTATAATTATTATTAAGCCACTACAAGTATTGACGTCCAGTGGCTTTAACAAAATACCCATTCACCATTGAAGTCCAATGATTGGACAACATTCAGATTTTTATCCGCTAGGAATACTTTGTCTCTTCTGGGCCGTAGTCACCTATATTTAGCTACTTTTTTATTTTTGGTTCCGTAAAGTCCAGATAAAAAAGAATGAACTTCAGGAAATCAGTTATGTTTTAAAGGACTTTTTTGTCCATTGATAAAAATGTCTTTGTATAAAATTAATAAATTCAATAAATAACGTAAATAAAATAATTTTTAAACGCAAAATACTGGATAGCCTAGGCCTCGAACCGTCGATTGTTCGTTCTGATTTTTTTCTTTTTGACCACCCAAAACGCCATCGCCCCAACCAAAGTGACCCCCATCACTGCCATTACAACGTATACCGTCACGGTGGAAGGCGCAGATGCCACATCGGGTTTGATGGCTTCACTTTCGGCGGTGACGTTGCGTTTCGGGGAATCACTCTGTATATTTTTGAGGTCTTGCCTCCTTGGCTTCGTTGTAGACCTAGCTGTGGTCGAGGTCGTTGTGGTTGTGGCAGGGGTAATCGTAACGATTTCCGCCTGTTTCATTGGCGCGCTTTCCAGGTAGTCTTCGAGGGGTTTAAAGTACTCCAGTAATGCGCTGGGCGAAAAATCGTTTAAACCGTAGTATATTGTCAACAAGTACTGCCAATCGTCTGTGTCGCGGGCGTTTACCATATCCCTTTAACATTTTTAAACAAACAATTTTACAATCGTTTTGCAGTAAATTTATATCGGTCTTGTAATTCTGATTCGTAATCAGCGACCCTAAAAACCTTCTGTACGCTAAAGAATCTTGGTACATATTGTACAGTTACGGAAAATAGTAATGTCCATTTATTTAAAAATATGTCTATATTTAGAATTTACTACCTGCTCGTTATTGAATTAATTATTTTGGGTGTATTACTTATTTTTTCTACTCCCACCTTTAAAACGCCCTTTATCGTACATGTTTCCATGACACTAATGGTGGATTTATGCAGCACAAATTAACATTAAGATTAAGATTAATTTAACATTAAAAGGAGGGTATTTAGCAGCAAAATTAGTAGCAAATTAAGCATGCGTATAAGTTAAAGTAATTTTGACATCTGACATTTTTGGTTTGTTTGTTTTAATCCCGTTTTAGCATCTGTTAAGTAAAATAAATGAAAACTATAAACTCCACGTCAAACAATAAACCAAAGAACACAATCATTGAATAAAAAATCAATCATTCAGCAGTAAGTTTCATTTTATTTTCGGGTATGTTGGCATTACTGACACGGTTTATTTAAAAATTGCGCCGCAAACATGCCGGCAGTAAACTATAACTTAAATTCGGACACGGACTCCACTGTAAAGTGCTTATAAAACATTTTCTTTACTTTCACTGTGATAAACTGACAATTTTCAAGAAATAAATTTCGATTTATAACCTTTATAATGTGCTTATAAAATTTAAAAATGTGGCATTTGACGGTGACATACAGATTCCCCTATTGTTTCATAGATGGCGCTCTATACAAATTTTTGATTTAAATCATTTTAAGATAATAATAAGTATTTGTCGTAGACAAACTTTTCTATACACTCATTAATTTAACCGTATTTTTTTTTAAATCGTTAATATTTTGAAATATTTTTTATAGTTTTATAAAATGTATACATTTATTGTATGAAAAACTTTTAAAAAGAACTTTTTAGGCTAAAAATAATATTATTAAGTTGTAGTTTTTTAAAACTTACTTTACATTTTTGAGAACTAACAATGATTCAATACACTATTCTACATCATAGGAATAAAAAACACATTTTATTACTTGTTGCACGTTTATATGTTAAAATTAAAAAAATATATTTAGTATATTTTTAAATTAAATATACCAGGATTTATCAAAAAACGTTTGATATAATTATTATAAAAAAGTTAACATACCTATGAATCTATCTTTAAAAAAATGGTCCTGTTAAAATGTAAGCTCTTAATATTAAATTTACAGATCCCTCATTTTTTAAAGTACTTTAAAATTGGAAAACTCGTCAACGGATTAGTGGACCTAGTGATGTAAAATTCTCGAGCACGTATTTAAGAAGAACGTTCCCCGAGCACAAACGAGCATGAACGAGAATAAACGAAAAAAAACCGAGAATTTATGTTTGGTGTGTGATAAAGTATTCAAAAACTTACTTTTTCTGTTTTTTCCGAAAATGCTCAAAATTCTCAAAATGCTAAAAATGCTCAAAATTCTCCTAACGCTTCTTAAGAAAAATGACACTATATTAATATTCTGGGTTGTAAATAATACAATAATTACTTCTAACTTTAAAGAAAAACTTTATTAAGTAAAAAATAGCAAAATTTTAAGTAACATCTTAAGTAGCATACAATTTACATAAGTATCGTGATGTAGAAACATCATGTAAGAAGTTAGGTAACTTAACAAAGGTAGGTAGGTACTTACTTTCCACAATTTTTTTGTCTTTTAGTATTAATTGAACCCTTACGGATTCAGGACAATTTACACATTGTGTTAAATGATTTGCCATTCATGTGGCATGCCGGCTGTATTCACAATTACAAAATTTGCAAGAATAAACGTCTTTACCATCTCTTTTTTTATGAAAAAAAAATCAAATGCCTCGCATTTTCTTCTGGGCATATTTATTAAATTAAATATTTAAGTTTTCCGCGGAAAACAAAAAAAATAACACTACCCAATCTCTCTAATCACACACACTGACCCGAGCACTGACCTTTACGCAACGAATCGAACGTGTTAATCAAAATCAAAATAGTCAAAATATTTTTAAAACGCAACAGCCGCATAAAAATACATGCAAAAACTACGGTCGGCATCGCCACAAAAGAGACCGGCGGTAATATACGGAAAACCGACGCCGCTTTGTCTTTGTGATACCGTTGCCGACAGTATACTATAGTTTTTGCATGTTTGTTAACTATTTAAAGATATTACTAGGGCTGTATTATGTGCAATACACGCGGTCACGCGGATGAAACGCGCCGATTGGCTAGAATCGTGCTGAAAATTCTCTAGAGAACGTTCGCGCACGATAAATCGTTTGGACACGAAAAAACGATCTATCATGCGCGCACGAACGATTTAATTGTGCGCGAACGTTCGCGAATATTCGCCACAGCACGAAGGGAACGTTCCCCACTCTACATCACTAAGTGGACCGATAAAACTGAACAAATTTTAGTGGGGAATTATGATAAATTAACTGCTTTAAAAGGTATTCAAGGTAAAAGTTGAATTTATAGAAATTTTACAGATTTTCCTACTTTTTCAGCGAAACTAAATTTAAATGCAAAAATGGATTTATCGATTTTTGCATGTTTGCTCTACAAATAATGAAAACTAAAATGTTGATAAACGTATTAAAAATGATTTTTTTTTACAAAATTAGTTTTAGTTTAAAATTTTAATGGGTTTAATTTACATAGTAAGAATAAATATTTTAATTAAAATTGCTCAGGTAACAAAAAATCACATAAAAGAGGGTTTAATAACCCTTATTTGCAAAATTATGCAAAAGTTTATCATTATTTTAGTATTAAATGTCTATATATTTCATTTTAATATTTTATTTTATTAATACCAACTAATTAAATAACATGTAGTTTATTAAATAAATTATAGAAGATATATATTTAAATAATTTCAAAATAAATTTTATTCCTTAAATATTTAAATGGTTTAGATTATTGCATAAAAGCTTAAAAGCCAAATGAAATGTGCGTAGAAAGAATGAAAAAAAGCAGGTAGGTAGAATTATTGAGTTTAAAAATAAATATGTTAATTTTATTACCAAAATCCGAATGTCTCTGAACAATTACAATGAAGCATTCAAATGGACATTACTATTTTCCTTAACTGTACCTTTGTATTTTGTACATCAGATTGCGTAAAAGTTTTAAAATTTGAAGTTTCTTAACTGGTTAGGTCTATTTGACTTAAGACCAATTCTCTCAAAAGAGGGAGTAAATATTTAGGAAAGATGGATGAGTCAAATTCCTGTTGAAGTTGTAACTTTAAACCTAGTTATTTTGGTTTACGAATATTTAAAATAATTGCAAAATAACAAATACTCACATAAAATTACTGTTTTTTCCAATCTCTATGGCCAGGTTTTGGGTTTTATCAACAATTTTACTTCTGTACTCATTCAACAATTGAAATCCCAAAATAGCGCCAAAAAATTTACTGGAAAAAATAATGCAATAACTGCATTAAAAACATTTTAAATTTACTTACCCAATTAGTGGTTTATTTGATGATATGTCTGAATCTCCTAGAAAGTCGCATTCTTCATTTGTTATTCCCGAAACTCCCTGTATTTTACTCCTAGAATTAATATTAGTCAAAAGTCTATGAGGCTATTATAAATTAGCCAAATGGTTAACAAATGAAATTTAATGGCGAAATAAGATAAAAAACAAAGTACCTCATCTCCCACCAGCTGGCGCACAAATCCTCCGTGGGCTCCAACAGTTGCTGCAACCTCCATTTGTCCGCTAGCAAATAGTAAGGTAACTTGGGCAAAACCTTTAACGCAAGCAACATCAAACCGCTCAGTCTTTTAGTACTATAAACTTCCTCGTCGGATTTAAAAACGTTCTCCTCGAGAACTTTGTTATGAGGCAGATTTTCGAAGGCCAAAATCGGCGCCAAACTCTCGATCATCTCGTCTATTATCGGAACCCGCAAATTTGAATTCATCAACGAGTAAAAGTGGTTGTTGTTAAGGGTTATTTTTAAGGCTGCCTGGTGGGCATCCAAATATTTCGACCAGTCTGTTTTGTTGCAGTCTATCACCCTTAAAAATTTGCATCAAATATGTAGATAGGAAAAAATGCTTTGAATTGTAAAAATTGTATTAATACACGATACACAAAAACCGGTATTGATGCGCATTTGAATTTTTAATAATAGTTTTATAAAAACATGCAAAACAATATAGTAATTAGACATTTTATATAGTTATTGGACTAGAGATGTAAAAAAACTGTTTTTTTTTCAGATGTGAAAAAAAAACATGAAAAAAACCTAGAAAAAAAATTAAATTTAAGTAAAATGTATATTAATAATAAAGTGAAATGTAGAATATATGAGGCCTGTCATAGCAAAACCGACAATCTCCACTTTTGGTCAAAAATTAGATTTTTGGCGGAGACTGTACTTCAACTAATTATCTATAAGATGATAAAGTTTATGTGCTGCAAAAGGAGCTAAATCCTGCCTAACATCCTATTTTAAAAATGACATTTAATGCAAAGTCGACAATCTCCACTGATAGATTTGCAGCAAAGTGTACAATCTCTAATTCCACCATTAGAAATTAGTAATTTGTGTCACGTGATATCCTTACAGTTGATGTTATAACGTATTTTAGAGATTTAATTTTGTGTTTTTTACTGGTACATACTGTTAAGTTCTATTGCAGTACTTAAAAATATATTTAAAATAGGTACTTATATATACGTTTTATTGTTTTAAGAATTATAAAAAAAGTTATCTTGTTTATTTTGTGCTATTATACCATAATAAGACGTAAAGGTAAAGCAAGAAAAGGCTGATAATGTCAAAACATTGCAAGTAAAACATTACGGGCAAAGTGGGAAGAAGATGATGAGTTGTACTATAAAAACTTTTTTGCACGAGGCAACCTGGTCCCAGATTTAGAAGAAACTCCAGATTTATGTGGCCCAGTTCAGAATTTTTCCACATTGATTGTATAGTTAAATTTTATACCCATTAAAGGAAAAAAAACAATTATTTTTTTGTTTATTTTTCTAAATCTCCTTAAACGTTTACAACAAAATGAGCAATCTCCAGCAATTCATATCAAAGTCAGCAATCTCCAATTTATAATTATAGATTTCACCTATACTATGCATTAGGCTGGGCCGAAAAAATTATTTTTAGAAATCTCACTTGGCATAGTAAAAAAAAGTTGTAACATGGGTAGACAACCTAGCTGATTTTTTTTCAAAATTTAAAAACATGTTTTAGCCTCGCCCCCGGGGGGCTAAAAATTTTTTTTTTCAAATTTAAATTTTGGATTTGGCATAGCATAAAACTGATAGATATAAGCTTACTTATGACACACACAAAAATTGGTTAATATATTTTAATTTCTAGCCGCGCCCCATGACGTTTAACTGGGGATGAAAAATAATTTTTTAATACCACAGTTTGGCATACCAAAAAATTGGTAGGGTCAACTCAATTACGACATAAAAACAAAATGATTAAAACATTTTAATATTTAACCTTGCCACTGGGACCTTAAAACAGGTATATTTTAAAATATTATATTTTTGTCTTGTCATAAGAAATTAGATCATTTCCTACTCACTTATAGCCGAAAAAGAAATGAATAAAAATCTTAATATTTACTAAACATCGTATAACCGAGCCCGCTATTGTAAACAAAAGAGGTTACCTAAATAAATACCACCCTTTTATTGCTGCCATGTGGCAATTGCGTGGCGCCTTCCACTGAAACAAGTGATATAAATGAATGATACAGTGTAACTTTAACCCGTTGTGAAATAAGTGTACTTTGGGCACAGATAATTACTTTCCTTTAATTATAGTTTAGTTAAGTTATAGTTATATAATAAGTACAATTTAGCTATATAATAGGTGTAATTTAGTTATATAATAAGTGCAATAAGACTAAGTGGTGTTTTGTTTTTTGGTTTATCTATTTTAAAAACAATATGGATAAAGTTAAAACTAGGAAAGCAGACACTTTTCCAATATTTGGTACTGCCTGCGACATAGCTTCTGAAAGCTGCTTACCAACTTATGAAGATATGTTCCGTTGTTATTTATTTACAAGACAGCAGATTAAGGGAAATTCTAGCAAGCAACCGCCCGAATGGGAAGTTGCAAAAACGGTTGCCAATAAAATAGATAATATATGGAAACGTGCTTCACTACCTACTGTTGGCTCCAAACGCGTAATTGCAATGATATTAGCATATCATAAAAAATATCGTAATTTAATAAAACCCCTAAAAGCCCGTAAATCATCATTTATTCTTAGAAAGGTTGAAAATTTTAAATTGGAATCAAAAAAACTTTTTGACATTTCTTCCTGCAAATGTCGTGATTTCGATTCTTGCAAGTGCGAAAAAATTTGCAAAGTGCCGTTGTTAGAACAAGATTTTTTAACAGATCAAAGGAATCTAAGAAAAATGCAAATAGGAGGTGTGGATAAAAAAACTAGTGAAAAAAATAGAAAAAGGGAAGAAAGGCTCGGTCCTTCTCAAATGTCCATCCCTTCAACTAGTAGTCAGAAGTCTGATTCGAGCCCAACTATTAAAAATGTTACAGATAGTTCATCCAACGACGAAGACTTTGCTAAAGATCAAGACTTTAAGTGGTCCTATCCTTTACAAAACGAACAGAAAAAACAAAAACCAGAAGAAAAATCCAGTCAAATGAGAGTTCCATTGACAAATATCGCCAAAATTGCTGATATGACTGGTGTATCAAACCGAACAGTAGCCAAAATTGTAACAGCTACCTTGGAAGATTTTGGACTCGTTTCATCAGATAACCCACTTAACGTAGTGGACACCCAGATAGCACCATTCGTCCAATGGACGTCCGTTTAAGATCCATTTTAAGTACATTGGTCCACGGACTAAAAATGGATGTACTATGTACGTCCATATATTTACATCCTTTGTACGATTTTAATGGACGTCCATATAGTGTCCATTTTACGTCCATAATTATTATTACGGAAATGTAGTTAAAACGTATTGTTGGCTGCATAACAACAGTTATGATCAATCTCACTGACATTCAAGCAAGCGCGGGCTATAAAGGACGTAAGCTATCAATGAAATGTTAAACACTTGTAGTATTGCAAATGTAATATTCGAATACAAGGATTTCCTGAAATGTTTAACATTGAATGTTGTAACTTTTAACAACTTTTAGAATATTTATATTCCTAGTGGGATTGTTACTGAGCCAGACAAAAGGCATTTCAGTCATGTTGTAGAAAATTTTCTGCAACATCGCAATGAAAATACAGTCGCAAAAAACAGTTAAAGTAAGCAAAAAAGCAGGTCCTGGATGCTGGAGGAATGGTTTAAACACCTTATAGACGTCCATCGGTGGACGACTTATGGATGTCCAAAGTTGTGACATCTGGACTCTAAACGGATGTCCATGGGACGTCCATAGAAAAAAATGGACATCCTATGTACATACAGACGTCCACGAGCATACGTCCATTGGACGTCCATAGTATACCTTTGTGCTACCTGGGCAAGAATAAGATCCGTCGAGAATTAAAAAGAAAACGAAAGCACGTACAAAAAAAAGCTACTGAGGAAAGAAAAGATATTGAAGCTATATATTTTGATGGCAGAAAAGATCAAACATTAATGCAAATTGATGGTCGCCGTATTGTTAAACAAGAGGAACATATAGCCTTAATAGAGGAGCCAGGAAACAAATATTTTGGTCACTTATCAATAAATCCACCTGCTAATGCTGAAAAAATTGCTAACAATATCCTATCTTTTATAAAAGAAAATTCCGTCAACCCAAAGAAGCTCAAAGCAATTGGCTGTGATGGCACTAACGTAAATACTGGCTGGAAAGGCGGTGTAATAAGATTAATCGAAGTTCAAATTGGAAAACCACTTCAATGGCTAATTTGTATGCTACATGGTAACGAATTACCCCTACGTCACCTTATTCAACGCTTAGATGGACAAACAAAAGGACCAAATTTGTTTTCTGGGCCCATTGGTTTATTGCTCGCATCATGCGATACCAAACCTGTACAAAAGTTTCAGTCTATTTATACTCTATTACCTGAAGTTGATGACAAGGATTTAAGTACTGATCAGCGATATTTATATCAGATCTGTTGTGCTATTCGAGATGGTTGCTGTTCTGAAGCTTTATCTAAAAGAGATCCTGGAAAAATGAGCCATGCGCGATGGTTGACTACAGCTAATCGAATACTGCGCTTGTATGTGGCCACTTGCAGTCCTTCTGAGAACTTACTTCTTTTAGTGCAGTTTATTATGAAAGTGTACGCACCTATGTGGTTCAATATAAAAACGCAATCTTCAATTAAATATGGTTCGGTACATTTATGGAAAACCATTAGTGAGTCAAGGGGCCTTCCTAAAGGAGTCAAAACAATTATTGATAAAGTAATTTCAACTAACGCGTATTTCGCCCATCCCGAGAATATTCTGATAGCTATGATTGCTGACGAGAGAAGTCATATTAGGGAACTTGGTATACGACGCATATTAAAGACTAGAAAACAACCAGCAGCAAAAAAATTACGAATATTTAAAATACCACCTTTAAATTGGAATGCCAAAGACTATACCGAAATGATAGATTGGAGTGAATGTTGTATTACAGAGCCCCCACTAACAATTGATATCAAAAGCGAAGATTTGTTAGCAGCAATTGAAAATAAATCTTTTATTAATTTTAGCAAATTACCAAGTCACACTCAAGCTGTGGAGCGATGCGTAAAGATTATAACCGAAGCATCCAGTAAAGTTTGTGGTCACTCTTCAAGAGACGGTTTTATAAGGGTTAAAATAGAGGCAAGAAAAAATTTACCCATGTTCGATAATAAAAAACAATACTACAATGTTGAAAAGTAAAAACAAGTATATTATTATACTAAGGGATGGAAGGGAGGGTGCAACTCGACATGCAGCCACCTCCCCGTGGTGAGTTGTGGGTTGACTAAATGATGATTGATATAAAATAAAATAATTTTGGTGCGCGATTTAATCATATATGATATATCATCATTTTTTCAAGCAAAGAGCTGCATATTGGAACTTAAAATGCCAAGGGGCGCGGCTAAAAATTAAAATATATTAACCAGATTTTTTTTGTGTCGCAAGTGAGCCGATACCTATCAGTTTTTTGCTATGCCAAATCCAAAATTTAAATTTGGAAAAAAAAAATTTTTAGCCCCCCGGGGGCGAGGCTAAAACATTTTTTTAAATTTTGAAAAAAAATCAACTAAACTGTCTACCCCCCTTACAACTTTTTTTTACTATGCCAAGTAAGATTTCAAAAAATAATTTTTTTTTGCCTTTTTCGGCCCAGCCTACTATGCATCCTGGAGACCTTGTAGTTGGCTACTAGACTAACAACAACAATATTTCAATATAATATATAAAAAAAATTACAAATCTAGAATTTAAAATACCAAAATCAATTATCTCAATTTACTCAGTTTTAGTCTGATGGGAGATTGTTGACTATGCTCTGACAGGCCTCATATAACATTTTTCATTATTGAAAATTTTGACCGAGACTAAAAAATCTGATTTCTTAATATTTGGTAGTTTCCACATTAGAAACCAATAGCAATGTAACACTTCTATACTAATACAAAAAATTAAAGGATAAAAAATGTTTTGCGATTCTTGAGATCTTCGTTAAAAATGGTCGTAAAAAAAGCAATATGAAGCTTGAAGTTTCTAGTTTTGAGATTTTTAGATGAAAAACGTACAACGCTCAATCCTAACGAATACCGTAATAAAAAAATCGATTTTTTTTTTGGCTTTCTGGTCCACGGAATGTTCCGACCTAACCACTGAATACATGTTCTACAAGAATTTGCTATTGTTAAAAAAAAATCCATAGTGACTAATTTTAGTCCATGAACTGGACTGGAAACAAAAAATTAGGCAAATGGGACTAATATTGAAAAAAATTCTAAAATGTGAAAAAAACCATTTAAAAAAAAACCTGAAAAAAAAACAAAAAAAAAGGACCGTTTTTTTCAAATCGCATCTCTATATTAGACACATGGAACATAGTTATTAGACATACAATTTTAATATAAACATAACAACTTTACATAAAATAACATAAAATGTCAAATATTTTTTAAAGATAAATTGCCGTTTTAGGTAAAAATGAATTTAAAAGTGCGCTGCATGATTTTTTATTTTAATGAAAAAATTTGAGGATGATCTGTTAGGTATCATATATGAAAAACCGTTGCCGTTTTAATTTTTAGTTGCTTTATTTTTAATCGGCGCCCTTTAGAAACCTGAAATCGTGTCATTTCCTTACTCTCTTATAAGAGGCTAAATCTTTTTTTCTGTGGCAATTATTGAAATGATTGTTATTTTATTTTACTGCCTAGTAAGTATGTTTTCAATATTAATTATTATTATCTAATTAGTTCATCTCATAAAAGAATGGTAAACCACTAAAGATTTGTAATAATTTGCCAATTTTTGTGATTTTTGTCTGGCTCCTGTGCCTATTCTGCTAAATCTAGAAAGTTGCCTTTTTTCAGGTATCAAGTACTTATACAATAGAAAACGTAACTATTATTTTAAGTTTCTAGACTATCATTTTCTTTAATAAAAAAATTATTGAAACTTGATAATTTTCAAAATTAGCCAATTTTGCCCTCAGAAATCATTATGTTGAGGAAAAAATAAAAATCTGAAACTTTCAGGAAATGTAGTCCCCACCTTCATCTTTTCAGTCTAATTAGTCTTGTTTTGTTATTTTTATCCATGTAAAAGATATAATAATTTTTTTAATGCAGTTAAAAAGCAATATTGTTAGTTTTATTTATAATTTAAAATTTAGATGGCTTTGACTTAGTCAATTCATGTTTGATAGAGAAATGTCAGAACTGTCAAAAATATTTCATAAATATTTGTGCGTATTTAAATTGTGATTTCAAAAAGTTTGCAAGTGTAATAAATGACGGAGTGTTCTAGATTCATGAATTTAATTGCAATTAAAAATGCAAGAACATATCATAATTTTGTACCTCTTTCTCATAGAAAATATTCAAGTTCTAAGAAGTTTTAAATTGTTAAAAATATTCTAAATAAACTCCTTTATTATAACATGTTTTATTTTAGCCAGTTACCTAAAAACTAAAATTTAAAGAAGTATTTACAGATTGTGTAAATTTTTTTCCAACACTAACATTTAAAATACATACATAATATGTATTATAACTTTTAACTATTCAGTGCCTTACTAAAGGGATCAAAATAATAGAACAAGACTAACTTAGTTTAAATTATGAAAGAAACCAACAAAAAACTCCTTTACGCATTTTTTATACGTTTAAATTAACTCTTTAGATATAAACCATAAGGATCTTGAATATATTTTTTACATTCTTCTTCTTTAAACACCAATTAGCCAATTAAATACTTTAGTATAATGTATATAAAATTTACCAAAGAAATACGCACAAATAATATTTATGAAATATTTTTTACAGTTGACACTTCTCCACCAAACATGAAAGCCATCTAAATTTTAAATTATAAATAAAACTAACAATATCGCTACTAAACGGGCATTAAAAAAATTAATATATCTTTTAAAGGAATAAAAATAACAAAACAAGACTAACTGGACTGAAAAGATGAAGGTGGGGACTACATTTCCTGAAAGTTTCAGATTTTTATTTTTTCCTTAACATAATGAGAATTGAACCAAATATTTTGTAAAGAAAACTAAATAACACTATTCTTTATCCAACTATTAGTACAATAAAAATGATAAATTAAGGAATACAGTTATTGGACATGTCCAATAATAGAAATTTACATTTTTTACCAACCAGTAATTGAACACTGGCCATTTTACTGTTTGTTTTCAGAATTAAAATTAAAACGCATTAAAGTTACAATGTTTAAACAATGAGGAACACATTTATACCACACACAGATCTTCACGTGACGTAACATGCGAGTTTGCGTTTCATAACCATCGTATCGGTTTTTGTGTATCGCGTTGGTATTAATAGAAAGTGGACGTACTCTGAGAATTCTTTGGTACAGTAAGTCAAAACGTGGGTATCACACGACGAGGAATTAAATGTGCTGGATTTCCAAAACTTGTTCCCAAACTTTCCGAGTTTCATTTGCGATGTTGTCGTTTCTGCTAGTTTGTAGATGTCGTATATAGTCTAAGGTTAAGATGTTAAATTAAACGTTCTAATAAGTATAATGGTACAAGAAAATAAGGTAAGTTCTTGCGCATCTGTATCCACCAGGATAGTAAGTAGATTTATTTTAAAAACAATTATTTTTTTAAATTTTCTGAGGTTTTTTGACGTTTTAGAGTATACTTCGAGTTATAATTGATCGATTTGAATTGAGCCCTCTACAACTTTCTCTTGTATAGTTTTGATATCGGCTCAGTAGTTCGATACTGGCAATTTTATGAAATTAAATATCAGAATAATAAAACAAATCAAATTTGTGTTAGAAAATAAATAGGAATTTTTTAGAGCTTGCCTAAATTCCCTATAAGTACATTTAGATATGTCAAAAACACTTAATTATGTAAAAATACATTTAAAAATGTTAAAACTTAATTTAAAAATTTGGAAAATATTTAAAAATGGCAAAAACACATTTTAGAATGCTAAAAGTTTGTTTAGAGATGTCAAAAACACTTTTAGAATGTAAAAATACATTTGAGAATGTTAAAACGCATTTAAGAATGTCAAACCTACTAAAGAAGTCAAAATCAAATTTTTGGCTGTTAAAAGCACATCTAAGAATATCAAAAACCATTAGGAATGTTAAGAACACATTTTAAAAATTAAATATCAGAATAATAAAACAAATCAAATTTGACTTAGAAAATAAATAGGATTTTTTTAGAGCTTGCCTAAATTCCCTATAAGTACATTTAGATATGTCAAAAACACTTAATTATGTAAAAATACATTTAAAATTGTTAAAAAACAATTTAAAAATTTTGAAAATATTTAAAAATTTAAATTATGAATAATTAAAAATTTAAATTATGAATAATGTTTTCGGTGAAAAAAGTACGTAAAAAACTCAAAAAATTCCAATTATGCACTTTATTTAGGTTTTCATTAAAGAATAAACATATTACAAAATAAAAGACAAAAAATAAAATAAAAATGGTCAAAAAGCTGGTCTTCCACTAAAAAATTCATAACTTCGCCATTTTGCCATGTATTTTAATCAACATTAGCTTGTTTTTTTTTTGTAAAAATGTCAGCTTGACAAAAAAAATTCAAACTGAAGTTATCTGTTTGATTTAAACCTTTTTCAGGACGATATGCTATACTCAAAAACGTCAAATCACCTTCGAAAATTAAAAAAAAACAATTGATTTTTTTTTGTTTTTTACGTGTGATCTTCAAATTATTCGACAATTTAATCTAAAAATCGAATAATTTTATAGAATTTGTACGAATTTTATAAAAGTATATTTGTCCTACTGAAGAACATACTTTGTTTTCTTGTACCATACTTGTACCTACTTTAGTTTTTAAACTCTGTTCAATATCATAATGAACTTGCGGATGGGGTAAAATGGCATCCGCCAAATATGTCCAGTCATTTCCGAAATTAGAACCTTCAAAAAACATCTATTAATTTAAATCGCGTGAAAATTAATTACTAGCTTGCAACCCACCTAATAAAAATACGGGAATTTCATCGATCGTTTCCGTTAGATTGAAAATGTTTGTTAACCGTTTTTTAACGAAATTGTGCAATTTTTTGTAGAGCGGTTCTATTTCCCCCCAAAATATCTCCGCTTTGGAGTAGGCATCCTCGTATTCCAGAAGATTTTCCCAGTATGAAGGGGCACTTGCAATACCTGAATAATTTGAGGAAATTTCAACAGAGATTGCAGAAATAATGAAAAACTGTTTTAAACTTGATTTACACACAACAAATTGTTCACTTACCATTTAGAACAGCAGCTTCACTAACTAAATTCAATATTTCTCTGTATTCCACTTTCATGGTACTGTAATTCCTTTGCCATCTGTCCCATGTTATATTTAGGTAATCTAAGTCCTTAGAGTCTTTTAAAATGTTCCTATATTCTAAATAGAAAAGTAATTTGACAAATTTATTATTTTAATTGATATTTTTTTTTTAATTACCTTCAGTTGTCAAAGGACAGCCATCAACAAGCTCTACACAAGGGCGTTTGACGGAATTTTTTATTTGTTCGTTTTTATTTGTAAATTCAATTAACTAAAAATAAAAATAATTGTCCCTTGATTTTAAATTATTTGTAGGTATTATATATTGTTAACTTGCAATTTTGATTTTTTGAAAATTTTGGACTAAAAATTTCTTGATAAGATATAAAGTATTCAATTAACTTAAAGAGGAAAAACGAATTTTTAATTTCTTAGAAAATTTCATTCTTGATTTTAAATTATTTTTAGGTATTGTATATTATTAATTTGCAATTTTGATTTTGTGAAAATTTTGAACTAAAAATTTGTTGATAAGATATAAATGTATTCAATTAACTAAAAGAGGAAAAACGAAATTTTAATTTCTTAGAAAATTTCATTCTTGATTTTAAATTATTTTTAGGTACCTATTGTATATTGTTAATTTGCAATTTTGATTTTTTTTAAATTTTGGACTAAAAATTTGTTGATAAGATATAAAGTATTCAATTAACTAAAAGAGGAAAAACGAAATTTTAATTTCTTATAAAATTTCATTCTTGATTTTAAATTATTTTTAGGTATTGTATATTGTTAATTTGCAATTTTGATTTTTTGATAAAAATAATTCTTGGTCTATTATCTGAGAAGTGTAGATTAATTTTTATATTTGTGGTTAAAATTTGGTCAAAACCACTCATTATCATAACTCTTCTTCTTAGATTAATTTTTATATTTGTGGTTAAAATTTGGTCAAAACCACTCATTATCATAACTCTTCTTCATTCTTGATTTTAAATTATTTTTAGGTAGGTATTGTATATTGTTAATTTGCAATTTTGGTTTTTTGAAAATTTTGGACTAAAAATTTGTTGATAGGATATAAAGTATTCAATTAACTAAAAGAGAAAAAACGAATTTTTAATTTCTTAAAAAATTTCATTCTTGATTTTAAATTATTTTTAGGCATTGTATATTGTTAATTTGCAATTTTAATTTTTTGAAAATTTTGAACTAAAAATTTGTTGATAGGATATACATTCAATTAACTAAAAGAAGAAAAACGAATTTTTAATTTCTTAGAAAATTTCATTCTTGATTTTAAATTATTTTTAGGCATTGTATATTGTTAATTTGCAATTTTAATTTTTTGAAAATTTTGGACTAAAATTTTGTTGATAAGATATAAAGTTTTCAATTAGGTAACTAAAAGAGGAAAAACGAATTTTTAATTTCTTAGTAAATTTCATTCTTGATTTTAAATTATTTTTAGGCATTGTATATTGTTAATTTGCAATTTTGATTTTTTGAAAATTTTGGACTAAAAATTTTTTGACAAGATAAAGTATTCAATTAACTAAATTTTTGAAAATTTTGGACTAAAAATTTTTTGATAAGATAAAGTATTCAATGAACTAAAAGGGGAAAAACGAATTTTTAATTTCTTAGAAAATTTAATTCTTGATTTTAAATTATTTTTAGGTATTGTTTATTGTTAATTTGCAATTATGATTTTTTGAAAATTTTGTACTAAAAATTTGTAGATTCATTTTTATATTTGTGGTTAAAAATTTGTTCAAAACCATTCATTATTATAACTTGGCCTTGCAACACAAAAATATATTATAATTTTTATATTTGTTACCTTATTATAACTCTCTCGGGGCATTAATGGGTCACCAGGATAAATGTATAAAGTATGGTTTCTTTCCAATTCCGGAGGAATATTTGTGAATGCCTTTAAACCCATGGAAGTTTCTTTTAATAATTTTCCATATTCTTTTTCAGCATCTACCTAAATTTACATTATTTTCATATCCCATTTTTTTATATTTGGACCCCAAAATTTTTTAAACAATAAATCTTACCTTTAAAAGTAGGTCGTTTTTTGTGTAAGACTTTAAATAACCATCGGCCAGTTTATCACAAACATCCATAAATTCTAAATTAGCCATTTCCAATTCAGCCTGTAGCGAGTCTTCTATTTCATAGATTACATCTTGCAATGAGTGTTTTATTAACCAAATTAATATGATTAATAATAAATTTGTTCGAGGTAATTTAAACATGATAACCTACAAAAAATAAAATACAAGATCACTTATTGTGTTTTAAATATATGTTTATATACCCAATTAAAACGTACCTTGAGAATAAATATTATTATTTTCTATCTATTATCTCACAAAATAAACCAAATCTATAGATATAAAAATATAATTTAATTGGCTAGTTCAAAGTTTTAAGTTTCAAAATAGATTAACAAATGAATCATTTTTTATCAACATATTTTTAATTAATGTAAATAATTCATTTTGAGTCCATAATTAAGTGAACAATTACAAATCATTGAATAAGGTTATGTAATTAATTGAAATTTCTTTAACTCACCCAATTTATTAATTTAACACTTAAAACGTAAATAATTTGTAAAAAACATCGGTAAAATATTAAAACTTATACTAAAATCATTTTATTTTGTTTCGTTGCATGTGATGTGATGTGACAGATGTCATGCTTGCCAAAATGCCACGTTGCCAAGTCGTTGTACTTTGAATTTGTGTGTAAATAGGGTTGCATACATACAAAATAAAACTACCAATTCTTTGTTTATATTACATTTATTACAGTTTTTACATCAATAAAATAATTTAAGAATTCCTCTTAAAATTCAATCAGGAAGTTGGATAAAATAGTGGGTGTGTTATCTACTTTTTTATCTTTACAGTTATTGAAACATTTATTTACATTTAACATTTTTATATTAGTTATATCCTCCTTATGAATGTATCACAAATTGGTCATACAATTATTTTTGGCATGTCGACATGTTTTATCTTATTTTAACACTATGAAATGTACTCTGTGAAACATTCCATATTTGCTTTAATGTACAAAAAAATAAGTTTTAAAGAAAAAGTACAATAATTATTAATAATTCAGCCATTAACTATATCTATCTTAGGTTAAGATTCTTACTTAAAACTACATGATTCCTTCAAACTTGAATTATAATTATAAAACTTATTATATAATAATTATTAAGGACTTGTTATTATAATAGGGACCATTAGATAAAAGCTCCAATTTTTGTTTTGGTTCACTTTAAAATAATAAAAATATCAACATAAAATTTGTTCGTTGTTCCGAATATTTAAATCAAATGAGGATATTAATTAAGAATAGTTTAAAGATACAGGTTTTTAAATTCAAAGCGCTTGTGTTTTCCCGACAAATATTAAGGTTTGTAAATTTTTTTTGCCCAGGTTGTACCTTCCCAAATGTGTCCTTTCATTTCGACATGCGAAAAAACCGTTGATGGCAAACAGAAAATATTAAGGAATGTAATTTAATTTTTAGGCCCATAACATATATAACTATTTACTAAGACGCCTCAATGGCACTTGCAGGTGAGGCAGTGCCTCATCATAGAGAATTAAAAAATTAAGTATAATTTAAATATTTTACTTTCTATAATATACAATAAATTTTTAATATTTGGATTACATGAATTGTGAAATAGTCAATAAAATTGATTGATTTTATACGTGGAATACCCAGCAACATTTAAATTATTTGAATTTGAAACGACCGCAATTTAAACTAATATTTATGGCTAGATGATTGGCTCAGAAGCATGCCTGAACTAATTTAAACTCACGATTGGCGTTAGCCTTGTTGTCTCGTTCTATTACAATGCGATATCATAGTTGTCTCCTTCTCTCATATTAGCATACGCGAGGCAGGCACGCCTACATCCAAGGAAATAAGCAGGTGTTGTGGCAACACTGTTGCGGAATTTTAGATAAATTATACTTCACCCGTTTTTCAAAATTCAATAATAAATGGTATTATTTTTCTTATAATAAATCGATTTAATCGAAATTATATTTCTATTATAAAATAAACACATTTTAACACTATCGCCATCTTGTAGCCATCACAGTAACCAATAAAATAAATACAGATTCCTTCTTTAGGTTTGTTTTGGTTATAAAATTCTGAACTGTTTAAAGAACAAATCTGTGGTTATTTGCGCAATATTTTGTTTATTCTTTTTCTATGAGTTTGTCTATTTTATGATTCTTTTGTAAGTGGTTTATTCTGTGGGTTTAGTTAATTGAACTTGGTGATTTATGAGAATTTAGTCGGTGAGAAATTGTACCGATATTGTTGACCTTCACGTGGTTCTTGCTGAACTATGAAATATTAATTAGACAAAAATGAGGTTTATTTAAAATAAACGTCATTTTTACAATAAAATATATTTCATTGACAAAGTAGAGGATTCCTTTCCCACCACACTGTGGTAGTACTAGCGATACTTCTTAAGCGTATTAGTAAATAAATTGTTTGGTCTAAAAACAATTTTGAAAAAAAAATTCAGACGAAAATATTCATAAACAGCTAATTAATAGACATGCAACAATTTAGAAGAAATATTTTTACAATCAATTACTTTATTTTATACAAACCTACTCTATCTTCGCCATTTTGTTCATTATATATTTTTACAATTATAATTATTATTAATATTATTTACATAGGTACTGACAGGATCATTTTTCGGATGGAAATTTTATTAAATTTAATGTAGGTATATAATTTTTGTTCTTCTATCTAAGGAACCCTGTAATTTAGGTACATTTAATAATTATATAGATATGCATCATTAACTACATAGTTTTTGGAAAATTCCGACTTCTGAAGAGTTGGGTGTGTTTGGGAGGGAGGGGTATCACTCCCCCCTCCCACTTACTTATGCATAATTAATAAATATATTCAGTCCTTTGTTTTTTTAACCTGCCAAATGCTTTTTTACAGTTGATGTTGTTGTTACACAGCAAACGCAAAAATATAGAAGTGTATTGGATGACGCCACGTTTGAATACAGTTTTCACCCGCCGCGGTATAAAGTTGTATTCGTCAGTCGAGCGTTTCAATACTCTCCACAGTATAGAGGTCGTAATTTGACTTTTGAACTAGTATTTATATGAAAATTATTTTATGCTTAAAAAAACTATATACGACATAATTGTGATTTTTTAAATTTTATTAATTAATTAAGCTGTGTTGAATATTTTTCCTAAAGGAATAATTGCCAATGGGCCATTAATTCATTTGTTCGTAGATGCTACAATAACCTGCACTGGTGTGTACTTTTTGATCAACCAGATTTAAATATTGCTGTACTAACATATACCAGTGGAGATAGTGCAGGGTCTACCAACAGAACTCATTACTAAATTATTAAAGTTTAATAGCATATTGATCGTTTTTTCACCATAACCTCGGAAATTTTTAATACAAATATAGGTACTTCATATAATACATATATAAAAATCCTTTACATCATATCCTCCGTGCTTTACATACCTGAGTTGTTACGGTAAATAAAAATCAGACAAAGGAACTGTTTTCAACAAAATCATATCCATAAATGAGACTAGAACAGTATTAGAGAGACTCCAGTTTTTATAACTTGGTAGAGTAAAGATAAGTCGAAACCGTTGCGATATTGCATTGCGCTGTTTTTTATAATTACATTAACGAAAATCATTGCCAGTAAAATTCGAAAAGCTTGATTTTTTATTTTGATAAAAAAATTGAGGATGATCTTTTAGGTATCAAATAGGAAAATCCGTTGCCGTTTTAATTTTTGGATTCTTTACTTTTAATCGGCACCCTTTAGAAATCTGAAATCGTGTCAATTTCTTACTCTCTTATAGTGTGACAAATATTGAAATGATTTTAATTTTGTTTTACTGTTCAGTAAGTGTGTTTTCGATATAAATTATTATTATCCAATTAGTTAATCTCATAAAAGAATGGTAAACCACTAAAGATTCATGATAATTTGCCAATTTTTGTGATTTTTGTCTGGCTCCTGTGCCTATTCTACTAAATCTAGAAAGTTATTTTTTTTCAGGTACCTATCAAGAACTTATACAATAGAAAACGTAACTATTATTTTAAGTTTCTAGACTATCATTTTCTTTATTAAAAAAATTATTGAAACTTGATAATTCTTAAAATTAGTCAATTTTGCCCTCAGAAATCATTATGTTGAGGAAAAAATAAAAATCTAAAACTTTCAGGAAATGTAGTCCCCACCTTCATCTTTTCAGTCCAGTTAGTCTTGTTTTGTTATTTTTATTCCTTTAAAAGATATATTAATTTTTTTAATGCCCGTTTAGTAGCGATAACAATATTTTTGACAGTTCTGACACTTTTCCACCAAACATGAAAGCCATCTAAATTTTAAATTATAAATAAAACTAACAATATCGCTACTAAACGGGAATTAAAAAAATTAATATATCTTTTAAAGGAATAAAAATAACAAAACAAGTTTAACTGGACTGAAAGGATGAAGGTGGGGACTACATTTCCTGAAAGTTTCAGATTTTTATTTTTTCCTCAACATAATTATTTCTGAGGGCAAAATTGGCTAATTTTGAAAATTATCAAGTTTCAATAATTTTTTTAATAAAGAAAATGATAGTCTAGAAACTTAAAATAATAATTACGTTTTCTATTATATAAGTACTTGATACCTGAAAAAAAGCAACTTTCTAGATTTACCAGAATAGGCACAGGAGCCAGACAAAAATCACAAAAATTGGCAAATTATTACAAATCTTTAGTGGTTTACCATTCTTTTATGAGATGAACTAATTAGATAATATTAATTAACATCGAAAACATACTTACTAGGCAGTAAAATAAAATTACAATCATTTCAATAATTGCCACAGAAAAGAAGTTTTAGCCTCTTATAAGAGAGTAAGAAAATGACACGATTTCAGGTTTCTAAAGGGTGCCGATTAAAAATAAAGCAACTAAAAATTAAAACGGCAACGGTTTTTTATATATGATACCTAAAAGTCATCCTCAAATTTTTTCAATAAAATAAAAAATCATGCAGCGCACTTTTAAATTCATTTTTGGTGTTTTCATTTGGATTGACTCTATAGTCGTGCATAGGTATAGAGGCGAAAAATATAAAAACAAAGCACGATTCAATACAGTTCTTCCGTTTGCTGTGTATAGTTATAATTAAGGGAACTTTTAACCAGCAAAAATTTTATTTGGTCCTGTAACAATGTTGGTTCACTCTTAATTAAAGGAGATGCGTTACATTCTAAAATTCACTCTTCAGCTTCAAACACAACCTCTAGTTGATTCCTCCAAACGTCCATGAAATGAATGACCTGTAAAGTTGAGGCGTGTGAGTGTTTTTCGCTCTCCAATTTCCCATCCTCAATGCATTTTCCAACCTCCTCGATTAAATACTTGAAAGCAACTCTTCTGGAAACCTTCGTGGAATCATCTGGTAGAGGAAAAGTCTTCACCTCGTCTGGCATGATGATTTTGGTCGGAAACCAAAAGTGCGGTATCCTTATGGTACCTTTGGTACCGATAATAATGGCTTCATTGGGCAAATCAACGCAGGTGTGAATTGCTATAACGCAAGTTTTACCTTCCGGGTAGTTCATGATGCAACAGGCAGACTCGTCCGAGTCCTGGTAGTTCAAATGACCGGACGTCATCACTTTAGTAGGCACCATGTTTCGAAATATGTGGTCTTGAAAGGCCAAAGTGAAGATGCCAAAGTCCATGATTACTCCTTTGTATATCTCCTTCAAATTTATGTCCTTTTTGTTGTACGACGACCGTCCAAAAGTTATCTTTAAATTAAGTTTATTAATATCTTTCTACACTCGCAGTGTCACATCTATTTTTAACAGTTTTGTTTTTGGTTCACCTTGATATATTTATTTTTGCGGAAATTTTGGATTTTTTTAAAAAACATTGCAATTTCCAATATTTTTCCTGTTTGAAGAACTAAGGTTGCTATGGTCTATTGGTATGGTACTTGGACATGTCATACACGGCTTTCAAAAGCTATCAATTTGTTTTTTGCAAATTAATGTTTAAATTTTGAGGTTTCTTCTTACTTTAAAAAATGTCTCCGACTGATGTTGTCCTTTGTACTTTACTTCTTGTGACGTTTAAAACACTCCAGGATTAAATTAATAGCTCTGGCAACATCAGTCGGAGACATATCCATTTTTTAAAGTAAGAAGACACCTCAAAATTTAAACATTAATTTGCAAAAAACAATTTGACATCTTTTGAAAGCCGTATATGACATGTCCAAGTATGGGATGATTCAACAAAACTGTCACTGTCATTCTCCATAGCCTATGGATGGACCATAGCAACCTTAGTTCTTCATACAGAAAAATATGGGAAATTGCAATGTTTTTTTAAAAAATCCATATTTTCCACAAAAATAAATATATCGAGGTGAACCAAAAACAAAACTATAAAGAATAGATGTGACTTGATAAATAAAACTTAATTTAGAACAATCTACGGTTTTGCCACTCTACAGAGTGTCTTAAACTTATGCTAAAAAACATCTTTTTGTTTAAACCTGTATATTATAAACGTACGTCTATTTTTTAGTAATTTTTTAAAATGTGAGCGATTGTCCATTAATTTATCTACAATATTCTTTAATATTCGTTAAAATCCGACATCAAATAAAAAAGTTATTTGCGATTGAAATTCATCGAAAATTTGTGTGGATCGATTATTTTGCCTGAGTGAGTGTATATGGCACAGAGGAAAAAGAGGATTTATTGGGTTTAAAGATCTATATATAAAAAGGTGGAAGGGCAATTTTTTTTCCGAACATTGAGTACTCCAGCTTAGTTTAACTAATTTGGGGCCGCCGATTTCAAAAATGTCATTTGTTTTTTTCTAGGACGTCTAGGATTTAAAATAATTTGGTGATAAAATGCTCTGCTCGATCACCTCAAAATGTAAGTTTTTTGTTGGTATTAATTATTTATTAAATTTGTTTGGCTTAAATTTATCTTGAATGTACTGAAGTAATTGGTATAGGGCAAATATATCATATTTATCTTAACAATATGAGATTTTAAATACTCAACTAAAATTGTAAAGTATTTTATGTAAAAAACAACCATTATTTGACATTTTTTGTCGTTTATTTTAATTATTGAATTGAAAGGGCAACAAAGTAAACAGGTTTCGGTAATTTTTAACCAAATTAAGCCCACAAAATTTAATGCATTGCATAATTTTGCTTTTTTCCACCTTAAATTTATTAAATCGTATCAAATATCGAATTGAATTATAGTTTTATTGTGCTTAATCCTCATCATCGTCGTACATCTTTTGCTGCAAATTCCAGCAAATGTCTCCTAGCAATGAATCCAACTTCTTTCCGCTATACCCATAGATATCTACCAATGCTCTAGATTTGCAGTTACTCGGTGAAACCGTTCTCCATGTTCATCAGTTCGGCAAATTTATCAGGATGATAAAAAAAAGAAAATGTATTTTAAATGACATATTAAGGCTAATTCTTTGCAAAACGAAAAGCATTTTTTCAATGAATTGTCGCCAATTTCAGGCCCGATATGAACCAAGAACGTTTTCAATGACAGTTTTAACACTGCCATATGCGACAAGCTCGTCAACTTTAAGAACATTTTTGAACGCTTGATCTTTCATTAAACGTCGTATATCCGGTCCATTCAATATTCCTGCAAAATTAAAGTAGTAGGTATATCTCATAAAATTTTGTAATGAAATATTGCGTTGGTTTTTTTTTGGGCGTAAAGGTACCGCAACAAAAATAAACAAATTTACAACGACGACATAAAGGTTCGTCTCCTTTCTCTTTCTCTGCCACTTCCATTACCACATCCATTTCCTGCCCCTTTTTCATTTTTGGTACTTAAAATCACTTTCAAGTAAAAATACAATTTAAAGTTTTTATTTTAAATGTCAAAAATTAATAGATGCACTTTAATGTGCTTGAACGATAAAGTAGATAAAGGCGCCTTTATACTTCAATTCGACATTAAATTTTGACTTAATAAATAAGTTTGGAGATTGAATTTTTGGGTACTTTAGGCATGATGTAAATAAAAACATATCAAATAATAGTCGAAGAGTAATGTTTATACCTAAACCCATTTAGTTTATTGCCTTTTCAATTTAATTAATAATTAAAACAAGCGACACAAAAATTTCAAAAAATGATACTTTTTACCAAAAAACATCATATTTTTAGTTTTGGTATTTAATACTACTTACTATACACGGTGGTCAAAACTTAAGTATAGGACGAACAAAAATGCCAACAAAAACTGATAGCATATTTTGATTATAGACCCTTTTGGCAACACTATCATGTATTTATCAAAATCCCAGCTGATCCTATTTTAAAATTTTGCAAATTTTTTTGTTTTTCTATTTCTATATATTATTTTGCAATTATTGTTCTAAAACTACCTGTACAATTTTAATAAAATTAAGCAAAATAATAAACTTTGTATCATTTAAATTACTTTACTCCCAGGTATTAATTTATTGAGTCACCTATTATTTTTTACCACTCAAAACAAAACATAACAAAAAAAACGAAGATTTATATCTTAAATATTTTTTATAACAAAAAATACTGGAAGTTTGTCTATGAAATAATTACAACTTGCAAATTTTGTAAAACAATAATTAAGGTGGTTATGAAAAAAATTGCTATACGTAATAACGCAAGTGACATTTTGCTTTAGTTGTTTATTTAATGTATACTTCAGGCCCGTAGCCAGCCGTAGGGCCCGACGGGCCCGGGCCCCCCCCGAAATTCAGTGAACCCTAAAATTTTCCTAAATATTTGAACCATTTCCGCCCCCCCCTGCCACCCAAAAAATTATTACTACGTTTTGGGCCCCCCCCCAAACCAAATTTCTGACTAGGGGCCTGGTATACTTTATAAAGTTAAAAATAGTATTTTAAAATGAAAATTAAACCGAAATTTAAGTTAAGCCATGAAGAAAATCGAAAGAAGGTATGTGCTGGCTGTGGAGACAAAATTGTTTTTGGTAATCGAAAAATTCAGAGTTTAGGGTTTCTGAGAAAATATAAAAATTACTGCAGACTTTTTCAAACGAACACTTTAACTTAAGTGATTCAAAATTACCTACTTCAATATGGTAAAAACGGTATTTTTTCATAGCCACAATGGCCAAATTTTCAAAATTTAGAAATTGCTAGAGAATTTCGCGGCAGCCAAGAATGTACGTGCTTTATCTGCAAAATGGCAAGATATAAAGGGCATAAAAAATTATTAAGGGAAGAGGACGGACGAACGAACTAAAGTTTTGATATAGATGTAAGAAGCATGTTTGTACAGAGACTGAAGAATTTAAAAATACTGTTTCCATGTTAAAAACAATTCCAAGAAAAAGTTCCAAGCAGTAATCGATTTTGCTTCAAAGAATCTTTAGTTATTTATTAGTTTTGTATAAGATACCTTAAATCAATAAATAAGATATTGCAAACTGTATTTTACATTATTTTGTATTTATAATGTAATTTATCCATATTTCAGTCATGTATCTGCCAAATTTTTTAAAACATTTGATAATGGTACTAGAGTATTTTATCGAAATGGCATAAACAATTTTAAAATACCAAGAAATATGCAAAACTTTAATAAAGGATCAGCTGGGATTTTGATAAATACATTAATTTAGTTTTGACCACCGTGTATAGTATACAACAAACAACAAAATTTCTATTTGACATTTATCTACTGATGACTTTGTAGGTGTCCATGTATATTTTTGACAAAAAACGTCAAAAATATACCGAACATCCAAAATAGATTTAAGGCAAAATAATGAAAATATTAACGAAAAACTTACATTTTGAGATAATTGGGCAGAGCATTTTATTACGCAATTATTTCGAATCCTGGACGTCCTGGAGCAAAACGAGTGGAATTTTTGTAATCAGCAGCCCAAAATTAGGTAATATAGGTGGGAGTACTCAATCTTAGTAATTCGAACTATCACAGTGTTTATATGCAAAATCAACATTTGATCATCTTACCTCCACCCATTGCACATCACCGATGGTATCACTCTCAATTTCTTCGGTCAGGAAATCCATAGCGGGAAAAACTTTGGTCCACATAGCTTCCATAAGGAAAACCTTTTTAATTTTTGCCAGTATCATCAGCTCTTTGGCGGTCTTCTCGCAAAAACTCAGAGGCGTCTCGCAAACAACATGTTTTCCATTGCTCAGCATAGCTTTGGTGATCTTGAAGTGATTAGGGATTATGACGGCAACGTAAACTATGTCTACTTCCAAGTCAGCCGCCAATTTATCGTAAGAGCCGTAAGCGTTAGGAACCTGGTATTTTCGGCTGAACTCTTCCGAAGCTTCCATGTTTGCTGAAGCTATGGAAAGAAGCGCGTGATTTTCCTCGGGGAACGATAGCAAAGCTTCGGCGAAATCGCAGCTGGCCTTACAGCAGCTCGCAATGCCCCATCTTAGGGCAGGCATTTCACTTCAATTTTTATGAAATAAATGTCACAATATGTACAGTTCATTTTTTTATATTTAGAATCGTGTTTTTTTATTAAGTTGGTATAATATTGATATAAAAAGATAACAATGCCAAAATCCCTGATAGCACAGTTTATTCTAAGAATGTTTTTTAAACCTTCCAGTGGGAATATTCTTAGGATCATGCTGTATTTCTTCTAAAGAACATGCTTAAAAGAAATATAGCATAATCCTAAGAATATTCTCACTGGCCTATAGGCAGGTTCTTAGAAGGTGCAAAGTTTAGTGGTAAAAATTAATCCACTCTAAACATATGCTTAGAATGTTGAGAAAGTAATTGCTATAGAAAGTTCATTTAGGAATATTCCTGGAACATTCTGTTAAGCATATTCAGTTCAGTTAGGTACCTATAATAGTAAAATATACCATAAACTACGTACCTATGCTTAGTATTAAATACTAAGTAAAAAACACAACCCAAAATATTTTTTTATAGTTATTTGTCAAATTAAAACAATATTCGATAACAAAAATACTTTTACTATAGGTATCTAAATTATCCGGCTTTTACATAAAATCTTCTATCCAACTTAAATACAATGAAAAATGTTTTTTTTATGAAGAACTATTTGGTTTTTTCTTTTATGAAGAATTATTTTATAATGAAATATTTTGTTTTTTTATATTTTATTTTTTGTTAAAAATAAATATTTATTAATTTGTATACCGATTTTTTATATCTGAATTAACATTTTTATGTATAATAATCCTACACTGAAAGAAATATATACTAAAGTTAAATAAAAAAATAATTAGGGCAAATATATTTTATGTTTCATATATTGACTACCACATACATTGCTAAAACAAATATATTCGTTTGGTTAGCAGCCTATTGCTGCCCTAGCAATATAAATGTGTTTCTAACAATATTTTTTTGCTGTAATTCACTTTTATAGTAAGGGTAAGTTTATTTTTATTTAGATCTAACATATCTTCTTTACAATAAATGTATTACAAAATTTAACATACATTCATAATAAACAGTAGTATAAATGTGTAAAGAACTAGTATAAAATTTTTAGTATAAATTTGTATTTACTTTTAGCAACAAATTTCTTTCAGTGTAACTATCTTCAACTTCAATCTAATCTGACTTATCCTACAAAATTTTCGAATTTTACTTTTTATGAAATAATGTCATACAACTTATGGTTTAGAGGTCAAATTGTTTATTTAATATTTTTAAATAAATATATTTTAATATGTCGCAAAATTTTTTAAGGGGACGACAAATACATTTCACTGTCATATTGTGACAGTGAGGCCTATTTGTCACCTCCTGAAGAATTTACGAATGTAGAATTCAACATATTAGAACGTGGGTATCTGACATATTTGGAAATATTCTCAAAAGCTTCCTAGAAGCTCCATAAGAAACCTTCTAAGAACATTCCAAAAACGTATTCTTAAAATGTCCTTAGAATGCTTTTTAGGAAGGTTTTAAGAAGCTTGTAAGAATCCAATTGCATCCTTAAAAGGGTATGTATTGAATGTTTTAAAAGTCCCTAAGAACATTCTTAGCAATAAGGGAAGGTTCTAAGAATATTCCATTATTCCGGGTCATATCTTCTTAAAAGATTCTTAAAATCAAATTTTGCTGTCAGGGTTGTGGTTATGTAAAAATTTTTGTAGGTTACATTGTGCAGTTGTCAAGTTGAGTTGTCGAAATTCGTAGTTAAAAATGCAATTAATTTGGCTTTGGTGGTGCTTGAATGAGTAAAATCATATACAAAAAGTAGTTAAATATAGGTTGCTTTACGGCCCAGAAGAGAAAGTATAATCTTCGCTTTGAAAAGAATTAATATAAACGAAAAGAAAATTTTTTTGTGAACGTAAATGTTGTCCAATGGTGAATAATGTGAAAATAATGTGTGATGTAATATTTATAAAACCAAATTCGTTACTTTTGTACTCCAAAAATGTCCATAAGGCGATGTACTTTTTCTTCCATTGTGGCATTTGGCATAATTTCATCAAAATGAAGTTTTGCCCTCAAAAGGGCTTTTACATTCGAATTCGTTGCTATTATTTTTGGCATAATTATCTTTTTATTTATAATTGACAAGTAAATTATCTATAATATTATTGTCAATTTGAGTGTCAAAGTATTAAATTAAATTCTTTAGCAGAAGTACTATTTTTAAATACTAAAAACACGAGTCCAGATAAAAAAAAAGAACTGTATATAAACCTTAAAAACTGTGTGACATTTCCCTGTCAAACATGCTTGGAAAAAGGCTACATTTACTAAAGTGAGAATGCCTGCCTTGAGATGGGGCATTGTGAGTTGCTGCAAAGCTAGTTGTGACTTTGCTGAAGCCCTAACATCATTTTCACGCGAAGAACACGTTCTTACTTCCATAGCTTCCACAAGTATGAAAACTTCGCAGGAATTCAGCAAGAAATACCAAGTGCCGAATGCCTATGAAACCTACGATGAATTGGCCACAGATCCAGAAGTTGACATAGTCTATGTCGCTGTTATAATCCCCATGCATTTTGATCTCACTAAATCTATGATAAACAATGGGAAACATGTGGTTTGCGAAAAACCTCTAAGTTTTTGCGAGAAAAGGGCTAAAGAATTGTCGATTCTGTCGAAAATAAAAAAGGTGTTTCTCATGGAAGCTATGTGGACCAAATGCTTTCCAGCAATGGATTATTTGGCCGAAGAAATCGATAACGGTACCATTGGTGAAGTCCTGTTTGTTCACGTAAGCAAATTTGTATCTACACAGCAATCGGAAAAATATAGAAGTGTATTGGATGACACCACGTTTGAATAAGTTTTCTAAACCCTCGCCACAGTATAGAGTTGTATTCGTCAGTCGAGCGTTTCAATACTCTCCACAGTATAGAAGTCGTAATTTTACTTTTCAACTACCCTCACAGACAAACCAATCGATCCACACAAATTTTCGATGAATTTCAATCGCAAATAACTTTTTTATTTCATGTCGGATTTAAACGAATATTAAAGAATATTGTAGATAAATTAATGGACAATCGCTCACATTTTAAAAAATTACTAAAAAATAGACGTACGTTTATAATATACAGGTTTAAACAAAAAGATGATTTTTACCATAAGTTTAAGACACTCTGTAGAGTGGCAAAACCGTATATTGTTCTAAATTAAGTTTTAATTATCAATTTTTAACAGTTTTTGGTTCACCTTGATATATTTATTTTTGTGGAAAATATGGATTTTTTTTTAAAAAACATTGCAATTTCCAATATTTTTCCTGTATGAAGAACTAAGGTTGCTATGGTCCATCCATAGCCTACGGAGGATGACAGTGACAGTTTTGTTGAATCATCCCATACTTGGACATGTCATACAGCTTTCAAAAGCTATTAAGGGGTTACATACAGTTAGAATTTTCAAAACATCGAATTTTTTTTTATTTTATTTTCTTAATGTACATATATTTAAGAATACACACAGAAAATTTCATATCGTTCCGGTGAATATTTTCAAAGTTACACGCAAATTTGAAAAGGCGTTTCAGAGTGCTTGGAAGTACAAGGCCGGAGCGGCAGCGACTACCCTTTTATGCACCTGCCTTGTAAATTACTCCCTTCTAATGTATTTAGAAGTGTAAATCAACAGTGTGAACAGGGTGTATTATATGGGCCTGAAATAGACGACTCCATGTAAGTTAAAAAATAAAAAAAAATTATCCCATGTAAACTGCATTCCAAACTTTAAACGCGTTTTTCTCTGAATAGTGTTTTCAAAGTCGGTGACCAACATTACTCGAAAACCGATTAGTCTCAAATTTTAACACGAGCTTCTTAAATATATTTTTTAGTAATAAATTGAAGATTTTTTCTCTCCGATAAATATTTTTGTTTTTATAAACAATTTAAGGCCGAAATTTCGGTGAAAAATCGATTTTTTTTTTGAGAAACCGCCATTTTGTCAAAAAAATTTATTTTGGATATTCCTTCGATTAATTACTAGATTTAACATTACTTTAACGAAATCTGTTTGGTTTTTTAAATTCAGATGATCCAGTTCAGAGATATAGTGGTCACCGCAAAACGTCTTTTTTGAGAGGAGCATCCGGAGATCAGCTGTAGCTCTTTTCCAAATAAATATTTTTACTAGTACTAAGTCTTAAAATATAGTTAAAAGATACCATAATATGTGTATAAATTTTTGGATCAATAAATTTAAAAGTTTTCTCAGAAAAACTTCTGGAAAATTCACTTTTTTTCGGCCTTCTAACTGTATATAACCCCTTAAATTGTTTTTTGTAAATTAATGTGTTAATTTTGAGGTGTCTTCTTACTTTTAAAAATGTCTCCGACTGATGTTGCCCTTTGTACTTTACTTCTTGTGGCGTTTAAAACACTTGCCACGTAATACTGTGACCGTCCATCCTGGATTAAATGAATGGCTCTGGCAACATCAGTCGGGGACATATCCATTTTTTAAAGTGAGAAGACACCTCAAAATTTAAACATTAATTTGCAAAAAACAATTTGATAGCTTTTGAAACCCGTTTATGACATGTTCAAGTATGGGATGATTCAACAAAACTGTCACTGTCATTCTCCATAGCATATGGATGGACCCTAGCAACCTTAGTTCTTCATACAGAAAAATATTGGAAATTGCAATGTTTTTTTAAAAAATTTCATATTTTCTACAAAAATAAATATATCGAGGTGAATTAAAAACAAAACTGTTAAGAATAGATGTGACTTGATAAATAAAACTTAATTTAGAACAATATACGGTTTTGCAACTCTACAGAGTGTCTTAAACTTATGGTAAAAAACATCTTTTTGTTTAAACCTGTATATTATAAACGTACGTCTATTTTTTAGTAATTTTTTAAAATGTGAGCGATTGTCCATTAATTTATCTACAATATTCTTTAATATTCGTTTAAATCCGACATCAAATAAAAAACATATTTGCGATTGAAATTCATCGAAAATTTGTGTGGATCGATTATTTTGCCTTTGAGTGTAGTATTAATATAAAAATTGCCAATGGGCCATTAATTCATTTGTTCGTAGATGCTACAATAACCTGCACTGGTGTGTACTTTTTGATCAACCAGATTTAAATATTGCTGAACTAACATAAAACTACCAGTAAAGATATGCAGGGTCTACCAACAGACCTCATTAATAAATTATTATAGTTTAATAGCAAATCGATCATTTTTTCAACATAACCTCTGAAATTTTCAAGATCCAAAGATCCAAACTTCTTGCAATATTGAATTACCCTCTTTTTATAATCTCAGAAATATTGACTAGAACAGTATTAGAGGGACTTCAGTTTCTATAACTAGGTAGAGTTTTTGTATAATTCTCGGGGACATTAACGAAAATCATTGCCAGTAAAATTCGAAAAGCTTGAGTTTCTATGTCTCTGAAGAGAATAGGAATCCGAAGTTGCTGCACCATTGGACTGAACTCTTTTTCAATAATTTCTAGAGACATAAATGACTGCACCATTCGACAGGGTCGAGTTTCTACCTCTCTGTTGAATATAGAAAATCAAAATAATGTATCTTGTAAGACACCATTGAGTTTGACTTTAACTATAGTTAAAGCACGATTCAATGCAGATCTGATATAACTTTAATATTTAGTATTCAAACACTTCTATATTTTTCCGTTTGCTATTGATATATTGAACTTGTTTATAGGTAACATACGGGCGTTCTTCGTACAACAAAAAGAAGCTGAATTTAAAAGAGATATATCGGGGTGTTATAATGGACTTGGGGGTTCATGCTCTGGCTTTTCAGGAGCAAATTTTCAGGAACCATGTTTCAACCAAAGTTCTAACGGCTGGCCATTTGAACAATCAAGACGTTGATGAATCTGCCAGTTGCATTATAAATTACCCAGAAGGGAAAACTTGTGTTATAGCAATACATACGTGTGTTGATTTGCCGAATGAAGCCATTATTATTGGTACCAAAGGTACCATAAGGATACCGCACTTTTGGTTTCCGACCAAAATTATCATGCCCCGCGAAACCAAAAAGTTTCCTTTACCTGAAGGTGAAACGGAGGTTTCTAGAGTGGTGGCTTTTAAGTATTTGATTGAGGAGGTGGGGAAATGCGTTGAGGATGGGAAGTTGGAAAGTGACAGGCACACGCATGCGTCTATGCTACAGGTGGTTCATTTTATGGACCTGTGGAGGAATCAACTCGAAGTTATCTATGAGGTGGATGATAGTTGAATAAACAATACAATTTTAACTTTTTACTGACTTATTTACATGATGGTTTCTCTGGGCGCCGTGGATATGCCTTCTACGTCTATGGCGGGACCCTCGCGCGGCCAGGGTGGATGTTGGCCGCGCGAGGACCGGGCCTAGATCCAGTTCCTCCTTTCGCGCAAGTCCATTCGGTTGTTGTCGGCGTTGTTTTTGGCCTCGGATCGCTGATGTCAGGGGTTCTGGTGGTTGAAAGAGCGAAGCCTTCGTGCCGACACTTCGGTCTCGTTCACGTTCATGTAGCAGGTGTCAGTGGATGTCGTGGGAGGTCGCGTTGTGTGGAGGTTTAAATGCTGGGTGCTGTGGTTACCATGGCCGGCAACTAACAATAAACACTCTGTTAGACTCTTATAGGCATCTAGTCAACGAATAATGGTAAACAGTGTGTATTAAAACGAATAGATACACTTAAATAAAACAAGTACCAAACCCCGCCCACTGTGGTAGGGATTGAATTTTTTCTTGTGGGGATACGTCAAGTCGAAAATTTCAAGAGCCCAGGGCTAATAACCTCGATGAATTAAGGGTGCAAATCTTTAATACATTGGGAGATATTAGTCCTGAAATGCTGTTTAAAGTGCGCAGGTATTTTTATGATAGGCTAGGGTATTGTTTAACTGCTGCTGGTGGTCTTTTTGAACATTTAATTTAGAGAAAAAGTTTTATTTTAGAATTATTTTTGTTTGAGAATTTATAGGTTTTATTTTTATCGAATTCGTTTGTTTTGTTTTAATGCATTTCTGCAAATAAAAACTAAGTATTGTTTAAAATCCATTAAATTCCAGTTAATGGCGAAAATGTATTTCTTAAAAACTATACACATTTTCCTACGACAGCGTCGGAGCTACTGAACAAACAGTAGATCAAACTGCATGCCCTTGTATCTGGCTGCATGCCATATGCTATTATTGTTTCCTAAAAGGGTTGTTTTTCTTATTTTTTATTATTAAAAGTAAGAAAATTAACTAAATCAAATTATTTTTGACATATTATTAATTTTTTTGTTATTTTTAAAGTTTCAAACAAATAAAATTGAACTATTTATTAAATAATTATAATCGTTCTCTTCTGATTTAAAACAACCTGGCAACTATGGTTAATAATTACGAATGGCTTGGTTTAAATCACGCCCAATTAAAGTTTGTTTCTTTTTCTCTGATCAGAATATAATTTGTCATCCTTGTCTCCAGCCTTACTTACTTGATTCTATACAGTCTGTATACGCTATGCATGGGTGTTTTACTATGATTTCTTTTGAGTTTTTTTCCGAAATTATTGAGTTTTTTAATAAATAAAGATCTGGCAGCACAGTGGATAAAAAACAATAAGTAAGGTAATTTTTGGCATACCCAATTTTATTATAGTAGAAATAAGCTGTTGTTGCTAAAAATCCATGGATAAATGGCGAAGTTATGAATTTTTTAGTGAAAGACCAAAATTCAGTTTTTCGAGAATGTTTACGTTATTTCTTTATTTTATTGAATTATATAAAATTTAATATGAACATTGATTTTTATTTTAAACATTAAATATTTAAATTAAATTATATATTGAATATTGAACAATAAATATTGAACATTGATGATATTGAAAGTTTTATTTTGTTGTAATAGGTTTAAAAAAATTCTGTCTCCTTTGTTTTTTGGTTGCTTTCGTATTCCGTTTCTCGTATGAAGGACCAAATGTAATCAGCCATCATGGCTGCATCCCAGAAGCCGTGATACCGCCGGTCCATAGACTTCATTTTCTGGTGAAAACGTTCTCCGTGCTCATCACTTACGTCGCCCAGATTGTGCGGGTTATTTACGCACTCGAACTCTCTACTTCTTTTACTCATTTTACACTTTTTATTAACTAAATAAAACCATGGTAAAAATACCTTGTTGAAATATCAAAAAATAGCAGAGCCATTCCACGCGTGACGGATGGGATAGTTGCCGTGTTTTTATTTACAAAATAATGTTGTTCTATTGTATTGCCAATGTCAAATTTTTATAAATGGTTCTAAACTGGAGCTGTTTAACAAGGTTTTTATTTGGCAAAATTGGGTATCGTGATTGACTGTCCAATTCCTTAAAAACTAATAATTTAAAGCGTAACGGTCGGGACTTTGCAAAAGTCCCGACCGTTACGCTTTAAATTATTAATTTTTAAGGAATTGGACAGTCAATCACGATACCTAATTTTGCCAAATAAAAACCTTGTTAAACAGCTTTTGTTTAGAGCTATTTATAAAAATTTGACATTGGTAATATGGTGGAACAATATTATTTTGTAAATAAAAACACGGCGGCTGTCCTATCCGTTAAGCGTGGAATGGCTCAGCAGTAAAATGTCACTATGCCCAGAAACACGAATTTCCTAAATTTTGAATAATGTTTTCGGTGAATAAAGTAGGTACGTAAAAAAATCAAAAAAATCCAATCATGCAGTTTAAATAGGTTTTCAATAAAGAATATTACAAAATAAAAGAAAAAAAAAAGAAAAATCGTCAAAAAGCTGAATTTTGGTCTTCTGCTAAAAAATTCAAAACTTCGCCATTTTTCCATGTATTTTTATCAACATTAGCTTGTTTTTTTTGTAAAAATATTAGCTTGACGAAAAAAATTCAAACTGGAGTTATCTGTTTGATTTAAACCTTTCCCAGGACGATAAGTAAATTTTCTACCTCAATTTTTGCCATAAAAACGAATTTTTTAAGTTATTAAAATCGCTAGCGCCAAAATACTTATCCGATATCAAAAGTCAAAACACCTCCGAAAATTAAAAAAAAAAACAATTGAAAATTCATATTTCAAAAAAGCTTCCATAAAAAAACAATTGAGTGTGATTTTCGTGTCAACAAACGTCTAATCTTATAAGTATCTTTACATGAGATAAACTTCATAATTAATTATAGGCTAATAATTTTGGAGTAATGAGTAATTTATATTCCGGATAAGCATATTTTGCCCCAAGCCATGCAAAATGTAATTTATAAAGTTAGTAGTATGTTTGCAGTAATTTAAAACATTCACCCGAGTAAATAGGCTTTTATATGCGTATCCAATAACAAAATATTTTATGTGAAATACTATTTTTGGTACAAAATAAATAAAATTTAATACAAATGGCAATTTTTTAAATAAAAATTAAAAATGTCATAGGGTAAATCACATAGGTATTGGACACTTAAGGAATATTATTTATATATATATATATATATGCCGTTGTTTTAGTTTTAGTTTGTTTCTTATAAATATATAAAAATAAGAATATTTGAATTTTATCAAAACATGCAAAAAAGTATAGTAATTGGACACATGGACAACAACTTTACATCAAATATCATAAATTGTTAAATATTTTTTAAAAATACATTGCTGTTTTAGGTAATTTTTTTATTTTGTTTTTGTAAATATCATATAATTCATATATTTCTTTCTCGGATTCCTCATCCCTTTTCCGGATTCTGAAGGTAACTACTAATTTCTTGGTCTGACTTCTGAAATAGTTTATTGCAAATATCATTAAGTTTGTGAAGCATTTATAATGTTTAGGCCGGAACAGGATGATTTATATTTATCTAATATTTTTTCGGGTGGTATGTTAAAAGTATTTTTCGAATGTATTCATTTTGTTGCCATTAGTTTTTTTATGTTCTCTATCATGCACTGTATTTAAATCACTGTTATTCTGCAAGATGTCCTGTGACGAAGAAATCACTATATTACTTACTCTCTAAAAATGAATTAGTCAAAAATGTCATAGCGAAAAAGCAGCCACTAATAATTCTCGTCAACAGCAATTTGTATCCAGGATATTTAGGAGTCAATTCCTATGAAATATTATTCGCTGAATCCGAAAATGTCGTCAAAAGATATAAAAGTAGAACAGTTTTTGAAATATAATCAATTTTACATATAATATGGAATTAACTGTATCTTAAAAACTGCTTAACTTTTATAGTTTTTGACGGTCTTTTCGGATTCATGGGACAATTTTACATAAGAATTTTTTTTATTGTAATTTAAACACAAAAAAACAAAAATCTTACCACCAAAGTAACGTGCGAACTTTTTTGTCCTTTATTGGACCCAAAATAAAGTAGTTCTATATTATTACCGACTGAGATAGTTATAATTGTATACATCGTCATCTAATGATTTGACTTTAAGGTAACTATTTATAGAACTCTTGTTTTTACAGTATTAATGCTAATTGTCGAATAACTATAAATATACTAATAAACCGGCTAAAGGTATGAGGACGGTAATTAAAAAAGTACATAGACACAAACCATTTCTAACGATGCGATTCCGTTCTGGAGAAGCGGCCGAATAAGAACGCCGTTTGCTGGTCAGCACTTCCCGTCTTGTCAGCACTTCCGGACTGAGGTTGACAAAAGGCAGCCATGAAAAGAACTGCTTGAAACCGCGCCGGAATCTGCAAAAAACATATTTTAACGACCGTCATAAACACATAAACGCAATCAAGTCTGTTTTAGGATTGGTATTTCTAATTAGTTAGTTTAAGTCAATTTTCTTTAATTTGTTGGAAACAGTAAGATTTTATATTTAACCATTTGCACAATATTGTCAAGAAAAGGGTTGAAATCTGTTGTTAAAAATATTTCAAAAATAAATGTATACATTTTTTAAAATAATTCGTATAGGTAAATATAGTATAACTTTGAGTTAGAATATAAATTTTACAATATTGGACAATTTGTTCGGGAGTGAAGCATCACACCACCTAGGATAACCAATGAAATGATTTCCCGCTTGAAATAAGACGCCGGCCGGTCGCTCAACTGCAATCTGCATCATCAGTTTGCAGTTTTAGTTGGTGTTAGGAAGTGTATCATTGTGAGGTAGTACCACATTTCTGGTGAGTAATTATTGAATATTATTTTTCCGAATAGGTAGGTAGGTATTTCCAAAATTGTTCAAGGACTGGGATAAATCAATAATTATGACCTGGTAATCAAATGAGGATAAAAAGTGTTTCTATGTTCCTACTGTGCTACATTGTTGATCAGCTTACTATTTACTTTAGTTTGTAATTTATGTTTTCAGTTTATATTAACTTAATTCTATCCTTACAAAATTTTTGTGTTGGTCGCTGAATACATATTTAATCTATCGACATTTGTACTATTATAAGTGGAGACGTACTATCAGAATTATGAGAATTAGCTATAAGAATGTTATTTTTCAGTTTGTAGTTTATATTTTGTTATGTTTATTTCATGTTGTCAGTGTCGGTTTATATTAAGTTTAGGTATTCTATTTTCCATATTTTTTTTTAGAAGTCGCTGAATACATAGGTATCTAAATTAACAATTTAGTTTCATTTTCCTTATTACCACCCTCGCATCCCAAAGATTATTAAAATTTTTGAATAAATTGGAGAAATTCTTATTAAACAATGTTGTGTTATTATTATGCAATTTCACCACAAAATATTATATTAAAAAAGTCTCTATGTGTGCTATTGCCACTTTTGTTTAAAAAAAGATACTCAATATGAAAAAACGGCCAGAGCTACCTCATGACATTTTCACCGAAAAAAATCAAAGTCAAACGATCATAAACATGGACAAAATTATAAAAAATTTTACAAAAAATAATATGTTTTTTTTTACTTTTTACTGTGCAATTGCACATTAATGTACGGGGGCTATGACACGATGTTTTAGCATTTATTGAAATTTTTTTTTTTAATTTTACCAGTTTAAAAAAGTTCGTAAGTATATTGTTCTAAATTAAGCTTTAATTATCAAGTCACATCTATTTTTAACAGTTTTGTTTTTGGTTCACCTTGATATATTTATTTTTGTGGAAAATATGGATTTTTTTTTAAAACATTGCAATTTTCACTATTTTTTCTGTATAAAGAACTAAGGTTGCTATGGTCCATCCATAGCCTATGGAGGATGACAGTGACAGTTTTGTTGAATCATCCCATACTTGGACATGTCATATACAGCTTTCAAAAGCTATCAAATTATTTTTTGTAAATTAATGTGTTAATTTTGAGGTGTCGTCTTACTTTTAAAAATGTCTCCGACTGATGTACTTTGTACTTTACTTCTTGTGACGTTTAAAACACTTGCCACGTAATACTGTGACCGTCCATCGTGGATTAAATTAATGGCTCTGGCAACATCAGTCGGGGACATATCCATTTTTTAAAGTGAGAAGACACCCCAAAATTTAAACATTAATTTGCAAAAAACAAATTGATAGCTTTTGAAAGCCGTGTATGACATGTCCAAATATGGGATGATTCAACAAAACTTTCACTGTCATTTTCCATAGCCTATACATGGACCATAGCAACCTTAGTTCTTCATACAGAAAAATATTGGAAATTGAAATGTTTTTTTTTAAATCCATATTTTCTACAAAAATAAATATAACGAGGTGAATCAAAAACAAAACTGTTAAGAATGGATGTGACTTGATAAATAAAACTTAATTTAGAACAATATACGGTTTTGCCACTCTACAGAGATGGTAAAAAACAGATTTTTGTTTAAATCTGTATATTATAAACGTACGTCTATTTTTTAGTATTTTTTTAAAATTTGAGCGATTGTTCGTTAATTTATCTACAATATTCTTTTATATTCGTTTAAATCCGACATCAAATAAAAAAGTTATTTGCGATTGAAATTCATCGAAAATTTGTGTGGATCGATTATTTTGCCTGTGATTGTATATTTATAAGCATATAGTGCGGTTATTTAAGTTAAGGTATTGTGCAATTGTTCCTAAATTAATTAATGATCCTCGTTAATAGCGCCAACACAAAATGGATTATTTATAATCCTGAAATTAAGCGGTTTTCAATCGCCTAATTATTTCCCGTAACATTGATTGATTTGGAAGTTTAAGCTTTACTTTGCCTTATTGTTAAATTCTGTAGGTATGTAAACAGTACCCAAGTAGCGCAACTGGGTTAATTAATGTTAAATTTACGTTACATTTAAGTAATATAGTACTACTTACAACGTTAAATAAACGTTATTTTGTAATAAGTAGGGAATTCAATTATGGTAAAATTAACGTTATATTAGTTAAATTTAACTTCTTGGTTAATGGATTTTTTGGTTATTTTATAGTTTTTTCAAATTTTATATAAATATAACAACTTTACAACAAATAACATAAATTGTTAAATATTTTTTAAAGATAAATTTTTTTTATTTTGTTTTTGTAAATATCATAATTCATATATTTCTTTCTCGGATTCCTCATCCCTTTTCTGGATTCTGAAGGTAACCACTAATTCCTTGGTCTGACTTCTGAAATAGTTTGTTGCAAATATCATTAAGTGTGGTATCTCTAGTTTGTGAAGCATTTATAATGTTTAGGCCGGAACAGGATGATTTATATACAATATCTAATATTTTTTCGGGTGGTATGTTAAAAGTGCTTTCCGAATTTATTAATTTTGGTGCTATTAGTTCTCTATCATGCTGTTACTCTGCAAGATGTCCTGTGACGAAGAAATCACTATATTACTTACTCTCTAAAAATAAATTAGTCAAAAATGTCATAGCGAAAAAGCAGCCACTAATAATTCTCGTCAACAGCAATTTGTATCCAGGACATTTAGCAGTCAATTCCTAAGAAATAATTTTCGCTGAATCTGAAAATGTCGTCAGAAGTTATAAAAGTAGAACAGTTTTTGAAATATGTATAATCAATTTTACATATAATATGGAATTGACTATATCTCGAAAACTGCTTAACTTTTATAGTTTTTGACGGTCTTTTCGGATTCAGGGGACAATTTTACATAAGAATTGGCTGGTAAATGTCCGGGATATAAATAGAGTATGATATTGGACATATGTTCAATAATAGAAATTTACATTTTTTACCAACCAGTAATTGGACACTGGCCATTGTACTGTTTGTTATCAGAATTAAAATTAAAACGCATTAAAGTGATAATGTTTAAACCATGAGGAACACATTTATGCCACACACTGATCTGTACACTTTTTAGAAATATTTTTTATTGTAATTTAAACACAGCCCTGCTCTTAACAAAAAACAAAAATCTTACCACCAAAGTAACGTGCGAACTTTTTTGTCCTATATTGTACCCAAAATAAAGTAGTTCTATATTATTACCGACTGAGATAGTTATAATTGTATACAGCGTCATCTAATGATTTGACTTTAAAGTAACTATATATAGAACTCTTGTTTTTACAGTATTAATGTTAATTGTCCAATAACTATAAAGTGTCCGATAACTGTCTACTTTACCCTACTAAAAATGTAGATAAACATTTTTACAAAGTTTCCATTCCAAGTACAATAGCATTTGTTTAAAAATGGCGAAGCTATTTTGATTGTACTTTGAGATACCTATCTTTGCTATAGCAAGGGAGAATACATTCGAATAGTTAAGCGAGTTTTAGATTCGCGTGGTAGATCGTAAAAATAAACGCGCACCGAATGGTACAAGTATACTTGCAAATATATTTGCGAGTCGGATGGTTGGAATTAAATAAAACGGTGTACTGTGTTTTCAATTCTACACTGAGAAAACTGTTTTTGAGTTTAGAAATAATTCCAAGAAATGTATTTTGACCCACTAAACACAAAAATCAAATTTAATTTTTTTTATGGAAGCGTTTTTAAATATGAATTTAAAACTTTCTTTTAGATACTTAAAAAATTCGTTTTTATGGCAAAAATTGAGGTCTAAAATTTACATATCGTCCTGGGAAAGGTTTAAATCGAACAGATAACTCCAGTTTGAATTTTTTTGTAAAACTGACATTATTACAAAAAAAACAAGCTAATGTTGATTAAAATACATGGAAAAATGGCAAAGTTATGAATTTTTTAGTGGAAGAGCAAAATTCAGCTTTTTGACGATTTTTCTTTTATTTTTTTTTTATTTTATTTTGTAAAATGGTTATTCTTTAATAAAAACCTAAATAAAATTTTTTACGTACTTTTTTCACTAAAAACATTCAAAATTTAAATTTGACATGACTCCGCAAACGTAAATTCTTTTGTTTTTCGTTTTGCCATAGTGACATTTTACTGATATTTTTTGATATTTCAACAAGGTATTTTTATCATGGTTTTATTTGGTTAATAAAAAGTGTAAAATGAGTAAAAGAAGTAGAGAGTTCGAGTGCGTAAATAACCCGCACAATCTGGGCGACGTAAGTGATGAGCACTGAGAACGTTTTCACCAGCAAATGAAGGCTATGGAGCGGCGGTATCACGGCTTCTGGGATGCAGCCATGATGGGTGATTACATTTGGTCCCTCATACGAGAAACGGAATACGAAAGCAACAAAAAACAAAGAAGGAGACAGAATTTTTTTAAACCTATGCTTATTACAACAAAATAAAACTTTTAATTTCTTCAATGTTCAATATTTATGGTTTAATATTCAAAATATA